CCCCCCCCCCCCCAAAAGCTAACCCCCACACGGTCCACCATCACATCACTGCGGAGTTGCAATTTGTGTTCTCCACCAGAAATTTATTTTTCGTGCGCTCTCCACGGCACTGCAACATGCACCACCCTTGAATGCGCACCATTTCCGTGCCCATGGCACCTTGAACAGCTCTACCGACTGACCCAGTACCAACACCTTCTCTTCCACATCTCTCCTCCCGACAAAGTCGAAGCCGCAAAAATGTCTCGCCCGGAAGATCTCCTCCCCCCGGACCTGTACTACAACGACACCGCCTCAGCAAAGTACACGACCTCCTCACGCATCCAATCGATCCAGGCGTCCATGACGCATCGCGCGCTAGAACTCCTCGACCTCGATTCCCCGTCATTCATCCTCGACGTCGGCTGCGGGTCCGGCCTGTCCGGCGAGATCCTCTCAGAAGAAGGGCACATCTGGGTGGGGATGGACATTTCGCCCAGCATGTTGGACATTGCACTCCAACGAGAATCCGTCGAGGGGGATCTGTTCTTGGGCGACATGGGCCAGGGCGTGCCGTTTCGCGCGGGCGCCTTTGACGCGGCCATCAGCATCTCCGCCGTGCAATGGCTATGCAATGCCGAATCGAGCGGCGTGTCCCCCGAAGGTCGGCTGCGGCGGTTCTTCGACGGCCTGTACGCGTCACTCCGCAGGGGCGCGCGGGCGGTGTTGCAATTCTACCCGAAAAACGACGCGCAGAGGAATATGATCTCCCAGGCGGCCGTGCGGGCGGGGTTCGGGGCCGGGATCCTCGAGGACGATGGCGGGACCAAGAACGTCAAGACGTACCTCGTCCTCAGCGTCGGGGGAGGCGAGGACATCACCGAGCGGGTCAGGAATATGGACAATGTGGACATCGAGGACGGGAGGAGGTTCAGGGAGGCAGCAGCAGCACAGAAGGGCAAGCGACGAGGCGCGCTCGGGCAGGATGTTGTTGTCAAGGGCAGCAAAGCGTGGGTCATGAAGAAAAAGGACAAGATGCGCAATAGAGGCAAAGTGGTCAAGGCGGATTCGAAATACACTGCGCGCAGGAGGGGCCCGAAGTTTTGAACCAGCGTCAGCGGTCTTCAAGAGTTACTACCACTATTCTTAACGGAATAGGTTCCCCCCCCAACGAACGATCTAATGAAATGAATCCGGAACGGGCTTGGAACGGGGGAGAGTGCAACAGCAACGGAATGAACGAAAACTACCGACCCGCCTACGAGCTACGAAGTTATGCCCTGACCACCTGCTAATGCAACAGTCTGCTGGGAGACCATTGAACCACCCCAAAGAGAAACGAGACGGGACGACTCGAGCAGAGTACGAGGAGGCGCAGAGGACTTAAGCCGCTGTTTCAAGTTATCTTCTCGTCTCTGTCAATCGCCTATGGGAGGGAGGGAGGGAAACAGCGAAAAGACCGACAGTGTCCTCCTGTATCACGAATGTCATTGACCCACCTACGGCACACCACACTGAGTCCTCATCGCAACAACGCAGCAGACAAAGCGGTCGATCACGCTGCGGTCGATCACGCTACGGGCGATGCGAAAAGCTGCTGTGCCCAACACCGTCTATCGGTGATGATCAGGTCCAGAATTCCGCGGTGGACAAGCTGCGTTGCCGGTGTTCGAGCGCCATGATCCCTCCGGCCGGCGGATGAGAGAGCCAGGAAGCGAATCGAGCAGAACAAGAAGAAAATAAAGGTGCACGATGAATTGCCATTTCACCATCCCCCAAACCCGGAAGATCATTTCATGAGGATATTCCCAAACTCCCTCCGTCTATTCGATGGTTGCTTTTTCCAAAATCCCCATCCCATCCGACAAATGCTCCTCCTATCCATTGAGACCCGACCGTGCAGCCTTGTTTTCATGCAACCACAACCGGATTTTTGGTACAGCGCTCCCGAAGCATCAAACACGCCAAAGACTATTGCCAGTCTATACAGGTCAAATGATAGATGTTACCGATCTTCCAGACCAAAAGACACCATGATCGATTCCTCTCAATGTCCACCTTAACCGCTTTCCTCTTTGCCGACACCTTCTTCACCTTGTTCAGGGGATTGGGTTTCCGCCCGGGCAGACAAGTCTTGAGCAGGATCATGCTCATTCTCGCCAGCAGCGGCAGGAACCCGTTTCTCTCCAGCCTCCGTGCTGGAGGGGATGCTTTTCCCATTCTCGTCGACACGTACGCCGCTGCCAACAAGAATACCATTGAGCTGCGCGGAGTCATCTGCAACCATACTGCCCTCGACTTTCTGCTCGGGGCCCGACCCTTTGGTCCTGCGCCAGCCTGTCGTAAAGACCTTGCTTCCTGATATATCGAACTTTGGCAGTGGATGAGCCTCTGTGTTGAAGACAACGCTATCGAGAGGGAAGAAATCGTCATCAGAAAATAACAAATAGAAGTACTTGAGTGTCTCGGCCAGCCAGAAACTTTCCATGTTATCGCGGCGTTTCCTCTCTCGAACGGGGTTCTCCATCACAGTGTCGAGGGATGTGTAGGCGTACACCTTGCCGGTGACTTCGTCGACAACCTTGGTGTGCTCGCGGAAGGCTTCGAACATTTCCCACCCCCATTGCCGGTATTTCCTGTCCTTGGTGATACGGTACATGTAGAAGAGGGATTCGATGGTTTCGGGTCGCTGGAGATTGTGCACGTCGTTCGAGTGAATGTCGTAGTCGGAGCGCCAGTCAGCATCAACATCGTCGGAGAGCTCGGCAGCGTGTGGTGGTGTCCACGCTGGGTCAACATGCCCTCGCCATTGTGGAGCGGGATTGTCTGTATGGAAATAGGCGATCTCAGGGGCGAGGCCAGTCGGAGTGACCTTGTACATTCCCCAGCACGTCTTCATCAATTCCTCGGCCAGTTTGAGGTTCTCGTCATGCTTCTTTGTCCATTTGCTCCCCAGTCTGGCTTTCGCTTGCTCAACCGTCTGTCCTTCGGTCACCGCCAGGGCTATTGTCCCAGGCATGAAACACGTCAGATGATCCATCTTGGCAGTCAGAGCGAGGTCTAGTCCGTTTTGCCTTTCGGCAAGAATGGTTAATGACGCGTGTTCAGAGTAAGTGATCAGGTGTTTCTTGATCCCTTCAAGTGCCTCTTCCCACATATCCAAGTACACCGTCTCGACGCTGCCCGTTTGTAGGTACTGTTTGATCAAATATTCGTAATAGCTATCGCCTCGAGATCCCAGCCGTATATTTTCGCCTCGAAATTCACCCGTGGCGGGGTATATGTAGATTGGCAAGAGGCCATCTTCGCGCTTTTGGGATTCGATGACCTCAATGACGTGCTCGGCCTTGGTCCAGTAGATTGGTTCCCCTGTGATTTTGGCCAGGTATTTCATCTCAAGTTGCAGAGTCGCCGCTTCAGCGGTGGAAGATGCGCCTCCATCGACATGCGAACCAACCCCGTGGGTAGTGTTCAAGTTCACCGAGGCATAGGGGATGCCCGAAGGTGAGTCGTATGCCCCGAGGAGACGGTCTGCAAGATCTGTCGCTTTCTCGATGTATAAATCTTCTCCAGGTTGGTTGACGTCGTCGTCCCGCTGCGGTGCGAGATGTGGGAAGGTTGTTGACAGATAGTACGCTGATAACAATCCACCCAGCATGCGGATAGTCGTCTCAAAGGTATTGACTTCGTGATCGGCGGTGTAAGACAGCGATGTAGATATCCATTCTCTTGCTTTGGCGACATGCGAGGTCAAATTCATCATCATGGCAGTATCCAAAGCGTCCACAATGATCCAACCCATGCCACCTTCGACCATGTTCTTTCCCTTTCTCGAGAGAGGGTGATATTCATCCATTCCCCAAGCATATTTCTCATAACCTTCCCAAGTCGTCTTGAATACCTCTTTCACGGCCTCCCTCTGCTCTGACCAATCTTCGGCATGGAAGAAGGAATGTTGGTGGGCGGCTGGATCGTAGAACTGGCGAGTGCTCCAGGGTAACCATCCCGCCCACCAGAGAAACAACAGAGTGGCGGAACCAATCAAGGCTAGCACTCTTTTCTGCCGCAAGAATCCTCGTCCTCTCCGCCGACTCGAGGGAAAATGTGGTTTATCTTTGTACATGGGCAGGCCCGTATTTTCGCCGAAGATGTCATTGATCTTGGAAGTGATCGCACCCGCAGGTCCTCCTTTTGCATGTCCATTACTACTGTGCTTCTGCCGCCAATATGTGTCTTCATATGTGCGTTGAGAGCTGGTGAACGAGGGGACATTCTGGGGGACCTGGAAGGACATTGGACGGTGAATTGGACCGGCGGAGGTGGTTCATGTAGGTCGGAGTTGAGGTAGGGAGATGAGGGGGTGGGATTGATGCTGCCGAGTGCAATGGAATGCTCAAAAATACATTACAATCGTCCATAAAGACCAGGAAACAGTCTATTATACAAGTCCCACAAGGTGTTAGGTGGCTCGTTTGGGAGGCGACGAATCGACCCGTAAAGTCAATAAAGTCAATCCCCTTAAGCCTTGCCTTGGCGGCTCAAACAGTGGACAATCTGCTTCGACCTCACTTGAGGATCACCCCCAACAGTGCCGATTTTGAGTCCATCACCTCGCGACTCACCCTCTCTCTCCCTCCCTCTCACCTTCCACTCACCTGCTTCCTCACCCTTCCAAATCGTGCTTGCCCAGGTGATCCTATTCGGTCCTGCAGCCATGTCTACCACCCCGGCCTCTGTGGATGGGGCCCATTTTGGGACCCCTGGGCTAGGGTTCTGCCTTGCCTTGCGCCGCGGCTGAGCACACCGTCCTTTCCCTCTCGCAAATCCGCTCTCCAGTTCATCTCCCATTGAGTACAAAAGGGAGTCCAAATTATGGCTGGCTAGCCGGTCCTCCGTCCTTGAAATCCTCCTTTTCAAATGATCCTCTCCTTCTGCGAGCTCTTCCGATTACGTTCCCGGCTTCTCACTATCTGTAAGACCGTAACGATTGCCTCCTCTTCCCCCTCCTTCTCCTCCTCCGTATCTCTTTCTACCGCCATGGGTGGACATGGGATCGCCGTAGACGTACATTATGTGCTCAAGCTGACGCAAATGGATATGTAAGAGGAGCACACACGGAAGTTGATCGGCTTTGTGGTGGGCACAAATATGTCTCCAAGACGATAAAGGACCACGATCGAAGTCTACAGCATGACGTTCGGTAAGAGCATAGAATTCGCATGCCTGGCCCTTCCCAGAGACGATCGATCCTGAAATTGTCACCGTGAAAGATTTTGTCCGGTTCTACATTGCAATCAGCCACCCGCAATTCGAGAAAGGCCAGTCCAAGCCGAAGACCGACAGCTGATACTATCTGCACCATTATGTAATTCTTCTTTGCCGACTTTCCCCGAGTTACTGCTACCGATATCAGGGCAGATGATCGGAGCAAGGTGTACTATGCAAGTCACAGTGTCTCTCATGCAATTCCCTTCCAGGTCTTGGGCCAAATGAGCTGACGTCTCGAGTGGACACCACGTACCGTCGTCCGCGAAGGGATCGTAGTCAACAGGCACTGACCGAAACACAATTTCACAGTTCGAGATCTGACCCGTATCTCCTCGCGCTGTGGACCTACGACGACCTGATCTTCATCCACGAGCGCCACCGAGTCTAAACTACATACCTGGTCCACCTCTACTGCTGGACTGGGGCCCAGATCAGCGCCTTCTTCTTAGCACTTTAACAAGCTCCACCTCCTCCCTCTTCCCCTCCCCAACCTCGATATCACCGTATATCACTTCGCTTCAAACACTCCGGCCGCGACGATGAGGGCAGACAACAGCCGTTGATCCGTAGTGGGTTTGCCTAGGCCGTATTAATGTGTTGATATCCTTGGTTACGAAAGGGACTTACTCCTAATGACCTCATCTTCTCGCTCCGCTCTGAATAGAGCTTCCGTCTTCGCGGCATATAAAGGAGCCGTACCAATGAATATTTCCTGCCGCATTGCATATTCATCCGAGAGCATCCATCTTCTGTGCTTCACGTACAGCCAAACGCGTCTGGGGTGGGTTCGATGGATCAGATCGAGGACGTTCATACGCGCCTTTCGTTGAAGACCAATATCGAGATTCATGGTTAGGGTATATACCAGTGCCTGGAGCTTGTAGAGTCTCCATGACTGGTCCAAGTCGTTGACAAACGTCCTTCTAGAGCCGCCTAGAGTCGGATTGTGGTTAGTGCTGGCCTAAAAGCTGCTTCTTCACCCCAGTCTACGTACCTAGAACGTGGTAGGTTTGCAAGAAGGGGCTTTTTTCGGATTCCGAGGAGAATTCCTCGCCGTCTCTAAGAATTCTCTTCATCATTTCTAGCCAGACATCGTCGAAAGACTGAATGAATGGTCCCCTGCTTTCCTGGTCTTTAGTAAACCAGACGGGGACGGTCTTGGACCCTAGCAACTTGAGCACACTCGACAGCTTCTCTAGACACACGAGACGGCTATTTCGGGCGCCGTGCTCCCCAGTGCCGACTGTCTTGAAGCCATATGCGGATGTGGACATGTAAGCCTCCAGTGTTCGTTTGAAAGGTGCGGCTGAGGCGAAAACAACGCTCTTGCATCGCAAAAGATTATCCAGGAAGATAGAATTGATCGTATCCACATGCTTGGTAGAAATTGGCCAAAACCGAAAGCAAAATTTATCAGAAGATTGCGATGTTCCCGAAGCCCCTGGTGCGAGTTCTAATCTGCCGTCAACAACTCTCGTATAAGAGTTCGTGGCTTTCGCCACTGGTAGGTCGGAAAGGATAGACTTGACCTTCTCTGGATCCGGAAACTGCGTCGCCACCGCGTCGAGCATTATTTCACGTGATTTCCGTATGCTGGGGTCCGCGTCCTCTAACGCTTCAGGTAATATATTGCTTCGGAGGACGATGATCAGCCGGGGGGTTACCGGCCCAAACTCGTGGTAGCACAGGTATGTGTTCCCGTAATACTCGCCCGTTTTGGCACAGAAGGTTTCGTTATTCGGGCCCTCGAAGACGTTGTAGCATTGATCTGTAAGCAGAAACTCGTCATGTTTTGCAGTGGGTGTGCAGAATGCCATATAGGAGTAATGGGCGTGAAAGACAAACATTTGGGCGTCTGCGGGAAACATGAGTGTCGGCAACTGGGTCATCCACTTTCCCTCAGAATCCATATCGAGGTCCAGGATAGTGCGGAGATTGTGGAGCCATACATCCCTAGGCCTCGTCATTCCGTTGTCGGTCATGTATGCCCTGAGAAGGCGCTTGTCCTCCGAGTCGTACATTTGTGGATCCTCAGACATATATTTTTCGTAGAAGCCCGGCCCTCGATACTTCATGATGAAGAGAAACTTTCGGAGCCTGTTTCTCTCTACCCGCGTGAGCCATATACCGGGCTCACTGTTCTCATGAGCCTTCTTAATCTTGTGAAGTATTTGCGCCGTGCAGCACTCGAGTTTGGAAAGTTCTTGTTCCACCTCTTTCTTACTCTTAATGGCATCTGCGAAATCCTTGTACATGGCCTCCTGGCCGAACCAACGGGATACCGGAGACTCGAGCAACCGCGGTTCATCGGACGTGAGGTCCACGACATTGAGCACTTTGTCGCCTGGGTGCTTCCCTTTCTCATAACGGTATTCGCCCCTCTTCTTGGACCTCTTTTCTTTCGGCGCTTCGTATGGATGGGAAAAATTGCGCAGGAGAAATTGGGGAATGAAGTGCTGATATTGCTCCATTGGCCCGATAATTTGAAGCTTTGAGTGACCCGATGCTGACTTTCATGAAATTAATACTCTTGCAAATCCCGTTCTTTGTCCAACTTACGAAATATCTTTTATGTTTGCAAAAGGGTCCCTCCAATCTCCGTTGATGGGAGACCAAACCTACATTGCGACGATGGTATCACAATCGAACAAGGCAACAGCAGAGTATGAGTCAGGTTAGTACACCCCCCTCGAGTCGTGGAAAGCTTGTAGCCAATGAATTTTCTGCCTGCGCAGGAGTCTTGGAACGTGAGACATCGTTCACGAAATACCGCGCGAGATCGCAGATGGGTGCAGAACAAAATTACCACTTGCGCTGCTGGGAGAAAGTCGCAATGCTGACCCCATAGGAGGGCGGTTTCGGTCCCGGCTGTACAGGTCAATTAAAACAAAGAGAAATCCCATCAAAATAGTGTCGACGAGCTCGTCAGCAACTTGCTTCGATGAAGGTCAAGCGAAGGATGAATCAGCTTCTCTCCCGATCAGTCAGCTACGAGGGCTTTAGGCTCATGCAGTTGTTATAATTCGTATACTCTATAGGTCAGTAGATATATTACAATGGGAGCCTCTCGCTTCTTTCGCCAGCTTCGATTCTCTTAGTCACCAGATCCTCTACTTGAGCCTCCGGAAGAGCCAGAGCCTCCAAGACATTATATTCGGACAACAATAGCATTTGGAAAGCGAGAGGGTGACCCACGGCTGTCCACCCACATTCAACTGCACAAGGAGTGGCTCCTTGAGGTGAGTCTGACTGAAACTGACCGTTCACGAAACGCCAAAGTTGATTTTGTGCTTCTTCATAACGAGGTGCAGACCAAAGGGCCCGTAGGCACGCTTATCGTCGTCGTTCCAGACCAGTTCCAACAGCCTCCCCGCTTCGATGACTTGAGCGACCACCACCTTGGTCTCATTGTACAGTCTGTTGAGAAAGAATTGGCGTTGACTTTCGGCGACGAGGCAAGACCCTATGACCATGACGGGCCAGAGAAGGAGGGTTCCGAAGGGCGAGTCGGCGACGGGGAGAAGTAAAGGCATCACGACGTCGATGTGGCGCTGAATGGCGGCAATGACCTTGGGATTGTCGACCACCGAGCCGCATACCGCGGCTCTGACAAAGATAAGCAGCGCCTGCCGGTAGATCTCCCCTATCCAAGTATGCTCTAGGGTCCACTCGGCCATCTCGGAAGCGACAGGCGGTGGCCGCCATTGTTCCAGAATTTTGACAAGCTCGTCGTACCTGGACTGCTGGTCAGGCTTGTCGCAAAGAGCGGCAGCTGCATCTTGGATGTCCTCTTCTTCCTCGCGAAGTCGATCCATGGCCAACCTCGTGACTGGAGGAATGAGCTCAAACAATGCGGGTGCACAGCCGACAAGGACCCCAAACGTTTGGTATTCTTGTAGGAATTGCAAAGAATCCAGGAATGAATCATAAGGCACCGTGCGGGCTGCATCACCGGATCCGCAGGGCACTATGCTGTTGGAAAAGACCAAAAACGAGTAAACCTCAACGACGAATCCTTTTATCAATCTCGTGTCTTCGTTCGGAAAAGTCTCGTGCTCCTGTTGGAGGAGTGTGAGAATCATTTCGCGACAGGCACGGAGGTGTGGAAAGATACCCCCACCACCAGATTCGCCTGATATTGCCTATGTCAGATGTAAATACTTTGATCTTGCTTCCAAGTGGCACACGAGCACACAGAGTGAGTATGGGAGGGGTATAATTTGTGACCTTACCTCGACATAGCAAAGAATCAGTGAGACCAGAGCGATGCGCAAAGCTCTATCAAGATCCTCACATGCTGATTGGTCAGCGACGAGGATGCCCAGTGTTCGAAGGGCCTCAGAGTAATGCCGTCGTGTGACGAGGTGTATATGGTAATCTTGTGCTTTTTTGAAGCTTAGTTGGGTTCCACTTAATGCCAACACGGCATGCATGAGAAGGCCATCAGAATAGGCCAGAGGCACGACAAGAGTGACATATGGGTTGAAGCGGGCAGGCTTCGCCACCAGAAACGTGGATGTTTCTTCCAAATAATGCTGCAGCAGCAAAAGTGAGTGAGGACTCATCGATGCGGCCCCGACCAAAGGCATAAGAGATGCAGACATTGTGTGGGATCTAGAGTGTATCTGAGATGACAGACTCTGGATAATCTCATCAGATCCTCGTTGCCACTCTGGTGCAGCAGTATCGTGAGTGAGCCTGGATGGTTGTTCTTGTTCTGGGCGAGGAGAGCTTAAAGAGACCACGCCAGCGAATGTCTGGTTCTCCATGTGACCACCCTGACGAGATTGCTCGATATCGACGCCCGTCCCAAGAGGAGCCGACATGCATGACGGCTGGCTGGGCCGTGGGTGCCGCCGCTCGAATCTGGAGGGCCAGGTACATTCCAGAAAGTTGCGAGAGCATCCCAAACAGACTGGCTCGACCTCGTTACACTTTTTCCGGCGCTTTCGGCAGGTAAGACACCCCGTCTTTGTGCGGATCCTGTTCTTAGTTTGCATTGCTCGCCCCGGGACGGTCGTTGTTTGCTTTGGGGTAGCAGCTCGAGAGGAATGGCAGGTCCACTAAGGGACTGATGTTCGTAGATCGGCTGATAAGTGTAGCTAGAGGGTGTCTCTCTAGGAACCTCCTGATCCCCTCAGAGACGTCTCATGCACTACAAAGGGCAATTGAAGCGCGGTGCAAGGCCCTCGGCGTCCATAAGAGATGTATTGTTTAGTGTTGGAGCGTGAGAACTGGCAGAATCAGCTCAACACGCGGGGCCTTTTCCCGGCGTTCTGCTGCCCAAACGTAGTGTATGTGACACCAGCGGATGAATGTATTTACAAAGATAACGGAAGATGGTAAATTTCTTACAGATCGCCCCATTACTACAAGCTCACCAACCATCTCCCTTAGCGAGATCTTAAGCTTTCTGGAAGCGCGGTGTACGCTGGTGCGGAACCTTCTTGTAGATCCTCAAACGACACCGCGCTTGAACCATGGCCTTGTCCCTTCCACCCTGCTGGTGGCGAGCCTGATATCCAGTAACACTCACAGTCGACGCCAGAAAATGCCATGTCTTGAAGGAGGCCGAGATGAGCGGAGACGGCATCGGCATAACCATGTTTCCGAAGGCAAGAGATGCCCATCGGGAGACCAGCTGGACAGTGAAACCATTTATCTGGAGTCGCATTCGAGAGACGTGGAACTTGTGGCGACTTACTTATTAGTCTAAATAGTCGACCATTTGCACTCAAGAACGTGATGAAGACTGTCGGTGATGGACAAGTGACCTCGAAATCAAAGATGGTATCTAGATACAGTAGACATAATTTCCCTCACCCAGAATCAATTACATATCGGCTGTTTAATCATGGAAACCCAAGCTCGTGTTCGAGTACAACTTCACGCAAAAGGTTGCACTTGCTTCTCGGTCCAGTTGTAGAACTCTTCCGCGATCCCAGTGCCTCCCTCGGACTTGTGCTTTATGGATAACTCGATATCCTTGCGCGTGTGTCCGACCTTTCCAAACGGCTCGACTGTGGCACCTATGTCAGCTAACTTCTGTGTGAAACAGAACAAGGAAACTCACTAAACCGACCCCCGTCTTTCATTTGGACATGCGGAGAAAATCCGGCAAACAATTCCGTGTAGGCTCCGTAAATGGGATCCTTGAGGACGAGGTTGATGAAGGGCATTTGCCATTTTGGCGCGGTTTGGTAGAGCGGTGTCTTCAAGTTGCCAGGATCCAGTGACACGCTCAGAATATTGTCTCGCCCATACCGCCTGGCGTACTCGGATGCGTGAAATATATTGCCGGCCTTGCTGACCCCATATTTATGCCAGGCGCTTTGATCCTTCTCATAGGACAAGTTGTCCATCACCACACCGCCTCGGGGCGAGAAATTCGCGGCTGCGGATGACGCGACCCAGACCACGCGTACACTCCCTACCGGCTCGACTTTCGCCGTCTCCTGCAGGACAGGCGTCAATAACTTGGTGAAGAGGAATGGTGCGAGGTCATTCGTGCCAAGCTGCTTTTCGTAACCCTGCTTGGTTTTGCTCCCTTGTGGAGGGACCATCACTCCAGCATTGTTGAAGAGAACGTTCAATTTGCTCTCCTTGCCCAGAAATTCTGCGGCTGATTGCTTTATCGTCGAAAGGTCGTCGAGGTCGAGATGCAGAAAGACTAGATCTCCGCGAGATGTTGGGTTTTGGGTTTTGATCTTGCGAATAGTCTGCTCTGCTTTTTCTGGCGAGCGAGCTGCCACGTATACCCTAGAGTTCTTGGAGTATAGAATGTTTGTCAGTAACTCGCCCACGCCACTCGTCGCACCCGTCACAATGAAGACCTTCCCAGCCTGATCTGCGAGATTCTTCTCCGTGAACGAAGCTGGTGCGTTAGAAAATATGCCCATTGTCAAAGCGGCTTGAAGTTGCGGTGGACAACTGGTAGGTATGTTGAACTAGATTTGAGGATATTGTCAGATGGTGCTTCTCAGCTTCTCGGTTTCTCAGCTTTTCAGCTTCCGAGCCTTCGTGAAGAAGCATCGGCATCTTTATACCATTCATGGGTTGCGGCGTCGGCGTCGAATCTGTCGCACTGACAAGATACCTTTGACGGCGAGGAGCTTCGCGACACGAGTTTCGAAGTCGAGAAATTTCGTACGTGAAGCCGGGATAATAAACGCACCGAGAAATTGCAGGGGGAAAACCTCGCGGAGAAAAGTTCCACCGCTAAGATATATGGGGACCTCGGCACGTCGACGTCTAGGTGTTATGGCTTGTGCTACTCTAGGTCCTCGCTGCTGCTCACCAATGCTCACCGATCGTCTTTACATTTCTGGTGGGTAATGTATTGAAAGTACCAAACAACGTCATCAACTCCTCGTTTATGCCCCTTCGGGCGTGTCCAGATTGCTGATCTTCTGCCAATGTAGGACCAATTGGGACAGCCTCAGATGATACGAGGTTTGAAGACCTCACAGATCGCTCGAGAAGTGATGGCTGAGTTTACAAGGACTCTGACCATTCTGATATCTTCGCCATTAAGCGGGAGGAGTTGCCCTTGTGCCTACGGCCCACCTCCAGCGCAAGATAACTACCATATTAATCAAGCTATATAAGTCTAACGCAAACACGCATCCCTGGAATCCCTGGCAATTTGTACTGCAGAAACACTTCCAGGACAAGTATCCAAAATCTCACCGCACACCAACATGCCCTATATCACAACCCAGGACGGCACCGAAATCTATTACAAAGACTGGGGAAACAAATCGGCCAAGCCCATCACTTTCAGTCATGGGTGGCCTCTGAGCTCGGATGACTGGGAGAACCAGATGTATTTCCTGGCGAACAAAGGATATCGTGTGATTGCACATGATCGCCGTGGTCATGGTCGCTCTTCTCAACCCTGGGAGGGACACAACATGGACACGTACGCGGACGATCTTCATGAGCTGTTCGAGAAGCTCGATTTGAAAGATGTCATGATGGTCGGTCACTCGACCGGAGGCGGCGAAGTGGCGAGGTTTCTCGGCAGACATGGAACCAGCCGCGTCTCCAAGGCGGTCCTTATCTCAGCTGTCACGCCGGGCATACTGAAGACCGATGCGAATCCTGACGGCGTACCCCTGGATGTGTTCGACTCTTTCCGAGCCTCGATGCTTAAAGACCGAGCGAAGTTCTTCATCGACGTTCCGTCGGGCCCCTTTTTCGGTTTCAATCGCCCAAATGCTCAAGTGAGCCAGGGCAAGATCTGGAGCTGGTGGCAGCAAGGAATGCTGTGCGGGTTCAATGCGGCGTATGAATGTATCAAGGCATTCTCCGAAACCGACACTAGCGAAGATCTACGCAACGCGGACATTCCGATCCTGGTAAGCATGCGTGAATTGGCTCTAATCCCCCTCCTACACGACCATGGATGGTCACCTACGATCCCAAACTTCATGAAGCTGACTCCCAGATACATCAGATACTACACGGAACGGACGACCAGGTGGTCCCCATTGATGCTGCCGGACGAAGAGCAGTCAAGCTTTGCAAGAAGGGAACCCTCAAAGAATTCCCCGGGGCGCCACATGCTCTGCCGACCATTTGCGTGGATGAGGTCAATCAGGAATTGTTGAAGTTCTTGCAGTCGTGAGCCCGTCCACCAGAGACCATTGAAGAGAAATTGGACTGCAGAAAGAAGGTATTATCCAGATAAAGGTTCACTGTAATGCACTCTCTCGTTCAATAGGTGAATCAAGTCTGAGCAACCTCAATGATCGTCTTGCCGATTCCCCCTTTGCCCTTGTAAACAAGCCCACAGGCTTCCTTTACTTTCTCGATATCCTGCAGCTTCACCCTGGCTCCAACCACAGGGACCAATTTCCCCTGTTCGACATGCTTGCTCAACGTCTCCAAATCCTCAGCATTCGGTTCGAGGAAAAGATACTCATACTCAACCCGCCACCGATTCGCCCGAGCTCTGCGAATTGCGTCTGCAAGGTTGAGGCCGATCCGAGCGAGCCAGGGCAGTTGCGGATTGTCTGGCCGCCGCATGACACTCGACTTCTGAAGAAGATCGCCGGACGGCAGCGTAGCGATCGAGGCGAGAAAGCTCGTCGAAGGCGTCATGAGAGAGAGGAAACGCATCGCATCGCCCGTGGTGTCGAGAATGAAGTCCACGGACCCCGGGGGAATGACTTTCATGGGATCGTTTTTCGTATAGTCAATAACTGTGAGAGAGACCGGGTTAGCACGGGCCTGGATAGCAAGAAAACACCGGATCGTTGAAAGGGCGTACTTTGATCGACCACGCCTTCGCCAAGCAGTTCAGGAACTCGGGCTACTTTGGCTGTTGACACGGTGGTGATGACTTTGCCGGCGTGGAAGACATTCTTGGCCAGTTGGCATGCATAGGCCCCTGTGCCACTTACTACATAAGAGCGAAGCCCGCATCAGCGTTGTCTTCCACGCGTTTCTCAGGCAGCAAAGAAGATGCTTTCAAACTTACAACCAGCTGGGACGAACACAGTCTTCCCTTCCAACGAGCCCCTGTATTTCCGGAGTGCTTGTAGCGCAGTAACAGCAGCCAGCGGCAACGACGCCGCGTCCCCGAAGGAAAGTGAGGCAGGTTTGCGAGCGACATAGTATTCAGCACACTTGGCATATTCGCTCCAGGCACCTGGCCCCAAGAAATCAGTCGCCTGGTCTCATTGGACTTGTCACGGAATCCTTCGTTACCTCGATCGACTTCTGGCAATCGTGCGTACACTTCATCTCCCACGCGGATTCTTTTCACTCCACTCCCGATTTCTGTCACAACGCCAGAACAGTCGTACCCAATCTTGTACGGGAACCTATATTTTCTTCGTAAGCTTTACTGAGTTCCAAAGCCAAGGGGTGGCCGGTCCTGCTCACTCATCCTTGACGGCGAATCTGAGAATTCCAGCTGCCTTCTTCACATCGACGGGGTTAATGCTGGCGGCGTGCACTCGAATGACCACATCCGTCGGCTCAGTGATAGTGGGCCGTGGAAGCTCTGAGAGTTGGTATCCAGAAGGGTCCGTATAGGATGGAGCGGTAACGCAGATCATCGAGGACGCCATTTCTCTTGGGATCGTCCGCAGTGACCATGATGGCTGGTGGGAAAAGTCGAGGCTTGACACAGAAATATATCAGTTTCGCAACTTGTTCTCCTTGACGATGTTCGGAGCAATTATTCTACCGCCTGAGGCCTGTCTGTGAGGGAAGTGGCGAATTTTGGAGTTTTGGTCGAAGGTTTTGTGGCACCGACGGATGGACTCGACCCGTTGTTTGTAATTAGACTTATGGCATACTTCCACATGTGGCAATCAGTCGTCAAGCATTTAATAAAATCTTCTTCGGGCATATCGAGTATTGTCGGACAAAAACTTGACATGTCCTGGGAGTTGTCGTGGGTCTGCAATTGTTCAGTGATCCTCATGGGCTTATGGGGTGTATAACTGGCGAGGAATACCCGGCAGCCTGCGGAACGAGAGATAAACAGCGACGAGCTCGGGGGTGAGCGCCTCGTGAGGCTCCAAGCAGTGTTCAAGGCAAGTATGGAAGCATAATGCCTGGAAGTACAAGTCCTAGAAGCACAACGCCTGGAAAGACAACGCCTAGAAGAAGAGCGCTAAGAAAGGGCACGCTAGGAAGTATAACGCCTAGAAGCAAGCAGCGCGCCAGGTAGTAGAGCGCCTAGCAACAGCACTCCAGGTCCTAGAGCGCTAGGAAACGGGACGCTGGTACTTCTTGAAACCTCTTCAAAACATTCAACTCCCAAAGACATTCATTCCTGAGGGAGAGCACAAAAATACACGGTTGGAGCTGTGTGCTTTTTGGCTGAGCAGGAATCGCTTCGATCCCCCCATATTAATAATGGAGGATCCCTTTCCATCTCGCGCACGATCATCGCCGACGCGCAACACCCCCGGAACGGAATTTCTGATGGGAATGTCTACCAAACCTCTACTATGCCTGTAGCCGAGCAGCTCGTAGGGCAACACTTGGGCCATACACAGGGAGTGAGTCTTATCTGTCGAAAACATTGCATTCTATCCCGTGGCTTCGAGCTGCAGCGAGATGCCAGCAACAATAGTCACCTTTCTGAGCGCCTCTCCACTTGCCATCTGCTGCAACGAAAGCATTCTACCGGATTATTTTACTCCTGCTTCATCGAGCCTAGGTACTCAGGTAAGTTCCATTATTGAGGGGGGAGGAACGGGCAAGCGCCGGCATTCATAAGGAGGGACAAAAGAACACATGGGATCGCCAGAAGAGATTGGCCACCACATTCGGTCCAATGTGCCGTGGGAGCCAGGGTACGAGGTACATGGGCGATCTACCGTCCAAATGCTTGAATCAACTCCGACCCCTACCCATTGTCAGCAGGCAGCATTGTGTGAGAACTATGATAACCAACCTCAGAATCTTTCCAGAAAAACATTGCAGCCTTGTTTTCCAGTCGCTTTGGTTGTAATGCCATGCAGCTTCTGTCCCTCTTCGCCAGCTACAAATTGAGATGCGGAGTTCGACAATGGCAAGCTGCGAACCCGGAGCGGACAATACATTTGGCCCGGTGGTAGCCTCCTGTGCTCGATCCTTTGACTTCACCCTCCTCTTCGAGCAAAGCATTCTCTCCATTGTTCCCAATGCTGTCTTCCTGCTCTTTGCGGCCTCACGCCTATGGGTTCTACTTCATGTACCAATCCGTACTACCAAGCATGGATGGGCATCGATTGCCAAAGTTACAGTCGCCTGTTTGTTGGTCATCATCCAGCTGGTACTCTTGTTGCTGTACACCGTGGCGACGTCCATTGAAAAGACCACCTCCCTTGCTGCAACTGTACTGGCAATGTGCGTCGCAATACTGGTTGCTCCTCTGTCATACCTCGAACATCATCGTTCTGTTCGACCTTCGACACTTCTCAACTCCTACCTTGCCCTCTCAATTATTCTTGACATCCCTCAAGTCCGCACACTATACCTGTTACAAGGTCATGGTGATCTTGCAGGGGTATTTTCCGCTGCGGTAGGCGTCAAAGCTGTCATGCTCCTCCTTGAGGCATGGAGCAAGAGGAGCTCTCTCAATATGCAGTACCAAGCGCTGCCAGTGGAAACCACTAGCAGTATCCTGAGCCGCGGCCTGTTCGTCTGGATGAATAGCTTGTTCATTCAAGGGTTTAGGAAAGTGATCTCTTTCGAAGATCTCGGCGCAATCGATAACAAGCTCGACTCTGCAACTATTCATCGACGAATACACAATGAGTGGTCAAAGCAAGATCGCCATCTGAGATGGCCTCTCCTCCGGTCCCTATGGCGAGCGCTTCGGTGGTCTATCTTGTCGACAATACCGGCCCGGCTCTGTTACAGCGGGTTCATCTTCGCTCAACCATTCCTCATTCGTCGAGCCACTGATTACTTAGCTCAATCACGGACAGCAAATGACATCGGCTACGGTCTCATAGCAGCTACAGGCTGTATCTACGTGGGAATAGCGGTACGGAGCCTGGTCCTGTTGTAAGATTGGACGCTAATCGGGTCTGTCTAGATATCGACCGCTTTCTACAAGCATCAGCTCTACCGGCATATTACCTTGGCCAGAGGCGCCCTGGTCGCACTCATATACTCTGAGACGCTCTCCACGGAGCAGACCCTTGGTGATCCCTCGGCTGTCCTGACGCTGATGAGCACCGACGTGGACCGGATCTGCCAAAGTCTCAATATGCTGCCGGATCTTTGGTCTCGACCCCTGGAGCTCGTTGTTGGGACTACTCTGCTAGCATTGCAAATAGGCTGGGTGTCTGCTGTACCGCTAATTGTTGTCCTTCTCAGCATCACCGCCGATTCCAGAGTCACCATGATGATCGGTGGAAAGGTCAGGATATGGAACGATGCGGTCCAACAGAGAATCTCCTTAACGGCTGACGTTTTGGGCTCCCTGAGAATTATCAAAACCCTGGGGCTCACCAGACCCATACACACGATGCTGCAAAGCGAAAGACTGCGCGAATTGCGCTTCCAAGTAAAGTTTCGTCACTCGACTGTTTGGCTGAATACCTTGGGTAAGTGCACCGTTTCCGAGGCCGATTGGAAACATGTCTGACGACTCCTGGGACAGGAAACGTACCGACCGCTCTTGCTGCAGCAGTAACCTTCATCGCATATGCAATCAAGGCTAGAGTTGAGGGTTCTGCCTCGCTAAATGCCTCTGACGCCTTCACCAGTCTTGCTCTCATCTCTTTGGTCACAACCCCTGCCGCCGAGATACTGACAGCTTATCCCGCTGCAGCCTCATGCATTGGCTGTCTTAGCAGGATCGAGGCACATTTAATGAAACCCCAAGCTCATGGCCCGGTTCGAGACGTCACCGAAATGGGGGATATATCGAAAAAGCCAACCTCAGGCGACTCAGGTATATCTCTTTCCAAGTTCAGAATGCTCGACGGCTCTGATGACATTCTTCGAAATCTGGGTTCGATTCTCCCTCCTGGCAGCGTCACCTTCATTCTTGGGCCGAGCGGCTCAGGTAAATCCACATTTTTGAGGGCTGTGGTGAGTGAGCTTCGTCACTCTGAGCCAATGCGGTCGAGGGGAGGACTTGTCTACTGCGAACAAACCCCATGGCTCTTTACAGGTACTGTACGGGAGAATATTTGCGGCGCCAATGTTGAAACTTTCGATGAGGACTGGTATCAGACCATCGTTGCTGCATGTGCTCTCCACAGAGAACTAGTTTCACTGCCACGCGGCGATCTGACACACATTGACGGGCAAGGTGCCATTCTAAATGGAGGTCAGAAACAGCGCATCGTGCTTGCTCGTGCCCTGTATCAGCGGCCTCGATTCATCGTGCTTGACAACCTCCTCAGTGCTTCCGGCCTGCAAACACAACGGATGGTTATGAAGAGATTACTGGGCCGGGATGGACTGCTACGAAAGCTCCATGCGACTGCGGTTATTGCTGCCCCAACCGCGCGCTATGCAGCGATTGCGGACAACTTGATCACGATTGATGGTGAAAGAACCGTCAGCCTGGTCCAGAAAACAGCGAGAATGCACGAGAGCATTTTCGAGACTGATGCAGATGAACCTGAACATATCACGGAATCGAAAACAACAGGCACTGTCGACGAAAGGGACAAAGCCCTTGAAGATGCTCCCCAATCCAACATGGCAGAACGACTTCGTCGCAATGACAGTGACTTCTCGGACTACGCATATTATTTCAAGAGCATGAGCTGGACATGGGTCGTTCTGTTCTTCCTATCAGCCACGGTACAGACGGTTTGCTATTACATGTCCCAAGTCATCCTGCAGTGGTGGACCGCAGATGGCGGGCTTGATATTGCGAAATGGACACCCCCCTATCTCATCCTAGCGTGCGGCAATGCCGTATTCTTCGGCGTCACCGTCTGCGCAATGTTCCTCAAGCTGGTGCCGGAATCCTCGGCGAACTTGCATCGAACACTCCTCGACACCGTGACAAACGCGACTTATCTGTTCCTGGCAAAGGCCGACGTCGGCGTGTTGCTCAACAGGTTCAGCCAGGACATGACTCTGATCGAGAACCAACTCCCCACGGGCGTGCTCTGCACGACGATCTATCTTTTCTGGACCGTGGGATCCCTGGCGCTGATATGCAATGGCTCGAGGTGGATGGCGCTGACTGTCCCGGCGGTCCTGCTCACGCTGTTCTTCATCCAGTGGATCTATCTCCGAACGTCCCGTCGACTTCGAGTCATCGAGCTTGAACTCCGGAGCCCGCTGTATTCCCACTTCCTCGAGACGATCAAGGGGCTCAACAGCATCAGGAGCCTTCACTGGGAGCGACAGTTTACCGAGTCGATGATTAAGAAGCTCGACGACTCGCAGATCCCTTACTACCTCCTCTACTGCGCACAACGGTGGCTCCAACTGGTTCTGGACCTGGTCATAGCCGCACTGGCTTTGATCGTGATGACCCTGTCCGTCAACCTGCGCACATCCACTAACCCGGGTTCCCTCGGTCTTTCTCTCAACAACATCCTGAGCTTCAACGAAATCTTGTCTACTCTGCTTCAGTACTGGACACTATTGGAGATCTCACTGGGGTCGATAGCGCGCATTCGAGAGTTTGAAACCGACACACCGGAAGAGAAGACACCCTCAATCCGCGCCCAAATCCCGCCTCCTTGGCCGACTCACGGCAGCATCGAGCTCCGCAACGTCACTGCGGGTTACAGTACGGCCAACGACGCCCTCGACAACATCACAATGTCCATCGAGCCAGGCGAAATGATAGGGATCTGCGGCCGTCCAGGGAGCGGCAAGACTTCCCTCCTCCTCAGCATCTCCCGACTGTTGGAATTATCACAAGGCTCGATCACCATCGACGGTATCAATCTCAGCACCATCCCTCACGGAGTGGTCCGAGAACGCATCATCACCGTCCCCAAAGAACCCTTTCTCGTCCAGCAGAGAACAATCCGATTCAACATCGATCCCAGCGGCGAGCACAGCGACGCACAAATCATCTCTGCATTCGCCAAAGTCCTTCTTTGGGGGACGCTCGAGAAGAAAGGCGGGCTGGACACGCTCGTCACTTCGGAGTTGCTGTCCCAGAGCGAGAAGCAGCTTTTCAGTCTGGCCCGGGCCATCCTCCGCAAGATGAAACACGACCCCGACAGCAGCGACGCTGCCAAAAGTGAAGAAAAGCAAAAACACCCCGAATCACACGGCCACGGCGTGCTGCTCCTCGACGAACCCCTCAACCGCCTCGACCCGACCAGGGCGAAAGCCATGTGGCGCGTGATTCGGGACGAGTTTTCGGGTTACACGGTCGTGGCCGTCGCTGGACCTCAGCCTCAACAGCGGCTCGACTCCGTTCTGGTGGACAGTGATCGCGTCGCTGTCATGGAGGGTGGACGGCTTGTCGAGTTTGACAGACCCGGAGTTCTTCTTGCTGAGAGGTCTTCGGCATTTATGAAGTTTTATGGGACAGGTGTTGCGAAGGAGGATGAGGAAATGTGGGATTGATTTGACTAGCTAGATCCAAAGCCTTCCTGCCTCTCCTTCCTGCACAATTTCGTTCTGAAACAGGTACCCACTGCCCCTGGTGCTCCGGTGCTTCCTTTCCATCACTCCAACACTTGTCATGAACCCTGAGACCTAACCCCGCTCCCATGGACATGTTTGTAACTTGCTGCCCATCCTGCCCTGCCAGGTGTTGCTGTCTCCCACCAAAGCTGCAATTCCAGTGCTGCCTCATCTTCCCACGGCGTTCCCATCGTCATGAAAAACCCCCATCCAGTCAGCTTTGTCTGGCTGTTTTCCTGATCGCCATCACCACTACCATCACCACTTGCTTGCCCCTTTCCCCAGTCCCGAGATTACCAGAGTCTTGGAGGTGCGCTTGATTGTCCAGCCTGATATGGTACCCTCCTCTTTTTACCCGTGCCTGCGCTACCCGTGTGTTGAAAGTCCGCTGCATGGCTGGCGGTGCAAAGTCGTTACGGGAAAGGCGGTCATATCGTACTCGTCCTGACCGTCTGGTTTCATAATCTTGTTGTGGTTTGTTGTCCTCGGAGTATCGTCTTGTGGAAATATTCTGACCCCTCTCTTTTGCCAACATCGTTCTGTATACCTGCTGCTGTGCATTCTCGGAAAGCGAGGGGTTGTTGCTTCATGGGAAAATCTGGAGTCTTGTCCTGGTTAGTAAGAATATTTTTCTGCATGTAAGAGCTGGACGTACGACATGCTTGATTCCGCTCCCAATGAATTAGACCGTCTCCTTGTGTTCTTCTTGCGTTGCGGCCTGGGCCTAAACCAAGGCAGAGCTTCGAGAGGAGCTTGTCTGTATCAATGGGTTTCTCCTACCTGATTGGATTAGGTATCTCAAGCCTGCTGTTGATGGTATCTGCTCACCAATTGGTAATGGTTAGAGCTTCTTGTTCCGACCATTGTCCGTTCAAATAACACGACATGGGCATATTTCCATCATGGCATGAATTGTGCCTATCGCAGATCAGTAAGTTTGAAAAGCAAGTGAGCCGTCAAGGGCATCGATATGAGCCGTCAAGGGCATCGATATGAGCCGTCAAGGGCATCAGTGTGAGCCAACAAGGGCATCGATATAAGCCAACTGGTGACAACGGCATCGTCATGAGCCGCCCAGGGCATCGACATAAGCCAACTGGTAATACGGGCATCAATATGCGCCGCCCAAGGCATCGACATGAACCAACTGGAAACACGGGCATCAATATGCGCCGCCCAGGGCATCGACATGAGCCAACTGGAAACACGGGTATAAGCCGTCCAGGGCTTCGACATAAGCCAACAAGGGCATCAATATGCCTTTGGCCAGCACGGCATAGGTAAGAGAGGGCCTCTCTTACCCACCAGAAATTTGAGGGATTTGTTAGTTTTGCATTCGGTCACTTTGACCCTTGGCTTGTTGTTGCACGGTTCGCCTCAAACTTGCTGGTGACCTCCTGGAGAGACGGGCTTCATTTGGCCTCGTCTCCTAAGTCTTGAAGGATCTGTCCTATCGGACCTCTGATCCTGATTCCTTGTAATCGGCAGTCAATGCCCATTGGAATGAGACTCTTGGTCTGATCTGGGACTCTTGGTCTGATCTGGGACTCTTGGTCTGATCTGGGACTCTTGGTCTGATCTGGGACTCTTGGTCTGATCTGAGCGAGAGATTTGTGGATGGCTGTACCCAATGCCGCAAGCGCCACGATAGAGCACACCAATTCCTTGGTGCCATTTGGGCGAAGACCTTTCGATCGTTCAAAGATTGTCTCCATCCAGTTGCACGGCTTGACATGTGGCGGGTGAGATTTGAAACCCATGTTTCTGCGCTCAGCGGGTTTGGTCCTCCGGCCTGACAGACGTTGACCCTCTGACTTGAGAGTTGTTTGTTCTCAAATGCGGAGCGGCTGTCGGGCTTCTGTTTTCGCGCGGCAAATGCTTCCGCGGCACTGTTGCACAAAAGTGTGCTCTTTGGCCGCGCGCCACCTCGAGCCGGGTGAGCGCGCCATCAACAGGTCAAGACACTTGATATTTTTGCGTCTGGACATTTGCACCGAGTCTTTCCTTGAGGGGACAGCTGGCCTCGGACTCTGTAGTCTTCTCGGAAGAGACCCTTCCGGACCGTCGTCCTTGTATCATCTCCTCCTGGTTTCGCTAGGCATAGCCTTCGTGCAAAGCCATGTCGGCTTCAGTGCGGGCACCGTGTTTTCTTCAGCGGGGTATGGTTTGAGTACCTCACCAGCAATTTGAGGGATTTGTTAGTTTTGCATTCAGTCACTTTGACCCTTGGCTTTTGAGAGACGGTTCGCCTCAATTGATGGTGAGGTGCTCAAGACCAGTTTTCTCGGTTTGACGGGCGGGTTGTCTGCGATACCGCGGCCTCCGATATTTTGCAAATCTTCCAAAGGGCAGCCGCGTTCGGCGTTGCTCAACCCATGAATTGACTCCACGAGGTGGCAGACTGGCCAGGGGTGGAAGTCAAATGCTCGTTGTGATTGTTTGGTAGGCCAATGATCCTTGAATCCTCCTTGCAATCAGCCCGGGGCGGGGCCGATTGGGAGATGTTCCTCTGCGGAGGCGGCAGCAGGAATTCCTGAATTTGCAAATTCTTCTTGTGATCAGTTTTTCAGGCCTGAGGCCTCTGACTGTGTGAGGAGTTCGACTTATGTGAAGTCAGAATGCGACCACTAGTGAAGCGATACCTCTTGCAGTGGTCCCATCGGGCATGGCTGAGTTCAGCGTCTTCTTGCAGTCAGATTGTGGCGTTCGCGACTGTGCTCAGACCTCCGATAGGCGAGATCTCTGGTGGCCGCCATCTCCGTTGTCACGCAGCAGAGCATCTTTGGGAGTCTCTACCTTGTGTCGATGGCAGGACGTGAGGGATGAAATGCGAGACAGGGAAGAGATGTGGTAAGAGGAAGGAAGAGGTGAAATGAAAGTGAGAGTGAAAGTACTACTAAATTGAAGTGAAGCTTAGCAAAAGCTTAGCCCATTCGCTATCGATGATGTAACCGGCGTCCCCCACTGGGTGCCACCATGGCAGTGACGGGGGCCACCACCACCTTTTTCCTACTGGGTGCCTGCGGAGCTGATTGACCGGATTACGTGGCATAGAGATGATCGAACGAGATCTGTGACGAGACCACAACCTGCATCTTATTCCCAGTTTGAGTGTCACAACAACCTGAAAGCGGCAAGGTCAAGGTACACGGACGAGTAGCAGAGCTCAGGTCTCCATTCCGACCTGAGCTCGAGAAACGTGGGGAATTTGCAGGCAAGGGCAAGGACGCTCTACTCAAAACCACGTTTTTCCCTTACGTCCCTCTTTTTCCCTTGATCGGGTTCCTGGTTTTCCTTTTTCTTTTCCTTCCTGCCTTTTAACCATACCTTCGGCCGCCAAATAATAAATATCTGGGAAGTTCGCTACTTAAAGCCCACCCCCTCCGCTCTGCCTAAGATATCAGCCGGATTTGTGTGTGTGTGTGTGTCGGGGCCTGAGCACCACATTTACACGGGAATCACTTCCAGATTCAATCGTCCCTTTTCCACTTTTTGTACATGAAGGCAATCTCGGCGTCAAGCTGATTCGTTTTACATAATTACAAACAGAACTTTTTCGCCACAAAAGAAAATCCAAGAGAGCAAGAGAAGGTGATAGTGAGAGAGAGAGAGAGATAATCAAGGCAAAAACTCAAAATACACGTCCAACTTCAAGATGTGTCGGTGGTTCGCCTACATCTCCCCGGACGAAGAATGCCTTTTGGAAGACGTGCTCATCACCCCGGAACACGGCATCGCCAAACAAGTCCACGATCACTACCTACCGATGCTCTTCTCGCACGTGCCCGGGGAGCAAACCTCAAAACTCGAGATCACGCTACGCAACCGGCTCAACAACGTCGACGGCTTTGGGCTGGTATGGTACACGCCCGTGCGCTCTTCATTCGTCTCGGGGATTGATGGAGCCAGACCGGCCGTGTACAAGAACGCGCAACCACCCAACAACGACGCAAACTTCCACAGCATCTGCGCCGGCACGTCCACGACAGCGGTGTTTGCGCACATCCGCGCCGCGACGGGCACCTCGGTGGCGGCGATCAACAACCACCCCTTTGTGTTTGGACGGCACACGATCATGCACAACGGCCTGATCTCGCACTTCGCAGACATCCGCCGACCGATGCTTGACCTGATGGAGAAGTCTGCGTACGAGAACATCCACGGCACGACCGACTCGGAGCACCTCGCGGCACTGTACATCACCAACCTCACCAAATCCGTCGGTGGGGGACCCTCAAGCTGGGAACAACAATACACACCCAAAGAGATGCTCGACGCACTAGTCCAGGCATTCCACACCATCGTCCACTTACAACAAGAGACCCTGGGCGCCGAGAACGTCCAAGCCTGTTCGCTGAACGTATGCTGCACCGACGGCCAACAATTAATCGCCGTGCGCCTGCGCAACCACGCCATCGAGAACCCTCCGAGTCTCTACTACAGCACCACCGCCGGCCAGACCTTGAACAGGAAATACCCGGACAACCCGTCGGGAACGAAGAACCCAAACGCCACCCTCAACCCAGAGGACCACGGCAAGCACGTCATCGTGGCCAGCGAGCCCACGACTTACAAGATCGGCGAGTGGAAGGTGATTGAGAAGAACCATGGCGTTTTGGTGGATAAGGACGGGAACTGCACGGAGGAGAAGATCGAGATGCCCGAGGAGTTCATGGCCCAGGCGGCTACGGGACGACATTTCTGATCGGTGACCAAAGAAACGTCCTCTGGTGTCTGCAAAAGTCTAGCACTCTGGTGAGAAATGAATGCTTGTATCTTTTCACTGCGGCTTTCACTTATATACACTTGAAAACAAGCCTTTTCCGTGGACCAGCTCATCTTCGGAAACAGATGATCCCTAACAAGCATACGATGATAAAACCACTCTTTTCCTCCATGGACATGGTCAAACAAAGTCTCCATGCACAAATGATATCTCAACCTCTATTCCTCAGCCTTTCAATCTTCCTGACGAGAATGTCCCTCTTCTCCCGTATCTTTCCGGCCAACTCCTGATTATAAACAGTCTCCCTCCATGCTCCACCAGATTGCTGTCCGTCTTCCACGAGCTGAAGCGCTGTAGCGAGAACCTCCTTCTCAGACTTCAACGTATCTCCCAAGATGCGGCGCTCGTGACCCATACGCTGATCCCATGTGTCTGTTAGTGTTTGGATGACTTTGTTTCCCCCACAATCATACTGGTCAACTTTTGCTTTGACGCCGTCCTCTTCTGCGCCGAACCGGAACAGGACATCCTGGGCAAGTGTCAGTAAGAACCACGAGATATGGGTGGTCAACTCACATTAGTTATGTTGACGATCGCGTCTAATAGCCCGCGTTGAGAATCACGGGCAGAGATCATGCCCAGCATCGAGTCGCCTCGCCTGACGCCTTCATCCGTTTTGTGCAAAGGGGATGTCATCACAGGGCTATCATCTCCAGATTCAGATCTTTGTTCCCGTCCTAGCCCGAACCCTCGATCTAAACGATTTCCAAAGGCCGTTTCGTCGCCCTTCACAAGAGTCAGGCTGTCATCACCGACATTTTGACCCGTATCTCCATCGTGCATCATCTTCAAGCCTTCGTTGTCCGGTATCACGTTGTCAGCAAGGAGAAAGTGCAAGTTAAGGCGTGTAGAGAAAGAGGCAGGCGTTGCTGGAGGGAGGTCGGGTTCGAGCACTGGTTCATTGCCTGCCAGTGGTAGACTAAGGCTCTTTTTCACCCTGACAGGGCCGGCGGTGACTGGCTCGGGTGGCTCATCCATTGGCTTTTGAAGCAGAGCTGTCTGCCTATCCACCTGTGCTGCTGGCCAGGATTTGCGAAGAGGACGAGCCTCGTCGACTGACCTGAACGGGACAGTCGGTGGCGGAGGTGGGCCCATGGGCTCCATCATACGTTGCATGAGCGGCGTAGGAGGCTCGCATTTTCTCTGTGGAATGGTCAGCAGATTTGCCTGCCTTGACTTGATAGTGTTACGGTAAATATTGTCTCTCTCCGCAAGTACGGCTGGCAAAACAGGAACTGGAAGGACTTCAGCTGACCCATGGGTCCGCTCAGATTTTTTAGACCTCATGATCCTTTCAGGGACTGGGAAGGGGACGGTAGATGAAGTACGGCTTCTGCTGACTTCTTCCATTGCGGTTGTCTGATGACCGGCCTGGAGTTCGCTGGTGGTAGCCGTTGGGGATCGGGGATATTGCTGGTCCTGGATGGAGCTGAATCCGACGCATTGACGTGTCGGCTCTTGAGGATTTTGAGGCCCTTTGGCTCCAGAAGCGTAGTAAGGAAACACTTCGTCGGCAGGAAGAGCTCCTTGTAGCCTCATTTGCTGTGTATCGGTCCTGTGCGAGCTCCGAGGGTCAGGTACACGCAAAGAGTCCTGGTCTGCTGCTTCCTCGGCTCCCGAGATGACACTCTCAGACGCTTTTTGGTCATTAGAGATAATTGTCCTCAGTTCATCATAATGCTCAATCACTTGCTCGTCCGTGTTGCCAGCAAGTGCCCTAGTGTCTGCATCTTCACCGCCAATGAGCTCTTCCGATATATCTCCACCATCGTGTGTGAAGGATGGCAGGGCCTCCTTGATTTCCCGCGACCTCGATATATGCTCAGGGCTGTAGTCTGGAACAAGCTCGTCGATGTCTTGCACAACTTCACCCTCACCTAACCCTAAATGTTCAGCCTCCGGGCTGGTCTCATTTGTTGTTTCGGGCTTGACCAGCGTTATTGGGGACTTTGGAAGAACCTGATTGTCAGGGCCATGAGGTCCAAAGTGCACGATTTTGGTCTTGCGGAGTAGCTTCTCGCTTACAGGAGGTATCGAACTTTCACTCAGTCGTTTCGTATTGCGCCGAGGAGTAGATTTCTGCTGACCATCGTTCATTGAATCCTGGTTGTCTTCGGAGACAGCCTCTGCGCCCGGAGGATTCGTGACATGCATCTCCTTCCTCACTGGAGTCTGTTCATGACCGGTTGACCGAGTCACAGAGCTGGGCGTTGGTGCTGCTTGCTCATCTACAGGGTCTCGCGTGGGGGATCTTTCTGCTGGCCGGTCCTCCCTGTCAGTGCTGTCTCTGTCGACGATATCTCGCATATTCGATTCGAAACTGAACTGTGAGGCTTTAAGAGCATTTTCCAGCGCTCCTTTGCTGAGTGGAAGCGAGTCTTCAGCACACTCCTCAGCAATGTCGTGGCTTCCGTGCTCTTCTGGCTCCTCTTCTTCTTCGAAGGCTTCCCCTGAACTATCCTTGTTACTTTCATCAGATGCTTCGATATATTTTGGTGTTTTCGCAACTCGCCTGACCCTCGTTGAGGCGGCCGTCTTCTGAGTCTTTTTTCCTGAAGGCTTGGTCAACTTGTTTTTAACTGCCTTTTGCTTATGCTGTTTTGGTGAAACTGCAACCTGAACATTCTGCCCGTTCATTTTTGCAGATTCTTTGAGGGAGGCCTTCGTCGGAGCCTTGGAGTTCTTCGTCTTTACTTTCTTCGTTGGACGGGATGCCTCCTCAGTGGAAGGCGGGAGGTCGAATTCAGCTGCCTCTGGAGCGGATTTGGATGGCTTCTGCGGCTGCTCATTCTGGAGCGCCATAGAGTCTTTGATCGTCCTGCGCTTGAGTCCCGTTTTGGCTGGAATTTTACTAGCTTGAGAATGGCCTTGTTGATCATGCCTGGGCCTCTTGCGTGGAGGTTCAAATTTGTGGCCTTCCTTTGACGAAGTCGAAGTCGGCTTGCTCGCCAGGTCAGCGTTATGCTCGAGATTCGATTTAGTGGACGGGGAGGATTGATATGGGTCCTGAGTTTTAGTACGAGAAGCCAAATCAATAGCATTCGAGGGCTGATGGGATGGTTCTTCTGGGAGAGCATCTTCCGCGTCGTCTGCTTCGAAATCGGTGTAGCCCAGCTGCGACTGCGCCGAGCTTACTTTGTCCTTTGGTTGCACATCTTTTGGGTTCCTCTGCGAAGCACGTAGTCGTTCAATCAAGGACTTGCCCACTGGAAGACGGTTCAAGGCCGGTGTATCCTTGGCTGACTTGTCATTAGAACTCGGGGAAGGTTCAAACTCCAAAGCATGATTTTGTGGCACAGGTGCAGCCGTTGACACCTGCTTCTGTCGTGTCCGCAATGAAATACCACGAAGAGGAGAAGATGCATCAGTCCCGGGTATCGCCGTAGCATCCAATCTTGCACCCTTTTCATGGTTGCCATCTCCAGAGATTGACTGCAACTCAATAAAAGCAATTGAGTGCTTTTCAGGAGTTTTCGGGAAACTCTGCAAGTCATCGGGCACATTGTGATGCTGCTGCTCCTTGACTATTCGAATGAAGTCTTCCACCGCATTCTCATCACATAGAGTTATGGCGAGGGTATTTATTGCACCTTTGGTCCCGTTGATGAACTTGTCTCCCTCAACCCCAGAATATCGGATTTCAAGGACCGTCGATGGTTCGGGCTCCGATGCTGGGCGATTGAGGGAGATACTTTTCGAAACAGGGACAGAGAATAATGTGAGCATATCCACTCCGTTGGGTATTAGAAACGAGATCTCGCGCGACACGGTTGCGATGAATGAGGAGGGACTCTCGAAGTACTCGTTTCCGTCACATTCAAGGCGTTGTACTCGGAAGATACGCTCAGCCCTGCAGGAGGTTAGCTAAACATTGCAGTCATCGCAAATTGTCCTCATACTGTCCAATAAACGCTCTTGCAACATCATTTCCGCTGAGGTGGTCGATGATTTTGCTCAACCAGACCGAATCGCCGTTCTGAGAAAGGGGGAAGTCATCCACAATGCCGGGCCGACTGCATGATTTCTTAAGAGGCTCCCTTTCTGCCCCTTTGAAGAGTAGCTCTCGGACCACATCGGCTATCAGTATGCGAAGGAAATAGCTCTCCCCTGTCGCAAGGATGGCTGTCAAGAACTGGCTGGCCCCGGGTTAGTGATGGTATGCGTATCGGACGCTGGAATACCTTTCATCGATGTCCATGATCTGATTTGTTACGACCGAACTGGAGCGAAGCAAGACGGAGAGAAATTGCGCTAGCTGTGCAATGTCAGCTTTGGACATATTCCTGGTGCCAGTTCATGTTGTGGGAAGTTGTTACCCTCCAGCGGTGCTCTGGTCTTTTCTCACTGCTCACCAAATGGCGCAGGATGCAAGAGCCTAGCTTCCTTCCAATGTAGTCACCCTGTTCTTTGAGTTCTGTGGGAGAAACAGCGGTCCCACGAACCAAAGACAAGACTGGAGCGAGAGTATGCTCATCATTGTATTTCCGAATTGTTTCCTGATCGAATGAGCCCGTTTCCAGCGAACATGGAGAACCACCAACCATGAAGAGATATAGGAGCTTGTTCTGTGTTTCCGAGTAGGGGAAATGAAGAACGACTGAGGCGATAATGTAGAAAGACCGTGAATCAAGACGAAAGATATTTTTGGGCCGCCCATTTTCTAAAACCCTGTGCAGATTGCGAAGCAGGGAGCTTTCGGTCGGACTGAAAGGTTGCCTGAAAGGCTTGACGATCTCGTCTGGTAGGCTGGAGAAGAGATCTGGTCAGCTTCTGTCGTGTAATGCTCAATGGCGCTGACTTGCCTGACGATTCCCCCTTTCTGGAAGCTCTGCTGGAGACATTTCACTAGAGCCGAAAAAGAGGCTTGGAATTGAGACTGCCTGTCCATTGTGGGAGATGGCGTAGGATCATGACCGATGAAACGAGGGAAGAGTCGTTGTTCATGCGGACTGGGACAGAGTGAAGCAAGAAGAGCAGATGGCAGAGCTAAATCGGTCGTTGCAAATATCCACCGGTATGAGAGACCAACTTCTTCATTCAACTCACCAAAAACTCAACACAGGCCATACTCCAAATCAAGCAGGAAGCAATCCCGAGCCACTTCCAATTGTATAACGATAACATTTCTCCTGAAATTTTCATACACTCATCCTCATACAATTCGTTCCACAGCAGTCACTGTCCCATATTTATGTTGAACTCGTTCAACCAACGGATCTTTCTCGTCCATCACAGAACTGATCCTCCTATATCCAATATCATCATCATCGTCTTCATCCTTCTCCTTGATCGTCCTCTCGCCGTCTCCAAACATATCCTTGAAGAAGCGGTCATAACTGGCCCAGCATGCGGCAAACATGGCATTTAAGAACTTGGCAAACCACTCTGGATAGGTCCCATCTGGTCTCAGAAATATTGCAGCGGCTCCACCGACAAAGAACAAGAAGAAGGGAGACCACACGCTTAGAAAGATGAATGAGCCCAACCTCTGCTTTGTGGTTGTCATGTGGAATGTTCGAATCTGATGGAGGAAGGCTTGATATTCGAGTGGCAATCCATGCTCTTCGGCGCCGTCTGTGATCAGTTTGAGGTATCGCGGACTCGGCTGTGCGTAGGAAGGGTCAGGTCGTCGGCTTAGCTTCTCGGGTGCAAAGAGAGTATGTGCTTTGAAAGGCTGCCCCGATGGCATCAAAGGAACATCCTCCATTGGATCTCCACTGAGGGCGTAGCAATCAACGAGTACATCTTGATATCCTGCACCCCCTCCTTCTGTAGCGATGATGTGCACAAAGTCGGACTTGGTCACTTCGTAGACCACACCAACCAGACCTTTTGACCAACGATCTTTGTGGTAGTCCTTCGAAGCCGCAGAGTCGCCATCTCGCTGTGGCGTCACCTCTCTAAGGCGTACATTTCCAAAGCATGGTTCAGAATATGGTATTCCCGGTAGATCAAAGGTCAAGGATAGGCTCGGTACGACAACATTGACCTGCGATACCGGACGTATACCTCTTTTTCCTCTGAACGTCTCAGCGCTCAGGTTTGATCCATACCCTAGATACAAGACCGTCTCTTCGTCGCCATGACCAGTAGCGGTTGTCTTATTGATGGAGGGTAGCTGAGCGGAGGTCCGATCGGCGAGGGACTGTTGTTGTCGTGCCTGCGACGTGGTCGGGATACATTCCGCCGAACGCGTCCGCTGACTGGTGGTGGAGAATCTGAGGGAATCAATCCAAAGCTGCAGGCTACCGAGAGCTTGACCCGAGCACGAGCTCTCCATCGTCTATGTATATGCTCCCGGACCTGCTGGAGAGAGAATCGCAATACCTGAGAACAATTGCGCGATTGTTGCGGATCTGCATTTTTATTAATCAACGCATTGAACTATGGAACCATGTCTCGGCCGAGTGCGATTAGTGCATTCCACCCGTTGATAAGGTAGGAGAATGCCGCCAATGGATGATGCGTTGATCCTGGCTCTGCAATATTGGCTTCGGCTGTATGCTCCGTGTTATATGTAGGTATGAACATGAACAGCCCGGGTATTGTGAAAACATCAAAGATATCATGCACTGCATTTATATATACAGCATTTTGCTATCTGATCAGACCAAATTGCGTGGTTGAGGTCCTCAGTAACACCAAACAGCCACGATAGTCCGCTCCTGACCTAAATCCTGTCTTCTCGCGTAAACCTAAGCAAAGGACATGCTCTTCTTGATCTCTGCAATTGCCTTGGCAGGATTGAGTCCCTTCGGGCAAGTCCTCGAGCAGTTCAAAATGGTGTGGCAACGGTACAAGCTCATGCTGTTGTCCAGTGCTTCCTTCCGCTCAGCCTTGCGTTCGTCACGAGAATCAGCTAGCCAGCGGTAAGATTGAAGGAGGATGGCAGGTCCCAGGTATTGGTCACTATTCCACCAGTAAGATGGGCATGAAGTCGAGCAACAAGCGCAGAGGATGCATTCGTATAATCCATCCAACTTCTTCCGGTCGGCTTGTGACTGTCGGTTTTCCTTGCCCTGGAAGCCATCAGTAAATGAAATTGTTTTTGGAAACAGCCAGAGAACCCACATCCGGTGACTTCGTGTCTCGTTGCAAGAAAGGCTTGATGGATTTGTATTGCTTGTAAAATTGCGTTAGGTCAGGGACCAGGTCTTTGACCACGTAGGTGTGTGGCAAGGGGTAGATTCGAGATTCCTTAGCTGTATCCGTGGGGATTCGGCCTGCAAAGCATTGTCAATTCGAGGTTATACCAAGCACAGGCTGCAAGTCTTACACAGGCAAGCAAGGGTGTTTACTCCATCAATGTTCATGGCGCAGCTGCCGCAAATACCCTCTCGACAGCTTCGGCGGAAGGTGAGCGTCGGGTCTACCTCGTTCTTGATTCGAATCAGCGCATCCAGCATCATTGGGCCAGTCTTGTTCAAGTCCAGAGTGTATGTCTGCATCCTCGGCTTTGACGTCGGCTCGTCTGGGTTCCATCGGTAGATGTGGAATGTCTTGATCTTTGCATCTTTATCGGGTCTTGGTTCTTGCACCGTGCTGGTCTTGGAAGGAGAAACTGGGGGTCGGCTGGCGGACAGATCATAGGCACTGTCCTTGGTGACGGTGGCGTATGATCTCGCGGCGTAGGAAGACCGGATGGTAGCTCGGGCGGGCGCCACGAGGCGCGATGCTGTGCGTAGAGCTGCCATGGCCAATGTCGAAGCTTGCCAGGTACAGCACTGATGGCACAGGACCAAGAATATTGTGGATGGTTGGAGGGGAGTGTAGGTGTCGATGAAGATTGAGATCGGATTGAAGGGAGCAAGTGGCGTGCAATGCCTCCAACGGGACAGCCAATCACATTGCGGCTAAATAATACTGCACTTTTTCCGCATCCGATCCTATTCCGAGGCACTTCCAGGCGTACTACGAGCTACTGTACCCACGAATCAGTGTAGAGCCAGAATCGATGGCTTAGAGATGGCTGTCGGTGCGAGAGTCTCACGTCCTGAAATATTGCACACGTTTTACTTGCCTCTTGAGTCAACATTGTCAATCTAATAACAGTCCAGAGCAAAAAAGCACGTAAATACGAACACGAGCTTAAATATGTCGAGTCAGCCGCTTGCAGAGCCGATGGATGGCCCAACCTTTGCGAAGTGAACCTCATAGAGTTCATGAGTCACAAAGCCAGGAAGAACACAGAAAACATTAATATGATCACAGAACATCGGGAGCTCCAGCAGGTTGGCATTCGCGGATTGCGTCCAAAATCCGTGTGTAAGTCCGGTAGCCTCATTTCCTCTCCCCTATTAATCTTGAACGCATACTTGAGACTACGAGCCGGCCGACTCGTCCAAGAACTGCGTGGATTGATGTCTTCGGTTGGATCTAAGCAACGTCTTTAATATCTTCTCATCAGTTGAATTGTAAACGCCTGTTCACTGCGCTTTTTGCACAAGAATGTCTAGCAATGCAAAGCCGCCAGTCTGGTTTATCACCGGATCATCAGCTGGCTTGGGCCTCGCTTTGACTCGACACGCCATTGCGAATGGGCATATTGTCATCGCGTCATCGCGCAACCCTTCAAAAACGCCAGAGCTGGTGTCCGAAGTTGAGGGTAGCGGCGGGAAATGGATCACGCTCGATACGACACAGTCGGAAGGAGAAATCAAAAAGACAATTCAGGCTGCAGAATCCTTCTTCGGCGGCATTGACATACTCGTCAATAATGCGGGCATAAGTGTTCTGGGTGCTTTGGAGGATATACCTGACGCCGACACGGTACACCAGATGCGAGTCAATTTTCTAGGGCCGTTGAGGATCATGCAGGCTGCTCTTCCCGAGATGAGAAAACGAAGATCTGGAGTTATCATGAATGTCTCCAGCACACAGGGCGTCGCTCCGGGCCTCGCGTGCGGCGTCTATGCAGCAAGCAAGGCTGCTCTGGAAGCCGCATCCGAGTCTTGCAGCCAGGAAGTTGCACAATTTGGGATCAGGGTTCTCATTATTGTTCCAGGTGCATACAGAACGGAGTTTGGCAGTTCGAGTACTGGCAAACACATCGAGCCATCACCGGAATATGGCGGTCATCATCCAGTAAATCAAAGGCTTCAACTCATTTCAACATTGCCCGAGGTCGCAATTGGTGACCCTGGCAAGGCCGCTCAAGTCATGTTTCAAGCGGCAACAGGAGAAGGCGAAGCAGGAGAGCTTGTTAAGAGAGAAAATCTGTTGCGAGTGATCATCGGCCCAGATTCCTGGAAAGGGGTCGACAGAAAGGTCACTGAACTGAGAAGGACCACAGACCTTCTCAAACAGGTTGCAGCAAGTACCAACTTTTAGGAACTTTGGTGGGTGAGTGTGGCGGCCAAACCACCAAAAGTTTGTTCCCGAGGGAGCCTGGTAGCATATTCTGTTTGTCCCAGGTCCCAGAGGGTTATCTTCGGCGTACCCAGCTAGATTTCCATATCTGAACCGGCTATCGGCTTGTTCTGGTCATGTCGCCTGTAGCTCTTCGGGGCCGAACAGTCGCTGTCCGGTCACGACGACGAGAGAGTCGAAAGCAGTGCCGCAGGTGCTGCATGAAGGGATTGCAGGAATAACAGTGCGCCTGTTCCAGTCTCTTTCTCAGGTGCTTTGTCTCAGGCTCCCGTCCGGTACGTCAGGTACATATCTAAGTCCCTAGCCCCCGTTCAACGGACCGGTTCCGGAGGCTGGTCCAGAAGGGTTCGGGGAAGAGGGAAGAGAAGCGCTGAATGATTGATTGATTGATAGCTAGGCACCTAGGCAAGCTTGAGGTAGTACAGGATACGTTATTGCACAACTCGAAGTGGCTGCTCGGACTCTCAAGGAAGCTTGCCTACCTATGGGCTCCATAGTCGTACATAGCCGCTGGCGTCCGCCAGACTCACCAATCCTATTTTGTGGGAGGAGCCAGCAGCATCTGTGGTCGGGAGTGTCTCATCGCCTTGTAGGTTAGGGCTCGCTGCCTTGATAAGTAATACCTGAGCTGTCTGCCGAAGGATTAGTCGTTCTTCGGCAGCGTCCTTCGGCAGCGTCCTTTGAAGCTCCTCAAATCAGCGCTGTAGTTCCTCTTTCAACCGAGTAGCACTGTTTTTTCTCATGTCCAAAAGGCAATCCCTTCGCAAACGAGCCGATTTGCCGGCGGGGGTGTCTGCAGTCATCCTCATCAGGGTCCTGAAGCAGAATAGACAGTGTTTGCCTCCACATTTCAATCGGAAAATATAGAATACATTTCGGGCCCGAGATCACGAGCGTAAGGACCGCAGTCTGGGCCCATAAGAACGGAAACGCGACGGGATCCTTGCTCGATCTTCTTCACCGGCACGTCTTACCCGGCTGGGAATATGTAGCGAGGTTCAAGGAGTCATCTGCCGGGGCAAAAAAGATCCCTGACGGCGGTGGGGTTAAGCTGCCGGGCTTCAGGCAGTCGTGCATAATGTCCGCGGCTTCTTGTGATCTGTTTCTGCCGCTGAATTCGCGTCTGTAGCACAGTGTGAGGGATCTTTCGGAGGGTGAGATGGCGGTCTCTGGGTTCGCACAAGAATCGTGTTTGAGAGGTTGCACAGCACTCGCGCATCAAATGTGGACAGCTTCGAGCCGGCAATGAGGTGGCCCCGGGTTTCAGGCAGCCAGGTACCAGGATACGATAATGCTGGTCACTCCAGGTGGTGAGATCATGCGAGGATGAAAAGACGGTCTGCCATGGGATTGTGGTAACTTGCTGCCTGGGAGGCAAAAGAGGGACATCCACACTTCGAAGCCGCTCCACCACCCACATTCCACAGGCGGCGGGAAACAATCAATAATAGGTGTTCGTGGCAATCATCAGACAAGAACCATGATTCATTTACTGCAAATGAAAATTGAATTTTGCGGGGATCTGAGATTGCCTTGGGGTGCCCGCCCAGGACCAACAGGCCATCAGGTAGCCATCCAGCAGCCACCAGGGCGTTTGGATTGCTAAGCTTCAGTAGCAACATCGACCGGCATCGCCAGAATCGTCCCACTTGACTCCGTTGGGGCAGCCGGACAGAACACAAGCTTCGCCTCGCATACGCCAATTGGGGTCTTCCAGATTTTCAACACCCACCCACCAGGTCCGTGGTTCATAAATGCGCCCGTCCAGCTAGGGTATGAGGGGTGCTAGTCTGGAAAGAATGCAGGCCAAAAGCCGCCCAATCGACATGGTTTGGATTCCCGTTTCTTGTGCCCGCCGGCCAACTCCTCTACCTCCCATTAGCTCGACGACACAAGGACGTCTCCGCTGATTCAACGCCTTCTCCCTCGCTTGTGGCCGCTTTGCCGTAAAGGTTCTGCTCGACTTTCATTACGACAACGCCGAGGATGTTTTGCGCCTGATCCTGGTCCCCCTCCCAGTCATCACATCCCGGCCCTGATTCCTCCCGTCACCGATTGTTCGGGAGTGACACTACATAATATTGTCTGCCCCTCCCTGTCTGGACAGGGACTTCGTCATGGACTGCTCGACAAGCTCCATCAACCCTCACTACGTGTTGACTGTCCCCTAGCCCGGACCCGTCCGATATGGCGCATACTGACGACGAGAGAGAGCTCGAGCGCGCCGTCTCCCAGAACAATGTCGAGGAGCAGGATCTGGAAAAGAGAGATGAGCCGGTACAATATCTGGAAGTCCCCAAGGGCACGAGAAGAGATGGGCGAGGAAAGAGCCAAGACAGTGTGCGATTGGAAAAGGTCGAGTCGACGGTAACCGAAGCCACTGAAGCCAGCACACCTGCCTATGTACACCAGACCAAGCCAGAGAAAGTACCATGGCGTTACAGAATAAACCCGCTCCGCCGAAATCCTCCACCTGTACCAGAGGAGAGGACAGTATGTCGAGAATACAATGCGAGCTTCCTCAGTCTTGTATTGTTCCAATGGATGAATCCTCTCATGACCACGGGTTACAAGCGGCCCATCGAGTTGAACGACATTTGGCTTGTCAACCCTGACAGGAGCGCCAATACCATGAGGGAAAAACTGACGGCTTCTTTTGATCGTCGTGTTGCTCGGGGGGAACGCAACCCTCTGATGTTTGCCCTCTTCGACACCTTCCGAAGCGAATTCCTGCTTGGAGCCATGTGTGCATTGTTCTCTGCCATGTTTCAGGTCTTTTCTCCCTTCACCACCCGCTATCTGATTCAGTTTGCTACAGATGCCTGGATCGCCGACAAGACCGGTGGCAAATCTCCCAGCATCGGTCATGGCATCGGCTTAGTCATTGGAATCACATTTATGCAAATGTGTCAGTCTATGTCAACCAATCATTTCATCTACCGTGGTATGATGGTTGGAGGAGAATGCAGGGCAGTGCTAATCAACGCCATCTTTGAGAAATCTCTGGTCATCTCCGGAAGGGCAAAAGCCGGGGGAAAGGCAATCAAGGCCGAAGGAGTACCTGAGACGACAGTACAGACAGAAGACGAGAAGCACGAAGCTAGATCGACCCTTGCACGTGTCCTTTCTAAGAGACTTCATCCCAAAGGAGGCCCGAAAGTTACGCCTGACAAAGGTGCCGGCATTGCGGGAGACGGTGTTGGTTGGAACAATGGCAGGATTGTCAACTTGATGAGTGTTGATACTTATCGTATTGATCAAGCCTCCGGCTTGTTCCATATCATGTGGACGTCACCCATTCAGATCATCGTCGTCTTGGTCGTGCTGTGTATCAACATTGGATACAGTGCTCTGGCAGGGTATGCTTTACTGGTCATTGTGCTTCCCATCCTGACCAAGGCAATCAAGTCCCTCTTAGCGAGGAGGAAAAAGATCAACAAAATCACGGATCAGCGTGTCGGCCTGACGCAGGAAATTCTAGGTTCCGTGCGGTTTGTCAAATTCTTCGGGTGGGAGACGAGCTTTCTGGACCGGCTGAAGGAACTCCGCAAGAGAGAAATCAGAGCTGTGCAGGTCTTGCTGTCAATCAGAAATGCAATCAACGCGGTCGCCATGTCAATGCCAGTCTTCGCAGCAATGCTGGCCTTCATTACATATTCGCTTTCTAACCACGGCCTTGAACCTTCGAGGATATTTTCGTCTTTGGCCCTCTTCAACTCCTTACGGATGCCGCTCAATCTGCTTCCCCTGGTTCTTGGACAAGTTACCGATGCCCAGACCGCCCTGCAACGTATTCAAGAGTTTCTACTGTCTGAAGAACAGCAAGATGAGATCATCTGGGATGAGGAGATGGAGCCTGCAGTCGAAGTGCAACATGCTTCCTTCACTTGGGAACGGACTGCTAATCAAGATGTGGAAAGGGCTGGCGCATTCCAGACGAGGGGCGAGCTCATGGCTGCCAAAAAAGCTGAAAAGGAACGGAAGAAAGCCCAGAAGAAGGCCGATAAAGCAGCCAGGAAGAACAAGAAATCTCCTGGGGCATCCAACGAAGACATTGCAAGTGAGACCACCGAGGTTGAACCCTTCAAATTGCATGACATGGACTTCACAGTGGGCCGAAATGAGCTGATCGCTGTTATTGGGACGGTTGGTTCTGGCAAGACGTCCCTTCTGGCTGCGCTGGCGGGAGACATGCGCAAGACAGATGGCAAATTGAAGATGGCCTCCACACGTGCATTTTGTCCACAATATGCTTGGATTCAAAATGCCACTTTGAAGGAGAATATCCTCTTCGGTAAGCCGTACAAGTCCAAATGGTACAGGGATGTCATCGATTCCTGCGCCCTGAGACCCGACCTGGAAATCCTGCCTGCAGGGGATCAGACCGAGATCGGCGAGCGAGGCATCACTCTCTCAGGTGGGCAGAAGCAAAGATTGAACATTGCGCGGGCGATTTATTTTGATGCGGACATCATCTTGATGGATGATCCACTGTCTGCTGTGGATGCCCACGTTGGTCGTCATATCATGGACAAGGCAATCTGTGGTCTGATGAAGGACAAATGCAGGATCTTGGCGACCCACCAGCTTCATGTTCTTTCCCGGTGTGACCGGATCATCTGGATGGAAGACGGTCATATTCAGGCTATTGACACCTTTGAGAACTTGATGACCACAAGTGTCGATTTCCAAAAATTGATGGCCACGACTGCTCAAGAGGACGAAAGTGCGCTGGCAAAAGCCACAGATGGAGAAGCCGATAAGCCGAAGCCTGAAAAGAAGTCCAAGAAGGTCAAAACCACGGGTCTGATGCAGCAAGAGGAGCGCGCTGTCAAATCCGTCAGCTGGAGCGTCTGGGGAGCTTACATCCGTGCATCAGGGTCCCCAATACTCTGGCCGCTCATATTTACCGCCCTTGTCTTATCCCAAGGAGCCAACATAGTGACCAGCTTGTGGCTCAGTTGGTGGACGAGTGACAAGTTCGGGTTCTCCGAAGGCACATACATCGCTGCATACGCATGTCTAGGCTTGTCGCAAGCGCTGCTGATGTTCACGTTTTCGACTATTCTTTCCACCAGCGGCACCAATGCCAGCAGAGTGATGCTGCAAAGGGCTATGACCCGAGTGCTACGGGCCCCCATGTCCTTCTTCGACACAACTCCTCTCGGCCGCATCACCAACAGATTTTCCAAGGATGTAGACTCAATGGACAACAGTTTGACTGACGCCATGAGAATGTACTTCCTCACCTTGGCCATGATCACTTCGGTCTTTTCCCTCATCATCGCATACTTTCACTACTTTGCGGTGGCATTGGGGCCCCTGTTCATCTTGTTCTTGTTTGCGTCAAGTTATTACAGAGCATCAGCACGGGAAATCAAACGACATGAAGCTGTTCTCCGATCCACAGTGTTTGCACGATTTTCGGAGTCTATTTCAGGAGTGGCATCTATTCGGGCATACGGGCTGCAAAGTTATTTCACGACGCGCTTGAGGGACGCCATTGATCAGATGAACTCTGCATATTACCTGACATTTGCAAACCAACGATGGTTATCTACCCGACTTGACGCCATTGGGAATATGCTTGTCTTTGTAACTGGCATCTTGGTGGTCACAGATCGATTTAATGTTAATCCTAGCATAGCGGGTTTGGTTTTGTCATATGTTTTGGCTATTGTACAGATGATCCAGTTTACCGTTCGGCAATTGGCGGAAGTTGAAAACAACATGAACGCAACGGAGCGACTGCACTTCTATGGCACTCAGTTGGAGGAGGAAGCACCACTGAAAGGTGCGGCAGTTCCCGATAGCTGGCCTCAAACGGGAGCAATCACGTTTGACAAAGTGGAAATGAGGTATCGACCGGGATTGCCGCTCGTTCTTCATGGCTTGGACTTTCAAATCAAAGGCGGGGAGAGAATTGGCATCGTCGGTCGTACCGGAGCTGGCAAGTCGTCGATCATGTCGGCCCTTTTCCGATTGACAGAACTCACATCGGGACAGATCAAGATTGACGGCGTCGACATTTCGACTGTTGGGCTATACGATCTTCGGTCGCGTCTAGCTATCATCCCACAAGACCCGACGCTCTTTCGAGGCACCATCCGGTCAAACCTCGATCCTTTCAACGAGCATTCAGATTTAGAACTCTGGGCAGCACTGCGGAAGGCGGATCTGGTGGGAGATGAAATGGTCGCAGCAGAGAAAGTTGATCGTCCCGACACTGCACAAACTGCAGCCACATCCACGTCGAACGTCAACGCACCAGCCGGAACCAGCCGAATCCATCTCGACAGTCCCGTGGACGAGGAAGGCTTGAACTACTCTCTGGGCCAGCGGCAATTGATGGCGTTGGCCAGGGCTCTGGTCCGCAACTCGCAGATTATCGTCTGCGACGAAGCGACCTCGTCGGTGGACTTTGAGACCGACGAGAAGATTCAGAGGACCATGCGCACTGGATTTGCCGGGAAAACGGTATTGTGCATTGCTCACAGGCTGAAGACTATCATCAACTACGACCGCATCTGCGTGATGGATCAAGGCAGGATTGCGGAACTGGATACTCCCATCAATCTGTTTGAGGCAGGTGGCATCTTCCGGGGTATGTGCGACAAGAGCCATATTGTGCGCGAGGATTTCTTCAGAGAGTCATAGCAATGTGGGTCTCTTTTGGCGTTGGATGGCGTTACAGCACATGTTCACGAGATACCTTGATAGATTGAGCAAAAGCTAGTTAGTTTAAGTCCCATATTCGGACCGAGCATGCATTCCGTTTTCCACCGCGTAGAGCCCATCTGCTAGATACCCGAGCACTACCGAGGGATTCAACACCTGCCTAGGCTTTACTGATGAGGAAGGGGAGGGTGAGAGGGCAGTGGCTGCTTTAGACGGAGTTCTCTACTAGCTACTAGCTATGAGTTGTCTGCCGTGAGCCTCGGATGGGCTTTGTCAGAGAGTGGGGGTGGTTGAGTGCTCAAGCAGCTTATCCCGCACAGGATATGGGAAACATCGAGGCCATAGGGAAGTGGAAGATGGAATGGGGTGACAGCCTCGTCCCGTTCCCGCTGACGAAAAGCACAGACTCCTGACATGCAGTGTCACGCCTTGCCAGCCCGGCCCGCAAGCTTGGCATCAGCCTTACTGCATTAATTCTATGACATCCCAGACATCTTCAGTCTTGATGAAAGCCTCAGTTGATACGAGGCATTTAACCATGGCTTTCTTGCCTGGATCTTTTCGCAGCCCGTTGACCGTCTAGACGACCGCCGACTTTGGCCTTGAGTGAGCCCTGGATGACGTGAAGGATGGTCTTTCCCACGAGCTTGCTGATTATCGGGGGTAAAGCGGACCATACATCCTGATATTGCATGGACGTGGACTGATAAAAGACAAAATCATCAGTGAAGCCTTGGAGTCGAGCCAACTCCCGCACAGTGAGAAGATCTTGGCGTCCTGGGATATTCACTGTTAGTATACAGGAACAGTGACAGACTGAAGAGTCTCATAACGTTCTCTCAGGTCACTCACCGGGATGTGTCCAGGCTAGGGGGCTGCAGGAGAGGGCTACGAGGCCGTCCGTGTCCCACTGCAGAGGCACCTTCCAGGATGGTGGCACCTGCTGACCCGTTTGGTGATTGTAGACATGACTTGGGCCTGCGTCACTGCTTCGGTCTTCGTGCGTGCCTTCGAGAGGCGGTGAGCACACAAATGCCCGCTCTGGTCCCGCTCCAGTGCGACAATTATCAAAGTCAAGGTCAACAATCAGATCACGGAGCGTGATGGACTGCAGTACACTGGGGAAGGGGGCCCAATGCAGACACCAGGGCAGTGGCGCGCAAAATGGAGAAGCTACCACGAGGAGGATGCTTCGTGCTTGCGGAAGCCCATGCTCTCGGAGATGGCAGAGCTTCATGTGGACGGACCGTCTATGTTTGAGCAGTTTGGTTATGGTCGCCAAAAGCCGCGGCACTACTGATGCGTGGAGCATGGCCGGCGAGCTTAACATCACCAAAAAGTCCGGCTTGCTGGGGGCCTCAATAGCAATATTGACAAGGTCAAGCTGAGAGGCAAAATGCTCCGCCGATGGCATCCTTTGATTTGCATCGCTCACGCGGAAAGGTGCGTTTCCCCCAGCAACCAGCGCAATGTTCGGCGGTGCAGGGTTTGGCGTCGACGGGGGCCGGAGTTGCTCAGCATAGATGTCGTCGAGCACCTTCCTGGGTGGACCATCATACACTTGGCTCTGGGTGTGTCGTATCTGGCTAGGTCAATAGGGGCGTTCAGAGCCTCGGAGCTGGTCATTCATACCTTCCATGACAAATGACGCTCCTGGTCAAAACCTAGCGCAGCTTGGATGTCGAAACCAGCTTGCGAAAATCCTTCCGCCGGGCCCAGGATGCCGGGTGTGAAGTCCACGACGGATGGCCTTGAAGCGTTGATGAACTGCGGTGCCACCCAACGATCACGGCGCTGCAGCAGGTGAGACGCTATGGGCGTCCAGCATGCTACTTGCTCGTTGATCGTCGCGCCTCGGACCGCAAAACGACAAAACATGATATCGTCCCCCGAGGCTGAAGAAGATCCATGCTGTCAGCCCTTCATGATCGGGGCCATGCCTGGAGTATCCCTTGCTTACCTGGAGGCGGTTGGAGGACATGCTCTACGCCACTGAGAGGAGCCTTGGAGCAAGCTGTCAGATCAGCCGCATAGACAATATCGTCCAGCCGGATGACCTCGGCGTCGTCTCGCATACCCATTCTGTCGAACTCTTCGAAGTGAAGCAACATTTCTAGTTGATTTGCGGATGCATCATCGTTGTCAACCTCGAGCGGCTGGAGATCGGAATGAAACGACCAAAGTTTCGAATATTTGGTGACCAGTAAATATGTGGTGGCAGTGTCATGTTCCTCTTCGCAGTAGGAGATCTCGTGGATGAATATGACATGCTCCAAGGAACTGTCACCGCCTAGGCGGATGAGGGCATATTCATCCTTCACGAAATGAAAGTCCAAATGGGCACACTCAAGGCTCGCCACTGGGTGGAACGTCGGCTGTCGCAAGTCAGTATGAATCTGTCGCTCAGCCTGTGGTTGCAGAAGGTTCAACGTACGGTGTGATGCTTTTCCCGATGCACCAGGAGTTTGGAAAATGCTTTTGGCAAGTCTTCAGTGTGCCACCGCCGCCATTCATCCTCGTCTTTTCCGAACGCTATCTGGCCATTCAAATCTTCCCAACAAAGCTCTGCACCTTCCCAGCGGAGTGGCCTCCGCGATTGTTGGCCTGATATTCCGGGATGACTCTCGGGAACTTGATCATTGCTGTCTGAAGTTGCTTCGTTGTTTCCTTCGATTTCAGGACTGTCCGCGTACCTAGGCTGATATTCCTGGACTTCTCGGTCACCTTTGACCCGCCTGGTTGCCATTTGAGGGCTGTCTGCAACGCTTGCAGGCAGGAGAATCCCACGAGGTGCCACAGATGTTGGAGGCATCGCGAAAAAGGACTGATTTTCCCCTCGCGCGACCATGGGGAAATAGCGCTCGTGGGGATCTAAGCCTGTGAAAATCGCTCTCGATAGAGTCCTAGGAACAATTTGGAAGGGGCAACCGCAGTCGACGGTGACTTCTGCACGAAACGGCAACCCATATCGTGAAGTATGGCCATTGGACAAGGGGTCATCTGTTCGCACATGAGAATCACGTCAAGCTTGCTGACCGGCTTTAACCTATACTCACCGCGTCGATGTACGTGTACCATTTGACCTCGCCTCGATCGGCACGAGCTTTCCTGGTGAAGGGTGACATGGTAGCAGATATTGCTGTGGCAGATCTCCGACACAAGTCCACCTTCGTTACCAACCCAGCGGACCTCAAGCTCATTCATCGCGCCAGTAGGTGCGACACGGACCAGCCGAGGCATGAGCGTGAGCAGTTCACGCATGGTACGTCGCAGATGCCTGAGGTCTGGAGTGGAAATTTCTAGGGCGCTGCCCGCCACGGAGAGGAGAGCCTCGAACAAGTCTCCTACGACATGGTCACAGAAGAATGCCCCTCCGCCAATGTTCTCGCCATCTATCAACCGCAAAACCTCACACAGGCCATTTTCGTGGACCTTCTGGAAATCGAGCCACTTGCCGTGGATATGAACCTGATTCGCCTCCTTGTCATATGCAAGGTCGAGATCCGTGCCTCCACCATCAACGAATATAAGACGCACGTTATTCAGCTTTGGATGTAAAGATAACGATGCTAAGAGGGCTCGGAGGACGTGGGCACTGAAAGGTGTCCTGTGGGGGGCTATCACCTCCGATCCTTTAAATAAACAGTAGCGTTCTTCTGGAGGAGTGCGAACAAACGAGAACTTTCTCAACAAGTTCCACAAAGCGCGAGAGACAGCCACGGGTCTTCTCTGGAACTCGGCTGGAATCAGGGCAATCTTTCACGCTCTAGTGTCAGGTCTGGATATGTATCTCTATGGAAGAGAGCGACTTACCTGGTCGGCGGTGACCGAGTGAGAAGGATCGACTTCGCAATAAAAAAAGGCATCAGGCTCGATGATTCTCAGCCGCTCCCAAATAATGCGCGCCGATGACTCTGATAATCTGTCACTGGTCGAAGCAACTTCGGGGCAGTCCTCCTGGTGGCGCAGCAGTTTGATATAGGCGTCGGTCAAATCAGTCCTTTGGGATAGGATGGCATGTTCCCAAATATCGACAAGGATCTGGGTCTCTTCCGACTGCTTTTGCAGATGAGTTCGATCACGGCCAATGGAGCCACGTGCAAAGTTGTATCCATATACATACCCAGCGGCATGACCATCAATTTGCAACCCCTTGAGGTAGATGTGCGCTGCGAAGCGGCTATCGAGGATCAGATCGCCAGCGGGGGTCTGGACGACATCGTCCGGTGAGGGCGGATTGAGATCGATCGAAACCGTCAACCACGAACGAAATTCGGCTTCTGAGACGGCTTCTGAGACGGTGAACACGGAGCTTCCCCGGGCCTTGCCGATTTTCACAGACACATCCTCCCATATGTTCGATGTGAGGCCTCTTTTGAAGTTCGGTTTCGCGCGCTGCAATGCGTACTTTCTCCTGCTTTTCTCTACCTTTTCGGGCTTGGATAATGTCAACCGACAGTAAAGATTCGTGCGATAGCGTCCACTCAATCCAAAGTTCCAATAGTACCCGGCGGATGCAAATCGAACAGAATGCCCCTCGCGGCGCAGCACCACCGCGGCCACTTTGAAACCCTCTCCGTGACACCCTGCAAACTCATCTTGGCCTTGTTTACTCGACTTGCCTAGGCCGAGACTGTTGCGTTGCAGCTGTGCCTGGAAGTTGGTCAATTCAACACTCCCAGCCTTGCGGTTGAAGCGGATAAATCCAAGAAGCTCCCCGGATGCTTGACCGCCTTGCCCGGCACTTCTATGGATAGTGATGTGGATCTCTGTACGCGTTTCTTTAAAGACTGGCCGGAAGGACCTTGGATCGAGGTGAAACGATGCAATTATGGCGTCCTTCCTGGCGAAACATCAACAAAGTGCGGAAAAGAACGGGGATAATGGAGCAGTACCAGTTTTGATATAGTTCTCGGAAAGCTTCGCGACCTCTCCACGAAGAGACATACCCCGTCGTCAGTCCCGTGTGCACTCGGCCTGCGCGGAGCTCCTCTTCATCGTCACTCAACACGCAGTCGAGCTCGGGCTGCCCATCCTCCGAACTATCATCAGCAACCAGGACTGCATCGTGCGTATCCGGATCCTTCCCCACGGCCTGCAACAGTTGATCGAGAAACGGATCTGCATTCATTTTAATGGGAAATGGATCTCCAATGTTTCCTTTTGGGAAAATGTTGCATCACCCCAACCAAATACGATCGTGCGAAAGACTCAAGGGTTCGTCAGGGCCGGATGTGCATTCTCACGCCAGCAGGAGACGGGTGTAACGGTCGGGTCTGCAAAGCGTTGAAGCCAGAGAAGGCCAAAATCACCCTAGATTGATTTGGGATATCATCAGATTGCACGAGGCGAGGCAGGGTCGCCATTCATATATTCCTTTGGACACCAAAGCGTCCCCTCTCCGACGAGCCGTGTCGCTGGGGAGAAAAAGAAAAAATTGCAGGAACAGCCAATGGTATTCTTTCTTGCTCCTCCTCACATTGCCAACAACAACCCTGCAAAATGCAAAGTACAGGTGACAACCTGGGGTCCGTGCATGCTGTCACAACGGGACGCTCTTCCGCGGTGCGGACTATACCATATTTGATGCTTGTGGCGTCTCGTGTTCCATACAAGCCCTGCATAACCCCGTCCCCCGTATCAGACGAGGCGAGATTTCAGCCCGGCTCTAACCGCTTGAGGACGTAGGACGGAGGTGCGCCAGGCCAGCAATCGTCGACCTCCTGGACGACCAACCCATCCGCCCACACAATCAACAAGGTATAAGGTACTCCGTACAGGACCGAGACGCCACGTCGTGTTCTATGCTACCTTGTCCTTTCGTGGAAATTCCCGCAGCGGTTTTACTCCTGGTGCATTTCAAGCGTGTGCGCGTCCCCGCGTGCAGGACGGGCCTATAAGGCTGAGGGAGGGACCATTGTACCCCCACGGATCGGCGTCTTCCTGGGGTGAATTGATGGTTTAAAAGCTTAGTATTCTGGAATACACTCTTGCACTCTCAGTGCTTTGCTTTGCCGAGGCGGCGTAGCGATGCAATGGGTAATTGCACAGACGAGGCTGAGGGGAGGTCCACGGACAAGAGGAGAGGTTGGGCCAATGGATAAGGCTGATTGGCCGATATGTACCTCGTACCCCGTATGAGGTACACCTCAAACCCTTTTGGCCTTTTGGACCTAGGGTGGGTGCATTTTGTTTGTTTGCGACTCTCCTGACGCGACGCCGACCACACGACACCGGGGCAGATGAGGCGGGGGACTGTCACCGATATGTGTCGATCGGCAACTCGTCTACGCTAGGGATACCAGTAGATTGGCCAAAGCTGATCTTCACTGGCAATCCAACGAAAAGTCGGTGTGAAAGTTCTAGCAAGCTTCCGGGACAGTGCAGGGAAAAGGAGTGGATTCCTGTCGCAGCTGTCGGTACGTACCCGCGAATTGTTCTATCGCGACTTACCGCCTTAATGGAATATAAATTCTGTTGTTCACGACCATGAAATTCTATCAACCTTTTCCAACACTGGACAATTTGCACAGATCGCCCAGTGCCCTGAGGCACCCTCCTCTGGGTAGAGAGGCCCCTCCTGGTTATGCCGAGTGTGTATATAAAGATAGTCACGGTAAGTCATGCCTCATGCCTCTATCTCCCTGGTTGGAGCTCCTTTCAACACCAGAATCGAATGACGTCTCACAAACTTCGCAGAGTACCGTGCGCGCGCGGAAATCAATCCTCCGGAGCGGGGCGGTGGCACAACTAATGTCTACTATGTGAAGGCCGGCGACATTGGTGAAAATGCCCATTATGCTTCAAAGAGACAGCGGCATTGGCACTGTCGACGACACCGCCACCCATGATCTCCCTTCCCTAAAACGAGGCAATCTACAGAGACAAGCAGGACAGCCACGAGACGTCTCAAATCGCGCTGTTCTACCGGAGAGATGGCAGTCAATAACAAGAAGTTTGCGGGGGCAGAAGTACAGCTTCTGCATCGACATCAAGGACCCCGACACCAGGATGGATGCAGATCATTCCAAGTTCAACCCGCGGATTGTGCAAGTCATCGACGATGCCGCGGAACTTGACAGATCTTGAGACCAACGGGAGATGTTTATCGCCTATATATATATGGATTGCGCACATCGTGCCTTCTTCTACCAGGGATACGGCGCGTGTAATCACCACCCACTCCACCGTCTCAGGCAAAAGCACGCCTTGGCCGTTGCCGACGCCAATGGAGCCCTGTTTAAGTTCCCGGAACAGAAGTCACAGGGCGCGAGGTCGATCGAATGCAGTTTGAGGAGACGGGCATCCGGAGGGTGGCGCCCCCAAGACAAAGAAGGACGCCTAACAACAATAACAACAATAACGACAACGGCGACAACGAAGATGACTCCTCACAGTCAGACGATGTGTCGTCAGAGGATGCTGTGCGCACGCCGGCAGACAAGTTCGCCGCCACACTGGACGCTCAAAGCCAGGCTCTAGTCAAACTCCACCAGGAAATTCTATGCATGCCTATCTCAACCACACGGAAGCCAATGCAACTGCAGACCTTATTACACACCTCAGCTGGATCCTCTCGGGGACATGTGGTTGTCTCCACGTCATTAGGGACGCGTGCGGATTGAGGGCTGGTTTGAAACTCTCTAATACGGCATGGGTCGTCTCATTTTCTGGTTTCTCGGTTCGCGACGAAAAGGAAATCGGTCCGATTCGCCCAATGCTGGCCTCCGCGGAGTCCTCGGTAGAGGATTAGAAACAATGATCGGACGAGAAGAGATGGTCGACTCTCGCTCGGAGGCTTCCGCGAATGGGAAACCAGACAATGAGACAATCCATGCTGCATTAGAGAATCGAATATCGAATATGAAGTCAGATATTGAACCCCCCCCCAATTTTGGCCTCCTCAGTTTTCTTTCTGCAAAGCCCTGGAGCCTCGGAATTTGTACGAGGCGTCTGGGATGCGAAAAATTGAGCAACAAATGCCACAAAAGACTCTCGACCTATTTGAACCCGCTTTACAAGGTTCTCCACGTTACCAGGCCAGAGCTGGCTGGAGTGCAAGAATTCATTAACAGGTTCATGATCAAGGTGTCAGGCTCATGCCAGGAGCTCCTACTGACACTCAGAGCCCGCACTTTCTCGACACGCCTCTGCGCAAACAAGACAGACCAGAAATGTTCTTCGACAACGTACGAGCTTCAGCAGAGGGACCAGTTTCTCGAAGGCCCATCGGATACGTTTGAATACTTCGAGCAGGATTCGACTTACAGTCATTGGGAGGAGAGCTTCTCATCCCAGAATCGACTTGAGACTGGCAAGTGGGGATGCCGACCCAGAAGGTCCTCGGCTACAACGGTAATCGAGGAGGTGGTCGTGGCTGTTCGGTCAACGGCGTCTGCGTCACAATGAGTCGATCCACAGCGAACCGGCAGGGCTCATGGATCCTTCAACCAATGGCGACCCTTACGCGTTAGAACATTTCGGCTGACCTGCAAAAAGATTCAAGAATTGTCTGAGGCTCCTCCTGTCGATTTCTCCACGTGGTGGACGACATCCAAGAGGAACGTCTCCAAATCATGTTGAAAGAACGCCCAGAACGATTCAACTTGGTCAAGGCCTTCATTCCTTACCCCCAAAGCATACTCGCTCTCTCCTTACCTGCCGGAAGTTCACAGATGACAATCCGCGACGTGTTGTTATATTCCTTCTCAAGGCCAAATCCGAGGCTGCACAGTGGACAAAGCAATACGTCCAATATGCGGCCAGCACCGGCAAGCCTGTGCGGCGGTCGAGTTTATGGATCATTTGTCCGATACCTGACCAGCGCCGGCACCGTCACCAAGTGCCGGGGGTTCCTCTATGAATGCGATGGCAACGGCGAGGTTCGTCAGCCATTCAGACAGCAACTGGGGTGCTACTCACCACACTTGTGAACCTCTTGAAGAAGATGATCCCTTAACACTCTCCTCGTCTCTCAAACTCCATAAGAGGTGCCTCTATCCTCTATACTATATATATATATATATCTAGTCGACCAAAGACTACGGTCGATCCCACTCCTTCGTCTCGTCATGCCTGGACTCGACTCCATCAGTTCTCCACGGAAGCGCAAATTACCACAGACCCCGGCTGCCGATGATACCGGAGATCCTGAAGATCGGAACTTAGAAGAGATTAAACGGGTCAAGCTCACTCAGGAAAACATCCTGAGAGAATGTCAGGCCGCGATACCAAGTCCACATCCGGATTCTAGGCGGCGACGGCATAGGCGTGGCGCAGGTGAACTGAAGCGTGGTAATGGAAAAGGCTCAAGGAGTTTACAAGAGTCTTCAAAGTCGGGCCAAAAGCGAGCCCATTAGGAGATGTGGAGGGAATCAGCTCCATGGACGATCCAGACGCCGTCCATGGTGCCAGCTATGCGCCTGTCACCCGCCATGTGCTCGCTCGACCAACAGTGACATTGACGATGGAAAGGGACAGAGTGTGAGTGAATACGAACACGGTGACTGCATGCATATCATGGTATCTAACACAGTTCAGGTGAACGTTGATGCCACACTGGTGGCCCCCGAATCTCTCATGGCAAGGCGCAGCACAAGACAGATGGTTACCTATTCGGACGATGAAGAAGACTTACTCCCAAGCCCTCAACGTTCGATGTTTTCGCCAGAGGAGGCTGTTGAGGAGAAAGGCAAATGAAGGCTCCACGAACACTAAACAGCTCGGCATGGAAAGAATGGTTGGGTCGTTTGCTACCTCTCCATAACAGAGTCAGTGTTTCCATCTAACCAGCAAACCTGAGGGCCCCTCCGCTATGTCCGGATACCCCGAGAAACGAATTCTCCGCAATACATGTGGCCGTGGGCTCGGAGGAAGTCGAAGAATTCAAGTGCCACTTCTGCGAGACAGACCACGAACTAGATTTGATCAAGAAGAGAGAGGGGAACAAAGTAGAAAAAAGATCATTCTGGGCGTTTTGGAGAAGATTACGGTAAGACAGTCAACCAGCCAGACCCATAACACCCTCACTGAATGACGCCACATCTCGGGCAGAATTCACGATCTTTTCATCGTCGGCCATGACTCATATGGGTTTTCCTTTTCGCCATTTGGAGAAAATCTTCTAACCAGTCTGCGTAACGAAGTACTAGGACCCTTTCTCACCATCACCTGAAATGGAACCAGAGGACAGGAAATTAACAAAAGAAAGAGAAGTGCTTCAGATCATGGAATGCAGTAACCGTGAAGGAGGAATTTGGGCGGATGTACGACCATGCACTGCAGACAGGTCATTGTCGATATCAGCGAGGAGAGCCTCTGCTCGGGGTCTGGTATGGCGACAGAGGACGATGTGGTCTTCTCAAGGAAGACAGCGGTGTGAATATTACATGGAATGGCTCGCACAATTCGCAGCAACACCGGGCTTGTAGTGACCGGTCCGCAGGAGAGAGGGTTTATTCCAAAGGTGGATCTGAGATTGGCGAGCAAGCAGGCATATGAATTCAGAAGAAGGTCTTGATTGTCATGAGCGGTGAAGGAGGCAGGCCAGGCCACTGGTCGAGGTTGAGGGCGTCAGTAGAGGATTGAGGGCGTCAGTAGAGGATTGAGGGCTACATTGCGCTCGGCCAGGTTCATGGAAGGGTTTCCCGAGTTGAGTGATGGCCTGGACGCACACAGCAGTATGGTTGCTTGTTTACCTGAGCTGGACATTGTGTAGGATTCGCGGAACGCACAATGAACAAATTTTGACCCATGTATTGGTGCAAGAATCCATTGCTAGACTAATCACTTCTCTCCCGACCCATTATCAACTCAGCAATGCCCAAGAACCTTGCCCACAGTCCAGCCACCCCATTCTCAAGCTATTGACATCCTTTCTCCAACCACCAGCCCGTCGTCCTCATCTCCAAGCTTGATCCTCACAATGAACACCAAGTACCCTCTTGTAATATCCTGTCAACCCATCAACCAGACATCGAGATTTGACTTGAGCGCCTGGCCAGCAATTTGAGGGATTTGTTAGTTTTGCATTTGGTCACTTTGACCCGTGGCTTTGAAGAGACGGTTCACCTCAAATTGCTGGCTCTTAACAAGTTCCTGGAGCGGACCTTGTCCTAGCAATTTGAGGATTTGTTAGTTTTGCATTCGGTCACTTTGACCCTTGGCTTTGAAGAGACGGTTCACCTCAAATTGCTGGCTCTTGACAAGTTCCTGGAGCGGACCTTGTCCCAGCAATTTGAGGGATTTGTTAGTTTTGCATTCGGTCACTTTGACCCGTGGCTTTGGAGAGACGGTTCGCCTCAAATTGCTGGCACCCACCCACCGCCCTCCCACCCTCCCACCCCATCGTGCCGTGCCACCCTTGGTCGGGCTGGTGCACTCACACTGGGCATGTCCGGCCGCCTGTTGCCATTGTTTTGGTTTTTGGTTTTGAACAAGTTCCTGGAGTGGACCTTGTTTGAGGGGTTCAAATGAATGAACCGCGGGGGCTCAACTGAATGAGCCCCGGAGAGGAGAAGAAAGAAGGATGGAAGAAGGAGGAAAGAATGTGTGGGTTTAATACTTGTAGTGGTTGGGAAGCCGGCTCTTGGCAAAGGCGCCGCCAAGACCGTGCATTCTCTTGTCGAGGACCTTTTCGCGTCGCTCGGCGACGTCACGACGGAGTTCCGCACATCTATGCGTGGTCTCGATCAAATCGTCAGTTCCCTGGTCCATGCATCGTTGCAATTCCTTGTAACGCGCAACCTCTGGGAACACCTTGCCCCTGGTAGGAGACCTCGCCTTGGCTGCTTCATGGCCCCCAGTGGAGTCACTCAGCGTGTTTTTGTTCATGTTTTGGTTTTTGGGCATGTTTCGGAATGGAACCATGCCATGTGGAGTTCAACTTAATGGACCCAAGAGAGGGAAAGGAAGAAAGAATTTTGAAGCGGAGGAAGGGCGACGGATTATTTACCCATCGGCAAACTAGGTTAGCGTGGAGAATTAGCGCACCACTGATTCCCACTCAATAACTGCTGCACCACCTCTCACCTTTCGTCTTCCTTCGCAGCAGAGAACAAGTGAATGTCCGGCCCAAGGCATTGATTTGCTTTTGGGTATCATTCACGCGAGGAATCGACCCTTCAGTCGGCTCCTTATCTAAAACAAACAAAAAACCTATGTCCTCGAAACGAGGCCACGCGTCGCGCTCGCGCTCGAACTCGAGTGAAGCTCAACGAGTCGATTCCAGGCTCGAAGGAAGGAAATCAAGGGCGGTCGACAAGATCAGACAGAATTGGCACTGTAGCCCCGACGACATCACAACGCAACCGCCCGACAACTGGAGTAGGGATACGCTAGCCAAACTCGCGCAGCTGTCAAGCCTGTGTTCCCGAGAGAATGCCCAGGGACTTCTAGAGCGAATGAGGGAGAAACGCATACAGGATGCGCCCAAGTCTGCTCCGACTCTCTCGACCATTGATGTCACTAACGCATTAGCGGACATTGATCGTGCTTCGGTGTCGACGCCTGAGGAGGACGCTGCACTAAGCGACCACTGTCAGCCACAGACTGCGTCGGGCGCCCCCGTGGCAGTGACTGGAGACCCCAGTCCCATACAGGAATCAGAGGCACGCCCGGTGGTACCAGATGCCCAGACGAGTCTGACTGTCGAGGACGCTGGTGACATCCCGCAGCTACCAGGGTTTTGTCGAAACGCAGCGTTCCTAATGGAGCGGTGTTTGGAGCTTTCAGGATCACAACACGAGGCGCATGTACGTGAATCGTTCGATGAGATCCTGAACCACATCGGTAATCCGCGAGAGGGAGGTTGTGGACCGGTCCAGGGGTTGGTTGAGTATTTGCTGGGTGCTAATCTCCACCCAGATGGGTTGGAGGAGTTGACATCATATCTGAACAGCAACCCTGACTTCACGACTGACCTGTTGACAGAAAGATTGAAGTGGCGACGGCTGCGGGCTGTAAGGCACTCCTTCGTCCAGCAACTCTTGAGGCAGGATCCGTTGGTCTACCTTCTCATGGTGGCACTCCAACCGGACATGAAGTGGGGGCTGATCAACAATCCAGTGCCAATATCCCTTCGACTCAGGCGCGCAACAGATGAACCGCCACCACTTGGGCTGTTCTTCAAATTGACGGATTCCAGACCAATGCTTGCAATACAACTTTCCTGTCCACTACCGGACACATCAGGTGAATTATTCTTGGACATATTTTATGACGTTGTATACTCCAGTCTGGAGAAGGATATTTGCTCGAAGCCTGAGGTCTTGGAAGACCTTCGGCGGAGCAATGCGACCTGTGTGGTTCCACAGTTCTTTCTCGATGGTCGTCCCAGAGACTTGGACGGATTGCCCACTCAATCGACCGCAGTCTCAATTCCTCCTTGCTCTTCTATAGGAGCCGCCGTTAACGGAATCGAGGACTGGCATTCTCCTCCAGTGCAAGAAGAAATGGCGATACTACTGGGTTCAGATGTCATGGCAGCAAAGGAGTATTTGGATGGGGTACGGGAGAGGATCTTGTCATCCTATAAGGTCGCGTTTGAGGATTTCGTGGAGATGGACATACGCGTGAACGGTGAAAGTTCGGTATTCTGGGAAGGCGACAACATGGAGGCCGGCCATCATTGAGCCAGGGACATCGGACATTGAATTGGCTGGAAATATGACAAGTCGAGGCGAATCCAGTCAGCGATAGAGACTCGCTCTGCCACAGAGCAACAATCAGAAGGATGCTCGTTCCATTTACAAGCACAGTGAAACAATCGTGGTGAAGATGAATATCCCCCCCCCTCGGCAGCTCTGTGATTCATGTCCCTGGTGGAAACAAGATGTGCACGAGGACGCCACCGAGTAAGAAATAGTTGACCGTTAGCAATGAGCATTGGAATTCCGTTAATCAAGACCAGAATGAATTACTACTACCTCATAACTAATGGTATTTCACTTCTGTTTTGCTCCCCCGGCGTGCGCTTTGTTCATCACGCCTGTGCCACTTATTTCTGACGTCGGCTTTGTGGGCTTGACCGATTCTCGTGACTCAGCCTGGTGGATTGCTGCATGTAGTTTAGACAGGTTTACAGTAGACAGGTTTAGACAGGTACCACGTACACCTGCGACACTACCGAAATGTGGCGCCCTTAGCTTCAACGGGGAACAGCTTGTGGCGTCTCTTTTGTTGATCCCCAGGCCCAGCCCTTCCCCATCTCGTCCAGTCAAAGCCCTACACACCCTACACAGCCTGGTCGACTTTGATTGCCTTCGGATTCAGCTCCAATCGGTGGGCTGATGAAGCAAACACCTCATCTGGGGAGCCAGAATCATGGATCATGGCGCCCCAATATATTGCCCCGTAGGTTTCCCCATGCGGCCATGTATTAAACGGTGAAAGGTGAAACTCAGCTGGAAGAAGCACCCCAGAGCCAGCCTCTCTTCGACCCTTGTTACGACTCTTCTCATCCTGCGTACGCGTACTTGAATGGCGCAAGTTGACGTCGGCAGCCTGCTTGACTGACCTGCTTTGACCTGCTCAGACCTCACCCGCCATCGCTCCTGCATGTCCTCACCGTGACAGATGACAACTGGCACCTGAACCTGCCTCGACCACAGAACGAGCAAACGCAGACTTTCAACGTCCTTTAGTCCAAACGCAGCAATATCCGCCCTCGTTACCCGAGACATCCTCACCAGCTTGACACTTTCGGTTCAACATGGGCTTTTGAAACCCTCACCTTCGCCCTTTAGGCACTTTACAGTTATTTCCCTTCAGGAGCATTGGCTTCGAAGACCACATTTCTACCTTTCTGCACCTCTTCAGTTTTCCCATCGGCAGCTCAGTCACTCCAGACTTGAAGACCAAACCATGACAACCGCAGTTGAAGCCACCGAGCTCACTGAGCAGCACCCGCCCGCCTCACTCCAACGACCCAAGTCTGAATTCGATCCCTGCTGCAATGCCAAAGTCACATCTCCCTTCTACCTCTACAACCATGACTCCCCGCGGCCGTCTTTTGACGTCAAAAAGACTGGCAATCCCGTCGAAGTTGCTGTTCAAGACCTCGAGTCTGGCACCTCCAATCTCTCACCTTCGATCACTCAAGAGGAGAAAGATGCTGCACAGAGTCCGGCGACCAGAGACAGGTTCAGGTTTTGGAAGAGAGAGAAGCAGTGCATGACAAAGCCGAAGCAGAGAGGCTGCGTGTGGTTTTCTCGGTTGTCTCCTCGTCAGCGTCTGCTGGTCAAGATTCTCATTGGGTTGCTGATCATTGGGGCGGCCGTGGGAATTGCAGTCGGTGTCAGTGTTAAGGTCCATGGGACGGTGTACAAGGGCAACAACACGACTTCGCAGATTGGTTGATCATGTTGGTCAAACACTGCCTGACACATCTGCACCATTCCAAGACGAAAAGCAACGAGGGCCATCCATCTTTACCAAGACCAGTCAATCGCTGTGTTCAATTGTATACGACATGGTAGTATAGGTTTTAGGGCACGGGACTGCAAAAGGCGAGACAAAAACAACACGGGCACCGGCAAGGTGCTACGAGAAACAGTGTTAAAGATGATAATGACGGCGTACACTAGGGGTTACAGAGGGATGGAGCGAGCTGTACTGAGTACTGATTTGTAGCTAATGCCATGAAGCGTTTTCTTTCTACGGACAGATGACTTGGATGCTGACAGCTGTGACCGATTTCTGCCAGTCTTCGTTGTCCACACACTTCTCCACCGAGGTAAGAGGTTAGTCAATGTGTCCGTAGGCATGATAGTGCTCTCACATGGTTCTTTCTAGCTACACTAACTCGAATGCCAACAAAAGAACTCCCAAATACAACCTCACATATACCAACCTCACGGTTAAGCTCACAACTTACTCCTCGGGCCCGCCTCGATATAGGTTCCGCCGAGCTTGAGCATCTCCACAGCCTGGGTGACCATGTCCTCGACGATCTGCCTGGCGGGCTTGATATCCTTGATGATGGCGCTGACCTGGCCCATGAGGAAGGGCATGTCGATCTCGGCCTCCTGCTCGAGGTCGTACGCCATGGGCACGATGCCCCTGTCCGTGAGCTCCTTGATGCGCTCGGGCTGGGACTCCCATTTGGCGACGTAGTCGTTGAGCCGGACGCGCAGGGGCCGACCGGACACGACCAGCGTGCGCAGCGTGTCCGTAAAATCCGCGCTCACCACGGCTTCCTTGTGCAGTCTGCTGGCGCCGCTCTCTTCGGCCGCGACAAAGCGTGTCCCCACCCACACGCCCACGGCGCCTTGCATGAGCGAACTCGCCAGGCTGCGGCCATCGTAGATCCCGCCCGCGGCGACGACCAAGGCGGGTTCGCCCGTCAGGGGGGATTTGTATTTCTTGGCCACATCACACACCGCGGGGATCAGGATGCTGTTCGCAATGTCCCCCGTATGTCCACCCCCTTCTGTGCCCTGTGCGCACACAATGTCCACACCCGCCTGCAGTGCCTTTTCGGCGTGCTTGGGTGCCCCGACCATGTTCATGACCAGGATCCCGGCCTCGTGCAGACGTTTGATGGTCCGCGCGGGGGGAACGCCGACCGCGCTGACGAAGATCTTGGCCCCGTTGCGGATCGTCACTTCGATCAGCTCGTCCAGCTGGCCGTGCGTGTAGTCGTGGTTGGTCTTGCGTGCGGAGCCGCCTACTTGGGGCAGGGCGAGGTCGACGCCGAAGGGGAGGGAGGGGTCCGTGAGGTTGGATTTGAGGTCGTCGATGATCTGGTCGAAAAGGAATGGATGTGTCAGTAGAAACGTTACTGTGGGATCATAACTCTGTTGGGGGAAGAACAGGGTGGGAGAAGGTATAGGTGCATAGCAGTGCATAGCAGCAGCGCAGAGACATGAGAGGAGGGCCAAGGGGATAGAGTCAGGGCAGGGCAGGCCAGGGCAGGGCAGAAGGACAATGGGGGAGGGGAGTCCTTCAATCCATCTCTAAAGATCTTCCTTCACTCCACCCATCCACCTTCCCTCGTCCTCTATCCTCCATCCATCCAGCTCCCCCATTCTCCATTCTCCCTTCTCCATCCTCCGTCTTCAACACACCTCTCACACCTCATGAAATAAAAAACAACAACAAGCCAAGGTACCCAAAAATCATGACCCAAATCAAATCACCCAACGAGAAGAAAACGTAACTCACCTCCTGCAACTGCTTCGGCGTATACCCCAGCCCGCCAATCGTCCCGATCCCGCCGGCGTTCGACACCGCCGCGGCCAGGGGACCGCCGGACGTGCGCGCCATCCCGGCCAGCATGATCGGGTACTTGATGCCCAGGAGCTTGGTGAGCGGGGTGTTGAGCGCGGGGACTGGCGAGGACGACATTTTGAGAGGTTGGATGGAGGGTGATTGAGGTTGAGTAGGTAATGTTTCAGTTTCTGGTGCTTCGGTGTCGATGACGAGAAGAGTGTCTGTATCTCTGCCTGGATTCGCTTGGTAGCTACCTAGCTGTGTAGCTGTATATCGTATGTGTCTAGGTAGGTAGGTACTAGTTACCCTCTGCAACGGACAGCAAGGTAGGTCCTGAGTATACACAGATGCCCGTGTGTGTGAGATAGCGTAGCGTGAGCCTCAACTCAAGAACCAAGCCGGAGTCAATCAGTCAAGTCAATCCTTCTTTTTTCGCTGTTCTTATATCCCACGCAGTCCCGAGTACATGGTATTATATCAGTAAAGTAATTGGGAGACGAATCCAACCTACCACCAGCGGCCCTCTCAGGGCATTTATTAAATGTCGATTCCCTACCTACATACCTAGGCAGTAAGCTTGCTTGACGTCTCAAGACTGACATCGGTTCGCAACCCGCCCCAACAGTGTGGGGTCGCTACCGACTCTGGACCGAGGTAGGTTTGCCATGGAGCGTGCGTGACTTGCCGAGCTTAGACTCTGGAGATACTCGAAGTAGTAGGTAGGTACCGTAGGTATTATTGCTCGGGCCGATTGGTAGGGTAGGTATGATTGCCATGTAGCGATATACGACTTACCTGCTATGTGGTACGCAGGAGCACACGCCCTCCGCGGAATACTAATCTTTCTACGACCGAATGCTGTACTTGGGGCAGCCTCGGGGAGAATGGCAGGAAAATAGGGCGAAGCGATGAACATAAAGCCCACTCGTGTGTTTGTACTCGTATATGGACATTGGGAATTGCAGACTCCAGCACTCAGGAATCCAGTTCTAAAGTCAATGCTGGGCTATCAGTGTCAAGTTGAAAACAACAAAGTTCCATCGCATCCGTCTCAAGTCACCACTGCTGCGACACCTCTCCAGCCTATCACATCTTACAGTTCAGCCTCCATCTTGTCCAGAATGGTCCTGACAAATTCGTGCGTCGTAGCATCACCACCCATGTCTCGAGTGCGCACCTTGCTGTAAACCAGTCAGTCTCTGAGTCCCCATCTCGCAATCTTGCACTTACCCGTCGGCAATCACATCGTACACTGCCCGTGAGATACGGTTGGCATGCTCGTCAAGACCCAAATGTCGGAGAAGCATGGTGCCCGACAACAAAAGAGCTGTGGGGTTTGCTTGGTCTTTACCCTGGATGTCGAGACCAACGTGTCGGCACCCAGGCTCAAACACCGCAACGTCCCGCCCCATGTTGCAACCAGGTACGACGCCCGGACCACCCACAAGCGCCGCAGCGATGTTCGTAAGAATACCTCCGTACAAATTGGGCATGACCATCACATCAAACTGTTGAGGTCGCGACACGGCTTGCATGGAAGCATTGTCGACAATCATATCGTTCACCTCCAAGCTGGGATAATCTTCCCCGACCTTCTTGACCGTGTTCCGGAACAGGCCATCTGCCAGTTTCATAATGTTGGCCTTGTGGATACAAGTCACCTTCTTTCTGTTGTTTGCCAGCGCAAACGAAAAGGCAAATTTGGCAATCCGCTCCGATTTGGCCCGGGTGATGATCTTCAAGGACTCGACCACTCCCTGCACCGACTGGTGCTCCAGACCAGAGTACTCGCCCTCGGTGTTCTCACGCACAATGCACAGATCGACGTTCTTGTGTCGAGTCACCAGTCCAGGAATGTTCTTGACCAAAACCACCGAAGCGTAGATGTCGAGTTCTTGTCGCAGCGCCACGTTGAAGGATTGGTGGCCCGATCTCTCGATGGGGGTGTGTAGGATACCTTTCAACCCAAGCTTGTTCCGTCTCAGCGACGCTATTGATTCCTTGAAGAGGTCTTCCGAGTGCTTGTCTCCCGTGTCGACACCCGACACATCGACTTGCTCCCATTCAATGGGGACATTGTCGGCCTTGAAAATGGTCTTGACTGCTTCGGCAACTTCGGCACCGATACCGTCACCTGTTGCCAGTTTCCACGAGTGAGCACGAGTACCTTTCGCGAGCCGCGGAGCTCGAGGGCCATATCGTACCAGGAATCAACGTCACCGTGTATTTCCCCCCGTATTTCGTAGGCTTGAAGATGTCGGACTCGACGGTTGCGTAGGCTAAATTCAGGAGCGACTAAATCAGCTTCTGAGTGAGATGGACCACGGGTGAAAGATATGCTCACATCTTGCGAGAAAGGGCGAAGCAGCTTGCGGCCGGGTTGCCCGCTGAGCAGCACGGAACAGCGCCTGTGGAAAGAAGCAAAAAATGACCAGTTAGATCCTGACACTCGAGGCAGCTTTTGGATGGATTCTTACCTGAGCGCCACGAGTCGACCTGGCCAGCGACATTGCAGCGATGCGTCAAACAACGACTGGACTGGGGTGCGAGGACGGTCCTTGTCGTGGTGCGCGGAAAGCAAAGCAGAGAAAACTTATCGCAGGTGGAGGAGCTTTTGTTTCTGATGCAAAGGGCAGCACGAAGCTCCTGGCCAATCACTGCCGGCATCGTGGGCAGCAAATCAGAATGACGTCGGCGGGCCAATCCGGGCTCGCCGGCTGATTAAGCGAGGCTGCGAGGCATTTCCTGGTTGAGCGGAACTTGAAGTGAAAGGGAGACTCTCTTCCATTGCAACATGTCAATGCATTCAGTAAATCTGTTGCTGCATCACAAGTCAACACTACAAAGCTAAAAGCATGTGTCTGCTAATCATTCCTTTCCAACGGTGGTCGCGACATCGTCTACACCACACCCAAACCCTTGCCAGCCCGCGTCTGCAGAACCTAGTAAGTCTTGAAGTTCAACGGTCCTTGCTTATGCCTCAATTTGGCTCCGAAGAATTGCAAGAACACAACCAGGAAGAAGGCGGCTCCCATGATGCCACTCTGAATGCCGTATTCCGTCTGTGTGCCCGCTTTGGTGGCCCAGTTGATCTGGATGTACCTGCATTGACAATATTAGCACATCGAAGGAGGAAAAGAAGATTCGACACATACCCGATGATGAATCCACCCAGGGTTCTGGCAAAGTTGAGCAAGGCAGCACACTCGCCAGCAGCCTCAGGGTAGGCGTCAAGCAAGTACGCACCCACCGCTGAAGTGGTGACAATCGTGGCGAAATTGTGCATTCCCCATCCCACGACGATGACCCAGTAGGACCATGCGGGAGCATGGTGAAGAGTCGTGCCGATCAGATTATAGCCAATGAGCTTGATGGGCAAAACGAGCCACAAGACAATAAGTCTGTTCTCGGGGGCGATGACCCCGTTGTGGCGCTTCGCCCACATTCTGGCAATGAAGTCGAACATGAAGTGACCAATGACCAGTCCCAGGATCGCACCAACGACAGGCGCGGTGTAGATGGCCGCAAGGTTGCGGAAGTCAAAGTTATATGCAGGAATGATGAAGACTGAGATGGTTGTGTTGTTTCCAATCGTCCATGGGACTGTATCAGGTTAGTCTTGTTGGGAGGACCGGGCAGAAACCCACTTACAGTCAAAGAAGTAGAAGAGGCAAGTCAGGAACACTGGCAGCTTGAGAACGGTGTATCCCAACCGGGTCCCGGCTTCCAGGAAAGAGTTGGTCGTGTAGTTGGTCTTGTACTGCTCAACACCAACCACTCGGAGAAGACGGTTCTTGCGCTTTGGGACTCGATCTGGCATCAAATGTCTTGGATAAAAGGTCTCGTCACCAAGAGTAACGGTCAAAACCAGCCCCAGCATGATGATGCCGAAGTTGAGCCACATTCCTGTTCTCCATGTGCTCACACTGAGGATTGCGGCCATGAACTGCGGGCCCAGGAAAGGCGACAAGATGATGGCGGTACTCCAGATGTTGATCTTCCGGGCATGCTGGTGGAAGAACCAGACATCCTTGATCCACATGAGACCGCCACCCGCACCAGCAACAGCAAACATGCCGTTCAAAATACGGGACGCCATGTATGATTCAAAGGACTTTGCGGCGGCAGACCACGCAGCGGTACCGGCGGAAAGACATCCAAACCAGAAGAGGACGGGAAGGCGACCAATCCAGGCTGACAGCCAGACGGTCAGGATGCCGCCGACACCCAGCATGAATGTATTACTTTTGACATGTTAGCGCCAAGCATGAGTTGAGCAGTGCTATCGAGACATACCCAGCCGTGGCATGGTTGACCTCATTCGGATTGATACGCCACTGTGTCGCCTGAGGAATGAGAGCACTTGCGCCGGTGGCGGCAGAGTAGTCCGAAGTCGCCGCGTTGACCCCAATGACCAACAAGATGGCTGCCTTTTTCCAGCTGGGCCAGTTCAAGGGGTCTTCGGGATCCTCTGTGGGCTGAGGAATCAAGACCTTGCCGTCGCTCGACTTTTTGAGAGGCACGTGGGGCGCAAGACCCAGCTTCTCGCGAATCTGGGCCTCGTCCAGCAAGTAGCCATCGGTCTCACCAACGCGGTCGAGGTCGACAGCGGTGGCCGTGTGGGTAGCAGCCTTCTCGTTGTTGTTCTCGCCACTAGAGATGGAAGGCGGTGACGAGGTGTCGGCCTCAGGTGCCTGAGTGACCGACGCCTGGGGCACGTCCTTGGGTGAAGTTGGCTCGTCCGCCATGACTAGACTGCTGTGCTGGAAGAAATGGAGAAAGGAAAAAGCGCAATCGAAGAAACACCCGGTGAAGAGGAAGGGGCAAGTGAAGATGGAAGGACCAGACCAGAGTAAAGCCAGAGGGCAGGGGCTCGCGTGTTGAAATAATATTTCTGGTGCTCGTGTCACTTGTCGCAGCAGTCGAGTAAACAATGACTAGGGTCCTAGGGTCCCAGCAGGGCCAGCAGGGGAGGGGTATTAGCTACTCCTTTTAGTAGTGAGTCTCAATCAAAGAGTCATTGGCTTTCCTTTGGCTGCTAGATACTTCCGTAGCGCAAACTGCCATGCAATCGAAGTATAACAAAGGCCCCCCTGGGCGCTGGCCGCTGGCGAGGCTACCGGTAGATTCGCTTACAATCGGTGGAGCCAACATTACGGGTAAGTTTCGACTACGAGCTGCACCCCATGAAGAAAGGATGATCCGACTAACCGCATTCTTGGTTTTGACAAGTCTTTTGACAGGACTTTGAATCGGGGTATTCGAGAGAGGACCCAGAGAGGCAGTAGGGTGCTCCAATGCCGACTGCCGTTGGATGTTCATGAGGAAGCGCTGGAGTGAGTCCCTGTCAAGTCTCGTATCCCGTAGGCACTGACTCAATGGGTCGGACAGACCGCTCAATGGGACATTCTCCCACTTGACTGACGACAGGAAAGGCGAGAGAAGAACAGTGGCCCTCAGCGTCCACGGCCAGTCAGCCACGAGTTTCAAAAAGTCAGAGTGGCGGAGACGGCGATGGTTGATTCGACGGAGAACTCAAGCCCAAGCTAGGAGGCATTGGAAAAGATTATTTTAAATTTTTTTGGTCAACACGACAGAGGACAAAGAGACAGCTACCAGAACAAGGAGAGGCGACCAGGTTCGAAGGCTTGCTGGAGGTTGCTAAAGCGAGACGAACGAGGCACCCCAAGGCACCCAGAGGCACCACAGGAGGCTGCTCACTGGTGTGGACCGGGGGTGGGCTACGGACCCCGGCACCCACAAAGTACTATATTTTGACTAGCGCCGGCCGCCCGGTGGAGTCGGACCGCCGAAGATCAAGTGGGCTGACCAATGGGAGCTTGCAACGGAGTTCCAAGGGGCCGGGCGTTAATGCATAAGGCTGGTGAGGCTGGCACGGCGGGTCGATTTCAGGGGAGGGAGAGGGAGAAGAGAGTGGGAATGGGGAAGAAATCAGTCTCTCGAGGAGCAAGGGGGTTGGGGGCATGATTCGATTGGGAACCTGTCCTCCCAAATCAGCCAAAGTTGGATGTTGAATGAAAGCCAGTCCTGTCTACGGAGTACTAATACGAGTAAAGCGGTAACACGAAGAGCAGGATGCCGCCCGGTCTTCTCAAAAATGCATATGGCCCGCCAGCCATCTATCCCATCCAAGCACCGATATTGTGAGACCGGACGGACGTTGATATCTGGACCGAGTAGAACCGGGTGCCTCGTCCGATGCATGCAGACACCAAATTCGTTACCGAACCTCGTCTCCCGTTGGTAATTGCTGACTTGTCTACCCCAGACCACCTGGCAATATGGACTGACTAAGCCCTTGCTCAAGGGGGCGCAACCTAAAACACAATGGGGATGCTCGACGAGGCCAGGAGCTACGAGTAACTAGTAGGGGCACTGGGGCTACGACTATCATCAACGGGCGACTCCAAACTCTACCCGGTACGAATTATATATGGTGTGGCTTTGCCAACTAGCCAACTAGCCATCTCTGCAGGCGTTGTCGCTCACTCAGCTGATCGATCGTCTTCTTTCACGGGGATGAACTTCGAGACAGATACCACTTGCAGACATGCCAGGTGGAAAAATCACTAGTAGTGGAGGGAAATAACCATCACGGCCCAGGTCGATTGATCTATTGACCGCTCATCCTTCAAACCTCATGAGCCAAATCTCGCAGCTGCTGATCAAAAATCCCCTCGCTCGGCGGATCAAGATCTTCTCGCCTTGTCCCCAATAATCTAAGCTCTCCACATTCGTGTCCCTTTCGTCCATCCCATCGCTCATGCCCCAAAAATTTCATACTGACTCAAAAGGCTCTCATTAAGTGACTGACATGATGGCGAAGAAGGTCCCCGCCCCCCCTGCACTCTTCGGAGATAGTACAAAACAGCTAGATTCGCTCATATGCTCGTCCTGGGACAAAGAGATTTTTCCGAGGAGAAATAAGACCGCACGAAGATATTCCTGCCTGCAAAATGGGGTATTGAGAAGTGAAAGACAACAATAACTATCCAGCAATGGTGCGAGAAGTGCTCATCACCTCTTCACCCTGGGAAACTTGGTCAAGTCGAGACATATTCGTTCACATGAACAACATCGAGCTCTCGCGGCGTCTTGCCCTGACACTCGCTGCATTTTCCGGAGCCATCATATTGTTCGATCCTCCATACTGATTGCTCCCTCCGTGTTGGTTGGGAGGCTGCGGAGGAGGATATCTGGGTGCGCTCATGGGCGCCTCGTGCGGAAACGACACGTATTGTCTAGACTCGTACGACGGTTGGATCGGCGCAAATCCCAGCTCGTTCGGAGCATCAAGCTGATACTCGGGTCGTGCACTTGCTTGCATGCCACCTGTAGCCCGTGCGTTCTGAGCAAAACTGTCTTGATTGTACATGGGCGTCGGTAAGTCGGTAAACATCTGCCGCCGAGGCGATCGGATGTCTTCTGGTGTTAGAGCTCCCTCCCCACGTTCCAGCTCCAGCTCCGTCGATCGCACGGACTCCCGATCGGCGGGTTTGTCGAAGATCGACTCAAAATCCGTCAAGAGCAAGGCAAACAAGGGCGCTGGGATGTTGAGAGTCGGGGAGAACACGATTCCGACGTTCTTAATCGTCATCTTGTTCCGCTCTGAGTTCTGGACCACCTCAAGTAAATACTGTGAGAGCGTCCGCAGCAGCGAGAAATTCGCGCTAGGCAGCTGGTGCACCAGAAGGTTGAAGGCCACAATCTTTTGTGACTTGTCAGGCAGCTCGAGACCCTTCAGGAATTCCAGATGCAATTCGCGGGTCAAAATCGTCGAAGGCAGCTCACGTAGATATGTTTTGAACAGCGAAGCAACGGCATGAACATCGTAGTCCTCATCCTCAGCCAGCAAATCAACGTCGCCCTCAGTGTTGAATCGATCTTTGAGCAGCCGGATCACGATATTCGACCCGCTAAGTCGGAACAAGCCCTCCTCATTCGCAGCGTTCTTGGCTCGGAGGAACTCGATGCAGCGATAAACCACGGCCGGAAGATACACCTCCACGTCCACAGGTGAGTAGTACTCCACTGCCTCTTGGAGTTGCATCCCGAACACCGGTCTGACATGCCCACCTCGGTGAACGTTGTTCTTCGGATGAGCGGGCTGCACAGGGGCGAGTTGCTCGTATGACGGCTTCCGGAAATGGAAGAGATTGCGCTTCTTCTGCTCCCGCTCTTTACTGCCACTGCTGCTCGCAGATTTGTTGCCCCAGCTTCCGGCATCCGAAATGACAGCACCGTTCATTGGGCCTGAGATATTGTACGGCTTGGAGACTGTCACAGGTTCCTGAACGAGCTCCGGAGTCTGGCTAGACGCGATGGAGGGAGAAGGCGTGTTACTGTGAGTTTGTGGACTTCCGTTTGACTTAGACTCTGCGTCCTCTTGTCCCATTCTTTGAGAAACCTTCCCGTCCTTGGCGTGTGATGACTGGATGCCCGCTCCGTATTGCGATCTGGGCTCCGCCGGCCTCTCGTCGATGTAGTGCAACAACGTCTCCACCCATTCGTCGCGCTCCGCATCGCTTTCTGCGCAGAGCACGTGCCGAACGTGGCTGTTCATGTCCTTGCGCTTGGGCTCGAGGATGAGAAAAGCGTGACGGTATTGGTTTTCTGAGTCGACTTCTGCGTTTGAGGCAGGATCAGACTGAGTTTGCCGGCCGATACGCGCATTCAACAGCTTGATTGTGCCAAGATGAGCACCGCCAGGTGCTTCGAAATATCTCAACTCTGGACTGTCCAGAACAAAATACCGCGACTTCCATCCTCCAAAGTTCTTCCCCTTTTTGGTCAAGTACCCGGATTTGGTCGGAATGCCGGAGTTCGATTGTGTCACCTGCCTGCTTTGTGCATTCTCACTATTATGTAAGGGGATGGTGAGTTGTGGCTCCATCACATCTGTCGACAAGAATCGGCATATGACCGCAGCTGCTTGTTCATCCATAGGAGTGTCGAGCAAGTCATCGAAATAGTCATTAATTGCATTTCTTCTCGCGTCAACGACTGCAGGTGAATGACCTGAAAAGAGCTTTCGGTCAGGTAATTTTGGTAGATCAGGACAACGAGACCTCAGCTGCTGTTCCAGAGTCGGAAGTGAAGTAGGAATTTTCTCTACGCGCCAAAGTTCAGATGAGGTAGCGCGCTCGAAAATGGACAAGCTGAAAACAGCGTTTTCTTCTGCCATCCTCAGCCCGAGCATGCTGTTTCTCGCGGGGCGCAGTCGAGAAGAAGCGACCTTCACTTGAATCGAGGGCAAGGCATTTGGAGGAAGAAGCAGGTCGGGCCAACTTGGATCGACAAGCCCACGGCTCACTGCTGGCACCTCCCCTGGGCTCAGAGGAGATTCATGGATCTGACCTCGGTCCAACTCAGCGCCAGTAGCGGTGTTCATCTTCGACAGCGACGAAGGAACGGTCTTCTTCTGAGAATCAGAAGCAGCTGCCTGTGCTTGTGCCAATGCTTGGGGGTTAGGTGCTTGCTGGCCGGGTGTTGTTGGCATAGGTAAAGGCATCTTGGGTGCACGAGGTGAAAGCGGGAAGTTACCTGCCGGAACACGTGGAGACATAGGAAGCGCTGATCCCATCATGGGACGAGGGCTCATCGGTAGACCGGGACTTCGTAACGGGAGTGACAACTGAGCTGAAGATCCCACCGAGCCGGAGGTTATCGAAGCAGGCGAGAGGTGATCTTGTCTCAAAGGTAAAGGTTGGGTGACTTCAGCAACAGCCGGGGGAAGAGGCATCTGGTCAAGAACGGTGGGTTCTTCTGCTTCTGGCTTCGCTTTCTTTTCCTTTTTGGACCGACTTCTTGCTTCTTGCTCTTTAAGGGCAAGAAGTTCACGGTCCCGATCATCTTCTTCTCGAGTTTTTCGTCGCCCTCTCGAGATAGGATCTCGCTCTTCCTCATCTTCGTCACCACTGACAATGACGTCGGTCGGGACAATGACTTGATCAGCTGGGAATTCCTCCTTTGCTGGGCGCAGATCAAGTGGTTTGGGCGGTGCTTTCCTGGAGGCTTGGAATGATTTTGGTGGCTTCTCCGTGAGCGGAGTCGCCTCGGTGAGCGCAAACGAGGGCTGTGCCAGCTGTGTAGCCAAGCTCTGCATCTTTGGTGGCTGTTGTTGTAGGTGAAGCGGTGACGGCATCATAGCCGCATCAATAGGGGAGCTGTGCACTTGCATACTGCTAAGACCCTTGATCGGAGTCTGCTCCTCAGTCCTCAAGCTTGCGCCGTAATCCCCCAAGGGAAGCGTCACTTCCCCGTCAGATTGAGGTGAGTTGCCTTCTTCCAGCCGGAGACGGTCAACCTGCGACGTCGAGGGTTGAGCCTGCAATTCCTTGACTTTTTTCCGGTATCTGTCCCTCTCTTTTGTCAACCGCTCAAGGTCTTTGTTCAAACCTAGTAGCAGCGCCCTCTGCTTGTCAACGAGTTTCCATAACTGGGCATTTTGAGCCGCAGCGTGACCTTTATCCTTCAAGAGGTGCTGGATCAGGTTCTCCGCAGAGCCCGCCGTGGCAATGAGATTTTGCACCTCTTCTCTGCTGGGCTCCTTGACCTCTCCCAGATGTTTTTGAGCATGCGAGGCGTTGGAGATACTTGAAATGGCGGAATCGATGGAGGAAGTCCGCGGCATATTGTTCGGTGGGTGCACGCTGGTCGACGAAGAAGCGTACGACTTTGGGGATTCAAAGAGAGGCGTAACACCTTGGTCCTTTTGACTATGAGATCGTGAGGACACGCTTCCCTCCTGCTCGTTCGGCGGCGCAGTGCCGTCGTAGCCCTTTTCTCGCGTCAGGGCAGCCTCACCCTCCGTTGTATTTTGGACGTGTCTCTTCCCAGAATCATTAGGTGCAGGCGCCTTCCCATACAAGTCGTCGTCCTCTTCCTCAATCTTGCGCTGCTGGGTCGGAATCGCCCTTGAGCTGGACAACGAGCTCAGGTAGTCTCGAGGGATTAAACTACCTTGTAGCACGGCGGGACTTTGTGGTTTGCGGGAGGCTAGAATGTACGAATGAGGGCTGGCCAGCGAGGAGGTTGAAACAACAGCGGTTGTTTGGGCCAAACGATCCTGGGGAGACTGAGGGGGGAGTGTGTGGGCGGTCGACTGGGACATTTCGGGCAACTCGATCAGGCTGCATAGGGAATGGGGGGGTTTCTTAGACTTTGGGCCATTATTGGCAAAGGTAAACGGGGGAGAAACACTTGGAGAGCGCTGACAGGCCAGCTGTGCAACTTCTCAAAGTTCCTGCAAGTTCTGAGAGGCTCCGGAGCACGCAGAAGAGCCTAACGGAGCCAGCGTCGAAGTCGGTGTCGATTTGCTCGTGCTGCTTCACAAAAGAACGAGTGACGAGCGCAGGAGAGAGCAAAGCGTGGCAAGCTTCAGAGGTGGCCGTAAGCGCCGGGAGGCACGCCCAGAAGCAGGCGATTGGCCGTCAGGGAGGCCAACGTGGACGACTGCCGGGCCTTTCAGGTTGATGGACAGCAGTGGGAAATACGAAGAACAAGACGTGGAGGTGGAGAGGGTTACCAGGCACCCACCAGGCACCTAGCAGTGGGTGGCAGGCAATCTTCCCACTGGCTGCCACTGGCTGCCCTCTGCTGCCACCGGTTCCCACCGGTTCCCTCTGGTTTGGCTGCACAACAGCCAAAAGAGCCAAAAGCCTGCGCCAGGGCCACTACCAAAGACGCAATCATGCACCTAAAGATTATCCTCCTCTCCACCTTTCGCCTAACGAAATATCTCCGTCAGAGATAGAGGTCTGTCGAGTCTCGCAGAAACAGTGAGCTTGATGACCTCCGTCCCAATTGTCGGTCAGACCGTGTTCGATTTCGAGTTCCTCTCTCCAAAGCTCACGCACCGACAAACACCTCCCTCCGTCCGCGGTAATCTAGCAATCTGCAAGGACAGGAATCTGCGCAAGTTGGGCTCAAACACTCGCGGGAAAGGCATGAAACAAACGTGCCCGGCCCGCTTTCTGGAAACCAAACCTCTAACCATGCTTAGAGCGACGCACCGACGCGACCCTCCTCTTTGACAGAACCACGCCTACTCGTAAACTAACGGTCTAACGCTGCACCCTTCATCACGTATCATCAAGCTCTTTTATGGTCATCCTCCCGGCGCCGATCAGATTCTGGACCCTGAAAATCCGAGAAGCGAAGCGAAGGTAACCAGGCCCCCTGGCAAAGGCACAATGCCAATCGCGAAATTCTCACTCCCTTCCCCTGCTTCAGATACTCGTATTGCAGAGAAGAGGAGGGTGAGGTTGATCATAGGGGGAAAACAGGACATCTTTTCTCTGCTCTCACACCGCCAGGGAGAGCTCCCCCCTCCATCTCGAGCCGACGCTTGGATCGTTTCAGCTGCAGGAACCCGAGCACACCCAGTCCTTCCGTGTGATTGGCCTACCTTAGGCTTCGTCTCAGTCCAATCACCTCTGCCTTCTAGGACCGTATGTGCATCATCAACATCCTTTCACACCGACCAGATCCTTTGGTGGCCATTCAGCGGGTTCGAGTGAGCGTCTTCCACATTCTTCAGGAAAACCTTCAACTCTCGCTGACCTCCTTTGGAGGCTGAGCAAATGCCTGACCTTGAAGGCAAGTGAGTTGGCAACAAACATGATATCAGACTGCTCGTGATTGGTCCTCCAACCCTCCTTTACAGCCTGGAGGCGCCGGAACTCGTGACTACACCCGCTGGAATAGTCCATGGAGATGGCAAACACTCCGTATACACCAGCATATTGCACCTTTAATGCTGAGGACACACCTGGAGGGGTGCCTTGCGGCGACCTCCTTCTCGGCGTTGTTGCTGATTCGATCCAGCCCTGGTGGCTTCTACCAGTTCTCCAAAAGATACGAACAGCCCCAACACGTCATCCAGGTCGTTTTCGTTTGCTGGCCGTTCCCGGAGTCGACTCTCTGCTGGAAGCACCAGACCTACCGCCCGAGGTGAACTCAATCGTTCTCTTTCCTGCAGCTGATAGGCTTTTCTTGGAGTTGGAGTCTTGCTCGCGTAGGATTTGCTGACTTCGGAGCAGTTCCTCCTTGTATGCCAACGGAGGAAACCCCAGAGGATCCCAGACCTCCCGTGGCAGAGAAGTTCTGTACTGATCGTCGCCTTCCACTCCTGCTCGAGCCATCATCGTAGCCAATAAACCGGGATTATGGAACGTGGACTTCTTCGCGAGGTCTTCGTTGAAATGAACCCCTTTAGCCTTGAGCTCCAGGAAGCGTTTGAATTTGGCGTCCATGGCAGGATCAGGAGATCCTGGGGGCGAAGGCGGAATAGCCGTCATGGGGTGGGTTGCCTGCGTAAGCAAGTGAATAGTTTCACGTTCGGACATGTGTTGTTGAGATGTTTCTGCAGAGTCTTGTTGCTCAAGAACATTGTCGTCGCTCTGCATTTGAGCGGGCATGATGGGACCCAGCATCGGCCCATTGTCGACCCTCGTACTCGCGTCTCTCTTTTCGCCTAGCTCTACCGTAGGAAAGCCTTTGTTTATGTTGCTGCTGCCGTCAAGATCATCAGCTGGAATTGCGGAGTCGGCTGATTTTCCCTTGGACGGTAGACTGGGCGCGGCATTTGGGAGGGACTGCTCTTCTTCATCACTACTGCTTTCATAACTGACAAGTCCACTCATCTTAGTCGTTAGACGGGCTGGACGCAGATCGATGGGTAGAGGGACACTGAACTGAAGCCGAGAGACGAGCCTCAAATCGGCCTCCGCCAAATGTGGCGTTCGGATTCTGCTTGGCGTGACCAGCCACAGATGCGGCGGTGCAACTAGGCGGAGAGAGCAGTTGCGTACAACCATTCGTATGCAGGTCATTTTAAGGAAGCGGTCCAACATCGAGAGCTCAGGTTCTCTTCCCATCTACCCTGCAATCACTCAGTATCCTTGCCGCCATGGCTTCTCTCCTACACTCGGAACAGATACCGTCAGATCAACCTGGCTATTCGTTTGCAAACCACGCCGCATCAGCGCAAGAAGCCTCCGGACCCAGACAACATGCCTTCTATCCGTTCGTTTATCACCTGTCTTCCAGAACTCCCGCAAGCTTGCTGACCTTGGAAACAACAGATACACCGACAACGGCGGATCTACACTAGGCATCACGGGCGCAGACTTTGCCATCCTCGCCGGCGACACGCGGTCCACCTCGGGCTACAACATCAATTCCCGCTACGTGCCCAAACTGTTTCGCATCGGCGAGGACGGTTCCGACGAGCAGTCCTCCCGGATCGTGCTTGCGGTCGTGGGCTTCGCGGCCGACGGCAACGCCCTGAAGGAACGTTTGGATGCTATTGTCAAAATGTACAAGTACCAGCACGGCAAGCCCATCTCTGTGAAAGCGTGCGCGCAACGTCTCTCCACGATCCTGTACCAGAAGAGATTTTTCCCATATTACGTGCATGCGATCCTGGGCGGGCTGGACGAGGATGGTAAAGGGGCGCTGTATTCATACGATCCCGTGGGCAGCTACGAAAGAGAACAGTGCCGGGCGGCGGGCGCGGCGGCGAGTTTGATCATGCCCTTCCTGGACAACCAGGTCAATTTCAAGAATCAGTACATAGCGGCGTCGGGCGAGGGACACGATTTGAAACCGAGGGTGGCCGAGAGTCTGCCCAAGGATGTGGTTGTCGGATTGGTGAAAGATGCGTTTACAAGTGCGACCGAACGGCATATCGAGGTCGGGGATGGGTTGCAGATGTTGGTCATCACAAAGGACGGCATAGAGGAGACGTTCACGCCCCTCAAGAGAGATTAGGACCACTCATTCTGAAAGACTCAAAGCTCCTTCTGTATGCATAGCTCGGCGAATATGGGATCAGGCTGGAAAACCCGAAGCCACATGGGTTAACATGGGTTAGGTCAATCTAGTTTACCTGGGGTCACCGTTGAATTCGTTTCTATTCTTTTTTCGTCCATTGCATGAAGATGTTTGAGGTTCCACGAGCGAGAACGACAACATCATGCTATCATGCAGACCCATCCATTGTCTTGAACGCCCCGTTCCCATCTATCATCACAACATGTCATATGCACTCGTGAGAAACAAAAACGCCCCCTTCAATGCACCGCGCCATGCGCCGGGGGTAATCGTGAAAAAGCACACCAAAAGGGGATCAACGAGGTTAAAACCTCTCCTTCATCCTCGCCGCCACCGTCCTCAAATTCCCATAAACCTTCCCCGGCGGCGCGCCCAAGATCAAACTGACCACCGCCTCCCTCGCAATCCTAATATTCTGGAACCCGCCCAGGATATGAATCTTTGAATCCGCCAACACTAGCCGAGTCTTTGACGTATTTTCAATCGCGAATTTCGTCTTGCCGTCCTTCCCCGCGATCCGCCCGATCGCTCTGCCCAGGTGTTCCCCTTGGAGAGTCTTGACGTCCTTGATCTCAAAGGTCTCGATGTATAAATCGTCCAAGCGCAACAGGGCGATGGCGTCGTCGACGTCGAATCCCAGGGTGAACGCCCGGACGAAGTCTTCGCCTGTTTGGAGCGCCGAGGCCGAGGTGGTGAAGCGGGACGTGCGTAGTTCGACGCACTTGGACCGGATGTTCATCCTCACCTGGAGTTTGAGGTGTTCGACTAAGGGTGGGTAGATCTTTGACCAGCTCGATTTGAGGGGGGACATGCGGTGTGGTGGGACGGGGACTTTGCGGGATTGGATTCGTAGAGCGGGAGTCGTTGTCTCTGAGAGTGAGGAGGAAGAGGATGGGGCGAAGCGAGGTCGTCCTTCTTCGTCGATTTGCATTGCTTCTGTCTCTTCCTCTTCTTGTGGTTGGAGTGCTGTGCTTTCGGGTTGAGCAGGCACTGTTATTATGTCCACGTCTTCGATATTTTCTTCTTCATTTGCTTCGGCTGTGGGAGGGATGTCATGGAGGGACTGGGATATGGAGTCTGCGATGGTCTCTGGAGGCGCGCGTTGTAGCGCCGTCGGTGCGGGCATGGTCGTCGATATCTCTGTGGGGAGTTGACGTCTCTCCGTGCTGTAAAGATCCGAAACACGTTCTTCACTTGCGCTGTTCTCTCGAGTCGGAGGGCTCCAGGTGTACAAGGCGATTTTGTGTTTTGGCGGTTGATGTTCGGCTGAGAAATAATTTTCTCCGCAGCGTGGCACATTTCACTACCAATTGTGGGGGCCAGCAACCCAGGAACGGTGGGAGGGTTCCGCGCCAGCGACAGGGCTCATTTCGATCGGCTTGCTGAGCCAGGTGATTCTCACGGCCACTTTGCATGACTCGTATTAACATTTCACGTTGACATTTTGTTCCTTGAAGAACAGGGGCGCCAGTTCCGGGCGCTGGGAGAATCGACAGTCGAATTATCAAACTTATTCGCAAAGCCTACTACAGCAGTCTCAACGCGAAACATAGCACTTCCAAGATGCTGTCACTACGCAGCGCAGGAAGCTCCCAGTTTCCGAAACCCCCAAAGTTCCTAATTACACATTACTTTTGTCCCGGCACAAAATTCCCATGATAGCCTGGCAACTCGGCAACCTGCCGGGTGGTTTCGCCCTCCAGCTCACTTCGTTCAAAGACTGGCGTTTCAGCCAGCTCCGGCGACTGCTTCTGGATCGATGACGGATTATCGGCTATTTCTGATGGCTTTGACTCCGAAGGCGGAGGCACAGGATCCCTGGAGGCGGTAGTTTGACGATTGCGACGGGTCCCAAGGAAGTAGGCAAGGCCAGCAACAAGAGCTAAACCTACAACTCCGCCCACGACGCCGCCGGCAATAGCACCGGTATGGGAATGGTGGATAGGGGGAGGTGTTGATGTTGTGGGACCCGGGGCCGGTACCGGGGTCGTCGGGTGAGGTGTTGGGGTGGTAGAGGCATGCGTTGGGCCGGCAAATGCTGTGTTTTCAGAGTAAGGTCACTTGTTCTCGAGATGAAGAGCACACTTACCAAATTCTGTCGCCAATGCAGGATCACTCCATGCGGGTTCGACATAGCTTTGGTCGTAGTATTTCTGGATCAGCTGCGCTCGTTCGTAGGGTGCAGCTCCGGCATCGTAGTGGTCCTTCCACTGCAATTCAGTCATATCCATAACCCCTATGCCGCTGGCCCATTCATCGAAATCGGCACCGAATTGATTGAGCGTACTGGGCGGACGGCCACCGATAGAGACCATTTGCCTGTTGCCGATGATAGAGCAAGTGTGACTGCACCGGCGAGTGGTGGTTGTCGCCGGGGTTTGAAACCATCTGAATGCAGGTAAAGAGAGGACATAGACGTTGAGGTAGCCAAGCTCATCAGGGTTGTTGAGGTCGTAGGTTGTGTTCGTCATGCCGCCGTACACAAATCTGATACGATGGCATTAGCCTAGATCTGCAGGTACGGAAGGGGTATACTTTACAGCTCGTAAGTCTTCCCATCAGATGAAGCCTTTCCTACTGTACAAAACTCTGTTCTTGGTGGAGGGATGTCTCCAGTCGCTCGCTGAACGTACCATGTATCAGGCGTGGATGCGTCATACAACACAATATCGGCCATATCGCGAAATGAAGTGTCTTGCTCAAATGCGAACTCTTGTTCGCTGGGGTTAGCACCTCCCACAACAATCAAAAACCCTGCTTGGCCGAAATTCGAGGCAAACTCAGCCTTTGCCTGGTTGAAGTATGGGGAGCTGTTTGGGATGTTAGTTGTGGAGTTAACCGTATTGCCACTGAATTCCTCAAACTCCACCAAGCCTGGGAGAATGGTATTCGGCGGGATCAAGGCGTTATTGGAGATGGAGCCTCCTAAGCTGTACAACGTCGAGTTGCCCACAGCCCAGGCTGATCCGAACGGGGCCTCAGATGGCGACTGTATATTTGTGGAAGGCGATGTTTCTGAAGTCCAATAGACAGTGAGTCCACCGGGTTCAAAGGACCAAAGATCGGCTGTCCAGTCCGTGCTATTGTATGCCCAACCACCATATTTGTACACTTTGCCTGTGTCTTCACTGTACCAAATTACAGGCCACCTGCGATGTGGCATGTTCGGAGCAGGGTCTGAGTTGTTGGCAATATAGACGGAGACGTTTGTCCACGACTGAGAAAGGTCGACCGAGATGGTGGGCCAGACTGCGACAATCAGCCTCGTCAGGCCTTCGTTTGGCTGGGGAGTGTAAACGCAACGATAGAAGGAATGTAACGTCCCGTTAACCCATTCCCATGCCTCTCCATCCGATATGTAGAGCCAATCGCCGACGACAACAGCTGAAACATCAGTAACATCAGTAACAAATCAACCAACCGCGGGGAGACTGCGTGTTACAGGATTGCCAGAACCATTGCGAGATGGTGGGTCGCAATAGCCCGCCTTGAACGCTGGAGACGGCCAGCAAAGCCGTGAGCGTTGCCCAAAACATCGTATATCAGGCCAACGCGGAGCGCTGGGTGAGAAGGATCTTTGTGAAGGAGACCAAAGTGACAGCCAAACGGGGTCGTACTGAAAGGCTCCATAGCTTTATGTCCAGCCGACTGCACTCGGCTTTTGCGGCTGAGAGGCAACGAGGTGCTGTCCGCCTACTCCAACATGGCAATCATCGCAATGACATGGTAACAGTTTATTGGGTGATACATTTTTCGGCCCCAAATAGTACAGCCGTAGTTGTTCGCTTGGCCCAAAAAGTAACGTCTTGCAAGGCGTAAAGTTCATGCGTCGCTGAGTAGCTATGGTTTTTGGGTTGATGCTTGTGCTGGAGCCGTGACAGTATCCTGTTCTAGGCCTGCTGCTAATTGGCACTTGTAGGCAGCTTAGTCCCATCTGAGGAACGCTAATCAGACGATGCAAACTCAATACCGTTTTCTCTGTCGATGCTGTGCGCCCAGCGGTCGTCCTTTTGAGCCCAGAACCTGGTGAAGTGTGCCGAAAGCCGCAGCATTTCCTACCGTGTGTAGGTACTCGGTATCGAGTACATGAGCGTTTATCTGTAAGGCTTATCCACTACCTCATATGCGCATAAAGAACTTGTTCAGATTGCTTGGCTGCTGATTGGTGCTCAGGTTTCCACCGGTCTGGCCATTTGTCCGCTTACAGAATTGCAGGGCCAATGCTCGACGTCGATCTGAGTGGTAGTATCGTTAACTTACCATCAGGTTTGAGACAATTGGAATAGAAGAGGGATGCAGAGATCTCGTCGGCAAAATGCACCGTAGAACGTGTGATCTGTGTGGAGGTGGTTAGACGAGAGCATTGGTATTCGTGTGGCTGTCAAAATGTCGCCTGGTGACTGGCTTCATTCTAATGGTCGACATCTCCTCCTTCTAGTCCTTCTAGCCTGATTGTACGAGGTAGGTTGGGGACTTTTAAATCCACATCAGAGGGTCGGAACGTGAGGAAACAGGATCAGGGTCGATTCTTGAGGCGGCTTTCTCTCTCGGGTGACGGGAGGTCAACAACAAGGAGCTTAGCCATGACCGTGTGCGAGAGGAGTTTACTGCGGGGAGGAGATTTAAACGTATATAACATTGAAGATTGTGCGAGAATGACGCGAAGAAGGTTGATTTGTCGAATGTGAGCTCACAATGGCGACCATCATGTGCAATGAGCTGCAAATTTCTCCGCATTCGACGAAGTCATTGTGGGTCTCCGCAGAACCGCAGAAGCGCAGAAACTTATGCGTCTTGCGTCTTGCACATGCATTTTGTCATTGTGTCGCTGCACTCACCGTCATCAACCAAGGACGACCACTTCCGTCCAACGAGGATTGCATCCATCCACCACGCCGTCATGGTCTTTCAATCATGACAGAGGCCTTCGTCCAGGGCATGCGCCATGTCTCCAGGATCGCTGCTTGCGTGCCGCCGCGGACGACAAAACTCGTTGACAGGCTACCAGCTTCCTCCGACCGGAGCTTCTCATATCACGTACCTAGACGGATATCAAACCTAACAGCCCCGAAAACTATCGCCAGCCAATTACGCCAGCCGAGCAAGCTTCCCCTTAGAATATGGCCGCTTCGGGTCGAGATTCCTGCTGGGCAAGGCGCAGAGTCCAGGTCGAGATCAAGTCCACCTCGGATGGGATGCTTCGCTAGAAAAGATGGACAGATATCAGAACTCGGATTTTCAGGACTTGGGAAGTATCAAAAAGATGTCGGAGGCAGCCGGCGTCGAGGATCACCCCTGATTCGGTGGCGAGGATTCCACACTACGCGCCTCGAAAGACAAAAGGCAGAGAGGGAAAAAGATGGGCATACAAAACAAGGAACAGCAGAAGATGCCTCAAGGTCAGACTCCGCAAAGGAGTCTGCCTCGCAGTCTGGCTCAGGACAGCAGCATTCCTACCAAAGTCGTTTCTACGATAGACTACACATGCCGCAGTTTCACCGTCCTACAAAGGAAGAACTTCTGGCTGCGGCCACCGGTTTCTGGTCTCGCCTCAAGGTACATTTCAAATGGTTCACAATAAAGAGCACGAGACCTTTCAATCTAGATGAAATTGTCGGTTTCATCTCGTGGATTGCGCTGGGTCATGTCATCTGGATCGTTGTCGGTACTACGACCTTCGTTTCTCTGGCCATTCTCGCCATCAATACCGTCTTTGCACAAGAGACCCTCGCTGGTTGGATTGGGAATTATCTGACCAAATCCTCTGGCCTTCAAGTCGTTTTCGAATCAGCCATTGTGCCCAAATGGGGTGATGGTGTCATCACATTTAAAAACGTCTTCGTCTCCAGGAGGCCCGGCCGAGCCCAATCTCGGGTCACCAAAGGATCTCCTCAAGCAGCAGCACAAGCATCCTCGGCAGAAGATCCCGTGCCTCCAGAAGAACAAAATTATACACAATTTGACATCACAATCGGGGAGGTCAATGTCACCCTGTCGTTTAGCAAATGGTGGAATTCCAAAGGCCTGCTGCAAAATGTGGAGGTCAAACACGTGAGAGGAGTTGTCGACCGCACTCACGTTTTTGCAACCGGCGAAGTCATTGACCCAAAGTCGCTTCGACACGAGCACAATCCTGGGGATTTCGAGATCGAGTCCTTCAAGATTGAAGATCTTTTACTGACAATCCTTCAACCCGAAGGATTCCGGCCATTTCCCGTCAGTATTTATAACGCCGATTTGCCTCGGCTGCGGAAGCAGTGGCTGTTTTACGATTTTCTCTGTGCCAACAGCATCACGGGCGAGTTCGACAAATCTCTCTTCACTATCCATCCGCGGCAAACACACTCGTATACTGGCACAACACTTAACGATCCCGAAGATCCATCCAACGAACCTTGGAAGAAACAGTCCCGGATTCGCATCGATGGCATAAACATCGACCACATAAACCGTGGAGTGGTTGGCCCCTTATCTTGGATTCATGAAGGCAATGTTGATATTGTGGCGGACATTATGATTCCGAATGACGGCGAGGAATCTGTCATGAAGGTCGTGACTGATTTCTATGAACGAATGGAAGCCACCCTGACGTCAAAGAAACATCTGGAGCAGCAACGTTACGGCGAAATTTCTTCTGAGGATGAGCCCATTGCCTCCGGTGGTGTCGTGCTAACAACTCCAAATTCCCAACCGGTGAGAGATGAGGACAAGCGCTTCATCGTAATGGATCTCCGAGTTCATTTGAATGACGTTCGTGCTGTTGTTCCCCTTTTCACCCGCGATCTATCATATATCAACAACGCACTTATCCGTCCCATCGTTGCCTATATCAATTCCCGGAGGACGTTCATTCCGATCAACTGTCGGGTGGTCAAGCGTCTTTCGGATTTTGACGGCAGCTGGACCGTATTCGACTCCGGATTGATGGACGATCTGTCGGCGGAAGTGTACGACGCCTTTGCAAGAGACGTGACAGATGAGCAGGCACGGTTGAGACGATTCAAGAAAGTCGGGTTGTGGAGTTTGCAGCTTGCGGTGCAGGCCATATTCCTGGTAAGTTCAGTTGGCCTGATTTTCTCCGCTTGAGCTGGCTCAGCTTGTTTCCTGTTCTCTGGTGACCTGTCGACTAAGTCAGCACTAGGGAATGGCTGGGAACATTGCTTGATCCTTCCACGACATTCACGAACGATTTCCACTCTATAATGCATGTCTCAGGTTACGTGCGGTGTAACAAAAGCGAATAATTGGGTTTAGACGTTGCTTCGACGGAGAATTTCAAGAGGGTCAAATTGACCCCTCGGGCGGATGGTGTATGGCGTTCAAAGGTGTACATATTTACATCCCTCTCCGGCACATTGAGACATCACATTTCTCTCCCGCGAGATGGACGTACATTGAGATCCGCTCAGTCGCCCTATCATGGATGAAAGAGTTCATTGCGAGCAAGTCTTATCCCTGAGCTTGGAACATCATGTCTTTCTGCTTAACTTCGTGCTCAACCCAGTGAATAACCAAAACTTCTTCAATCTCCCCCTCGCACAGCAATTTGCGGCCTCTCTGCTCCAAGTAGGACCATGTCCCGAGGTGATATTGTCGACCACATCAATACCAAGATATGCAAGCCCCACATGGTGTCTTGCTGGTACCAAGTTCCCCTCATGTGGGACGCGATACAAAGGCGCGATTGAGATCGTTGCCCCGCGCCATATTGCGTTGAAGAGGCCTTATCTCACGAAGAACATGTGTAGGGTTGACTCTGTATACAGCTAGCTCGATCGTTACTACTCGTAGGCCTTTGAGATCCACGAAGTCGCGCCATGGCACCGCCTTTTCGAGCCGATCAAGTCGGATCGCTCCTGCGTCCGAAAAGCCTTGTCGAGGCGAGGAAGAACTCGAATCTGGAGGGTGCGCGGCTCAGAAACGGTCCCGCCGCCCAGGATGATGATGCCGCCGCCGCCGCCGCCGCCGCCGATGCTAATGCCACCTCCAATGGAGCAGATCCAATGGAGGTCCTACGAACCGAGCAAGCAAAGGCCATCAAAGACGTTGTCGGCGAGCAACTTGCGCGACACGTCCTGCCCATTACCACGGGCGAGTACGAGCGGGGGATCTTCTACGGCAACTTCTTCGAGTCTCTCTCGGGCTTCACGGTGCGGTACAAGCCCATGTCGGACTTCAAGGTCGACTTCCCCACGAACCGGCCCTTGATCAAATGGGGGCTGCCTGGTCGTGACGCGGGGTTCCCGACCTCGAACAAGGTGACGCTCGAAAAGTCCGCGTATCTGGACGACTGGCTGTATTTCCGCAGCCTACTGCCGAAGGAGAGGTGGCGGGACGCGAAGATGACGGTCCCGCCGCCTGGGTGGTGGCACATCCAGCTCAAGGAACCCTTTGACCGCAACTTGTATGACAATGACGAGGCTTTGCTGCGGGACTTGAGCGCCGCCGTGAGGAAAGAAATCTTGACGCTGTACGAGCACGGCTTGCGGGTCGTGCAGGTCGACGACCCGAACCTATCCTTCTTCTGCGACGAGGAGTGGATCAAGACGTGTCAACGAGAAGGCGTCGACCTCGAGCGGCTGCTCGAGCTGTACATCAAGTCGCATAACGACGCCATCAGGGATTTACCCTCAGACCTCCACGTCGGAATCCACATCTGTCGTGGGAACTTCCCCAACGGCGTGGGCCTCGCTAGTGGGAGCTACGAGCGGATCGCAAGGAAGTTGTTCAACGAGACCGGCTACAAGTTGTTCTATCTCGAGTTCGACAGTCCCCGCGCTGGCGACTTCACGCCGCTCAAGCACCTCCCCGCGGACAAGGCAGTGGTCTTGGGCGTGGTGACGACAAAGTCCGCCGAGATGGAGGATTTGGGCGACTTGAAGAACCGCGTCTACCAGGCCGCGGACGTGGTGGCGGAAGGACAGGGTGGTGGGAGGACACGCGAGGATGCCCTCCGAGACAACCTTGCCGTGTCACCCCAGTGTGGCTTTGCCAGTGATCATTCCGAAGGAGGCGTTGGCATGACCACCGAGCGCATGTGGGAGAAGCTGGATCTGGTCAAGAGGCTGTCCGAGGAGATCTGGCCGGGCTGGGATAGAGATAGGAAATAGCCTGCTGGTAGCTGATAAGGTGCTACGTCCTATCGATAGTTGCTAAGGCCTTTCGTGCGACAACGAATATGTGTGGCCAGCGGTCTTGACATCAGTCAATACTGGGGAATGGACCATCATTTCGGATATGGCTATCTTTGACCTTTGCAGACATTATCTATCTCTCAAGACGACATCTTCTATGGGTCAAAACCAGCCAGAAATGTGACACCTGCCTCTTATCCAATGCCCTGGGAGAACGCCGCGATCGGCTTACAAATATAGACAGCCCATTACAGTGATTACTACTGAAAAAGGCGAAGGACAAACAGCTTGCACTCAGACGCACACCACACCACCTTTTCCTGGACGGTCTCCGCACACGTTGGGCTCAGGTGAGTCCATTGACAGACATGATCTCGAAATGTGGAGATGGTAACCTCATTCCGCCAATCTCCCCAGAGGGCAAGCTTCTCTGCTTAGATCCCAAGAAATGGGACATGTGATGAACTTGGAGTGATTCAATCTCGTGGGGTTGTTGCAAGAGGTTAGCCTGGCTCGTTTAGCGGTGTTTGCTATACGGTAAATCTGCGATGAAGTGGCAATCTCATGTGAGAAATTGTGCTGATCGTTACTTCGAGTGTTGACGGATCATCACTTGTTGGAACCTCGGAACCATTTAAGTCAGGAATGATCTTGGGTTTCTATAAAGATCTATAGCGGTTCCATGGCAATATTGAGTCGTGGAGAAGCGAACTACCACTAACCAAGTCGTCGAGCAGCAATGACCGTGTAGTGAGCTTCATGGATATTCTTCTTATAAAGCTACCGACTAGCGAGACCGAGTATACACTTTCTTAAGTTATCCGAGCGCGGCTTGTGGTTGTTCTCGAGGGGAGCGACTTGTGGTTGTCGATTACAACTTCAATATCGGCGATGTTTGGCTAGACACCGTAAGAAACATCCGGGAAACTGATCGAAATCCATGGACTGTAGCTACCTACGTCGATCACGTTGGAACTCTCCTTCGCTTCCTTACCGGCGACTGTCATGAGTTCCCCGATGGGGCGAAGGTTGGAGAGTGCTTTGGCTCGGCTAGCCGGAGACGTGGTATCGAGCGGGAGGCGGCAAGGAGTCTTCCTTGAAACTACGCTGTACGTGGGCAGGACTTCGGTCAAGCTGAGGCCGTAGGGACTCGCTTCGTAGTATCCCCTTTGTTTTCGGTGGCACCCTTGGGCCAGGCTTGTACATTTTCATCGCGGGGACATGATCGGTTCGACCTTCGAGCTTTGAGTGCCGGTATTGGTCGTGCGACGTACAGTATTACTATATTGCGGAGATCTTCATGTTCTATCTTCCCTCTAAAAGCCTAACCGCATAGTGCTGGGACCGTGTGGGCAAGTAGGATCTATATCTAGGTTGGCACAGCTTGCAGTTAAAACAAGCATTTTCCGAAGAACAATTTCACTTGGCACCATCACGAGCATGCGTTCCGTACCTTATGGACTCGAAAGGGACCTTTTTATCTTGGTTCCCAAACGCTACTACTTCGGTCAGACCACTTGGGTTATTATCCAAGCGTAATGTTGGACGAGCGCCCGGTTTCGCGCGTTCCTCCACCGACAGCGGTACGATACAAGGCGACAAGGTTTGTCTGTGTATCTGCCGAGCTGCGTCATTATTACTGCCCCCTTACGTCACTAGGACGTGGTGCTTGGTTTGCGACTGGAGTCTTATAGATAACATCGACCACCGGTAGCTGAGGGCCAGCCACGATCCAGAAAACGTTGTGTAGGTCACCCCCTTCGACCGATTCCTCCTTCGCCTTTCATTTTCATTTGTGGGCAGTTCTAGAGCTGCAGCAATGGAGCATCCTCGCCACTTTTGCGATAATACGAACAGCGTAGTGGGCAGAAATGGATATATACCTTAGCTTCGCTAGATTCTAGATGTAAAGTACCCAGACTCCCCTGAATAGTATCTGTGTTCGTATCTAACTAAGAGCCACGCGATGCTGCCACGCGGCAGTGAGCATCACGCAAACGAAAGTACCACGAGCCACCTTTGCAAATCCAGATTTACAGTTGCCCACTGGCAACTAACCAAGTGAGGCTAAGCAACGAGAGCGGAGCCCCGCAGTGTCAATCGAGTATACTCCGTATCATTTGAGGCGGGGTGGCCGATCGAGGAAGGCCGGTGCATATTCCCCCGTCGCTAGAAGGATGAGAGGTGCCACCACAATTAAAGCTACATCGTAGACTGGCTGCTTCGGGAGAAGATACACCGTGCGGCACGGCGAATAGTGAGGTTACTTTCGGCCCAAGATGAAGCGAATGCGACGTTGCCGCCGGACAAATACCCGGAAAGGTGCAAGGCGGAGAAGTTTGGGGTATGGGAGATCAAAGTCTGGGTCCGGTGGCGCTTTCAATGCGGCTAAGATCAGATATCCACCGAGAGCGTAACGTCCCCAAGGATAAAGGCCTGGCAGTCCCAGATATCCATCTTTTTCTCTCGTTCCCCATCGTCCATCACACTGTCTCAGCAACACCGCCGCCATGAGTAACGTCGTCTCAGAGAAGCCGACCTCCTTTTCGGAGATCGAGGCACAGAATTCCGATGTCAAGCACGTTCAAGATGTTGTCGAGAAGGTCGATTATAACAGGGCGGGTGCGATCGAGGCAGAGAACATCGAACACCGGATGAGTGTGCTTGAGGCTGTCCGAGCATACCCTGCTGCCAGCTGGTGGGCATTCGTCATGTCAGCCACCATTGTAAGATTCTGCCCAGAGTTTGCCAGGTCATTTCTCTAACCGTCAACAGATCATGGAGTCATACTGTGTCTTCCTGATGGGAAATTTTATAGCCACGGCTAAATTCGCCGAGAATTACGGTGTATACAACGCCCAACAGAAAAAATGGCTCATCACAGCTCCCTGGCAGTCAGCATTCCAGTGTGGCGGACCAGTTGGTGCCTTCATCGGTGTCTTCCTGGCAGGTCCCATAACCAGTTGGATCGGATATCGATGGGCAACGATTGGTGGCCTCATGGCCTTGAACGCTTTCATCTTCATTTTCTATTTCGCCAATTCCCTGGGAGTGTTGCTACTGTCCCAGCTTCTGGAAGGCATTCCCTGGGGCATCTTTATCGCGAACGCACCGGCCTACTGCAGTGAGATAGTGCCACTGAGATTGAGAGCTCCTGCGACACAGATGTTGCAAATGTTCTGGGCCATTGGATCAATCATTGTCGGTGGCATCACCTATCACTACCAATCCATGGACAGCGACCAGGCGTACAGGTTCGTGCGCTCCCGCAGCTCTGATAGAGAAGCACTGTGCTAACAGCAATACTAGAGTTCCCATCGCTCTCCAATGGATGTTTCCTACTCCTCTTGCTATCCTCCTCTTCCTGGCACCTGAATCACCCTGGTGGCTGGTGCGAAAGGGCCGTCTCGCAGAGGCAGAGAAGTCCGTCAGACGCCTCGGACGTGCGGGCGCAACTGATAATCCCGGTGACTCAGTCGCAATGATGCGTCGCACGATTGAGCTTGAGAAGACCGAGAAGAAACCCAGTCTCATCGAGCTGTGGAAAGGCACCGATCGCTACCGCACACTCATTGTGTGTGGTGTGTATGCGGCTCAAAATCTGACTGGTAATTTGATCGCCAACCAGGCAGTCTACTTCTTCCAGCGTGAGTTCTCACGTTCTCTTGCAAGCGTCTCCATCGACTAACACAAGCGCAGGCGCCGGCATGGCCGACAATACCGCATTTGCCCTTGGTCTCATTACCTCTGCCCTCCAGTGGATCATGGTTATGCTCTCTTGGATTCTTACAACTTACCTAGGCCGACGCACCATCTACGTCTGGGGTTCTTTCATCAACTGTGCGTTTTTGATCGCCCTTGGTATTGCAGCTTCAGTTGGTGGCGGTACTGCGGCTACCCAAGCGCAAGCATCACTTGGCCTGATCGTCTCTGTCCTGTTCTGCTTGGGACCCGCTCCTGCCTCATGGGTCATCATCGGAGAGACGTCTTCTATCCGTCTGAGGCCATTGACAACCGGTGTCGGACGTGGTGCCTACTACGCTGTCAACATCCCTTGTATCTTCCTGGCCAGCTACATGCTCAACCCCGACCAGGCAAACCTCGGTGGCAAGTGCGGCTACGTCTGGGCGGGCACTGCGTTTGTCTGCACGGTCATGGCTTGGATCTGGATTCCAGAGATGAAGCACCGATCTTACCGCGAGATTGACATTCTGTTCAAACGTCGTGTCCCCGCTCGCAAGTGGAAGAAGACGGTTGTCGACATCAACGACGACGAATGACGGAAATGCTGTTCTAGAGTCGCTGAGATGCTTCATTCTGCATCTTCGTCTCGTGTTTTTCTAACCCACACGAGGTAACAGAGTCGGATAAGCTCATTAGCCGCCTCTCGTAACCTTCAAGTCTCTATGGAACCCCGCACGGGAGTAATGAGCTCGAGGGGAGGATCAGATAGGGTGTCTGTTGGTAAAGTCGCTAAGGCGAGGAGAAGCCGGCAAATGAAATATATTGAGAGCGATCTAGGCTCTGACATAGGCCGGGTCGCCCCGACGTGAGTCGAGTCGGGTTGCGTTATAGGTCGAAAGCAATACTATGACTTTGAACCTGGAGCGTGTGAATCAGCGTCTCGTTGGAGTTGATTTCGGTGACTTTGCTCGTTAAATTGAGGTTGAAAGGTCCCTGCAGGATTGCGAATACCTGTAATTACCTACTCAGGTACCTAGGTATTTGGTGGAGGATGCCATACCTACCTAGGTACTTATATACATGAGTTCACGTGACGTATCACGTGACTGTCGCACAATATTCACGTCCCAGAAGGAGGTGGACGCTAATCCCGTTGCCTAGGTAGCCAAGGCTGATGCCCAAGGTTGTGGGTCGAGCAGGGCAGACGAGGCTGAACTTCCAGGGTCCGCATACTGGAGGTCTTCACAACAAATGGTTCTCAAACTAGGAGGCAAACAGAACTGCACAGTCGGCAAGTCTAGCTCTGAGGACCTTTGACGGAACCATCTCCTTACTTATTCTCTCCTTTAACAACCTTCCTAGCTTCAAAGTGCCGGAGGCAATCCGCCGACGTCAGAAGTAAGGGGCACAGGCCTGACTAGAAGAGCGTACGACAGGGTAGTAAAATAGAGGTGATTAGCCATTAGTTGTAGGGTTAGTAGCACTTATAACGGGTATTCTGTCTACTCTTAAACACAACGGGATCCCTATATACTTATCGCCAAATATTAGCTACTTCTTATATGGCCGCCTCGTCGTCGTCAACTGAGTACTTTTAACACCGGACGGAACAGTCCAGATATCTCCGAGAATCCTCCGCAATCTCGACCAAGTCCAGTCCTGCCTCCTCTCGCTGTGGCGTGTGACGACCTTAGTTGCTTTGGGGAGACTCTGAAGCAGTTTGACTTCAAGAAGACCCCTCTATCCAAACTCGAGCTTGACGACGTCACTCTTGTGATGGCTCTATTTCGGGAGCTCCCTGCCCACAATAGCTACGGGCGTACGGCAGTGAGAGCCAGCACCTGTGAAGACAGTCTAGACGAGAGTGGACTATGCGGATTACCCAAGGGGTGCGTGATATTGCGATTCAGTTCGTAAAGTAGAATCGGATTGTGTAAAGGTGGAGATTCGTACAGAGTATGTTCGAGGCAGTTGAGCTCAGCTCATGATCTTAGCCTAAGCTAGACCGACCCATATTTTGACAGTATATCCATCTCGGCCGTTTATTGACTCCCAGAGAAAATCGACACAGACATCGTACTGATAGATCCGAAAGTAATTCAAATAGCTACCACCAGGGCCTCGCTTAAGAAATCTCGTGCTGCCATCATGACTCCGGGACAAGTTATCGACTGACTCAAATCCAATATCTTCGAATTCCTTGACGTTGAAGTGCGAAGGCTCCGGTTGAAGTATCCAAGAAGAGTCAAGGATTTGGCCAAGCTGTCTCTCGTCAAGCACCTTTGCCTCCTGCGATGTCCACCGTGGCGGTTCACTTTGAGTGAGCCAGACCAAGCAGACAGGCTTGAAGAGGCGATCGAATCCAAGTTTTATCGCAAGACAAGCGGGCGTGCATGGCGGCGGCTGTCGGAAAACGAGCACACCCACTGTCCCACACCGTCCTTCCGGCAGCTCCATGATTCTGTCTCGAGAATCCCATTTCCGCGCATAAACTTCTAGCATTTTCGAATTCTCCAAATGAGTGTCCATTACCAAACATTGGCCCAGACAAAAGCCATACATCTCGTCCCTTGGATCGTTGGCGGGTTTATCAGTTCGGATCAGTAGCCTTTGGCTCATTTCGAACGCCCCTACGGCCGCCCCCCGCAATCGGCGACTCAAATCTGGCTTCAGATATTCAATGTATCTTCCATGGAACGAGGTCCGCCGGTATTGGCCCAATAGCGGGTCGTAGTGGATGAAAATACCGATCAAACTGCCCTCAGTCATATCGCGGCACCGTAGAAGCGCAAGATAGATAAACATTGACCAGGGGATAAGCGGTAGTTCAATATCCAAACCCATGTTCGTCATAGAGTATGGCGTGTCTTTGTGAAGGTACGAGCGACCCCAGCCGATGTCATGACAATGTTTGAACAACTTTGGCGAATCTGCTAGGAAAGGTAGCGTTGATGCGTCGCCAGTCCAAGCGAAGACGGAGTGGTCAGAATCTCGCTTGATGATCTCCTCTTGAAGTCTCATGAATGCTTTTGTTCCTTCCCCATACAGCATTGGCATATTGACATCAAAAATCCCTAAAAGGCTGTACGCAATATCCTCCTTCCGCGTGGTGATTCTGCTTGACGCCCAAGCCATCCGCTGTGCAACAGAGAAATATCGCAGATCATACCCTGACAGAGCCTCTCGTTGAATGCCCGTTATGGTCGTGATACGCTCCAGAAGCGAGTCCTTTGTTCCAATGAACCTCCACAAACGGTCAAAGAAGCTTACTTCACTTGGGGCGATTAGCTCCTGTAGAGTCCATCCTCGAGTAAACCATGCGCTTAGTTCGAAGCTGTTGCCAATCTCGATCTCGTCTGGTGGCAACATAACGTCCGACAGATAAGCGTAGCACTTGGTCGCATTCTTGTACCATCCGTACATAGAGTTGATAGCTTCCGAGAGTTCAGCACTGCTGTCTTTGTTGATGCAGCAAGTATCGATCCAGATGTATTGAAGTCCGTCACGCAGTGCCTGCCTAGCCGAGTTGCAAACTTTTGCATAGCCTCGCTTCTGCTTGGCGTAGCCATCCTTTGTATCCTCGAACAGCACCTCACCCTCTTCCCATCTGTGAGAGAGGATTGCGTATTGGGGGATCTTGTCATCGTCGAAATATTCCACTGCGAGAGTCTGAGCGTTGATCAGCCGCATCTTTCCGGCGCTTGCGGCAAGATAAGGAGAGACGGCAAGGTAAGGGCTAAGTAAGGACGTCTAGGTGCGCGGCGCGATGTGCTCGATAGGTCAAAGGTAGCTTTGCGAGTCTACAACAGTCTGCGCCAGCCGCCCCAGGACTTGCGACGTGCTGAAAAGCCTCGAGGCTGGGGTAAAGAAGGAAGAAAGAGATAGACAGTGCACCCCGCCTCGCTTTCTACCAAGGCTGAGCACAGCCTCACGAACACCGCCTTGTCCCCACTCGATTGGAGTCTAAGCCCTGTAAGGAGTAAGGCAGAAACCCCGCTTTTCTCGACCGAGCCTGATGCAAATTTCGCGGAGGAAAGACGTGATGGGGATACGGCCTGCAATTCCTTGACCTACTTCTTCCTCCATTCAGAGACGAAGACGACTTATCAACTCGGCGGCTGGTGTTTCCAACTTCTGCTGATTGCGCAATTTTAGTGGCGAACAAAGATCGAGCTGAAGCGTTGCGAGTGAGGATGGAATGGCGCAATCAGCCTTGGAAGTTGCCTCTGAAAGAGGACTCGTCAAGTATATCTTCTCCTTCTTATCTGCTCGTCTCGCAGTGAGTTCTTATTATCCTTGACAGCTACTCCAGAGTCTCTGGCAACTGGTGAGCTACTAGACAAGCCAGTCATTTCCTACTGTAGCCTCTTATTTGAGTACTCTCTAGGCGACTTGAACACTTAACTCATCATCAAAGAGACTGAGCTTCTGGCCTGGCTGTTCTGACGCGGTGCAAAATGTCAATCAGCCCAAAGGAAGTGGACGCAGTCGTTGTCGGTGGAGGATTTGGCGGCATACGCCTGGTCAGCCTTCTCCAGGACCGACTTCAGTTTCAAAATGTCGTCGAATCGAGAAAGGTAGCGCTCTCGGCGGTACCTGGTACTGGAACCAGTATCCTGGCGCTCAGACTGATACCGAGAGCTGGGTCTATCGCTTCTCCGATGACCGTGATCCCCCTAGATGGGACACGCGATATCTGAAAGCCGAGGATCTCCAGGAGCAGATCATTGATACGGCCAAGAAGTCCAACGTCTTGAAGAGCTACAACTTCGAGAACGAAGTCGTCTCGGCACACTACGGCGCGAGGAGCAACCGCTGGCTCGTTACAACCGACAAAGGACTGCAGTTTTCTGCGACCTATTTTCTCACCGCTCTTGGGATTCTCACTAATCCCTACATCCCGGATTTCCCCGCGCTGGACTCCTTTAAGGGCCTCTCCTTTCACTCTGCTAGGTGGCCCAAAGGTCTCGACGTCACGGGAAAGCGTGTCGCCGTGATTGGCACTGGACCGTCGGGAAGCCAGATTACCGGAAGTATCCATCACCTCGTGAAGCATATTACAGTCTTCCAGCAGCGAGCACAATACATCGTCCCTGTCAATGATCGACCGGTGACCGAGGACGAGAAGAAGGAGATCTATGAGAACTACGATAAGATCTGGGACACCGTGTTGAACTCGCTTTTTGCCATGGGCTTTGTTGAGAGTAAGAAATCGGCGCTGGAAGTGTCAGAGGAAGAGCGCAAGGAGGTGTATGAACGCATCTGGAACAAAGGAGGCGGCTTCCGTTTCTTCTTCGAGACCTTCAACGACCTTGGAACAAATGTGGATGCGAACGAGACTGCCGCGGCGTTTGTTCGAGAAAAAATTGCTCAGATCGTCAAAGACCCCGAGACGGCAAAGCTACTCCAGCCCAAGGGGCATTACGGCGGGCGCCCCCTTTGCACGCAAGGGTATTATGAAGCGTTCAACGAACCTAACGTCTCCCTTATTGACATCTCTAACAATCCCATCGCCAAAATCACCCCTACTGGGTTGGAATTGCGAGACGGCAAGACCTTCGAATTCGACATCATTGTGTATGCGACTGGCTTCGACGGAGTCGACGGCGCCTATCACAACATTGACATCACGGGACGCAACGGACTCAAGCTGGCAGAAGCGTGGAAAGGGGGAGCCAATGCTCTGTATGGCGTCAGCGTGTCCGAGTTCCCCAACTTCTTCACCGTAACAGGACCTGGGGGACCCTTCGCGAACATGCTCCCATCAATCGAGCTGCAGGGGAATTTCATCATCAAGCTCATACAAGAAGCAAACAAGAGAGGGGATAAGACTGTCGAGGCGGACGCCAAAGCCCAGGCGGAGTGGGCTCAAACCGTGCAGCAGATCTCCAAGGCGACCGTCTTTGACAAAGTCAAATCATGGATCCAGAACGATAACGTCGAAGGCAAGAAGAAATACAGCGCCTTCTTCCTGGCCGGTCTGCAGAATTATATTGCCAAATTGGCCGACGAGACCGAGGCGAAGTATCCATCGTTTGTGTTTGCGAAGTGAGGTGAAGATGAACACGCAATGCTGGGTCTGTATGGATGGGCTGATGTACACAGAGCGAGAATAACAGAGAACAGAATGGTCCAGCGTGTGGTAAGAGGGTTGGTATTTTAGAATTGCTGTTTCAGAGACATTCCCAATAAAAACATATATTCCCCGTACTGTGTAAGAATTGTCAATCTTAAGGGAGCCTAGCTCTGATATCGTGTGTCTAGCGAACAGGGCACCTCAAGTACCTCAGTGATACTTGTAAACCCACAGGTGAAGATCGTTGCACGCTTAGTACATTGCGAGCCAAATGCGAGGAATATGTGCCGCCGTCTGACCAAAAAGGGTTTCTGGAGTACTTACTCCGCTTTCTTAGCTCAAAGATAGGAGTCATTGATAACGATGGTCAATATACCCTTGAGGATAGTTGTACCTCTATTGGCAATATCAGCTCTATTTGGTCTGGCAGCCACTTCTCCACCATTGGGTGACTTTGGCTTCCTGTGCAGAAGGCGTCTCGCTCCTGCCTAACCAACACCTGCCTTGCGTGAAGGGAGACTGGCTCCTTGGCATCTTCGTGCCTCCAGAGATAGGCGACAGCTGGTTGCTCTCCTGATGGAAATAATCAAGTATTCAGACAGCTCCTTTCCGTGTCCCCAAGGGCTCTATTCTGTGACAGACCCCGCCCACTTATTTGCCGGATGAGGAGCGGAGCGGGCCGATACATTCGCCGATTCTCCGCATGGCTTGGCATCTCAGCCTCATCTTGAAACTTGCCCCGCCGGGCATCTTGAATTCTACTCTGTACGCTTAGGAAGCATCATCTGCTCTGGCTATTCCAACGGTAATCAACCAATTAGTGCCTGCCTGAAGGACCACTAGAGCGCATTGACACAATCGACACCATGGATGACGTATCTCGGTCTCAGCTATGGCAACCCCTCGACCCTTCAAGACGAGAGATCAGGCTGCTGATTCTGCAGCCTGACAAAGATAGGCATGCGTTTCCCATCGGAAGACTCATTACAGTGTCATTAGAGCAGCAATTGCACTATGACGCTATATCCCATGCTTGGGGTGGCCCCTCCGAGGTTTACTATATCAATATCAACAAAATTAAAGTGCCAATCACATCCAACGTTCTGGATGTCCTGCAACACCTGCGGGACCCGCATCAAGAAAAGGCATTTTGGATCGACTCCTTGTGCATCAACCAGTACGACACCAAGGAGCGCGCCGAGCAGGTGAAATTGATGGAACATATCTTCCATCGCGCTGTCCAGGTTCAAGCATGGCTTGGGTGTGAATCTGCCGGTGTCGAAAGACTCATTGATGATATCAACAATGACAAGGCACTTCAGAAACTCTTTCGCGGAAGGGATTGGGATCGTCGCCGCCAAAATGAAGTTAGCAGCTTAAAAGACTTTGTGAGCATACGGTATTGGAGCCGGGTTTGGATCCTCCAGGAATTGGCGTTGGCGCGCAGCGTGGTCTTTGTCTTTGGCAAAAAGTCATTCGCAATGAAAAGATTGGAAAAGCTGGACGGTGCTCTTCGTCAGGCGAGGCAAGAGTCATGGGGCCGGGACCTGGTTGACGCTATTAGTATTCTCCTCCCTATAATCAGTGCGGCAAACCTGTTTCCTATGGCTACAACGGGCAGCCGAGAAGAGAAAGCACGCCGTGCGGTCAAGATGTTAAGTCGTGCACGTAGGCTGGGATGCTCTGATGCCCGAGATCGCATCTACGGAATGATCGGAATCATGACGGCCATGTTCGGGCCCGACTTCATTGACGCCGGCTACGAATGCAGCTTGAGGGAAGTCTACACGCGGTTTGCGGGCAGACTGATAAGCGAGACAGGGTCGTTGGCCATACTCAATCAAGCAGAGGTCATTTTCTCCTCGATCGAAGGACTGCCGACATGGGTTCCGGACTGGGCGTCTCGATCTGTGCACGACGGGGCAAACTACAGGATGGAATACTGTGATTGGTTTCACGCGGCGGGAGAATTCTCAGTTGAGCCTAAAGCGCTAGCTCCTACATGTATGTCGTCGTTGTCGCGCTCGAGTGTCCTGAAATGCATGGGGTTCATCTTTGGCATGGTTCGAGTAACTGGTGCGTACTGCGGGAGCTACCGGTGGCCCAATTCGAAGAGGGAGCTCAGGCCTATGATTGAAAGCTGGCGACAGACATACTCGGGCTCTGTCGAGTCATTTATGAGGACCATCACTCTCTCGTTGTCGGCCCGAGCTTCGGATCTGGAGGAGTGTTACAAGGCCGGCGAATCTGGGAGCACAGAAACAGAGAGACGTATTCGACGGCCCTGTATGGATGCGACAAGCGAGAGACGATTCTTCGTGACCAACAACAACGCACCAGGCCTGGGACCCAGAGATACGCGCCCGGGGGATTTCCTCGCCGTCCTGGCAGGGGGAAGGGTACCCTATGTGTTGCGCCGCAGTTCAAAGCCGGACGCCCTCCCAAATACATATGCTCTCGTTGGCGAATGCTTCGTGGACGGCGTTATGTATGGGGAGTTATTCAAGGGGACAAGACCGCCTGAGTTTTCGGATATTTATATCGAATGATTCAGAACTTCAGAAGCTTTCAGAATGAACATCATTCCATTCGCGGGATATCAAAATTTGCACTGGATGCTCCATATCTCATGCATGTCGCGTTAGTCTATTCTCTCTCGCTCGTCGCGATGCGATCAAATACGATCCAAGTTCCCGTAAAACAAGAGAAAGCAACCAGTCCTCATCGTCGAATATGTGGCAGCGAGACTAGCGGAGACTTCGATCTTCCTTCCCGCGATCCACCCCTTTGTTGCACCTTGCTGTCGGCCCCTGACCAGATGAAGGGGATAGATGGTGTACTCCCTCCAGAACCAGAGTCTCGCGCGGGAATCCGCCACCAAATTCAACGCTCTCAAACAGGGCCCCTATCCATCTCCTCATCCACCCATTTCGATATGAACCACCATTTCATGACTGATCCTTCTTGAGCTTCTTCGGAGCGTGCACCCCAGCGGCCGTGGCACTTTCTTTCCCCTTGTTCTTGTTGTCTTCCTCCTCGCCAGCAGCAGCAGCAGCAGGCTCAGAGCTATTGCTCGGGGTAGTAGTACCACCAGTGGAAACATTCTCCTGCTTCTTCCTGCCTCTCTTCTTAGTCACCTTTGGCGGCGGTTTTTCAGAGGCAAGAGTGCTCTTGGCCAGTTGGTCCTGCGCTGCCTCCAACATTCCCGCGACCCGGCTCATCACCGCCCAGTGAAATCGTGGATTACAGGTGATGATGCGCTGGAATTGTGGGTCGGTGTGATAACTGAGGAAGTGCTGGCTCGTGGTTTCGGCGAGGACTTTCCACAACTCGGGGTCTTGGTGTTCGGAGATGGCATGACGGTATTTTGCTGCTGGTGGGGAACAGTTTTTGCTGCTGAGACCTGTGGTGGCAGTAGGAGTGTTGGTGGTGGTGGCGCCAAACTCCTTTTCTCCGTTTGTAGTGGTACGAGGAAGAATGCTTCTTTTGTTCCCGTGGTCCACGTCCACCATCATGGAATCCAGGTCGAGAGCTGGAGAAGAATCGGTGACAAAGAAATGTGCCAGACATGGCAACAATGCTTCCTTGACGGCACCAAGAATTTCGGTGATCTCGTACACTGCTTTCTCGCTCAGGTCCGTGATCCCGTACTTGTGGGCAACGAGGTACATCTTTGCGTGCAGCGATATCGGAGGAAGCTCATCCGCGCAGCAATCAATGTCAGTTTCCTCCCGAGCGCCATTGACTCCTGCTGCAGGTCCAGATCCTGCTCGGTCGGGGGCGTGAACAATAGACGGTGGAGAGACCTTGCCATGCTTGAGGAGACTTTTGACGTCGAACCCAGCGATCTCGGACATGTTCTCATCGTCGTATTCCTCGGTGTACAGCCAGAGGATCAGGTGGGCGATGATGACTGGTTCGTCATCGTCGAGGTGCACTTCGTGTCGTCCCTTGCCATTCTGTTTGTCATCAGAGAGGCTTCGGTTAGTGTCATGTTGGGAATCATGAAGTCATCAAATCCTGAAGAGGGTGTTCGAAGTGTCTACCTACCTCGGGCGCGTCCCTGCAGATTTTCCGAAAAGACCCATGGCTGGAGATGACATGGCTGTGGACTGACCACCGAAAGTCCTTGACGATGATGTCGAAGTCGGGTTGACGTTCCTTCGTGAGGGCAGAGGCGAATCTGTGTCTCTTGTTAGGCCACTCGATGAATCCCAAAGAAGCGACCAGGTACGCACGTCCTGAGGTCGCTCTGTGTGACCGCCATGTCATACAGTTCGATCCACCTATGTAGAGAATCTGTGTGGTTGCGGCCAAGACGTACTCACGAATGCCAAGTCACGGAGTGGGAAGGATGAGAAGCGAGAACGAAGCAAGAGATGTGTGTGAGGTGGAGAGGAAAAGTCAAGAAGTGAAGAAACAGAAGTGGAAGAGCGTGAGATCTCGTATCACTTGAACGTCGGCTCGTCGACTCATCAGAGCATCAGCTGAATGAAAATAGAGCAGCGTTCAAGTCAAGCCGAAGTGAAATATAGAAGACACATGATTCTCAGAGAGGTTCATGTCCGATATGTGAACAGGCAACTCAATGTCATTTGAGATGCTACTTATATGGCTCAGGGAACGACTTGAAAGGGTGAATATGAGAGAAAATTGAACAGCATGTACGCACACCTCTAGTCTGCCTTTCCTGAATCTCAAAGAACAAGACAGGTCTGAAATAGGTTTGCTCGTGTACTCAGCAGGTGGGCATTCACAGCGAACATCAACCCGAAGGCAGAGTTTGCTAAGCCGAACACCACCCACCAAGCCTCGATCTGGCGCGGAAGAAATGCTCTATGGCATTTCGAGACTTGTGATCTCCGACCATGGGATTGGATTGCGGTCGCAGACGTATTTGCTCTGTTCTGAGTCGCGCTGTTGAAAAGAAAGAGATAGGCAAAGGAATTGAGATGACCAGTTGGGCCTTGGCTCATCGGACTCTATTGGGGTATCTTTGAGGAGTGGAATAATCATACAATCTTTTCACAACACTTACTGCTCCAGAAATCTAGCCCTCGACAGACATTTTCAAGGACTTGACCTGCCAACGATCCGGATCCTGCTCGACCCAGTCTTTCTTCTCCCCAAGGACACACAAGGACCTCAGATCCGAAGGGACCTCCACGAGATACTTCTGGGCGACCCTTTGAACAGCCTCCTTTGTGACTCCCAGTAAGCGCTCGCGCATCTCCTGGTCCATGTACTCGGTGATGCCGTACATGAACTCCTTACTGGCTTCACTGCTCACGCTTCTGGGGGCGTCAATGCCTTGAAAGATGCTTAATTTGCTCTCTTCAAGTTCTCGACCGCTCCAATCCTTGTCGCGGGCATACACACCCGCGCGCTCGAACACGCTTAACGAGGTGCGGGGATTGGGATCGCGATATGAAGACATGGTAAATAGTCCACTGATGGGACTTGCGCTCGCCGATGCACCATATGCGCCCCCTTTTTCTCGGACCTCAGGGTGGAGAAAGTTGTGGACCAGGAGCTGACCAAGAACCGTGAGTGGTGCTTTGTCGGGCGAGTTATAGGGTGCAGTTTGCAGGCATGTTCCTGTATAGGAGACCTGAAATGGCAAGTCGAAGAATGCCCGCCTCGACAATGACGAGCCTGGTACAGCATTCCGCAGAGCTGGACTGCTCGCTGATGACTGCCTCTGTGGCAGTTGCGCAAGAAATTTCTGGATGAGATCTCGATTCTCCTTGACTGAATCTGGTTCACATACAACACGCATTGACAAATCGGCTGAGTTGGCGACGGCTATTGATTGAATGGTCCGCAGCTTCTGGATAACCTGCTCTAAGCTCTCTGGATTTCGTCTGGCTGCTTCTAGTATCCGAGCGGTAGATTCTATTTGTGAGAGACCAGAAAGCTGATCTTGAATCCGCCCTCTTTCCGTCAGAGCAGCAGAAGCGCTCGTTAGGGCGAAGTGGTGACCGCTTTCTGCAACTGCGTCCAATGCACCCGAAGCCTTAGATTCCAGCAGCTCTCGAATCGCAGCGATAGCTCCCGGACTTGTGAAGTCAATGTCTAATAGCAGCGTACGGATGAGGTCAAGCATTGCCGGAACATTCCTATCGAGCGCATAGCCGTCAATCAAGAGGCCCTCGTTGCATTTGTCCAAGCTCCACGGATCGGGCGCCGCAAATGATGAGATCGTGATGCCGCCAGTCTTCAGAAGAATCTCGGCTTCGAGGTCTCCTACAGACATTGTGCTTGTGCCCAGCCGCATCAGTGAATCCGTAAACAGCGGCAGCAGGAGCCTCAGCTCATTAGGAAGGTTCTTTAGAAGATACTTTGCCTGGAAATATGTGATGCCGTTCGTCTCGGTTTCACGCCATAAGCAATCCACATCACCAACTTTCAAATGGTACCGTGGTTTTCTCTCCTTTTCCCGGGCAATGTCACTGACGCGGAGAGTCGGGAGGGTATCCAAATTCTTGTCTTGGGCGTTTTCTTGTTCCTTCACGAGCTCAAGTTCCTGTTGAGCGAGCTCAGATATGGCGGCTTCGGGTGAGCTGGCGGTCTTCTTGATGGTGTCTAGGATGTTCTTTCTTCGCTCTTCTTCTCGTGTGTCTAAGGTGACACCGTAAGAATCTGAAGGAGTCATTGTGAATTGCATGCAGTTGTTATTCAAGATATACTTTTGTACAAGTCGATCAAGATATTTCTCGTCTTTCATCCGTTGTTTGAAGGCGTCGATGATCTCGTTCCATGCCAGCGAGTCCATCGGGTTGACTCCATTGAACCACCCAGGAAGAGTTTTTTCCAATAAGCCCATTCCAAAGTTGGCCGTTTTGTGTTTCAGTGAAAGCTCTAGTTGATGCATGTAGCCTTCGATCTTGTTTGGCTGAAATGCTTCGTGGGCTTTGTCTTGCAAAATTGCCTGAATGGTCTGTTTCAACCCCACAATATTTTCAGCTTTCATACCATCTAGCCCGATCGAGAGTACTCCAACCCTTGCAGAGGCATCGTATCCAGAATTCGGGCTGAAATTGGTACCCAAGCCCGACTCGATCAGTCCTTGGTACAGAGGAGAGCCGTAACCGTTCATGAGCAACGACATCATTATGCTCACACAGAAAGTCTCGACTATATCCGAAGAGGGACAACCCATCCAGGATACGGAAGACTTGAATTGCCGATCAGGGGGTTGCATTGTATCGACCGGACCAATCACTTCGAAAGAGAGGGGACCGTCCGAGAAACTGATTGGCATCTTTATCTCCGAATCCGGTGCGGCCTTTTCGAATTTGGATATAGTCTCGTTGACATAGTGTAGCTGCTCGGCTAGGCTTAGACTGCCGTAAGAGAATATCTTTGCGTTGCTGGGATGGTAGTGCTTGTGAGAGAAGTCGACGAGTTGATCGTGCGTGAGCTGGGTCATGACTTCGGGATCACCACCAGAATTGTGTAGCGAGGGTATGAGGTGTTCTCTAAATCTGATGTAGAAAAGGTAGCTAGCATCGGACATTTGCCCTTTCATCTCGTTATAGACAACTCCTTTAAACTTGATATTGTCCTCTGTTGGTGGCGCTCGGGGATCTTCGGGACCAAGCCGCCATCCTTCTTGCAAGAAGTCTGTACGTTTCAACAGCGGGTGGAGAGTTGCGTCCATATATACCGAGGAGAGATTCTTGTAATCTTGAAGATTTGTCGTGGCAAACGGATATGAGGTGTAGTCGGAAGATGTAAATGCATTCATGAAATTTGCCAGTGATCTCGGCATCATCTTGAAGAAGGGATCCCTCACGGGATACTTTTCGCTCCCACACAGCGTAACATGCTCGAGGATATGAGGCAGACCTGTTCTGTCGGTAGGATTTGTTTTGAAATTGATGGCGAAGACATTGTTCTTGTCGTCCCGAGCGACATGGAGATACTCTGCGCCAGTCTTGTCATGCTCCAACCTCAACGCCGTCAAGTGTAACTCCGGCACATGCTTTATTTCTCTCAGCGTGAATCCATGTATGCTCTCTCCAGGCTTGGGATAACTCTCCAAATCTGTCACCGACGCATACCCTCTTCTAGACAGATACGACCTGGCGCACCGACGAATGCCCTGGCGAACGACGCCATGCTTCAGCATCTCCCAATCGGTGGATTCGCCGCCTCGAATTGTAGGTAGCCGCTGTCTCGAGGCGATGGTCTCTCGGGTCGGATTCACAGAGGTGCAATATTGCAGCAGACACGTCGACCTGTTCTCAGCAGATTTCTTTACGATAACAGCAAATGCAGGAACGTGGAGAAGGCGCAGAAAGGCGATGGAGTTGCCTAAAGAGAAATTTAGAGGTCACGTGCTCGTAGCTCCCGTCGCAATGCTGTTAACCGACTCGGAAAAGCCTTCTGCATTTACTGAAAGGAAATCACAGAAGAGTATGAATAGTTGCTGTCGATGCTCCATTTCAGGTCTTGCTGTGGGCATCAATCATCTCGACTTAACATTGAGTTTTGGTATACGAGGTATTGCGCATCTGTACAAAGTGCTTTGCCGTGAGGGAAATCCCAGATCTGCGCGGCACGTCCTCCGATCGAGGCTCGGTTTCGCTCGATCTCTTTCCACGGTGCTTGACTGGATTATCTCTTCCTCTATGGTCCACATAATTTACACACAACAAAGAGTAGACCAATCGTCACATTCACAGAGAGATATTTCGCAATCCTCGCGTCCTGGTGCGTTCAATTGCTGTCTGACGCCACCGTGAAAGTCTTTGTCGCAGATGTCAACGCCGAGCACCACGGTCGTGGGCACGAGTTCTGAAGGCTCTCACTGGTGTTGAACAGGCATACAAAGGCTGCAGCTCACGGGCCAGCGCCTCCGATCATATGGCTACCGCGGCGCATAGTCCTACATCTCAAACCACGAACGGCGACAGCCACGATCTGCCCCCACCCGCACCCGCTGCAAAGAAAGGCAAGGGAAAGAAGGACAAGCAACTCAGCGCCGAGGAAAATGCAAAACTGGTGCAAGCGCGGCTATCACAGCTGGAGCAGGAGAAGGCAGGCGATAAAGCCCAGCAGGCGGAGATTGACCGCGAAGTGAAGAAAGCCATTCGTGACCTCAATGACTTGATCAACGGTGTCGAACCCCTGAAGGGGATCGACCTTGTCAAACAGAAATATGAAGAGCTCCTTGCTGAAATGAAAAAGACCGAGCGCGAGCACCTCAAAGCCAAAAAGAGTCGCGATCAGTACCAGAAGGAAGCCGAGAAATCCAAGTCGGAGCACAACAAGACCACCACGATGAAGGACAAGTTGGAAAAGCTGTGCAGAGAATTGACAAAAGAGAACAAAAAGCTCAAAGATGACAACAAGAAGCTTGAAGAGACAGAAAAACAGGCCCGAGAAAGCATCAATGAACGTCTAGACCAGATGCTTTATGACGTGCAGGAAGCCATGAACTCCAAGACCAGCTCACATCCCGAGAACCTTCACCTTGAGCTCGACGAGTTGTACGTATTCACGATCATTGTTCTGGGGGGTTTTCTAATGCCTCGACAGATTCAGGACACGATGCAAGGTCTTAGCAGATCAAGCCGAAATCCGAGAAATGCATTTCAAATCAATACTTCGCCACAAAGATGCCGAGATTGCCCATCTGCAAGCCAAACACGAGGTCGAACGCCGACGGGCCGACACTGAAGCAGCTCGGTGTAGGACTCTGACGGGTCAAGTGTCGACCTTCTCTCATACTGAAGCGGAGCTTCGCAGCCAATTGAACATTTACGTGGAGAAATTCAAGCAGGTTAGTCCCATTCCACCCCTTACCTTATTTTGATTGATGCATGAGCTGAAACTCTTTGCTCACCATCAGCAGGTGGAAGACACCCTCAACAACAGCAACGAGCTATTCCTCACCTTTCGAAAAGAAATGGAGGAGATGTCCAAGAAAACGAAGCGGCTCGAAAAAGAAAATCTCACGCTCACGCGCAAGCATGATCAGACCAATCGAAACATCTTGGAAATGGCCGAGGAACGCACGAGGGACAAGGAGGACCTGGAGAGGTTAAGAAAGCAGGAGCAGCGGATGCGCAACATCATCAAGATCATGCAGGAACAGGGGCGAGGTCGGCCGATCCAACAAGAGCCGGTGGACGAAGAAGGCACCGAGAGCGAGTACGACGAAGAGTACGAGGACGAGGACGACGATGATGAAGCGAGTTATGAGGCAGAAGAAGAGTTGGCGACTGAAATCGCAAAGCCTGTGTTCGGACCAGTGCCTCCGCCAGAAATGGTCGCGTCCAAGGCTAATGGCCAAAAGGCGGCGGCGGCGCTCGTCAATGGGATCCAGCATTAAAGATGTGTTTATACAAAACATGGCTTGTATTCTTTTTGGGAACCCAGGAACAATTGAGTTAGCTCACACCTTTATACAGGTGCTTACCTAGGTAGGCATCCTGCTAACTCTCGGTACACCAAAGTAATACAACTTTGTGCGCCGCCATGTGGCTTGCGATTGGAGGTGATGGCGTGTACTACTCGTAAGGGGCCTGGGTGGGTGCGTCACTCGGCAGGAATAAAATTCGGCAAAGAGACCAAAGTGGCCCTTTGGCCCTCCACGCCGTCTTGGGTGCCTCTCAGCTCACCAGATTCTTGCGTTGCATGTGAACTACTTGCTCATTGTCCCAACAACTCACAAAAGCCCACCTGCCCATCCCATGTCAGGATGGCTTTCGAGTCTGCAGTGCTTGCAGTACCTCTCTTAGATTCCGACCCGCCGTGAAATCAAATTCATATGATAGACTGCGACACCCCTCCCACCCTTTTGGCGTCCGATCGTGGCTTTGCCCTCCGATGACGCCTCAGCAGCTCGTGAGAGATTCATCTGGCCGATCCACGTCCCGGGAAATCCACGACCAGCATGACCTGACACTGTCGCGCACACCACGTCCATATCTTCTGCGGCCAGAGAGCCTGAGGACGGCGGCGCATCCCCACCGACCTGACAATGGCTCCGACGTCGTCTCCTCCAACGGATATGTTCCCTCCCCCAAACCCAGTCGTTCCGAGTCCAGCGAGAGCGGCACAGAGGCAGACGATGAGAAGGGACCTTTTCTCAAGGGGCTTCCAGCGCCGCCTCCACGTTTGCACAAGGGACTGCGAGGAACTTCACCCGCCAACTTGACTCCGGCTCATAGTCCGCTTCCCACCCCGCCAGCCTTTGTTGAAGGAGACGGGCCTCGATTTTTCGACTCGACACAGAAGCCTGGGAAAAAGCAACAACGGACAAAGGAGCAGGTGAGAGACTATGAGGCATACAAGAAACGGAAGCGGCGCGAGATTGTTCGACGATGTACCGAGACCTCACTCCTTTGTGGCATTGGGGTGGTCGTCTGGAACAGCAGAGGGGGCTCAACCGGTCTCAAGGACTGGCTCAACGAAGTCACGGCTTTTCTCTTGATTCCTCCATGCGTCTATCTGCTCTATCCGCTCAGGCTCACGATGCGTGCTTTGGCTGCAAGAAGATCCATTCTGCAAGCACTCAGGCTAGGATTCCACATCCCCTCTCGATTTGACCCTGGCCCTCTGTTATATCCGGTGACGCTGCCACTAATGATATCCATTTCTCTATTTCACCAGAGTGTTGCGTTTCTCCCAGCAGCAATCATCTGTGGACTATCGTCGATACCCCCACTAATCACAGCAACGCCCAAGATTCCAGCCATTGGCGTGCATCTGCACTGGCTCTTGTCCATCGTACCCCTACATACCTCGAAATACCGGTTATCGTCTGCGTCAATACCGAAGCCATTGTCTCTGAAACTCGACCCCGGCTCTCCCTTGACCAGGGAAGACCTGGTGGTCTTATTTCCGTTGCACCAGGCTTTAATCTCGTTGCTCGGTTACCTCACGACCTCAAGTCTGGATGTATCAGAACTACATCTCCTTTCGTCAGCACTGATAAACCTCTACATTTTCGCTCGGACGCCCCAGGCTGAGATTCTCAAGGCGATGATATGGCTGGGAGGGTTGAGCATTTTCATTACATGTAAAAATGTTCTGATGTGGGAGGTCGCCCTAGCGCGAGTGCCCACTTGGAAGCTATTGCGCTCACGGCGGCCCGGGGGGTTCATCTCCAAGTTCGATCAGTGGATATGCAGCTTCCTCGTACGCAGCCGACATCAACGCGTGCAGGCGGACAGTTCGGACACTGAAGACGAGGTGCGGCCCATGAATTCTATCCCGAGACTGAGACCCCGGTTGAAGCTGCAGCTTAATGGCAGAGCTTTTTCTGCCACAGGATCTGCCCAGGAGCCAGTGTCGGCGTTTGACGTGCCACTTTCCAAGGCTACTTCGTTGGATACCGCGGCGTTGTCGGCACCTCTTCGACGAAATACGTTCACGGCCTTTGATCAGAGTGGCCGCAGGCAGCAGATAGCAACCGCAAAGAAAGTCAAGCCAGCTCCGACTGGCCCTTCGGCGGCATTCCTCGCATTCAGCGTGGCACAAGCTCGAGTCCGAAAGTATGCGTATGCGGCGACCGCCTACCTGTTTGTGATTGTCACAATCCTGGGACCGGTTCGGCTCTACGTGGGTCAACGAGCGTTGTCGAACCATGAACCCGTAGGTTGGGCGTTGGGATATTTACTCGGCAATCTACCCATCTTCCGACTTTGGGTGGTAAGCAACAACCTCGAACGATGGATCTGCCTCCCCGCTCGAGAAACGGACCGCGCCCTGCCGTTCAAGGACGGTGTTATTGAATATGCCCGCCAACATGCTCTTGGACCAGCCACTACACGCCTCATCATCTGTGCTTACTGCCTTTTGGTGCTCATGGCTGGAATAGCCGCGGTGCTTCGCCTCACGTCGGTCGTCGAAGTCGACACAAGACGCAAAGTCTTCCATGGCATCATGGTTGCAATGCTCTTGCCCACCGTATTTGTTGACCCCTGTTTTATTGCGTTGGCGCTCAGCTTGATTTTGGCGATTTTTCTCCTCCTCGACCTGTTCCGAGCGTCACAACTGCCTCCGATCTCGAAACCATTGACGGTTTTCCTGGCCCCTTACGTGGACGGGCGGGATCATCGCGGGCCTGTGATTGTGTCGCACATTTTCTTGTTGATTGGATGTGCAATCCCGCTATGGCTGTCCCTTGCTGCCGCCCCACGCGTGGGCCAAGATCCTTGGGCTGGATGGGATACCACATTGCGTGACTTGAGCATGGTGAGCGGCGTTATATGCGTGGGATTGGGGGATGCAGCGGCCAGCTTAATTGGACGGCGTTATGGCAAGACGAAATGGTACTGGGTCGGAGGGAAGAGCTTGGAGGGCAGCCTTGCGTTTGCGTTTGCGGTCACCTGTGGTCTGTCGGCGAGTTGGCTCTGGCTTAGAGTGGGCGGCTGGGCCTCGTGGCATGGCGGCGATTCTTTTATACTCATGCTGGGGAAGTGTGTGGTTGCGGGGACAGGGGCGAGCCTCCTGGAGAGTACCTTGACCGCTGCCAACGACAATGTGGTCGTTCCGGTTGGACTATGGCTGCTGGTCAGAGGCCTGGATATATAATCCGGCAGTGTGCGCGCATCATTGCCGTATGTAACTCCCAGCTGTACCAGTGCCCGGACACCACATCTGAGCCAGGACTTTTACAGCACGAGCACAAGTATTCGATGCGTGGGCACCATTGCGGACCCTTGTCGTTAGTTTACCACTACGTCAGGTACGAGAGCAGATCCGGATGAACGAACCCACTTGGCAAAGATGGACTGTCGGGCGATTCCGTGAAGTGCTAGGAGTCCGATGCTGAGGGGCGATGATTCGCCCATGGCACAGAGAGGCAAAAGATTCCGGGGACAAGAAGTGGCAGCTGGAAGCAGGTGGCAGCTCCAGCCAACGACTGACGAGCTTCCGCCGCCTGATCAGCGAAGGAGGCGAAGCTGGCAAGATGATGTGTGGATGTGTGGAAGTCTTATCTCTTGCTTCTCATATCACGCCGATTAGTCGTAGTCTGCGGCCGAGGAGTCACACGTTCAGAGTTGGCTCCCACGCCTCCCCCCAAAGTCCGAGGGGAGGTGGGCAGGGGACGTCAAGCTTTCCACACCACGCCATACCCACGCAGCCAACGCCTTGCCGTTGGGCGCGGGCGAGTGTTGGAGCAGCTGGTACGCTGATAGACTCCATGCAACGGACAAGTCTCGCCTTTTATCGCTTTTATCGACAGCCGGATGACTGCGTGACTAACTCCCCTCTGGTGCCTCTGCCACCCACTGCACACTGTACTTTGCATGCTGCACCCTGCGCCCTGCACCCTGCACTCTAAGATACTACTACTGACTGTACTCCGGACTCCCTTTCTTCCCACCCCATCCTCAACGCTGCTTGAATTATTCACCGTCTTCGCTGCCTACATTTGTTTTTTGGGTCCTTCAACATCTCATCTATTCCTTATCATATTTCTCTGGCCTCGAAGCCACATTCCTTTCTTTGTACGTCGCGCTGGTGGTGCAGTGCTCCGCATCCTCCAAGTCACACGTCACTCATCTCTCGTCCAACCACAGATTCCCCCCAGAGTCGCGCCGCCCGACAACCACCACGTCCTCTCACAACCCGCCATCCTTCACCGGCCAACTGAGGTCTCTCTGTGCTATTTGATCCAAAGTCAACCACTGCATTTTAGAGTCCTATTCCCCGCCGACTCTGTTGAGCCTTTTTGTACCGCAGTTGCGCAACCTCCCGAAATCACGCAGCCTGCCGGCCAATTGCGCCATCTCCACTCCTCCTACTATTTGTCCCCGGTCGCCTGCTACCTGTTGACTCAAGCCATCCATTCATCGGTCGTTTTCACCTTTCCATCTCAATTGTTCGCTTCATCCCGAGCAATCCATGGGCCACCATAACCCCTTGGACGCTTCTTTCCCCCGTACAAGATAACCGCCGAAGCACCCTCACCTCACCTGACCATCCTCCACTGGCCGTGTTGACCGACGTAGGTGGAGGAGGCGAAGGGAGAATATGGCGTCCACAACTCCTCAGTCATCTACTTCTAGGAGGTCAAAGGAGTCCGAGCGGATAGGCAGTTTCCAGCGACATGAAGAGATTGGTCGAGGCAGCTTCGCAACGGTCTACAAGGCCATCCATACGGTACGTCCGTTTCAGTCACCAACTTCTGGAAGACATACTGACAGCTTCCAGCAAACAAATTCGGGGATCCAAAGCATCGTGGCGATCAAATCTGTCAATATGTCCAAGTTGAACAAGAAGTTGAAGGACAACCTGACGTCGGAGATCTCCATCCTCAAAGGCCTCCATCATCCCCATATCGTAGCCCTCATCGACTGCAAGGAATCGAGTGCTCACATCCATTTGGTCATGGAATACGTTGCTCTGGGTGACCTTTCCCACTTTATCAAGAGACGAAATGAGATCAAGGACAGTGACTTGGTAGGAAACATGATGGTCAAATATCCCAACCCTCGATATGGTGGTCTTCACGAGGTGGTGGTCCGGCACTTCCTGAAACAACTCGCCAGTGCTTTGCAGTTCTTGCGAGCCAGAAACCTCATTCATCGAGATGTCAAACCCCAGAATCTGTTGCTGAACCCGTCCCCCGACTACTTTGAGAAACACAAGCCGCACCCTATGCCTTATAAAGTCGGCGATGACTCACTGAACCCAGTCACTGGCATCAGGTCGTTGCCTATGCTGAAGATTGCAGATTTTGGGTTTGCTCGATCTTTGCCCTCGACTGCCCTCGCCGAGACACTGTGTGGTTCGCCGCTCTACATGGCTCCAGAGATCTTACGATACGAGAAATACGGGGCAAAGGCCGATCTTTGGTCTGTGGGAACCGTGCTTTTCGAGATGATGACGGCCCGACCTCCTTTCCGGGCCTCCAATCATGTCGAATTGCTCCGAAAGATCGAAAAGAGCGAGGACAAGATCAAGTTTGGGGAGGAATATATAATCACTGAGGAGATGAAGAAGCTCATACGGTTACTCCTTAAGAGAGACCCCGAAGAGAGACTTTCATTTCCCGATTTTTTCAGCAACGAGGTCGTGGCAGGTCCCATTCCTGGATTACATCCAGAGGATATGCCCCAAGAACCCGTCGATCCCCAAACAGACCGTCGACGCAATAGTCGAACGGATCCTGAAGGGCTGGTCCGTCCAAGCTCTCGAAAAGAACCGGAAAGCCCTTACATCGATTCTTCAAAGACCGCATCGGACGAAAATATACCACGGCGATACAGTCGGCGGTTATCAGGCACAAAGGATCAAATTATTACGCAAAGAATCACAAACGAAGAGCTCCAAGCTACTTTGGCGTCCCCCACCAGCCCACCCGATTGCCGTCCTGCCCTTCATCCTCACGCCACCGCGCCGGCAAGGCAAGAGCTGGTACTGCGTCCTTCATCGGCTCCCATGACCCGTCAGACAAGCACAGGCTCGCATAAATTACCGCCTTCGTCATTGCGTGGCCAAGTCTACGATGAAGACCAGGAAGCCACCCTGCGCAAGGAACAGGAGGAAAAGGAGCGGGAGCGGGTTGCGCAGGATATCGCTTTCGAGCGAGACTACGTACTGGTGGAGAAGAAGGCAGTGGAGGTCAACGCATTGGCTGATGAGCTCGAAGCCAATCCACGACTGAACAGAAATTCTCTCCAGACTGCCATGTCCCCCAAATCAGGTGCCATGGTCCGCCGAGCCACGACGCAGGGCGCACCTGGCTCGGCAACCGGCGCTCAGACGAGTGCTTCTCGAGCTGTCCAGATTGCCTCTGGACGCCGACCTGAGTCGCTTCACCAACGACAGAACTCCTACGAACGACGGTATGGCCCCAGCCCCAGCTCGGCAACTTCGGCGATATCAAAGGCCCTCAACATGGCAAGCGGCAGACTATTTGGAGTTGGATTTTCTCCTCCGGTCAACCTGATCCGTGGCGGCAAATCTCCTCCAATTACCTACAGCCCGTTTCCTACCTATCCTGGAGCACAGAGCAGCTTGGTCATGATCGGTGATTCTAAGGGAACACCAGCCGCCGACGAAGACACGAAATTCGTCCAGAATGTGGAGGAAATTGCCACCAGGAGCGACGTCGTGTATGGATTCGCAGAAGTCAAGTATAAGCAATTGATTCCTGCCGGCCCATCGCACCCCGGGCTCGGTTTGCGCAATGCGTCTGGCGATAATGTTACCGGCGGTCCATTTGGGGCCTCCAACGAAGACCTCACTATCGAAGCAGTCGTGGTCGTGGCGGAGGAGGCTTTGGTGCTCTACGTCAAAGCGCTGGCTCTGCTCGCCAAAGGCATGGACATTGCGGCACGTTGGTGGGCGCGCAAGAATCGGGCTGAGGCTACTGGCGATAATACCAATTATCGGTCCAGCGCGAACTCGGCTGCCACAGGGCAAAGGATGAACAACGTCGTGCAATGGATTCGGAATCGCTTCAACGAAGTTCTCGAAAAGGCAGATCTGGTCCGACTGAAACTCATCGACAGCCAGCGACGTCTGCCTGAAGATCATCCCAGTCATCCAAACAATTATTCGTCCACAACTGCGTCGAGCGCCGGCTTAGGGACCTCTGCAGACCAAGTGGTTGTAAGCTCTGGTATTACCGCTGAGAAGCTCATGTATGACCGAGCCTTGGAAATGAGTCGAGCGGCCGCCATCAATGAATTGACCAATGAAGACTTGGCTGGATGCGAGATCTCGTATGTGACAGCAATCCGGATGTTGGAAGCTGTCCTGGAGAACGATGAGGACGGCTTATCCAAGAACGGCAGTGGCACTAGCGATCAAGATGAGAAAGAGGATCTGGCTCCGATCAATGGATTGGAGGCTGAAGACAGAAGGACTGTGAAGAACTGTAAGTTGATTTTGATGCGTCTGGTGGTCTACTTGCTGACTATTACTTTCACAGTGGTGGCCAGCATTCGTCAACGGCTGACCGTCATACGGAGAAAGCTTCAAGTCATTCAGAAGCGTGCATCGGCACCAGCCATCGCATCTCCAACCCGAGCATCTCCTCCTATTCCGCACCGCGGTAGCCAACCCAATCCGGGCGCCGCAGCTACACCTCCACGATCATGACCTGGTCGAGATTCACGAAATCATGAATACGTCTTCGGAGCACTTGTTTAAGATGGACCGGGCAGTGTGGCTTTTAGAGCCCGTTGTCCCGGAGCTATGATTTGGCGTATCCTTGGGCGTCTGTTCGAACTTCACAGCCAGGAGAGAGTTTACAACACTGCAAACGTGTGCGTGTGGTCTCTCCTGGGATGTAATTATCCTACTTGTGTTACTTTTCTACTCTATTCTCGTTTTCCAAATGTCCTCGGCCTGAGGCGACGGTGGCAATTATCCTTGAGGAGCGTTCGGCATCACGAGTGTGGCATATTATTGGCGTTTATTTTCTCAAAATGAACTCGGATGAAACTGAGCAAGCTCAACAGGGCTTACGTGCATGGAGCAGGTGGCGGTCGAGCTTTGATTCGTCCCAAGGAGATTTTGGACAACTGAATGAACAAGATACCCGCTCACGACATGCAGATCACGGACGACTTGAGCTTTGAAGGAAATGCGAGGAAGACTGGCGTCATGGTTCCGAGAATTCCGCACGGGCTCTAACTAAGGAGGGGAACAGGCTGTGTTTTCTGTGCGGGCGTGGGCAGTCTGGTCATGTGTGTATACCCGGAGGTTTTGCGCTATTCTCTCCACCGTGGAGAATCTATACAGGACGAGCCCGTGAGCATGGGCAGGAGGTGTATGTGCTCGTTGTCTATACGAACTGGCGGCATCGCCTTTCTGTGGTGGTCATGGTGATACTACAAAGGCAGAGCAACAATGGCTCCGAACCAAGAGATCGTGATCAAATCAGTATAGAAAAACATGCGTGGCTTTCCCCCCTCCAGTCGTTTCTTCCTCGTTTATCGAAAATGTGCCAGACAACTATGGAGAATCACCCACTTAGATAAGTGACTTCCTCAAACTTGCTGGGCGTTTTCATTCTAGCAAGAAAGAAGAATAAAACAAATCAAGAATGCACGGAGGTGTAGAGCATTTTGATGCCGGTTCTTGCCTGCCTAAGGGGAAGAGCGAGAAGGATGCATTGCTGGACTAGTCTTGGGTACATACATTATCAGGCTATTCACTCGTTAGGGAGTCTTGGACTCCGAGGAAGGCTGGGGGCTATAATACCCGGTACACAAGGCATGCAGTGCCAGCCTGGTTGAAGAAGGAATGGGCTGAGTGCGATGCGGGAGAGGTCATACTTTTAAGGACTGGGCCACGAGGATCCTGTGGTCAGCAGGACCTGAGTACGAGACGAAGGGATCTTGATGCATCGGATCTGACGGGCTGCGAGTGAGATGCCCGGGATGCAGGACAGACCATGCAGTCCTACCTATATAGGTAGGTACCTAGGCAACGCAGGGTGTGAGTGGGTGTAAGGGGGTGTGCGTGGGTGTGTAGTCGAAGGGGAAGGTGAGTGAGAAACTTGAAGAGGAAGTCGATCACGGCGACAAAAGTCCCACGCCAAGCCACGGTAAGAATCACACTCGCCGCACCTGCCCCATTGGACACTCAGTGATAATCACGAGGTACTAGTAGTGACCAGGAAAGGAAGGTAAGGCACGTCGCACCGCAGCTGCAGCTGGTGACCATTCAATTCAAGTTCGTATCCTACTGCAGTGGCTGGCTGGCGCACGAGACCTTCTGCCTACCGGGCCTCAACAGCAAATCCCTTCATTACGTCCCCATTCCTTTGAATTTCGATTCTGACCTTTTCTCGGTTGAGAAGATCAGGTGCTTGAGTACAAGTAGATGCAGTCATTCTACACACGGTCTCTTTCCGGGCTTGCTGTTGAACCGCGGATCCTACCTCTGCAGCGACTGCAAACACACTTCCTCCGACGATCCTTCCAAACCCAATCCTCGTACCGCCCCTACGTCAAGAACAACACTCACTTTCGTCGAAACCGCCACCAGCTTTCTGTGCGACCCCCAACACTACAAGCGAGGCCGTTTTCCCTTTCCTCTTCAAGGCTTGGAGCTCCAAGGCATAGTTCTCTGAAGCCATTGCCCTTTCAAATTTCTACGGTTACAACGTCCTTGCAGCCTATAGCTTCTCCTGCTGCCAGCATGTGCCGCTTCATGTCCGACGCACCTGGCGCCGCAAAAACTCAAGGCAGAGTCGTGCTCCCCACAAATGTCGTCCCGAGACACTACGACGTGACTCTCGAGGTCGACTTTGACAAGTTCGTCTTCCAGGGAACGGTTATCATTGACCTCGACGTCGCAAAGGACACCACCTCTATCTCCTTGAATACTGTGGAGCTTGAGATCCATTCAACAACCATCCATGCAGATGGCGCCCTTGTTACTTCCTCCCCGAAACTCTCGTACGATGAGGATACGCAGACCACGACCATCGACTTTGGCGAAGGCAAGTCGCTGTCCAAGGGTCAGAAGGTGCAGCTGAAACATACGTACACGGGTCAATTGAATGACAAGATGGCTGGATTTTACAGGTCTAAGAGGAGAGACGGGCAGTATTTGGCAGTCACCCAGTTCGAAGCCACGGATGCCAGAAGGGCGATGCCTTGCTTTGATGAACCTGCACTCAAGGCAGAGTTTACCGTCACATTGATTGCCGACGAGGCTATGACGTGTCTGTCGAATATGGATGTTGCATCGACCAAAACTGTGCACTCGGACATCATTGGTGGAAATAGGAAGGCCGTCAAATTCAATCGATCACCCAGAATGTCGACTTATTTGTTGGCATTTATTGTGGGAGAACTGAAGTCCATTTCTACAGACAAGTTCAGATTACCCATCAAGGTCTGGATGACGCCGGAGCAGAACGAGTCCGATGGAACATTTGCGCTTGACGTCGCAGCCAAAACTCTGGCATTCTACGAGAAGGCGTTCCAAGCACCCTACCCATTGCCCAAGATGGACATGGTGGCAATTCCGGATTTCGCCGCTGGTGCAATGGAGAACTGGGGTCTGGTCACCTACCGTGTGGTGGATCTCCTCTTCGACGAGAAGTCGGCTGGTGCGGCGACCAAGGAGAGAGTGGCAGAGGTTGTGCAGCATGAATTGGCACACCAATGGTTCGGAAATCTGGTGACAATGGACTTCTGGGACGGATTGTGGCTCAACGAAGGGTTTGCAACTTGGATGAGCTGGTACAGCTGTAACGAGTTCTACCCCGAGTGGCGGGTGTGGGAAACCTTTGTCATTGACACCTTGCAATCAGCGTTAGGTTTGGATGGACTCCGGAGTTCTCATCCAATTGAAGTTCCTGTGCATCGTGCAGAGGACATCAATCAGATCTTTGACGCCATTTCCTATTCGAAGGGATCGGCTGTCTTAAGGATGATTTCGAAGTATCTTGGCGAGGATACCTTCATTGACGGCGTGAGGAGGTATATCAAGAAACATGCGTGGGGCAATACACAAACCGGTGATCTCTGGAACGCACTTGGCCAGGCGAGTGGCAAGGACGTTGCCCATGTGATGGACATTTGGACAAAGAATATTGGATATCCCGTCATCACAGTGACGGAAAACGAGAAGGACTCAACCATAACCGTCAAGCAGAACAGGTTCTTGCGCACGGGTGATGTTAAACCGGAGGAGGATCAAGTCCTCTATCCGGTGATTCTTGGGTTGAGGACGAAGGATGGAGTGGACGAAAGCCTGATGCTCACTGAGCGGGAGCAGACGTTCAAGATCAAAGGGGGATTGGAGTTCTACAAATTGAATGCAGACCACTCGGCGCTCTACAGGACGAGCTACACGCCACAGAGACTCACAAAGCTTGGCGAAGCAGCGAAGAAGGGCTTGCTTTCGGTGGAAGACCGAGCCGGTATGATCGCCGATGCTGGTGCCCTTGCTGCTAGTGGATACGGCAAGACATCGGGCATTCTGAGTCTGCTACAATCGTTCAATACCGAGACTCAATTTGTGGTCTGGAACGAGATTCTGAGTCGGATCAACGCCGTGAGGAATACTTGGATCTTTGAGAACGAGTCGATCAAGGATGCGCTGAAGGCGTTCCAGCTGAATTTGACATCCGCAAAGGCTCATGAGCTGGGATGGGAGTTTTCTGAGAATGAAGACCACATCTTAAGTCAGTTCAAGAGCTTGATGTTTGGCTCTGCCGGTCTTGCTGGCGATGCAAAGATCCAAGCCGCTGCAAAGGAGATGTTTGGGAAGTTCATGGAGGGTGACTATTCCGCCATTCATCCCAACCTCCGGTCATCGGTGTTCGCCATGGCGTTGAGAGACGGAGGAGAGAAGGAATGGGATGCGCTGGTGGCGAGATATCATTCTGCGCCGACCTCGGACGAGAAGAATACCTGCCTGCGAACTCTGGGCCGGGCAAAGGATCCAGAACTGATCAAGAAGACGCTTGAATTTGCATTGAGTGGGCAGGTCAAGATGCAAGACATCTACATGCCTATTGGCGGCCTGGGAACTACCTCGGAGGGTATCGAGAAGAGATGGGAGTGGATGTGCGCCAACTGGGATGAACTCGTGGAGAAGCTACCTCCCAGCATGACCATGTTGAGCTCTGTCGTTAGCATCTGTGCTGCGGGCTTCACCTCTGATGCGCAGTTGAAGAAGGTTCAAGACTTCTTCGAAGGCAAAGACAAGAAGGGATTTGATCGCAGCTTGCAACAGAGCATGGACAGCATCCGGGCCAAAGCGAACTGGCTGCAGAGAGATGGGGAGGATGTGCGGGAATGGCTGAAGAGCAACGGGTATTTGAAGGAAGGGGTTGTGAGCGGGAAGCTCTAGCTGCATCAGAAGGCGAATGGTTGTGTGCAAGTCTCTCAAACCGGGTGGCTGTATTAGTAGTAGATGACACCAAAGACGCATATTAGATGGCTGACGGCTAGAAAGCTAGGCAAAACAGCTCGTGGCCAGGTACCAAAGAACCTACAGATACAATTATCATAATTACCTCTTACTGCTGTAATTGGTGAATCGTGGTTCAGCCTCGGCGGAGCATGGAATGGCGAGGCTGAGCGATGAGGGGGAAAATGGACCGGCAGTGGTGCCACCGGCTTCAGTGGCTCGATTCGGATGAATTGATGCAGGGTGGAAGCTCCCGCCAATCACAATCACTGCGTACCTGGCACTGTCAACTGTCAGTGTCCGAATTAATTTTCTGGTGACCGCCTCGCCGCTTGCTAAATACCGGCTGCGCTGCCAACTATTCCAACACTCTCCTTATCAAGTCACGACAATCACATTCGCTCCTTGTTCTGTCATTCGGCTTCCTCTTCCGCTGGTTGTCCCCCAGCACCCTCTAACACCGCAAGCCTCTATCCCAAAGGCTCCGCCGCTCCACGCAACTGGGAAATCAACAATGGGTCTGCTTGCGGCTCTCTCAAAATCGGCCGAGCGCCTCCTTGGTTCCCTACCGACTTGGCAGCTTGTCCTCCTCGGCTTTGCCGCCTTCCTCGTGCTTTCTGTGGTGTGGAATGTTGTGAGACAAATCTTGTTGAAAGAGAAAAACGCGCCGCCGGAGGTGTGGAGTTGGTTCCCGGTGCTGGGAAATACGTACGTCCCTGCTCAAGAAGGAGGATACCGCTGATTGATTGACTGACGGTGGGTTCGAAATTTTAGGATATGGTACGGCATGGATCCCTTCGACTTCTTTTTCACATGCAAAGCAAAATACGGCGACGTCTTCACCTTCATCCTGCTCGGGCGACGAGTAACGGTCTGCTTGGGGACCAAGGGCAACGAATTCATTTTGAATGGCAAACTGAAGGATGTGAATGCTGAGGAGATATACACTGGATTGACAACACCTGTCTTTGGCGCAGGCGTGGTGTACGACTGCCCCAACTCAAAATTGATGGAACAGAAGAAATTTGTGAAATTCGGCCTCACATTGGAGGCGTTTCAATCCTACGTCGACTTGATTTCGAGCGAGACCAAGTCATTCGTGGAGAAGGGTAAACCCTTTCGGTCCCATTCCGGGAAAATTGACATTGCTCCCGCCATGGCCGAGTTGACAATCTACACGGCGTCACGGTCGCTTCAGGGCCCTGAAGTGCGGGCCAAATTCGACTCGACTTTCGCCGACTTGTACCATGACCTGGACATGGGGTTTTCGCCCATCAACTTTATGCTCTCGTGGGCTCCCCTCCCGCATAATCGCAAACGAGATATTGCCCAGAGAAAGATGGCGGACACGTACATGGAAATTATCCGGCAACGACGCGCTGATGGCGGCAAACGAGAAAAGGGGGATCAAGACATGATCTGGAATCTAATGGGCTGCGTCTACAAGGACGGCACCCCTGTTCCCGACAGAGAAGTGGCGCATATGATGATTGCGCTTTTGATGGCGGGCCAGCACTCATCGTCGTCGACCTCGAGTTGGATTCTACTGAGACTGGCGACGAGACCAGACATCCAAGAGGAATTGTTGGAAGAGCAGAAACGCGTGCTAGGGGAGGACCTGCCGCCCTTGACGTACGAAAATCTCCAGAAGCTCACCCTCAACGCCAATGTCGTCAAAGAGACGTTGAGATTACACGCTCCAATCCACAGCATTCTTCGCAAGGTCAAATCACCGATGACGATCGTGGCGAATACCCCGACCTCGACGAAGACATATCAGATACCGACCTCCCACACACTCCTTTCGGCGCCGGGCGTCACCTCACGAGAGGCCGAGTTCTTCCCTGAGCCAATGAAGTGGGAACCACATCGCTGGGAGGAAGGTCACCCACTTGCGTACACCCAACTGGGCCTGGATAAAGAAGAATTCGAGGACTACGGATACGGCATGATCAGCAAGGGAGCCGCTTCACCTTATCTTCCGTTTGGCGCGGGCCGTCACAGGTGCATTGGCGAGCAATTTGCCTACGTACAGCTAGGAGCCGTGCTCGCGACGATGGTGAGATTGGTGAAATTTCGACAGATTGAGGGTCAGAAGCTGGTGCCCACAGATTACTCGAGTTTGTTTTCGAGGCCAATGGCGCCGGCTGCGGTGGAGTTTGAGAAGAGAGAGAAGGTGTAAGAGGCGAGTTGCACGATGCTCTGATGGTTATCAGCGAGGAGGAATTGTACATATGAAAATAGACTGCTAGGAGAGACAAGGAGACGGCCTACAACACGCCACGGTCTGATCAGGGCCAAGATAGAAGGCAACGAGCCCGGGTAATGAGGTGTTGAGCGCAGCCTGAGACGTGGATAGAGGTCAATCAATATAGAGGCCTCGAGGCTTTTGGAGATGTTCATAGCAAGTCGCCATAGCCTTATATTGCCAAATTACTGTCGTATTGCCTTGTCCCACTCAGTCAGGCGGTTGACTCTAAGGGAGTTGAACCCCAGCGAAGCGAACCTTGCGGCGGAAACTCTCACCCCCGGTCATACACGTGACTCGGACGAATCCCCACTCGGAGTGAAAACAGACCGGACCCGAATCGACTCCAAGATTGGACCAAGACGGTGGAACCTTTCGCCCGACAGGAGTTTGTATCTGCAGAATTTTGAAACACTACCTACCTAGTAGGTAACCATGCAAGAGAAATGCTTGTTGAGGAAGGAAAAGAAATGGATATGCGAATACGATATGCTTCATCGCGTCATTGAAATATCGTACTCGGAACAGACTCTGATCAGCGACGAGAGTAAGGGAATGACTGCTGCCTACTCGTCGCATTCGTATTCTAACAATTTCGATGTCGAGTCATTGGCGATTCGGATGGTGGATGAAGAAGCCTCCGAGCAGTCCGTCCCACTGTGACCGTCTGTTTGAAGCATCACCATTGGCGGGAGGGAAGCCTAGAAGACCCTTAGCGTGCCCAGCAAGTCCGTTGAGGGTTACGGGCGATGGGGAGGCCCACTGGCCCTTAGCGAAAGCCCGCTGGGCACTGGGCAGTGGGCGCTAGGCACACCCAGATCTCGCCTTGGATGCCCGCTGGACCGCTGCTTGTTGTGCTCTTGCGGCGCGGCGGGCTCCCCTCCCTCCTCCCCCCCAATGGTGGCTCATTTTCTTTCCACCACTTTTGGTCACTTGCGGACGCCCTCGCAAATTTGTCCTCTATCCTGGATACCCACTAACAAACCCCCGTACCCAGTACCCTATCTCATGAGGCTTGTTGTTTTATATTCTATTATATCTCTTAAGTCCGCACATACCATGTCTTTCTCCATAGAGTTTCTCCCTGCCCTTTGTTGGTTCAGGGTGATTTCCTTCTTCTTTCGCGGGCCTTGTTCCTGCTTTGAGTGTTACTAGGCTCTTCCTTAATACGTTTCTCATCGCGCAATCTTTCGCCATTTCGCCATTCTGCGCAGTAACCCAACATTCCTCAGCTTCTTCTGCTGTTATCACTCACGGACCTCTGCCAGACTCTGGTCCCCTTCCCCCGGCAGCAGAGACTTTCAACCCTGAGGAATGCGGATCTAAAACAAGAGTAAGCACTGCCAGCTGCAAAACATCGAATCCATCCCGCACGGCTTCACCCCATTCCCGTCCGACAGTTTGCACAGCCTTGACGGCCCCACACAAACTCTCGAAATCCTTCGAGCCTCAGAACAATATACCGGACACCGGACCGCGCCCTCGGTTGTGGTGAACCTGTGTCTGCAATGGGGTTGTTCACGAAGAAGACAACAAGCCCGGCGTCAGCCACTCTCGAGCCGACCAATCCAAACAATGTCAAGTCTGAAGATACCACTGCCGTACCCAGCCAGAATGTGTCGGACACGGATTCATTGGAGAAGAGTAGAGATGTAGAGACAACTGTCGTGGATGAAAAGGGTTCCGAGACCCAACAGGGGATGGGAGACGCTGCCAGGGGGACAAACCCAACCGCCATCCCTTCCGAGGGCACACCGTATCACCCATCGGAGACTGGGGGAAAGACTCAAGAGGACGTACAGGTCCAGAGTGACGCAAAGAGCACGACTTCCGCGAGTGTCGTTGTCCCTGCGGGTGTGAGCGCGGAAGATGAAGATGAGATAGTCTATCCTGGAGGACTGAAACTGGGACTGATCACACTGGCCCTTTGCTTGTCGGTGTTCTTGGTCGCGCTCGACAATACCATTATTGCGACGGCCATTCCCAAGATTACAGATCACTTTAATTCACTAGGTGATGTCGGTTGGTATGGGTCGAGTTATCTGCTCACTACTTGTGCCTTGCAGTTGTTCTTTGGAAAGTCAGTACTCCAGCATCTATGACATTGAATGTGGTTGCTAAGATTCATCACAGGCTCTACACCTTTTACTCCATCAAGACGGTATATCTCGTCTCCATCGTCATCTTTGAGGTTGGATCGGCCGTTTGTGGTGGTGCTCCAACCTCTGATGCGCTTATTGTTGGTCGTGCGATAGCCGGAGTCGGATCCGCAGGGATTTTCAGTGGTGCGTTGGTTATCATCGCATACACTGTCCCGCTTGTGAAACGACCAATCTATACTGGTGTTATCGGAGCCATGTATGGAATCGCTTCGATTGCTGGTCCGTTACTGGGTGGCGCCTTTACTGACGGGCCAGGTTGGCGGTGGTGCTGTAAGTGCATGATGAACGGATATCTACTCTAATATGTGACTGACAGAAGATGCAGTTTATATCAACCTCCCCCTTGGAGGTATAACCCTGGTCGTCATCTTCTTTTTCTTCCACTCCCCCGTCCGCAAGGCAGAGAAGAAAGTACCATGGCGAGAACGCGCGCACCAACTCGACCTGGTCGGCACTGCTCTCTTCATCGTCGACATTGTCGTCTGCTTGCTGGCTTTACAGTGGGGCGGCTCCAAGTACCCTTGGTCCAACTGGCGGATCATCCTATGTCTCACGCTGTTTGGTGTCCTAACCATTGTCTTCATCATCCACCAATACTTTATGAAGGAATTCGGTACCATCCCTTTCAACATCATCACACAACGAAGCGTGGCATCTGCTGCTTGGTTCGCGTTTGCCCTCGGTGCGGCATTCTTCGTCTTGATCTATTGGGTGCCGATCTGGTTCCAAGCCATCAAGGGTGCATCTGCGTTCAAGTCTGGAATCATGTGCTTACCCATGGTGCTGGCACTCGTGATCGCGAACATCCTCACTGGAGTGGGCACGACCACGATTGGATACTACACTCCATTCTACTATGGGAGTGTGGTGCTCTCTACGATCGGCGCCGGTCTTTTGACAACCTTTGAAACCACCACCGGCCACGAGAAGTGGATTGGATACCAGATCATATACGGCTTTGGGGTTGGACTAGGCATGCAACAAGCTCTCATCACCGTCCAGGCTGTTCTGCCCCTGAAGGATGTGCCCACGGGCACCGCGATGGTCATGTTTATGCAGACCTTCGGCGGCGCTTTATTTGTGTCGGTCGCCCAAAACATCTTCAACAACCGCCTCATGTCGGAAATCCCCAAACAGGCTCCCGGGATCAACCCTGCCATTATCTTGCACGTGGGGGCGACGAGTCTGAAGAATGAGATTCCAAAAGCGGCCCTGCACGGTGTCCAGACGGCGTACAATACCTCGCTGACGCAGACGTGGTATATTGCCGTAGCCATGACGTGTCTGCAGATCATTGGGGCTGTGTTTGTTGAGTGGAAGAGCGTCAAGGGCATGAAGCCTGGTGGCGTGGCTGCCTAGTGGGCACTGACGAGAATGCATTGTCGGATTTTGGTTGAGCATTTTGCCTGGGCGTTGGTGGCGACACAGTACTCGGATAATGCATATGGGAAGATATGTCGTTGGTAACCCTGCTTGCTTGATGTCTTGGATATGGGGATTGCCCCGTTTAGTGCTGGCCATGGGTGGCCATGTCGGATTGTGGTCATGAATCCCCTCTACTTCTTTGATGATTGGATAGACAAGTCTAGATGTACAGGTTCGGGACGAGAAACGTGAGCCCGGGGAGAAGTCTCCGTTCGACGTTCGACAAAAAGCAGAAAGATGAGAATGAGAACATTGTCTCCATCAAGGATTGCACGCTCCGCTCCATTGAGGGCAGTCGAGTAGATGATATCAAATCAGTTTCCTGTCATCCTTCCCCCTTTCCTCAGAAGATGTATCCTGTCCTCCCCCCCCCTCCCCTTCAGCATGCACGTTTTCTCGGAGCGCCATCCCATCCCATCCCATCCTCCGCGACGCACCCGGTCTGTATGTACCGAATGTACCTAGGTAGGTAGGTAAGTGGATCTTGGTCGGGTCGATTTCCCCCTTGCAGTGCTTGTCCGAATCCTGAATCTACCCGAGTATGAAGCATGGCGATGGGAGAGAGGGAGAGAGGGAGGAAGTTGAGAGATACCCCTTCTCCATGGGTCGTTGTCGTGTGGTTCATCACCATGTCGGAGACACACGGCCACTAAGAATAATCCATCTGTCAATCCGTTAATCCGTTCATCCGTCCCGTGCATATATGCTGTATATCCCATGTCGATATAGATTCTCTCCTGCAGACCTTCGGTCTTCTTGGTGTCCACGTCCACCACTTCACTGACTGACTCACTCCCTAACAAGGACTGGCCCGGCCCTGCATTGTGTTCCCTTGACTGTCACCGTGAACATACTTCTGATCCAGATCCAGATCCTGATTCAGATTCTGAATTTGATTCTGAACATGACCAAGCAAGACCCCTTGGGATCTTATCTTGACTCTTAGACCCCTCCTCCAGCTCCGCTCACGCCGAACATTTTCCTTCCAACTCGACCAAATCCAAGCAAAAAGCCTAGTGGGACACGCCGAAAAAAAGCTCGTGTTGACTAATGATCTTCCCCGTCTCTCTCCCTTGGCGCTTTGACATCTCCCGTGCCCGACCAAGAGAATCCCACCCTTTGTTCTTTTAGATGCGGTGTTGCCCGTAAGGCGATACGCTCATGTTCTCGATCGGGATTGATTCTTCGGACGGGACGAAGGTTTGAATTTCGAAAGAGACGGGGATGTCGTGGTGATCGTGTCCCACTCCCGCTTTCACGTTGGTTTGGTGTCGTTTGAGGGTCAATAGTCGAGTGGAGATGGTGACGCTGTCATCCTGCTTGTATGTGTCGTGGCTGGGGCCCTCTCTCCTGAGGTTTCAGCAGCGAGACCATTCGGCGATGGGCGAGATTACTGGACCTCGACGTCGTAGTGTATGATCGGAATCGTCCTCGAGTTCAACGCTGGCAGGGCGGCACGGCAGCGGCTTCGTGGGCAGCATAGCGAATGTCTCATTTCTTCTTCTCCAGGCCAGGCACGTACACGTGGCGGAGGTAGATGCCGTAGATGCCCAGGAACACGGACATGACGGCCGAGGACCAGATGGAGACGCAGATGAACATGTTTTCCTTGGGGGTCGAGGTTTGAGGACGGTGATGAGAGCGAGAGCTTTCGACGTCGAAGCTCAGTGAATAGACCGACCGACTGAGCGACTGGAGCGAGGAGGATAGGGAAGAGTGGGTGAGATATTGGGCAGCAAAGGGCAATCAAGCCTTGAATGAGTGAGTGAGTGAGTTGAAAGGAAGAGGTGAAGTGAGTGGCTATTGTTGGATTTGCGTCTTTGGGACTCAGATAAAGGTACCTCGTCCAGGAGTGCCTCGATGGGAGAAATATATAACGGCAATACCTCTTCGAAGAAGGATAGGTGATAGGTGGGAAGGGAAAGCCTTATATTCATGACGATATTGAGATTATCAATGCGTGCTCCTTGTACCCCTTTTCTGTCCCCCTCTCGCTTCCTGTTTCTTCTTTCGCTGCTTACCGTTATCCACAGTTTATGATGGACCTCGAGCGTGCATTACTCGGTAATACTCGTCCAGCACGTACGAATCCGATAGGAGCACGAGGCACAAGCACTCAGCTCAGTGCCCGAGTATGGATGGGTATGGGGCGCGAAGAAATCAAGGGGTGATGGATGATGGGCACCCTCGTACGGAAAGGTCGGCCTCGGCCTCCCAAATGGACCTCGACGGGTATGCGTCTTTTTTGGCGAGGATCCCAATTGGCGTGAGATCAACCCATTGTTTAAGTAATAAGCAGGGGGATTGGATGGGACCAATATGGACGAGGCAGAACGCAGCAACTAATAACGAGAGACGGACCAAAAGAAAGATGAGGGAAGAAACCGTGCGTCAGTAGTAGCTCGATCGTGGTGGAGTTTGGGATCCCAAACGCGTCGGAATCGCGGCAAGGCTTCCCTTCGTGTCGGGCTTCCCAATTGTCAGACGTCGAAACCCAAACAAAGGGAGGAAGACGCTCTTGCTGGCACCACTCACGGTTTCGAGACACTAGCTTCTCGTCATCATCGTGATCAGCTCGTAATCAGAGCGTGCGAGCGAATGGCTTAGATAATGGTTGTACCGAGTAAGTTGAACCAACACCAGCACCAACCTAACACATTGACATATGAATGACATGTGTGCCCTCTGGTTGGCAAAGAACTTGCTGGGCAATCCGGAAGGATACATAGACACAAGCACCATCAAGATGCATAGCTGGAGGTTCGGATCCGATGGCTTTCCGTGGACCGGATCCAGTCATTCCTAATCGTTTCGTCCGTGCACAGTACAAGACTTGGCCAGAGCTTTTTGCCGAGACGATCAAATTTCGGGGTGTCGGGAATTAAAACATCGCGAAATCAGCCTCATAATAATTAATGCGAGGCCGCCGTGGTAGCCGGGATGTGGGCAGGTAGATCAAGTGACACTCTTTCCTTTTTTCCCATCTCTTTTTTGTTTGAGTTTGTCGTTGGTATCTCGTGGCTTGCATGAAACCAGAAGCGTGTCTGTCGGCTGTGACCTATAGATGACCTGGATCGTCCGAGGTATGTAGATGTTCTGTCACATAACAAAAGTCGGGGTGAAACTTGTGTGAAGATGAGAGGGCGACAAATCTCCTCTAGACAAAGATTATGAGAACGTCTGGAGGACTGGTGGCTGGCTTGAGGTGCGAATTCTGTCTTCGAATTGTAAGTCCATCCAACACGTGCTCTCCCTGACAGAGGAGCGAGACGGGATGAAGGCTAAGTCGAAAAGCTTTGTCCCAGCAGAAAGGACGTTGGCTAGAGACGTTTCCATATACAGGTCTTCTATGTGGACCATACTGTAACAAGCTCTTTGACGTCGAGGGCGCCGTCCGGTGATTTGCACGGAACGCAGACATTGTGAGACTGAGAGGTATCTTGGAAAGGATGCTGTATAGGCGGCGTGGTGGTAGTAAAGCAATAGGTGTCAGACAGTGATTTTATAGTCTGTGGTGGGTCGTAGTTGCCCGTTTCGAACAATGTATACCTATGCCTCAGAGCGCAAGGCCAATGCAATTAGGTTTTGTTTTAAATAGAAAAAATATAATACTAATGCTTATTTCAATTGAAATAATGTTATTATCAATTACATTCTTAATATTAATAAGTTCATTAAGCTTTGATGATATATTAGGTCAAACTCTTTCTATATTATATAGCGGTCTGGGGAGCTTCTTCAAAACCCTGTCAGTGCTCGACGACTACCCTTTACACCTTGCCTCGGACGTACTTGGGACACTGCAAGCATACAGCCTCTAAGCCCAGCAAATATCTGACACAACCTCACACGGTGGCAATGATCCATACAGCCTCCTATTCCCTGTCCATCTACTACAACCAATCCAACGTCTCGAAATAGTACGCTACTCGTATATCAATGAGCTCCCGACAACGCCACGATCTTAATGCCAAAGACCTTCGCTTGGGCCCTTTGCACCTCGCCCATCTTTGTGATCTCGGTCCATTCCTCCTTAAACTAAGCAAACAGAACTCCGACTTTGCTGATTCCACTCGCTCGATGATATCAAGCTCCTCACGCCCCTCCTGGGGAAATAAATCACATCCTGGCAAGCTGCTCCGGCATCGTGGACACCGACATGACGAGGCCAAAGGCGCTGTTGTGGGGAATCACATCGCTCCTGCTCCTGCGCTCGGGAGCTGCCGCCTCGGCGACATGTCGTCTCATATCGTACAGGTTCATCTCGTCGATGGTAAGTTTCCCCGTCGCGACCGCCGCCTTGTACCCGATCTTCTGGCTGGAGAAGCCGATGCGCTCGTTGATGTTCTCGCGCGCCCGGGCGCTGGCCGCCTGCACTTTGGTAGCCCGGGGTTTCCGGATCCGCTCGTACAGGGCCAACCCCGCCGCGACATCGGCCGTGTACATGTAGTCCCGGCCGAAGATGATGCCTAGCGCCGCCGCGTCTTCGATCGCCTGGCACGCCCCCTGGCTTTGGTCCGGGAGCATGGGGTGCGCGGCGTCGCCGAGGACGCATGTCCGGCCGATCGTCCAGTGCGGGTACGGCTCGTGCACGAACAGCCGCCACGGCTTGATGTCCCTCGCATGCCGGAACAGCGCCAGCAGTCTCTCGTCGAGGTCCGGGAACGGCGCGAGCAGTTCCTCCACGCTGGCTTCGTGGTTCCACCCTTCGGAAGCGTGGTCGGATTTCGACGTCGGAAAGAAGCAGTAGAAGCTATTGATTTCCCCGGATCGGCACGGCGAGTAGACGATCTTCTCGATCCCCACCCCGCCCCAGAATTCGATCGCACAGTTGGCTGTGAGGTCTAGCAGGCCGAGGCGCGAGACTTCGCTGGCGTCAATCACGCAGTGGTAGCAGGTGGAGGTGGATTGCTTGCGGGTCGGTATTATCCCTAACGCGCGGCGGACGGCGGACTGGTGTTGATGTTAGAGGTGCCGAGGCGACCGATTTGGGAGAGGGAAGGTGAACTTACTCCAATCCCATCAGCTCCGATAATCATGTCGTGCTGTGCAACGACTCCATTCTCGAACGTCACGATCCCCCTTTCGTGGTCGATCTCCTTGCACTTGTGATCCAGCCGTAGCTGCGCCGGAGTGCCTTCGCCACGACCAGTCGCCGAGTCCATGAGCATCTCGTGCATGTTGACTCGATGGAACATATTATAGACCTGCAATAGATCTATTAAGTCATCTGCCCTTCGTGTTGAATCACCCTATAAGTGCCTTACCCATCCCCATTGATCCTTGTAGTCTGACAGATCGTAGATGCTCTGCACTTCGCCAGTTTTCCAGTCATGGCGGATCAGCTTCTGCAATATCACGGTCTTGCCCAGGGAGATGTCGACTTCCCACTCTTCCAGCCACCGGGTGCCATTCGCAGCGCAGCTTATCGAGGCTCCGACCTCTCCGGCATAGTGAGCTTGCTCGTAGATTGTCACGCTGTGGCCTGCTCGGCGGAGAGATGTTGCTGCCGCCAGACCGCCTGCTTGAGGTTAGGTCATATTCCCACTGATCTGGCTTCCTGCACGGGCTGCTCTCACCAATGCCACCGCCAATAACAGCGACGTCCAAAGGCTCCCAACCTTCCGCCATATGCGCTGATAGTCAGTAATACTCGTGTTCGATCCGTAGTAACGCGACTTCCACACAAGGGCTTGATGACGCGATAAAGGGAGAGGCTTGATGTGCGTTGGTGCGCTCTTGATTTATGCCAGTCAAGCGCTCTCCAGCATTTCAAGTATCAAATGTTCCATTTTCGTCACTGAACCCATTAGGTCCTTAAGGCCTGATAAGCACCCGAGACATCGTCTCCTATGACGCCTCGTTGATTGGCACCACACCCATCCCACAGGATCGCATGAACATGGTAACAATACTTGATTTGGAAGGCAGACTTGCCCATATCCGCTTGGTATCACAACAAAGTTGTCGTTTGGCGGCCTCTTAGGTGAGAGATCAAGTGGTGCCTGATCGTGCTTGGGCGTCGGACCACGAGATTGAAACGACGATTCGTCCATATGTCGGGTAATGCACCAGTGCGCTGCCCGCCACCCGCACAGGCTGTTCGTTGGTCAGACCAAACAAGCAACAGGCTGGCCACGCTATGTCATACACCACCGGTTTCTACCCGTCGGCTATGGGCCTGGAGGAGCGGAGAAACGTAGCATATGAGGAGTTGATGTCGATTGAATGTTCGGGCCCCGGAGCTTTTCCGTGCTGTACACACATCAGCAACGTGAAAAGGGTTCCTTTCAGGAGGACTATCATCTTTTTAGATAGTTCAGAATATTCAAGCCTTCCTATAAGAAGAAACTCGGTCATCTTCACATCCATTGTGTTCAAAGTTGTGCAGAAGCGAAAATGCTGGGTAAAGTGGCCCTCGAAGAAGCATTCGCTCTACCCCGATTTGCGGAGCGAACAAGATGGTGGGCGTCCATGTTCGCCGTGAATCCGGACAAGCATGCTCGCGAAATGAACGACATCAACGACATCCGGATACAGTACATGGACAAATATGGAGTAGGATACCAGATTCTCTCGTACACGGCTCCTGGAGTCCAGGATGTCTTTGACAGGAAAGAAGCAGAGGCATTGGCGACTGAAATCAATGACTACCTCGCAACGACGATCAAGGCTCACCCAGGCAGGTTTGGAGCGTTTGCGTACGTCTCCCCTGAGATTTGTGCGTTGAATGGGTATTGACCACTTCCTTAGAACGCTTTCCATGCATGATCCCAAACAGGCAGCAGACGAGCTTCGACGCTGCGTCAAGGAGTATGGATTCAAGGGGGCGCTGGTAAACGACACTCAGCGCTCAGGGGCCGATGGCGACGACATGATCTTTTATGACTCGGCGGACTGGGACGTGTTCTGGTCAACAGTGACTGAATTGGACGTTCCGTTCTACTTGCATCCTCGCAATCCCACAGGCACCATGTACGAGAAGCTCTGGGCGGCGAGGAAATGGCTCGTCGGACCTCCACTGAGTTTCGCCCAGGGAGTCAGTCTGCATCTTCTGGGGATGGTGACAAACGGCGTGTTTGACCGACATCCTCAACTCCAAGTAGTCATTGGGCACCTGGGCGAGCACCTTCCGTTCGATCTCTGGCGGATCAACCACTGGTTTGAAGACGTCAAGAAGCCCCTGGGGTTGAAGGAGACATGCAAGAAGACAATCCGCGAGTATTTTGCCCAGAATATCTGGATCACCACCAGCGGGCACTTTTCGACGCCGACGCTGCACTTCTGCCTGAATGAGGTTGGGGCGGATCGGATCCTCTTTTCGATTGATTATCCCTTCGAGAAGTTTGAGGATGCATGCGAGTGGTACGACAATGCCGAGATCAACGAGGTGGACAGGAGGAAGGTTGGCAAGGACAACGCGAGAAAGCTGTTCAAGCTGCCCGAATTCAAGGACTGCGACGTCTGAGGTCGCTGATTTTATTGGAGGCCTCTAGTGGATGCAGCCTAGGCAGCTCTGTAGGCCCTGAGCCCCGTGGCTTTAACTACAATAGGCCCTGGGAAACTCCCTCAGGCGTCGCTTTAAACCCCCACATGCCGTATCCTACATATCCTTTAACTACGACTAGCATGGGTGGTGGGCCCTACTCGCGAGCCTTACTAGCCTAATGCTCTCGTGCTTATCTGTAAACATACAACTCCACCAGAATGATGACTCCCGTCCTAATCTACACACTGGCAGTCTACCAACGACGTACTTCGTATACACTCTCGATGGCTTCAATATGAAGAGAAATGCCTCGTCCCAAGGTCCGTCCTGAAGATCGACAGCGGTCTGCCAAAGCATGTCTACCTTGCAAGGTCTCGAAGAAACGCTGTGACGCCCAACAACCATGCTCCAACTGTGTCAGGCGAAGGACGCCGTCGTCTTGTCGCTATGTAGAATCGAGTCATGCGAGGCAGCAACCCCAGACGCCCTATAGTCAGCCACGAGTCTTCAGGACATTGGTGGGTAGATCCGACCGGGTTGCGACAAGACTCCCTGGCTATGGCACTTCAACGGCCGGAGAGGCGTCGACACAAAACCCGGGTCCTGTCAACTCAGCTGCGCGCGAAGTGTCGGTGTCAACTGGTCAGAAGCTCACGGGTGGCCGAATGCTGCTTAACTCGAAGGGGGAGAAAGGTATGGAATCCCTTTCCTTTATCAGTTCATGAGCTCTAGCACTGAAGCAGCTGGTGGCTCTAGTCTACATCGGAGGATTTGCCTCGCTGTCATTTCTGCAGTTTCTTCGCCACACGATCAGACAGCAAATGGGACCCTCGCTGTTTACTGAAAACACCCGTCGCCATGTAATGCTGGAGGCTGCCAGTCCCCAAGACACAAGGCACAGCTTTGTCGAAGACGACGACCAGAAACGAGCCATGATTGATGTCTACTTTGCTGCTGTGAGTTACGTTCGGGCGGTTTGCTGATTGAGGATATCACTCACAGTAGCAGACAAACGGAATTATAGATCTATTTTCTCGAGAAGAAGTCGAGGCATATTCAGCAACAGTGGACGCCCCAAATGTTGAGAAAGGCGAGTATATGACGGCTGCACTCGATCTTATCGTTGCCATTGGGGCACAATGCCGAGCAGCAAATCAATCCGATTGTCAGTACGCTGTAAAACTCTTTTCCCGGGCACAGAAAACAGCTCTCGCCGGCGGACTCGAGGACCCCTGTCTTGACATGGTCCGTTGTTTCCTGCTCATGACCTTCTACACGTTGGGAGCCTGTCGGAGAAACGCTGCATTCATGTACATGGGGATTGCTAGTCAGGCTGCTTCTGCTCTAGGTCTCCATGTCACTGAACAATATCGTCACTTCAATGCATCAGACCAAAGCGTGCGGTAAGTTACCTGTCTGTGGGTCATATCCTCATCCTTTCGTCCTGCTGATCCCAACAGACTTCGAACGCTGAAATCCCTTCGAGTCCTGGATGTGATATATTGTTCGATCCTTGGGAGACCCTACTCAACAGGAGCAATTAGAACCGATCATATCGCGTTGAATAATGCGGATACTCAAGCAATCAGTCCTCGCGAGCCCACATTGAACGCAAGTTTCCAGGCGTGTACAATCATCGCGGAAATCACACAGAACCTTGACTGTGACGGTTCTATTGGTCTCAACGCTGCCGAAGAATTTCTCAGACGTCTCCAAGAATGGAGCGCTAGCCTCCCTGATGACATGCGGCATTTCAAGAAACCGGTCGACCAGCCTTTGACGCTGCCGGAGCGGGAACAAATGATTGGGAATATCCACGTCTCATGTGTTTATTACTTTGCAGTGATGCTCGTGGCCAGGCCGTTCTTGATCTCACTTCTGATGCACCAATTAACCGGGAGCGCAGGCAATGCTTCCGTCGTAACTGCGACATCCGAAATGCAGGCAGATGTGGTTGATGTGGCCCAAGCCTGCATTGATTCGGCGATTCTCATGGCTAATATGTGCTATGAGGCTATCCAGTCTGGCGTTCTGCTCAAACAGATGTGTATAATGAAGTAAGGAGCTCGGATCGTGCTCTTGAATTGACGTATGCTGACATCCAAGGGCTTGGGTCTTCGCCGCCGGCCTGGTGCTAGGCTTCTCCATGTTCGCGCAGGCCGAATCCCGCTTCGACATGGACGACTCGTTCCACAATGCTCGCGAGGTCCTCCGGAATCTCTCCATCCACAGCCCCCAGGCAGAGCACTACTACGAAATCCTCAGCGGCTTCGCCGATGTCATACAACGACATCGCCAGCATCTCTCGCGCGAAAAGCGCCGCTACAAGAATAAATATGTGGACCAGATCTTGACTTTGGACGTCAGTCCGAGTGCCGGCGGGTCGCAGTCAACTTCCTCCCCGCGAACACCACTATCCAACGACCGCGGCATCGGGGTTCTAGAGAACCCTGCAACGAGCGGAAGTGTAACAGGGGGAGGTGGTGTTCCAGGGAATGACTTTGATCTGAATGGGCCATTCCAGATGGCCGATTACAGCCAGTGGCCGCTGGAAAACGGTGGCGGCTTCGACTTTGGCATGTTCGGCTGGGACAACTTTGCCATGCAAATCTCCGAGAACTTTTCCTTTGACAATGAGGCCGTTTGGGGTGTCACCTGAAACACTTACTGTAATGAACCCTGGGGTTTTCGCCTGGAAACTGAGTCCAGCGGCTCTTGAGGTTCTTGCGAGCATTTAAATACTCTCTCCAGGTACAAATCGCGGCTCCGGCAGTTGTCGAGACAGGACTGTGCCCTTGGTAGTCTGCCACCTACGCGATCCTCGACCGGTCTTTGGCAATGTTTTTTTTCAGATCATCATACTTCTCATGTCGAACTCAACATGACGGCTAAGATGATCTAGCCTGGTCGTACCGAGAGGTACCCCCTCAGACAGGACCATCTGTGGTTATTACAGCCACGGCAGCGCTAGATGGTCACGGACCATAGTTAGTCTGAGCTCTTAAACAGCAGAATACCTTCGTCATGCCATCACCACATGGCTTCCCGCTGCTTTGCGCACGCTGTCGCTGGCCAGATCATGCAGGCTCTATTGCTCGACGCAAGGCTAATGGTTGTGCAAATCTCAAACAGGATGGCTAACCGACCAAGTGAATCGTAGGAAGAATCAATACGCGTTTGTTAGCCTACTCTGGCTGAGTGGAATGAAAGCGAGGAACCTGATGTATCAGGGGGATGGAGGCTGGCTGGCGAGCGGTGGTCTGGACTTCGGTGTCATTGGGTCCAGCTATGTTATTGCTATGCTTAGAGTGCCACAGGAGACGGGTTGGATTGGTTGGGGCTGAAGTCGGATGTCTGGGAGCGAGAGGAAGATCTAGAAGCCGCGAATGGAAAAGCTGCGGAGGAGGTGAAAGGTGGATGAGAGATGATGATGCCTTGTCGCCTCTTACTCATCGACTGTGTTAGTTAAGCGGCTCGATGCCTGAAAAGGGACATGGACATGTGTCCTAATCACTGGCTGGACTGATGAAGTGCAGGTGGTGAACTGAGGACGAGAAGTGGTCGAGTCGTCAACTGCGGGCGCAGCCGGTGCCATGTGCGGGGCATTCAACTCAAAGTCGCGTTCAATTGAAAGAGCTGCGTTTCTCCCCCTGCGCCATCGCGGTTGCGGCGTCGCAACTGTCCAGAAAAAAAGTTCCACGAAGTTACGGTGAGAGGTGTCCTCTATTCACTCAAAGGTGAAGCTGTCCTTTCTCTTTCTCCTTCACACCAAGTCTCTTCCTGTTGCTGCGAGCATATAAAGACCTCCCAATCTCGACCATAAACTAATCCCTCCCCTCATTCATCCTTCACCGCCGCAACCATGGCTGAGCTGTACCCCGACCTCAAGGACCGTCCTGTCAAGGAGACCGTCTGCCTTTTCGATGTCGATGGCACTCTCACCCCTGCGAGACAGTCTGTCTCTGCTGAGATGCTGCAGACCCTGTCCAACCTAAGACACAAGTGCGCAATTGGCTTTGTACGTGAGCCCTTCGTCAAACGAGGACTGCCAGTGGAACTGACTCTCACCTAGGTCGGAGGTTCAGATCTTGCCAAACAGCAAGAGCAGCTGGGCACCCCGTCTCTTCCTGTCACCACGCTCTTTGACTTCTGCTTTGCCGAGAATGGTCTGACTGCGTACCGCCTGGGCAAGCCCTTGGCCTCTCACTCCTTCATCCAATGGCTTGGAGAGGAGAAATACCAGAAGTTGGCCAAATTCTGTCTGAGATACCTCTCGGAGCTTGAGGGTCTTCCTCGCATGCGTGGCACGTTCATCGAATTCCGCAACGGCATGATCAACGTCAGCCCTGTTGGTCGTAATGCCAGCAAAGCAGAAAGAGACGAGTTTGAGGCGTGGGATAAGAAGAACAACTGCAGACCTCAGATGATTGAGGCGATTCAAAAGGAGTTCCCTGATTTGGGACTGACGTACGGGCACTTTGGGAGACGTCCCTCGTTGACTGTAAACTGACAGACGGCAGGTACTCGATCGGCGGTCAAATCTCCTTCGACGTATTCCCCACAGGATGGGACAAGACCTATTGCTTGCAGCACATTGAAGCCGAAGCAGACCCAAGCAAGAATCTGTCGGGCATCCACTACAAGAACATCCATTTCTTCGGTGACAAGGCCTTCAAAGGGGGTAACGACTGGGAAATCTACAGCGATTCTCGAACCATTGGTCACGCTGTCAAAGGCCCCGAGGATACCATCGCTCAGCTCAAGGAACTCTTTGACGTCTGACTTGCAGCTTGCCTCTGACAAGCTCGTCTAACTTGCACCGGTTTCGTGTGCTTTGATTCTACTCATACACTTTATTCAGTGGCAGGAAGCGATTACGGAAGGTCACCCAGGTTTGGAAGATTTTATGGGTTCAAAATTGATGGAACGCTCCGACATAGAGTGGTAGACATGGTATTAAGCCATGAGTGGGTGGGTTTGAAATGGAATCGAGTTATTGATCTTAGCAGAGAAATCCTGGGACGAATTGCATTCGTGATCCAAATTTTTGCATGCTTGAGGTGTGTCGAGAGAGCTGCTGCGAAGCCTCCCGTGAAGATCCAAACCCCACGAGCCGTTTATCGCGGAAGCATCTAAGCTGGGACCGTGCAAGGAATTGAACGGGCGAAGAATGTGCGACTCGGATTATCAAGCATCGTCACAAAGGGAACCTGTCCGTGCTGGAGAGAAGTCGAGTGCCTCTCAATATCCATGCTCATCTCCCAGCACACACAGTGCCTACAGTGCTGTGACGACCCATTCGACCTTTTCCTCCCCAATTCCACATCCCGCATGATACCAACCGAGTCCTCCCCAGATCTTGCACAATATCTCATTGAATTACTATTTACCCGGTACTCGTAGGAGAGCGGACTTGGAATCCTGGTTGCAATAGATCAAATACCTCATAACTGCTGCCCACCACCAACATCACGACACATATCGCGCCTCCCGTGCTTATTCGTACTCCGCGCACTCATATTCCCGGTGCAAATGGCATCTAGACCGGCTCGGGCCTAATCCGGCAGACACTGGTTCAGCGTTAATTAGCGTCCGGCCTTTGACATTCAGACCCCTGCGCGGTCGAGAACTTGAATGCCGCTTAGAGTCTCGGCATTGTCCAACCGTGTTTAAGATTGATGGCCTCGACCCCAACGCAGTACCTCGTACCTCAGACTGCGTGCTGGCAGAGCAGCGGTGCCATCCTGCTTTAGCAACAAACCCCTGCTCTGCCCCGTGCTCTGCCCCGCGCTCAGCCTTCAAACATGAGAAGATGGTTCTTCATCCTGGATCTCTCGCATCTTCAGGCACCGGGTATAGAGGTGTCAACATGCGCGCCACACGGTCACGAACTTGTCGTATCATTGCCGTGGTTGGTCATAGCCTGATTCACGCGTGTTGATATAAAAATTCGTCAAACATCGAAGTGCTTCCCTTTGCAGGCAAAAACGACGATTATGGATATTGCTGGCCTGGTAATCGGTGTTGCAGGCTTAGTGGGTCTTGTCCAGTGCATGCAAAGATGGCTTCGAACGATTCAGGTGGCTCGAGTGTAGTACGCAGCGGGGGTTCGAAGCTACGGAGACCATGGACGAGACTCAGAAACTGCGATTCTTTATCTGGGCGAATGCGGTGGGCATTGTTGGCGAGCTTCCATGTGACACCAATCTGGATCGTCCGGAAACCAGACGTGTGGTCGAGAGGATACTGAACAATATTCACGAATCCTCCATCACATTCACCAGCGGGTACAACAATGTGAAGCCGCAGGCCGGTCGTGTGTTGATGGCTGGTTGGGCCGCCGGGGTGGAAGGAGTGGCGCGTGCTCTCGCGGTGGACTTGCGGCCCATTAGCGTCAACTGTGTCTGTCCTGGCGCCGTGCGCACAGAGTTGTTTGATGGGTTGCCGAAGCATTTGCTGGACCCGCTGGTGGAGAAGTATGTTAGTAGAACTCTGAGCGGGACGATCGGACAGCCGGAGCAGGCAGCGGAAGCGTATCTATATTGCATGCGGGATGCTTTCGTAGATGGGACCGTGGTGCACTCAAACGGCGGATACTTGTTGGGATAGAATCCAGTTCCAGATGCGGGAGATGGATATTTATCTCGAAATTCGAATGTTACCAGAACGAGAAACTCATAGCGATCACTATTTGTCTTTCCCTTGAATCTTGTGTGCCGCAGTAACGAACCGGTGTGCTGCAGTGTACTTTACTTACACTACAACTGCAATGCACTGTACCGGTGCAAAATGAGCGCGGTCTCGGTCCAACATTGGAATCTCGTTGCACCGCTGTCGACAGCCCTGGCTCAAGCTCGGGCCCTGGTTTCAAACCACAGCTACTGACTTCTTCAAACCTGAGACGCGAGTACCCTTGGAGGCGGCGGAGGGAGAAATCCTTCACCCCAAGTCGAAAATCGTGGCGGTGCAAAGCCACACCGGACCCGGTCGACCAACCAACGAGCACCACTTCCAACCCTCCTCCTACGAGTAGCAAGCCATTGCAAGTCGCCGGCCCAATCGAATGACACGGGGTTGAATTTCGTCTTGTGGTGTAGCAATGCGTTACGTCGCGTTCCGTTGCCCTGTTTTGAGCCCCACGCAATCCAATGACACCAAAAGAAAAGGCGCAAAGCGCGGGAGAGAGAGAAGGAATATAGCAGGATCACCGCATCAAGAGACCAAATCCAGTCTCCCACCCCCTGCCCTGAAACCCGAACGGATCCGGCACAACGTTTCATTTTTGTTCCTCGTGGCGGGATGAGCCAGTAATAATAACAGCAAATGTGCAGGGGGAAACCTATTACCCAGGCGAGCCAACGTGAGTGGCGGTGGGACTTGTGGCGCTGTGGCACAGAGACACACACCAGCATACGCAAACCCAGGGAAGCTGAACCAATCACAACGGATATATGAGAAGGGGGATTGCGTAGGACAAGTGTGGCTGAACTGCTGAACAGCCTTCGCATACCTATTTGGGCCTACAGGGACCTGCACTGATAGTTAATCCTTTGGGATAGATTCCGAAAGGGAACTCACGAGAAAATCATTTATTATTCCACCGTTTTCTCTTCCACCCTTCGAAGATTGTGGTGGCTCATTTGTATGCCTCTGTATATCTGAGTGAGAGAGAGAGAGTCTGTGTGAAAGAAAGAGCGGAGTGGGCTCTAGAAAATCCCAAAATCGGATTCCCCCTGATTGAGCCCCCTTTCGATACTACAATACCGACACCGACACCGACACCGACACGGTTATCTCCCTCAACAATGCGCACTATTCGAAGAAGCCTGAAAAAGAGCTGCGTCATCCCCGAGCAGCTGTACTGCGGCATCATGCACACATTCTGGCTGTTCTGGGAATACAGCCAGGCGGTGAGACGGGCACCGCAATGAAAACAGGCCGTGAGAACCTTGGAAGGCATGAAATGAAAAGACATAGACGGGTCGAAATGAAACCAGAAAATTGACAATCCGTCGAGAAGAACCCAGAAGTCACGAGTTGACGAGTTTGATTGTGACGAGTCAGTGCCAATATCCCGGCACCTGGATTATCGGGATCAATAGAGATATTGGACGCATTTGTCGCTTCACATCTCCACAGCATCTGCACTTACCGCCAGTACGGACGATATGCAACCCCCAAAGCAGTCGTGGATCCATTAGAAGATCGCCCGGCTCAATCTCCGGCCGACACTCATCTTCCTCTCTGGCTCGTCATCACCGGGAATGTCCTCAAACTCTCGCCTTCCGGAGTCGAGATCCATGTCGCGGACCTTGACCATAAAGGACCAGTCTCGAGTCCACAGCTTCCAGAACACAAACAGCGCAAGGGCAATTGGGAGCGCGATATACCCCTCGAAAAACGTCTCGGGGTCTGGATCGCCGCCGAGGGGGAAGAGGTCGACATAGAACGTCGCGACCAGACACACCACCACCAGAAACACTCCGAACCAAGATCCATACACACCGAGTTGCGACTTGAACGGGAGATCATCAAGCGAGCGCCCTGCAGCTTTCCACCCCGCACGGAATCGGATGTGGCTGTAGCAGATGGAGCCCCACACAAAGAACGACGACAACCCGGTCAAGGCGAGCAGCCAGTTGAATACCGTCGCACCAGTGGCCGCTTCGTTAATGAATGCCAACAGACCAAATGCCATTTGGATGATAACTGGCCACACGGGACGGCCTTTCTTATCGATCCACGCCAAAAATTTGGGAGCCATTCCGCCTTGAGCCAGTGCCTGCATGGTACGGGTTGAGCCATAAGTACAAGAGTTCGCCACAGACATGACGGAAATGGTGATGACGGCGTTAAACACCGAGGGCAAACCTTTGACACCAGCGTACTTGATGGCAAGCACAAAGGGTGAGGCTTTAGTGTTTGCGCCCGACGAGTTGAGGAGGTCCGGAGAGCTGTTGGGCACGATGAGGCCCATGATGAGCAGCGAGACGACGTAGAAGCCTGCAATACGCCAGAAGACCTGTTTTGTGGCTTTAGGCAGCGATTTTCTGGGATTGGCAGCTTCGGCGGCGGCTAGACCAACAAGTTCGGTCCCTCCAAATGCAAAAGCTGCAGTGACAAAGACAGAGCAGAAACCCTTGAAACCTAATATATAATATCAGCATCCTCGTTGCATAATAAGCTCCTAAGCAACCCCCCTTACCGTTGCGGAATGCCTTGTTGCCATGTGCAGAATCATTCCAATATCTGAAACCAATGTATCCACGGTCATCGCTGGGGACACCGCCACAGTCAACGATGATGCCGAAGATGATGAAGCCGAGAACAGCAACGATCTTGATTATCCCAAGGACAAACTCGACTAGACTTTGTCAGTCTTGTTTCCCTTCCTACTGCACGCTCTTACCTTCTCCGTAGCCCTTGACACCAAAGAACTGCACGATAATCAAGGTGCTGAGGAAAACGGCGATCCAAATGCCAATGTTATAATGGTGCCAGTAGTCGATTGTTATGCCTGCAGCCGTGATCTCGAACGGAAGCGTGACCAGCCAACCAATAGCCTATCCATCGGTTAGGCCGAAGATATTCATAACACCAGTACGGCCTCCCGAAGATACTTACATATTGCCATCCCATGGCAAAACCCTGTTCAAAGGAAGTTAGTAAAATGTCTTGGAAAAACATGAAAGGGGCCACGAACCCAAGCAGGGTCAATAAATCGCACGCCATACACATAAAAGGCTCCATTCACCGGGTACAAGACCGCCAATTCACCGAGAGCTTGCACGGTGCAAAGCAGCATGGCACCGATGATGATGAATCCAATAACCAGCGAGGCTGGACCGCCAGATTGCAACGCAGATCCGGAACCCACGAAGAGACCAGCGCCAATGGACCCTCCTACAAGATAACCATCAGCACCAACTGCGAGACCGAAGGACGAAAGCACCAACCGATGGCAATCATCTGCATATGTCGACCCTGCAAGCCACGGCTGAGCTTCGCTTGGCGATGAGCTCCCTCTTCGATGTCATGGCTGCTACCCTTGGTCTCATGAAAGACGCCATCGCCTGCACCGTGGGCGACATTGGTCGGTGCTGCCTTTGAATCGTCGATAAATTTCTCTGAGTAGGCGTTGTTAGCCATAACGAGCGAAATGATGGTGACGGAGAATTTCTGTCAAAAGATGATGGAGGGTGAAAGGAATTCCCAGCTTTATCATTGCGAGGCATGGGACCGCGCAGAGCTAAGAAGGTCGACCCGACCCAAGCATGCTTGTTGATTTATCGGATGCTTATCTTGAACGTCGCTCGAGTCTGCCACGCCGTCGTCCACTTGCCTCGTGCCATGCCACGCGATGGCAGGGTTGCGTGATGTTAGACAGGGTGACAGGAAACAGCCAAGGCTGCGCACTGCAGGTCGAAAGGCGGGGATCCTGCTTCATTCGAGCTCACAAGCCAGTAAAACCTCGCCCTCTGTCTGTGGTGGCGCATCGCCCACTTACACAAAGCCTGTTCGGCATCGCCTATTCAGACGGACTCTGTGATTCGAGATAAGAGACCGGTGTTGGCAGTGGTCAGGCCCAATCAACGTCGAGCTACCGAACCTATCAACCTTGCGTCCAGCGTCAGGATAGACAACTGGGGGTAACACATGTACATTGGTTGTCTGGGGAGGTATGACATCTTCCTGCTCGTCTCGGGAATTCAGCGATCGGAAGATGCCAGCAAAACTCCTTGTTATTCTACTTCCCGAACCGTATCGATCCCCTATCTCCCGCTGCCGATCGCGGTAGAAACATTCTTGGAGGGACTGAACAAGCGAATGCCCAGACGTATGCCAAGCCAAGTCTTCTGATAAGAGAGCAAAGTGGGTGCATGTCCTGGTACTTTTAGCCAGCTTGAAGCTCAACGCTTGCACCGCCATCGTGTCACTCCTGGCACCTTGGGTTGGTTTTGCACAGTGACGACGGTGGCGGATGGAGCTGAACTGCGGAGGGCGGGCCTCGGGTGCTGGTTAACCAGCCAAGCCTGGAGGTTCGCGAGCAGAAAAGGCGATAAGTCAGCGGCCACACAATTGACAGCCTGCAGTGATCATGATGGGATGGTATAGCAATGTGCAGTAGCGTAGTGTGGTTGCCCCAGAGGTCAAAAGTGTACCGAGTACACGGTACACGGTACGCTGGTGCGCATGCAATTTCCTGGGTGGTCCAGATCATTGAAGCCACTCACGTGACTTTATCGGCTTACCTTCTTCATACATGCGAAAAGGAGTTGGGCTCGCTGGGATCACATCCACCGAGCCACCTCGCCAATTCGTCGCTGTCGTCCATCCATCTCTCGCCAATCATGGAAGAGTCGAGACTGGGGGTACAAAACCCCCCAAGGAAAAAGCCTACTGCCTCACAGATTTGACGAACGGGAGAACGTAAATCACTGGGAAATAGGTCTTTTCAATTGATCGAGCTGTCGATCATTTCTATTTGGCGTCAGCCCATCTGGGCAGTATTCCTCTGCAGACGTGACGAGCTACGGTTCAGCCAAAAAAAAGCCAACACAAAATGCCTCCCATACAAGTTTCTTCACATGCAGATCATCCTTTTCAAATGCTCGACATCGTGTGCGTCCAGACTCAAACCTCGACCCAAGTCATCCTCCAACGCCATCGCTGTGAACAAAAAGAAAATCCAAAAAGACATTTCAGAGAAAGGGACACCTCGAATCAACGCTCGTATTGCGGCAGATCGGGCCCTCCAGGTTCATGATTCAATATTTGTACACTGTATTCGTCGTCCATCCGGGGTGCCGTTGGTGTTAAAGAGGTGGGAACGGCACCGCCTGGCACTTGGACGTCGTGCTCTGATGGAGGCCCGCTTGCCTGCGCCAGAAGTCGACGTCGTTCCAATTCCTGCTTGTCATCGCCGTGTCCCTCGCTGCTGGTTGAAGTGGGGGGTGGTGGTGGGGACGTTGAATATGGTCGGATGGTGTCCCCAGATCTTGCCGAGGCGACCGAACTAGCAGCGTGCACTGTCGAAGGGGTCATGCTTCCGTCATTCTGATGCTCAATTCCATGCGATAGAGGATCCGGGGACAAATCTGGCGCAGTTGGCGCATACGGCACAGGGTTATTGGAGCCTTCTCCTTGCTGCGGAGGTTCGCTTGGAAACAAGAGTTGTTCTTGTCTCCGTAGCCGTGTTTTCTCGTCGACCATTTCTTCTGGCGCGGGCGGAGGTATCATTTCGGGTGCTGTAGTAGGATAAAGCGATTGAGAGTTCTGATCATAACCATAGTCGTAGCAGTAACCATCGTAATAAGGATATCCCGCTTCGTCGTAATACTGTCCGTCGTAAGCCTCGTTATAGTATTGCCAGTCCTGCCAGCCTTGATCCGGTTCTTGAGTCATATCTCCAGTCTGCATTTGCTCTGCTTGCTTGGTCTGTTTCCGTTTCCTATTACTGTCTTGGGTTCCCACCACAAGCGACATTTCGAATGCGACGACGCTTTTGGACCGACGTAGTGAGGCAGTGTCTAAGATATGGAGAGACCAATCAGAAGTGATTTGGTTGCCGGCATCAGAACTCTGAGAAAATGTTGGCTCGCTGGAAGTGAGTCTTGGCCACAAGCGAGTCTCGCCGAGTTTTCCGAATAGATCGACCACGACCTCGATGTGGTAGGTGAAGGAAATCATATCGCCGGGGACATTCGCGATGGTTGGAAATGCATTGTCAGGGACTTTGAGCGATGTGGTTATATCCGCAGTCATCGTTGCCGGGTTGACGATCATCATGGTGGACGACTGAGCCAAATCCTTTCGGAAAACACTGTTGGGTGAAGCTGCTGAGAAGTACAATCCTCCGAGTCCTGTTCGGGACTTGGGATACACGTCTTCATATTCCATCTTCCTTTCCTTGCCAGACCTATGTGGCAGGGGAAGCGGAGGATGCATGTCAATTCTGCACTGGCGGTACAAGGTAGCAATCACCATACCTCGCACATCTGCTTTGGTGTGTGTGACAGATACTCGGATTGGAATGGTGTCTCCTGGCAGCGCTCCGTGCCGGGGCAGCTCAGCGCTGGCGGTAATGGTATTGACAGAAGAGGAAGTCGTATTACTCCGCGCATCACTATTCTGCGGGCTTGGGTTCTGCGGAGGCGACACGTCGTCCGCCATCTGGAAGCTTGGACTACTGGTCGGCGTAGCATTTGTGTGCATCGTTTCTTCGCTTGGCGCGGGACTTAGCGGAGGGTTCCCTATCGAGTGAGTGCTCCTGCTGGTCGTGCTGTTCTGCGTATTATTACGACTCAGGCGACCAGCACCCGGACTTGATGTTGTCTGGGTGGTCAATGACGACGCTGGTTTGACGACCTTAACTTTGCCGCGTTTGGAGACAGGCTCCAAGGTGATTACTCGCGATTTCGGCGTGTACGTATTTTCGATATCGACCAAGTCTTGGAACTTGATTTTGGTGCTTCGACTGGTCACTGGGCTTATTGTTGTTGGGCGGGTGACAGTGGCAGTAATCAAATAGGAAATAGTTCCACGTTCGAACTGTTACAACATCAGTTTCGTGGTAAGCGTGAGTTCGAAACGACCAACGTACATCGATTGTGCTGGGGAGCCCTCCCGAAGGGAAAGGGATTTCAAACGCAAACTTGTAGACCTGTTTCTTGAGAAAGCCACTGCCACAAAGAACCTGCTCATGCTGGAATAACGACACCAGACCGTTGCCATGATATTGCACCCCTCTTGAACCTTTGCCACTCACCAGGCCCTCAGGCGCTGGAAGACCTTCGCCGGGAGGTATTTGGTGTTTGTAGACCTTCGCATATCCATACAGAGCCACGACCAGATGAGTGATATCAAAGCCCTTGAGGACAGTGAGGACCACGTTGCCCTTCACAATCTGACCTTGGGAATAGACGCGGAAGGGGTCTTCGGGCTCGATGGCGATATCAAACATGTTTCGAGCATGCTTGCCCAAAGGATTCGACAAGTACGAGAGTATGGACCGAGGCCGCGGCACTGGCGGGTTGGGGTTCGTGAGCAGCGACTCGAGAGGCATCGCCGGCAGGACCAGAGCCATTCACTGCTATAACGGCGACGACGACCAGAGCATTGTTGGCTGGACTTTCGGCGCAAGGTGGGTAGGTTCTTGAAGACGAGGGTCAGGTTTTCCAGAACGTCTCGAACAGGTAGTGTGGCTCAGCATGCGCATTTACTAATGAGGGTTGCAGCTGGGGGCGCGACAATCAGCTTCGTCATCAATTAGGCCCAGTGTCTGCGCAACGACTCGGGGATCGCAGCACTGTTTAATAGGAGGTAGGGGAATTAGGTGTTCTCCCATTCAGCGACGCATGGCGACGCGCTGAGGGCGGGTATATCTCGAGGAACCGTCGTTCAAATCGTCGACTCGACAAGGGCACGATCAGCCCGAGCGCAGGCAGGGAGAAATCTCGAGGGATTCGAACGGCGCGTCCACAGGATTCGCTCCCTATGTCGTGGATACTGCAAGCGGTGTGGAGGAGGGCGTGTCGTGAAGGTGCAATGTGTCTCTTGACTATGCGCAGGTCCTCTGCATGGGGTTTCGAGGACTTAGGTAAGTGGCTAAGCTTCGGTCAATAGTGGTAGTGTACCACGTTGATGGAAGATGGAGTATTTGGGTTGATGCTTGTCTGCGAATTCAAGCTTCGGTGCTTGGCAGGTCGAGACTCCTGTGGTCTGATCGAGAATGCAACGACGAGAGAGATTAAAGTAAGTCGGGCAAGAGAAGTGGGCGCGGGAGAAAGGGGGACAAAGAGCGTTCGGGGGGAGCAGGGAGAGGTCTAGGGTGGAGTGGTCGCAGGCGTGACGGGGTCGCAGACTTGCAGCGAGGGGTGGCCGGGGGTGCGAGATTCCAGTTGGAGACCAGGCTTGGACTTATCTAATTCGACCTCGAAAGCGTGGTATTAATAAGGGTAGGACTCGAAGAGGAGAGGAGGGGGAGCCTCATTATTGGCATTCAGGGTTCGTATCGCGGACTGAGTTTTCGTTTGTGGGTTGCGTGTCAGACTGCAGGTTGTTAGTCTTCAGTAGGTACCTGGCTCGCTGGGTAAGTAGTGATGGTTAGCATTTCCATTAAATCAATCCACCGGCAGATACCAGGTTAACTTCATTCGTGCCCCAGCTTGTCGTCGTCATCAGATCTTGCAGCGCAGCTGGTGTTGTCCCACTTCAACTTGACTCACTTTTGCCCCTTTGGCCCAGACCAAGCGTCAGGATGAATGGGTGGCTGTGGTTGAGCAGGTGGGAAAATCTGCATGTGCTGGTGACACCTCGTATTTTTGCAGTCCCTGGACTCGTATGTCGCAAGAGAAGAGAAGATGGTGGAAGGGAGGTCAGTTGGCGATCATGAGAGTTGAGAAAGACGGTAGCGGTTCGGGTAGTGGTTGTTGCACCCCAGGCCTTGCTTCGGGGGGTTTGTGGTTGCGTGGGCTTCGCTCTGGCGTGTCTGTCAAGCTTTCTCTTCGTGGGGCCGGCGCACGACCAGGGGAACAGGATTGGATGAGGCCAACTCGAAATCAGAAGGGCAGGGTCAACAAGGGAGGGAGGGGGAGGGGTTCTTCGCAGAGGTTTGTGCTGGTGCAGTTGGCGTTCCAGAGGCCAGAGAGAAGCTCAACCACTGGCGCCCTACTGGTTACCCTGGTTGGTATTGGCCACCTAGAGCCTACAGGCATTGGCGGGGCCCGGAAGGGCCTAGTGTGCCTAATAGCTAGGTACACGTAGACGGGCGCCTTTCGAAGAGCGGGCTTGTTGTCCCACACAGCAAGATATGAGCCACCGCAGCGCTCTGAAAATTGATCCAGAGGTATGACCGGGTACCCAATAAGCAAGATGGCGTCACACACAGCCTGCCTAGGTAGGTACCGAGTACCCAGCTCGCCAGGTACCTTATCCAGGTAACCTATCCCGTGAGCCCATCAAACCCCTGCGCCCGCTGAGACCTGGGGTAACATCCACCTGCCACCTCAACGAACTTCCAACAAATGCCGAGCATGTGGTTCAAGACCGAAAACCTGCCTATGAGGGACATTCCTGCTTGTTACACCTTCCAGAAACTGACTGACGGCCTCAAACCACAGCCCAGTGTCCTTGCCATTTCCGTCCAAACATATCGTGCAAATATGCGCGTATGGCTCGATCAGGCCCGACTTTGGAGCCTGGCTGCAACTGTGACAAACCAGCCGCAGAAAAGCTTTTTCCTCTTAAGCATTATCGTTGATCTAGGCCATTCCACAACCCCGATCTAGTCCATTTCTGCCTTCGGAGCCGGTCCCTGAAAAATTGATCCTGGGTCGATTTGTCCCTTCTCGGGACCACACATGACCAAACTCAAACCACGAAGCCCGTGTCCTGCGATGGTTGCTTTTCAACGGCGCGGTTTTTTCGCTGGTGATTCGTCCTCTGGCAGACTATCCTCGGAAGATTCCATTTTGGGGGCCTTTGCTGTCTTGACTCGACCCTTGACTTGATACTTGGTCAATTTTGTTTCGTCGAGCCCATGCTTTAGTCCCTCGGGCTCCACGAAAACCATATCTCCATCCTGACCCAGGGTCTCCTTGACTGCTTCTTCAAGTAGAATCCCAAAGGCTATCAGAGCTGTCTCATCCAGGGTCCGAAAATCAAACGTCCCTTGCCCTGGCACCGCACGACTGTAGAAATCCGAGGCGTACGCATGCACTGCTTTCAGCATTTCAGACCCAGGCAGCTTGTCAGTCCCGGACAGCAGATCATACGACTCATTCACCACATGCTCTGGGATGGTGGACCTGCGCAGGAGAACTTCCTCGGGCGCAATAGGCAAGACATTTTCTGACTGCTTCTGCTCTTGGGTCAAAAACCCATTCAAGCCTGCTCTTCCAGCCACCGCATCATAGACCGTAAGCTGCCGTGGTGGGTTGGATGATAGAAGGGCTGCACTTGCAGAATTGTGTACAGCAGTTTCGTCTTGATTCACATTTTCACGGAGGTCATCCATGTTTGCCGCGTCACCGCTCGCAACAATAGGTACCTAGGTATGCCCGGTCAAGCGAGAGGTGACGATATTCGGCGACGGATACTGCACCGCTCCTTGGCACCCGTTTGGGACAGTGCCCCGCCGCTTTAACCAGGAATCAGGCCACGTGACTGCAGTGCGGGTCAGCTTCAGCGTTAGTAACTCAGCCTGCTCATGCCGCTGCTCACCCTCTGCATCCTTCCCATCACCGGTGCTCAATCCCGCTGAGTACGGTTTGCTGACGGAGGTCCTTTATTGGACAATACATGGCCCTTATGGTGGCGAACGAGGGATTCCTACAACTCAGAACTTTGACGATGGCAGATACTATCAAATCAATAGCGGCAATTATTTCCGTGGCTCGTTAGGAAGAATATCCTGATCCGACTCAGGGCTAACCTTGTTATATAGATTGTGTATCTCCCCTTACATGGCAACTGCAGGACATGGCATGCCGGGTATGCCTTCATCATGATCTCACATTATTGGGATGCACAGGGACCAGCGGACCATCTGTCCGCGAGCCTCGTGTTAGGTTTATGAGGTAATCCTTCGCTGGAGAGTGCTCCCGCTTGTTAAAATCTCAGTGTAAGTTAAATTTTCGTCGTATTCGAAAGAGTGCCCGCCAGTGGTTATGTTGCAAATATTGTCAAAGAGGCCTATTCGTGGGGAGTCCGAAGTTCCTGTAAGAGAAAGCAACCTATCTTTCCGCGCTTTTATTGGATAGCCAGAGTGAATATAGTAGAGCTAGCCTATTAAGTCTCCGGTGAGACTGATTAAAGCTACGTCATTGGTAGAAGGTTAGTGGTTCGGGGGAATAGACTCGGATGGTTGAAGTGGACGGATGTGCTTGGGTTTGTTTGTCCGGAACTGTTACCGGCGCTTCGAGGAAGGTTTACAGCCAGAGCGAATGCGATACACATATCCTCAACGTCAGAAAGATCAACTGGCCTACGACATTTGCTTGGCTCCTAGATAGCACTTGATTTAGTGTGGTGCGGACATCATTTGCTGTCGAAGTCTTCGGAAGTCAAATACCATATAAAGACTCTACTCCAAACTCTTCGAAAGAGCTTCCGACCGAACATTCAAACCGTGACTCTTTGTTTTGCCCCATCATCCCGGTGCTACCTCAGCTATGGACACAGTCGAAAAGAAGACAGCATTGCCAGCACATAAGCCACCGTTCCCACGCACCTCTTCCTTGGTTGCTCGTAAGGACCTAGTCCTCCCTGCAGCCTTCAACGATCTATCTCCCCTGTCGAGGGAACTGCAGCCACTGAGAATCGAGGATAGAGATGAGGTGCACAGATATCTCTGTGTTTTCCTTGATCTTTCCCGATTCAATAGCATACGCAAGATGCTGTGGCTGATCGCCGTCCCTGGAGCTCCACGCTCCTTATACTACCAGAAGCTCCTACGGCGTGAAATTGTAATCGCAGAAGAATTGGATCTTCATCTGGTTTGGGCCAAGTCCAGAATTTTCATTAAACCGCTCCCAGATTATCTGCTGAATTACGATTTCTGGGAGAGCTATATATCCTGCGAGCCTCAGCTACACCGAGCCGCATGTGGGCTTCTGTATTCTTATTGTGGCCTTATACGCTTTGGTCATGATTTACAGGTGGCACAAGAAAATCGCCTGATTAATACGAATTTCGATTATCGAGCCTGGACGGAATTTAGTCGTACGATAGTATCGACTCTCGACCCTCATGACTCTGACACCATGGAGAAACGATTCCGGTACGGCGAATTACGTTTAAATCGACTCGACACTATCTACCGATATTCGCCTCAAGCCTTTTCCGTATCCAGTATGCTTCAAGGCTTTCCCCATGCTCTGGCCGAAAGCTATGTGCCCTACATGGACCAGTACAATAACGCGGTGTCGGCGTTTGGTGTCATCGTTATCATTCTCTCAGCTTTCAATCTATCACTGTCGGCACACTCCAAGAACCCAGCTCCTGACCTTCAACAAGCGGCATACGGATTCGCGATATTCGCCATGACTTTATGCGCCTTGCTGACTGGGCTGTTTATTGTGTTACCCTCGATCACCTTCCTTATGACAGTCTATGGCTCTATTCTCACACGAAAACGACTTTCGAAAATACGGGAGATCGAGGAACAACCACGCTCCGCTTAGTTGACCATGGCTTTTGAAGCAGCCCAAATGGTACCGGGTCTACGAGACTGGGAAATTTGAGGACGATCCGAGGAAGCTGCAACACTCGGCACGAACGAGATATGTGACCAGCTGACCGGAGCTGAATCCAAGTATCTGTCGACGTTGAAGGCCTGTGATCCTGGATGCTACCTCAAAGTCCTCCAAATAATTTCTTGACACCCGCCACCAGATCAAACCGATACATTTTCGCGCGCGTTTCAATGCTCTCAAAGTCTGAACGAATACTAGGTGAAGCGAGACAGCAAAGACTTTTCAAATGTAGGCTGCTAAGAGAGGCGGACGCCATTGCAGACGTGCCTCTACAGAGTTGTGTGGGAGCGAGGAGAGGGTAATGTGCTGTGAGAGGAAAGCGGGCCAACAGATGAATCATCAGAGGACTACACTCGAGACATGTTCAACAACAAGAAGCCCTATCGTTGGACAAGAATTCCTATCACATTATGATCCTCGAGAAGCCCTAGATACTCTGGGGCGGTCTTCCTCAACATTTCTCTTCCAACATAGCGTCTTCTCGTTCATCTTCCAGCCCTCCAACAAGAGTACTGGCATTGGACATTTATGCTGGTGCCGGTTCACAGCCACCAGGTCTGGGGATCGCTCTAGCAGCGCCAGCAGAAGGTCTGGATGACGCGAGGTCTTCCTGTGAAACACGCTTTCTTCAAGTCTTGCCAATTACGGGTCAAAGCGTGGAAGCCGGAGATGGTGGCAATGGTCTTTCAGCCTCACTTTTGCAGAAGTACTGAAAGACAACTTTCACCCGGATATTGCGAGTGATGCCGCGTCAATCAACATAAGTCTACTCTGCGTTGCCCTTGAGAAACTTCCTCTCCTCTTGCTGTGACCGACTATGACCACTCTCAGAGTGCCGGGAGCTCCTGTCGAAGCGGCCTTAGAGTCGGTTGTCAGACCCACAAGGGAGCTGCGGGTATCATTGTCACGGCCAGTAGGGTCACTGATCACCAAGTCACTGCATGGGCATGTGAAAAGCCCAAGAGTTGGCTCATCAAGAAGGAAGGTGAAATCAATCCCACGGGAGAAAAGAGACAGAATCCACAAAGAGGAGGGGGGTGTGGGTCATGAGCAAGACCTTTACAGCAAGTGCTGTGTTGTGGCATTCTTGCGGACTGAAGAGTCGTGATTCGTCAACAGTTGTATTTGGTGTCATTGTTGATGTGTTCAACGTGTGGAAAATGGCGTCCGAGGCCACTTGACGGAACAGGAGCAGTGAGAACTTCTGGAAAGTGGCACAACCAGTAGGCACTCTGTTCCTCAGGATTCAGGAAGTCCACTTTTGTCACTAACGGCGACCCTAGCAGACGGCGGAAGGTGACAGCATTCCCAAGTTCATGCCCTGATGATTCTGCAACCTGGAGACACGCATCAGAAAGAGAGGGTGCAGAAAAAGCCTCGTTAGCAAATCCCGAGATTTGCAGCCTTCCGATCTTGTATACCCCGTATCGCTAAGCCTACCTGGTAGTACAAAGGAGGTCGGGGCCGCTAGTCCGGGCTAGAGAGTTCTAATCTCAACAGGGAAGGCATGCGGTGGTATGTAGGTAGGTAGGTAGCGAGGTAGGGAGATGTCCAACGGCCACAATTAAGCCAAGGATACCCCGAGAGAAATGCGAGAATGCACCATTGTCTCTAGATTCGAAAGCGTCGACTGCAGAATAGCTTGCACCACCGGGCCTGATCTTCCTGACTTTGACTGAGCCGTGAGGACATGGTTAGAAAGCTACCACTCTTCCGCCCATATCGTTCGAAGCTCGTCGGCAATGCATACGGTACGTCGACCAGATTGTCTCTGACACTCTTCAATTAGCTCGAGGGTTCGCCGCCGCTCTTGGATACCCTCTGTCACAAGCCCTGCGATGTACAAACACTGGGTGGAAATAAAGCTGAAGGAGTCGGTCATTCCTGAACTGGCGATGAGCAGGATTTGCTCACGCGAGCGATTGATCAACCGTCGCACCGATAGAGACTCTGCGGTAGAGGTAAAGATACCCCGACGCGGACGCCGAGACGAAGATGGGAGTCCGCTGAGCGCCAACAATATTTGACATGCATGGAACATTTGAATTCCGACAGCTGCTCTCTTTGTCAGCATATGCTGAGATTAGTGGGCCAAACTGGCGTGCGCTTACCGCAGTGCGGATACACATACCATATGGATGATATGTTCCGCGAGTGCTGATACGATGTACTTTCCTCCTGGTGCTCTTCCTGAAACACCTGGCTCACAAAGAATCGTGTGAATGAAGGCGGAAGCATCCGTTTCCACTGCTCGAGGTCATGCCGAAGTTTATCCCTCGTTCTCTGCCTAGTGTTGAGTTCCTCTGCAGCTTCCGCATTCTCTCGATCTTGATAGTCATTGCAGAAGCTGATGCACTGTCCAAGGAGGAACATGGCACGGTTTGCGATCTCCTCATGAGATAAGTCGTCGAAACAGTCAACCGGGCGTGGCTCCCAGTAGTGTTCGTCCAAAAACATGCGTCGCCCAGCGTGCAGAGCTGCCCACGTATCTGACCTATACCATGTCCAATAAACAACTCCCTTGATTCCCGATGAATCTCCGTTGACCTGCCACAGCTGGAGGAGGGAGGCGATACCCCGGAGGTGCGAACCAAAATTTTCTCCGACTACCTCAAACATCTCATAGCTAATGCGAAGAATGCAGTCAGTAAGTCGAAGGAGCGTTTGTCGCAATTGGGAGGAGATATCGAGGAGGCCATATCGTACCTCGAGAGCATGATGCTGGACGCCAGAATTTTATCACTGTGTGCCGAATCTGGTTCCATCAAAAGAGTACTGAAAGCCTTCAGCGCCTTTTGGTAGTATTCGACAGCGACGTCGTCTGTTATCTGCGGCTCGGAGCCTGTCCTCGTCAACACTAACTGCTTCGCAGAAATCGCAAGACACGAGAACAAAACTGCAGGGCACTCGAGAGCCAATATGGGAACAGTCGTCGAATATGGATTTTCCAAAGAGAATGCTTCGATCTGATCGAGTGAGTGAGCTCATTTGTAACCTTAAAGGGTGCACTGGCATACCCATCGTGCAACTCGTTCCACAAAGTTTCGGAGTATGAATAACTCCAACTGTGTTAGATAGAGTGGGCTGTTAGGTCCAAGCTCCCCGGGCGGAGGCGAATTTTTGATTCCACTTCCGGCAGGATAGCTGTTCGACACAATGTTCTGTCTGAAACCATCTAGCACATCACGCCTCGAATACAACCCGGTTCGTGAACAAGATACGCTGGCTAGGTGTCCATCATAACGGGATTTATCTGAGGCGGGCTGAAGCGAGGCCTGGGGTGAGCTTTGAGGCGATTCTCTGTCTAGACAGTCCTGCGAGAACAAGGCATTTTGGTTACTGCCAGACTTTGAGTAGGTTGGACTCGCTGTGTCAGAGATGTCTCGCCGAGGATCATCTCCGCGGTGGTTGAGGTCTTTGTAGACCTCGGGATGAGACACGCGGAACAGATCGCACGAGGACGACTGATCACTGAGGTATTGAGCAAGAACGGGCCCAAAAGAAGCAGGGGTAGCAGCGAGCTGATCCTTGTCACTAGTCGCAGGCTCGAAGGACTGCGAAGTCGCTTTGGAATTGGTGCCAGTAGTCGCTCCCCTAGCCTTTCCTCGACTTTGGTCACCGGCCTTGTCAGGGCTATGGCGGTTTCGATCCGGCTGCTTGCTGGCTTCATACATGCATGGCCTATTCTTCTTCGTACAATTGCCGCAGATTGGCTTACGTTCGTCGCACTTGACGTGCCTTTGCCGGCATACACGGCTGCAATGTTCACCATCTCCGAGTCAGCAACTTGATGGGACGGGTCATGCTTGCAATGCAACCATGAACCAAACTGGGGGCGATTTATCGGGGGTTTTGGGAGTTTAACACATACCAGCCCGTCGTTACGCGAAGACGTGTAATTGTGTGCTGGGAGGAGCCACCATTGCGGGACATGGTGTTGTCAAAAGCATCGATCTCTGAATCTGCGCCTCGAGCCTCGTTGCGAGAAATTTCAGAATCTTGGAGCGTTTGCGAGATGTACCTCGTAGCCACCGGTCCTAGTCCAATTCGGCGGCGCCGCTTTCGGCTATTGCTATCCAGGTCGCAATATTGGCGCCAACATAAGTGGCTAAGGGCCACGGAATAGGCCGTCACCTACTACTCCAAGTGGAACTAGCTGTGCTGTGTTCCTTGCCTTATCTTTGGCGTGTATATCCTAGCTATCTCGTGTCTTTCCTTCCTATCTTCGGAGTCCAGTTGAACTCAAGAGTTTAGTATATATTCAGTCCAATGTCTATGATGGTATCGCGCCACGATAATGCTAATCTTGATATCGGACTCAATTTAATCCTACATATGGATTAAGAAACAACCATACCTCTGGCCTATACGGATAGTCGGCACTACCGCAAAGCATTGATTGGACCCGTCGGATTTACCGGGGTCTCGTAAGTAGGACTCTCGACATCTTGCCTATTCTCAGTTCTCCCCCAAAAATTTAACAGATACTGAATCACTAAATCTATGTCCTCGTCTATATTTGTTCTATCGAAGCCTGAGAAGCAGATCGGATTTGCTAACGGCACCACGTGCAAATATCTGGTAAGTTTGAGTTGTCATCCGCGGTAACAGCCATTGCGTCTTCTTGGGACTAGCCTCTCCTCAAAGCAATCTGTTCTCGAGGCTGCGGGCTTCAATGCTGGCCGCTAACCTCCAGCAACGGTGTTGCTGTTATCAACGCAGCTGAACGCGGACCCGACCTGCCCCGTCCGGTACTGATCAATAATGCTCACCACATTGGCGTAAGTCCCTCCGACGGTGATCAGGATACCCAGCACGAAGATTCCAGCATGCGCATACCAAAGGACCATCATTGTCGGCGAACGTTTGCGGGCGCCTTCGTTCAAAACAAACCAGAGAATGGCAGGGATGCAGACACCCAGGTAGCCAAAGCCCAGAGCCCCGATCAATGAGACCAAGCTGCCGTAGAACGGGATCGCCTCGCAAAGAATCCAACCAAGCAGCCCCGTTCCGTATGTGCACGATAGCCAGACCGCCCAGTGAGTCTTTGTATTCTGGGTCAGATGATGGGTGTTTCTCAAGATGCGGACAAAGATGCTCTTCCCTGCGACATGAACGCAGATCATGGTGCCAGCAATCAGTCCGGGGATCGCAATAGCGTACGAGATGATCTTAATGGTCGGACCGGCGGAGCCTAAGGCCGGAGAGGCAACCCATTTGCCGCAATAGGCGTACACTGTCGTAGCCAGAGCAAGATAGGACGAAGTGATCCAAGCCATGCAGACATAGACGCTCTTGAAATAGTCTTGTGGTCTCCGCATCTCCGATATAACAGGCACGAACCCGGAGGTGTTGGCTGAAGACGAAAAGATGGCCAACGAAGCAGACCATGCGGTGGCAAAAGTTGTCCCAGCTGGAGGAAGAGCAAGGAAGCCAAGTTCAAAGTCTCCTGTTTGAGGCGCAGCTGCCGGACGATCGCGAAGTGTGACAGCAATGACCACAATCATGATAGCTGTGACAATGGAGACGAACCCGACCCATGTAATCCAGCCGAGATTGTGAATCTTCCTGATGCTGGCCACAGAGGCAACGATGATGTAGGCCACGAAGCCGAATGTGACACTACAAGTTCCGTGTTTAGAGACGGCGTTGAGCGCGATGGAAAAGCCGAGGGTTGATACGCCAGCACAAAGGATCCAGGTGAAGAGATAGACGAATTCGGTGATCTCTTTGACGACGAAGGCGTTTTTCTTGCTCCACCCCATTTCCAGAGCAGCGATGTGAGCACTATCCGCAACGGTATGGACCGAGGGGTACCGGAGCTTGAACTGCCCTTGGAGAACCGCCATATAAGTGTTGAGCGCACCCCAGAAGACAATGAAAATGCATCCGGCAACGGCGCCGAGATTGTAGAGCGCGGCAGGGATAGAGAGAACACCGGCAGCAAAGGTCATCTTGAGGAAGAACATGGACGCTCGAATCCAGCCAACAGTTCTGAAGTTGACGCCATCCGCCCCCGTGACAAAGACTTCGGCCTCGTCGACGCTTCCATTTTTTGAGCCTGTTTCCACTGGGCTGGCCGGCGTTACGGCCTCGATGTCGGGCCTCTTTTCTGTGATTGCACTGTCCATGTTTGAGCCAAAATGATTGAACAGGTAAATTGAGGAGGAAGAGACAGCGTTGGATGCCTGAAACAGAGGACGGATATTGAGAGAGGGGTTGGCAAAAATCTCAAGTATCTCGGTATCAACGCGGCTTTGATATAGGCCTCCAGAAGTGGCGACTATCTCTCATATCAGCCTGCCTTACCGAGGCCTCAGCTACCACTCCTCTGTCTGGGGGCGCACATGGCCGGAGAAACAACAACTCGCGATACGTCCTACCTTTGGGCTGTGGAGACAATGGGCCATCTCTTATCAGGTCGACTTCTGGCGAAATATGCAAAGGTAGGACTGTCCCATGGGTCTGGGACGACAAGTTCCCGTCCCATTGATGACCTTCCACGAAGGGCAATGATGGACGGAGTTGCGGCATGCCGTGAAGTTGCCCAGCGCGATAGAGGACAAGGCTATCGGCCTGTGTAAGCAATACATCAATATAAATCTCGGCTGCGTCACGTGCTTGACGCCTCGAGCCGATATTTTCTCGAGACGAGGTCGGATATCTCCACCCTTTTGCTATCTCTGAAGTCGTCGCGAGGTCCTTGGCTATTCGGCCAGAAAGACTATTTGTCGATCATATCCAACGGCTCACGGACGGTACCTCCGAGCCTTATCAGACAGTGCGGCTCGAGCCACCATAGCGACCTCCAGAATGCGGCTTGAGGACGAATCCCAACGTCGGAAGTCGGCACACTCTTGGATATCATTCCTTCCACTTTGGGACACCGGAATCAGGCATGGCAAGAACAAGTACAATCGCTGATAAGCCTGTAACGGAAGGAGAGATGCTTTGTACATACATATGTATCAGAGCACTGCACGTGAAGCCATTGTCACTCGGGCTGTATCACTTCGAGAAGAACAAAGATGGCAATCGCATCATTGGGAAAGTGAGTCACATACAAAACCCGACATCAAGGCCGCTTTCAATTCACTGGTAACTTTTCTCTGAAACCGATAGGGGAACTAAGCTCGACGCTGCTGAGGTTCGAGCACTGGTCAAGGCGGCCGGTCTATCATTATCCGACAGCGCAATCGAAGACTGGCGTTCTCTCCTGGGTTCGCTGGAAGACTGTGCACAGCTCGTTTTTGAAGAGGACGACGGGCTGCCTATTCCAGATCCAGATCGATATATCAGGACCGATATTCACGTTCCAGAGGACAACAACAAAGGCGGCTGGGCGACACGATGTACAGTTAAGAGCGCCGCTCCTACAAGCGCTTTGCTCGCCGGACGCACCGTGGCAGTGAAGGACAATGTTGCCCTTGCAGGTGTCAGGTGTACCAATGGTCTTCCGCCTGTCAACGGAGAATGGATTCCCACGTATGATGCCACTATAGTAACCAGAGTACTGGACGCTGGCGCCACAATCACAGGGAAAGCTGGTAGGTTTTTCAACCCACAGGGAAGTTTGCTGTGGCCAGAGAGGTAGCGGAGGACTGACCAACGACTGTATAGCCTGCGAGAATGCATGCATGGAACCGATCTCCAACACTTCGTACACCGGCGTCGTCCATAATCCGTTCGCGGATGGCTATACCTGTGGAGGTTCGAGTAGTGGATCGGGACGATTGGTCGCGATTGGCGCTGCAGATATGGCTTTAGGAGGAGACCAGGGAGGGTATGTAACAATCACCTTCGGCCCGAGCACGCCGAAGGCTCTCCTGAAGGTAATCCTGCGCCTAACGAAGGTGATGTACAGGTCGATTCGCATTCCAGCCGCGTTCTGTGGCATCGTCGGCCACAAGCCGACCTGGGGCCTGGTTCCCTACACGGGTATTCTTGGACTCCAATCCGTCATCGACCACACTGGGCCGATGACGGCTAACGTCCGCGACAACGCTCTTCTGCTCGAAGCCATCGCCGGACCCGATGGGATCGACGACCGCCAGCCGCCGTTCATGGCTCCGGAAACCTTGCGTTTCTCCAGCGCGCTGGACGAGTTCCTCTCCACCGGAGCCACCAAGCCGCGCGACCAACTCCTCAAAGGGTTCAAGGTTGGCGTGCTGAAGGAGGGCTTCGCCGCCAAACAGATGGACCCGAACGTCGCGACAGCATGCCGTTCGGCCATCTCGGACCTCAAAGACATGGGCGCCGAGGTCGTCGAGGTCTCGGTGCCGAACCACGAGCAAATCTGCATCATATGGTCGTGCGCCCTGCCCCTGCGCGGCGGTCGGGAAGCGCTCCTCGGCGACACCACAGGACGCAAACAGCTGGAGATGACGGACCGCGGCGTCGTCGCCGCTCCTGCCACGGGGCCGAGTGAGAAGGCACTGCTTTCGCAAGAGTTCTTCGACGCCCTCGGCCCGGGGGCTCAAAACCTGTACATGCGGTACCTGTACGTGAACAACAAATACGGCGCCAGCTTGCACGCCAAAGCCACCAATCTGCTGGCCAAAGCCACGCGCGACTACGACGCGGTGCTCGCGTCCGTCGACGTCTTGGTCATGCCCACCGTGCCGATGCCAGCGTTGCCGTTTCCCGGCGGTGGACCGGACACGAACCCCTCGGGGCGCTTTCAGGGCGGACCGCTCGAAAGTCTGTCGTATCCGCTGGGCGTGCTCAGCAACACCGCCCAGTTCAATTCGACCGGCCATCCGGCCCTTTCCCTGCCTGTAGGATTTGTGCCCGCAGCAGACAATGCGGACGTCAAGTTGCCGGCCGGACTCCAGATTGTCGGCAAACGCTTCGAGGATCTGACATGCTATAAAGTGGCGGCGGCGTGGGAAGGGCAAAAGGACTGGAAGACCCTGCTGTTTGCGCAGTAGGACATGGGCCAATGCCAAATGTGGTACCGAAGAGAAACTAGGTATACTATAGGTAGCAAGTGTCGGAAAATCTTCATAGCACTATCTGGAGTGATACGGACCTCTCGACTTGGAGTCACATGTGCTGTTTGCGCAACCTTAAACACTCTCTCATGTTTGCCCTCAATTGTAACGATGACTTTTGTTCGCGCAGGCTAGCAGCAGGTGAAGTAGTGCGTATATTGTCTCCAAGTACTTGATTGCTCGACGAGGCTGGGCAAGTTGTCCCCCCAGGAATAGGGACAAGTCTCTCGAAACCCAAACTCTTCAACAATCCCGGGTCTATCCAGGCTTCTGACCAATGGTTGTATAGTACGTGGTGTAGTAGACCCTGCCATGTCGAATATCTTCAAGTGTTTCGTGTACAGCTCTTCCAAATAGGTCAGACACTTCCTTTGCTACTCTGACCTTCAGACCCTCGTGGATATCTGTCAGGGCCCAGATTGCATTGTCTGTGTCCTGCCTAGAAAGCCACGGCACGGGCGGCATATCAACGTAACGCAGGTTGATCAGCCCATGGCGCTCAAGCTCGACCGCAAGATGCCGCAGCCATTCCGTGTGGCCAAACAAGCTGGTCAACGGCGCGGTGATTGCCGGAGGATCTCGGAACGACGCGGCAGGATATCTCTGGGGGTCGCTCATCGCTCGAAGAACCGGCACGGTGGCATCGGTCCACTGGATAAACCCGCCTGGCTTCAACAGTCTGAGGATGTTGTGAATAACCCAATCCTTGTCCTGAAAATACACCGCTGCCATGATCAGGCGGACGTGCACGACGTCGAATCGACCGGCGTATCGGTCGGGCATGGGCTGGAAGATGTCATGGATCTCCAGCGCCACATTCGGAGGCCACGTGAACTGCGGCGGAAACTGTTGTGGAGATATGTCGATGCCGGTTATTCGAGCATGGGGATAATCAACAGCCATGTCGAGAGACCAGATGGCGTTTCCGCAGGCAACATCCGCGATCTCGAGCCTTTGGAGACCTCTGAGTTGGGCTGCAATGTCTGGATGAAGCAGCCATCCCAGCCTTCGCAGTATGAGATAGTGTTGAGCCGTCAATCTGCCAGATGCTAACGTATCGCGAGACATCATATATTGATCCCGGTGCACCGTCATGTCCGTCGCCATGTTTAGAGATATAGCGATACGCCCCGTTTCTCGACTAGATTGGGCGCGAGGGCGAGAGCACCGGTAGCGCCTCCTTCAAGCTATTAAACGACGAAGGAGGTGTCGATTGAAGTAAAGCGCTGACCTAGCTTAAATTGTTAGCTTAGAGGGGTCATGAGCATGAAGCAACCTCAATCCTCCGGTTCCAACACAGCATGAGATATTTGTGCGATGCTTAAGCTTCGTCCTGAGGACGCCTCAATAACTTGGATTTCCTTGATCCCCGGGAGAGTCGGGCTTTGGGGGCTTGCCAATTGGCCAAGGAGCCAAAGCAGTTCCCTGCAAAGCGCCGACGTGGCTTGGGAGCATCGAGGATTTCGAATGCTATAGTCCGAGAGCCAATGAAGAGCGTCGATTGGCGAGACAAGGGGTCTTGACTGTAACCAAGCTTCGACTAGGAGTGTGGATGTTGCTGGGGGTTGTGGTTTTGCCATCTCATGCGACCTGGGGGTGGATAGTTGATCAAATGACAGTCTCGTATACTCGCAACAAAATGTGACGGATATAGTTCGTGTTCGGAAAGCGGGAAGTTTGATTTGTGGGTGCAGCCCATCCCCCTATGACGAAGCATGTCAAGAGGTGCAACTGGATGGCCTGAAAGAGGACGCCACAAAAGAAGCGAAGATGAGGCCATTGCGGACTCTCCAATCACTCTCGCCATGGCTCGCCAAGCTGGTTCATCCGACGGATCTTTGGACATCGCCAGGAAAATCTCATGTAAGGCCTCCCGCCAACAGACCAGAAACCCGTTTTTCCCTCGCAAATTATGCTTGATATGCTTAACAACCACGGGAAGGCAGAGTGGAGGAGGCACCATCAACGACTATCAATGTGTAAGATCGGCTTCAAAGGTTGCGCTGGCCAAAATGAAAAGGTCGGTGCAGCGGTCGCGGAGGACCCTTCGAGACAGCAATCGTAAGTCTTCCATATGGTGCCCACTCTCCAGTGTGTCGAGTTCTGAGGTTCCGTGCGAAAGTCTAAAGGGAGACTGACTTGTGAGTAGAGGTCTCTACTCAGCGTGTAGGGTGAGCATAATCGACGTCAAACTTCTGTCACTACCTTGTGTCTCCTCAGGGTATTAAATGCTGACTAGATCAATCACCAAACCGCGGCAGCGCAGACAGGTTGTTCAGTACCGCTGAAGTGCACGGAGAGATCCAGAGGTTGATCCATGCAGAACGACATGAGCACATTCTTATATGTTGAGGGACGATTGATCCACTCCATGCTTGATTTCTTTAGCGACGGCTATTAGGCCTTTGTTTTTCTGAGAGTCTTGCTCTATAACGACAGTAGGCAATCCAAAGAGTGGGACTTTCAACTGCTCCGCCCATCAGCGCGGGTACCCGAGCATCTCATGGGGAAAGGAAAAAGGCATCAAGGTGCGGTCTATGATTCGTCCAACGCACTATTGTCTTGATGGCGGTACGTCTGGTGAAGATGAAATAGGAGGAGTCGAGATTGTGTGAAGACCCTTCTGGATGAGAGGTGCCTGTTGGAGATAGAAATTAGCAGCAAAATCGGGAGGCCGGAAGGTCACCGACTTGCAATCCTTGTGCATTCAGCAAGACCGATCACGCACGTGACAACCACCTAGGCCATTCAATGTTAAAGAGATTCCAGGAGCCGATGCTGAACAAAAACAACACAACCCCGCGAAAAGATTTGCCGAAAGTCGGTCGAGTAGGGCCCGAGTGGAAGAGAAGAAGCGGGTAATAATGGATCAAACATATGGTTAACGGTGGATTTGAAGATCCAGCTGCAAACGGGTTAGCCCTATACTGTTCCAGAGAGGACGACAGGGATGACAACTTTGTTCCTGGGTCATACCTAGGATTTCGCATCGCCTCCATCGCCCACCGGCTCTTCTCTCCGTATGGACCTTCTTTGCGGCTACTCTCGCAGCTCAATCTCCTCAAAGCTTTCCACTACTTCGAATTCATCCCTCTCCTGATCAGACAGAGGCGCGTTTCCTGGCCTGTCTACCACTGCCGCCTTCATACCCGCTTGAATTGCCGCACGCACCTCGTTGACATTGTCACTCAAGAACAATATCTCCTTTGGATCTCTGCCCAATTCCGCCGCAATCTTTGCGTAGCTGCCAGCCTCTTGTTTGAGACCCGCGTTCGTGGTATCAAACCACTGTTTAATGATGTCGCGCTTGTCCAAGACAGCCTTGGGGTCGTCGGGTGAAGCAGGGTCTTTGATATGTTGGAACAAAAGCTTCTGTGCAAAGATTGACCCGCTACTGTAGATAGATATCTCTTTGCTGGTGCTTTTGCCAGCATCAGAGGCGGTAGAGGACGACCAAGTGTCCAGGCTCTGCAGTACATCAGGGTAGACAGGTGTTGAGTATACATTCGTCTTATAGCCATTTTCCCACAGGTAGCCTACTTCAGCTCAGTATTGACTTCTTACGAGCACAGAGGAGTAAACGAAAAGCATGCCAAGCTGTAAGAAGGAGCCATCTTTACCTTGTAAGTTCTTCAGATACGCAATCTTTACATCTCTCTCTGTGAGGTCTTTGACGTGGGTCTCGAATGCTTCCGGCGATGAGGCGGCTGATTCCGGGAAAGCGTCACGGTAGGATATGAAAGTCGAATCATTCCATTTTGATGCGAGGACATCAGGGAGCGCTTTTAGAGCGTATGGGAACTTTTATGATTCATGTAAGTGCTCCGTTGAGCTGACCACGCACTTGTCTCTGGAAAGAGAGCAAAATACAAGTGTGCTGGTATCTCCTTACCAACGTGTCTTTTACGAACGTGATTGGGCATACAGTGCCCTCTGAGGGGGCCCTTCCCTGTTAGCCAACGTTCCACGCAGCACTGAAAATTGCCACAACCGAGTATCTCCCACCTATATCTAGCAGGATGGCCTCAACACCCTGGAATGATTTGACCGGCTTTTGTACGGCCTGTTTCCGCTTGCGGGCGATTTTGGCTGGACGACTTTCAGCTGTCCTTGCGACAGGACTGCGGGAGCGCCTTTTCGTTGAGCGCGTTGAGACCATTGTATAAGCTTCTGTGGAGACGTGTCAGGGGCATGTCCCTATGGACATGTTCAGAGTTCCGTGTGCCATTGTGAAAAGGTCGAGGATGCGAAGAACTTGTCGTGCTACTTTTTAGCTCTGGGCTGATGGTCGCGTCGGCGACGGAAAATCTTTTCGCCACACCTGCCACCCCTTTATCTCAACCTAGGGTTTTGATACATCACCGTCAAGGTATCTAGCCCTATACATTCCGTAACACTTTACTATCCACACGCAGTACTCGTTCTTCCATACGAGGTGCATTTCTTGTTCCGGTTCACCCACAGCCATCAGCAAATGGAGGCGGAATATCACATCAGGAGCCGTCGCCTGAAGCAGGATATCATGCAAACGTCAAGGTGAAGAGAGGAAGCTCAATCCGTCACCTAATCAACGGAGCGCACTTTCACTTTGAGGGTCCCCTTGAACCTTGGCGTGAATGCATCGGTCCAGTCCATCATCTCGTCCGTTGTACCATCGTTCAATATATCAAACCTGCGAACCAGGTGGGCATATGTAGCATGGAGTTCCGCATACGCCAAGCTGCTCCACTGTTAGATGCAGATCAAAAAGACTTTCTTCACCAGTGGAGCAACCAATGCCGCTGAAGCGGGGAGATAACCCATCCTTGCCACCGACAGAAGAGATGGGTCTGTGCAGAACGTACTTTGTCCCTATACAATTGCGACTTCCACGCGAAAAACTGATCATATGGCTCTCTAGCTCATCCACATTGCTTCCGAGCCAGCGTTGAGGTCGGAAGGAGTACGGATCGGGAAATATCGCCGGGTCGTTGTTGTATACGTAGTGTGCGAAAGAAACGCGGGTCTAGAAGTGGAGTCAGACATTGAGTCGAGAAGTGGAAAGTCAATAGCGATAGCATACCCCAGGAGCGATACTCTCTCCGCAAAGAACGGCACCACTGCGCGGTACTACGCGGGCTAGACGTGCAGACGTCCCCATGGAGAATCGCAGGGATTCCTTGATGACGGCTCGCTAGAAGCACATATTAGCACGATTGGAGTACCTCCAGCGGGACTCACAAGAAATGGTAAGTTCTCCAGGTCCCTCCCTGATGCAAGGCTCTGCGTATCTGGTAGGACGGCGGTTACCTCCTGTCGTAACCGTGTCCAAAGCTCAGGCCTTTTGATCATCTCCCAGATGCCGAACGTAAGAGCGTGAGCAGTGGTATCAGTGCCAGCAAGGAACATGAGAACGGCATCCGCTGCGAGCTCATTTGGAGTTGCGACATACTGCCCTTTCTCTCGGTCAGGATTGAGGGCAGTACGGAAGATTGAAGAGGTCACCTCCTTCGAGTCGACTGGTGCTTGGGCCAGAGAGCTGATCAGATCTCTACATTGCTTCTTGTCTTCAGCTGGGAAACTAAACGATATTTCGATAGAACTTACAGCCATCATGCCTTTCATGGACGCGGCGGCCGGGAAGGCAGCCTTCACAACGTTATCGGGCAATATTGAGAAAATCACCTTGTTCATGATATTGCCGATTCTGGGGAAATCTGCGCGTTGCCCTGTAATTAGTGTCTGATCCCGCCATATGCACTAGCATGCCATTCCGGGGAGCTTTTGCCAAGATAAATGGCGGTCCCAGGTTCCTGAAAGTCAGAATGAAGGCAAACTCACACCAGAAAAAGGGCACTATTGGTCCGAACTCATGCAGGTCGACAATCAGGTTGGGGCGGAAGCGAGGAGCATCAAGAAGGTCCAGGCTCATTTGGTAGCAATAGTACATGGTGACATCCGCGGTCAGGCAGTTCAGAGCCAGGTCAAGCTCGATGGTGCCATTCTGGTCTGCTTCATCTTTCAGGCGATGCAGGAAATGCGCGATCTTCTCGTGAATGAGTGGCTCCAGGCCGTTGATCTGAGCCTTGGAGAATGCCTGCACGAAGAGATCTCGGTGGGGCTTCGCAACTCGGCCATTAGGGATGTTGAGAAGAGAACCTTCGACTTGCGGAGCATTGTAGAACTCGGGAGGACGATCGAAATCGGAGCCAGACTTGAACACACTGGCAATTGTCAGCTCGCTGGGTTTACTGAGGCATCGAACAGTGGTGACTTGCGTTCTGTAGGCGTCCCAGTCGAAGATATGCAACTCATTCGGCCGCACTCTTACGATAGGCCCTGGTTCTTGGTAAGTCGAAGTCTGAGGGGTTGCGTTGCTCGAGTACCATATTTATCATGGAGTGCTTTCAAGTGCTTGACGAGTGAGTCCTTGGTTATTAGATCGTGGTTCACCGCGTAAAGATTGGTGATTGCAGCAAGTTTGGGCCCTGGGAACCTCGCCAAAGGATGTAATGTTAACCGGTAGATAATCTTGAGGATAGTAGTAAGTAGGAGCAGCCCCAGGCCGTACAGTATGAAGAAAAGTAACGTCATCTTCCTGTGGGCACAAGCTTTTCTCGCGGGTCGAAGGCAAGCGCCGTCTAAGGGTTGGTAACTGTCCACATGGCGTCTTATACTCGATACTCGCGGTAGCCTGCATATACCGAGTATGCCGTGAATCATTGTCAGCTCAGGCCTCCCCTTTGGATGCTGCACTTGCCCACCAATCTGAGTGGCGAAATAACCACTTCGTTTATCTCTCTACAGGTTAGTCTGGGGCCAACTGGGCGGCAGGATCCACCTTTTTGAATCTACGGAGATTAAACTCAATCATCCACACTTTTAGCCACCAGCACTGGGAGTACCGATTACTGGTATCGGGAACAGGCACTCGTTCCATGAGACTTGAGGACATCGCTTACTGGGCTTACCGGCGGACGTTCTCCGGATTCTATTATGTCAGATATAAGGGGTTCAACCCCTGGATGGCCCCTAGTCAGGCAAAAGCTGCAAATACCATAGCATGCTTACGAGCACTCGTACGGACACTCACACCAAAGTCAGCCCCTTTCCCAGATGCTGACTCTCATCTGTCCAATGGTATGGTATCTACAACTTCCAGATGCGGACCGGATAAGGGAAAAGCTTGTTGAGACGCTCGACTCAGTGAGGGCAATGATCTTTTATCTCCATCATTTTCCGCTGCGTTGGGAACAGTGGATGGAAATTCTTGCACGGTCGGTAGCAGTACTTTGGCAGCTTCTGTAAGTACTCGACCCTTCAAGAATTTATCGGAATTTCAACAACCAATTCCCCCTTTCGCAATGTCGGGAACTCCCCAGATCCCCATTGCCTTGAAGGTCCTGATGGTATATAGCGCCTCTTTGAAAGTATAGCGCCACATTTTATATCGCCGGCTCTACTATGCCCAGCCCCAAGCCCTGGAAGATCCCGCGGCCGCATGCCGTCTTGTCGCGCTGTATCTGATGTACAAGGTCATGCCGGATAAAACCTCATAAGAAAAGACTCGTTACAGCCAGCCCCAGAAGAACGCCGAGTCTCACTGGACGAATGGGTGCGTCTGCTCGACTGCTTCGCGTTGTAGAGGCAGTGACACCGCTGGTCGACGTGGTCGACGCGTGTGGCGTTGTACTCGCCGACACCGCAGAAGGTGCCGATGTGACGGCGGCAGGGTGTGAGGAATTGCTCAGCGCCGTCGCTGTCGATTCCAAGGCCAAGCTCGATGCATCACTTGCCGAATCCAAAGCGGTAGTCGGGACTTCGCTGCTCGGCAGGACCGTAACTTGCGTCAGAGTCGCTGTGACGGTCGCGACGGTCGTTGGGAGGATCACAGTGGTAGAGGACTATTCAACGTTAGTAAGGCATTCCGTCACCCTGTTGAGGACAAACAAACCTGCGGCGTCGAAGAGGTAGGTCCAATGATCGCCGTGCCTGTGCCCGGAGGACTACTCGAGGTCGATGTCGTGCTCGATGTCGGGCTCGCGGTCTCCGAACAAACCCAAATCATGCCCACACCGTCCTGCGTCGCCGACGATGACTCGGAGCCTGGATCAACCACCCAGGTCAGATTGCCCGCCCACATCTGCACTTGGGCCGCGACGCTGGCATTGCAAAAGACGCCGTCATTCAGCACCAAGACCGCCTCGACTGGAGCCGGCGCATAGTTGGAGCCCGTGGTGGCGGGGCAGCCGGTGTGCAAGCACGCGGCCAGGGTGTCGCGGTACGAGCAATCGGTGCAGATGCACTGGCGCAGCATCGTGCCGGGAGTGTTATCACCGGGGCCAGCGGTGCCATTCCCGCCGACACCAGTCAGGATGGAACCGCAAGATCCAAAAGCACCAAGGAGCGCGGTGCTGAAGCACGACTGCGCGCACGCCGGGAGCTGCGTCCAGTTGGTATACATATACTGAGCGTAAGCGGCTCGTGGGAGAAGGACCAGAACGCAGGCGAGGAGGAACGTCTTCGCAAGAAGATTAAGAGTCATGAAGAATGGAGGAGGCATAGTGTCGTTTCGTGGAGCTGGTGGTATCTGATACTCGGTGTAGTCTCGTGGGTGGATTATTTGTTGAACTTTCTCTGCCTGTTCTTTTTCTCGTTCGAGGTCTGATTTGGATGGGTATAAATGTGTAAAGAAGCAAAAGGTACGAACGAAGATCCTTGCATGAACGAAACGATCTGGTTTATATAGTGTTACCATATCACTTGAGGGAGTAGACAGGTCAGCAGATGAGGAGCAAACGATACCGACGTTCCTGAGTTCATCACGCGCCCTTGGTGATCAAACCCAGTGTCAAGGAAGAGGTCGACATGTCTTTTCTCGTTTGTGGGAGAATCATCACAGCTTGCGAAGCTGTAATAGCATTTGCACGCGGCCCTCTGCACATCAAACGCGAAAGCTGGGCTGTGTAAAGGTCATAGTCCCATTATTACATCTTGTAAAACCTCGCCCCAAAAGACCATATCCATTCATTTCACTCATTATCCAGCTGCGAAGGCAAACGTGCGTTACCCCTTTTCATCCACAATACATTCACTGCCCAAATTAACAGATTTTCCATATTGACCTTCTCAATTGCCGTTCGATTCTCTCTGGTAGTTCATAGGCCAAAGACCAAGACCCATACGATAGCAAACAGACATGTTGCAAAGACAGTTTCGAACTCGAGATCCAGGCGCCCCACACCACCTGTTCTGGTTGGCGCTCCGTTTGTGCTTGTACTGGTGCTCTGGCTTGTCCGGATCGTGATTGTGGTGCTAGTGCTAGTAGTGACACCGATGCCGGAGTGAGATGTTATTGTAAGGGAAGGAGATGGGTTTTGCGTTAGCGGGCCTGTAAGGGTCCTGGAATGGCTGCCCCCACTGTTTGTGCTGGCATTCCCACTGTTGCCATACTCGCTGCTGCTACTGACGCTTCCGTACGTAACTCCGCTATTGCTGTTAGTTGCTGGCAAGGCTGCTGTCAGAGTCTCGGGAGTAGGATATCCCAGACCACTCTCAGATGGCTCCGCGCTCGTCAGAGCTGTTGAAAGGATGATGTCGCTCGTAGTGTTTCCCCAGCCTAGGGCTGTGCTATCGCATGACTCTGTAGACACAGACGGGGACGCGGAGCGCGTGATAGGAGCTGCAGGGCTGTTTGAGGAGAAGCTCAAGCTGACAGTTTTTGTTATAGTAGCTGTACTCATGAAGGAAATGGTGATTGTTGCGTTATGTGAGCACTGTGTACTCTCTGAGCATTGACCTGCGCGGCTGCTGGAAGGATATGTGGTTGGAACGGAAGGAGGTAGAGGGGCTTGTGGGAACGTCGAAGTGGACGACGAAACGGAGACCTGAGAGGTGGTGGAGGTATCGGAGATGGAGGCGGAGGAGAGAGGAAGGTAGGGAGGGATCGACTGTGCTATGGAAGGAATGTAGGAAGAGGAACTGATTGCAGAAGTGCACGGAGAAGTATCCAAGCCAGATACAGAGGTCGAGGACGCGGTTGTAGAAGCAGAGCCGGTGAATGGGCTGGTGGGTAGGCCAAAGCCAGGGTATGAGAAAGCCAGGTCGGTCTTTGCTATGTCAGAAAAGGTCTTCCGCCGTTGATAATTGGAACCTGATGACCACATACCTCAGTCGTCGACGATGTCTCTGTGCTTGTCTGCATAGATGTCAATGCCGTTGTTGGCAAGATCGGTTTGATCCTTGTGGGAGCAATTGCTCCAAAAGCACCACCAACAGCCAGTAAAATCAATGTCAAGTTGGTTGATTTCGCAATAGCCATAATGATGAAAAGAGAGACGACTTATGACTATGAGAAAAGAAAGCAATGAATGGTCACTGGTGGGAAGAGAAGATTGTACCCACGAGGCGGGCTAACAGCAACCGCGTCGATTTGGAAAACGGCAAGAACTTATACGCATTGAACAAAGTCCGATGGCCCATGTCGGAGACGAGAAACACTGCCTGAGATTAGACCTGACGAAAGTGATACCGTTCGCTGTTGTGATGCCATGAGAATGTGTCATGCTCAGGTCGGTTGAACAAGCGCAAGAAGTGATGCCAAAATATTTGGGCGCCATTCGTGAGGATGAAGCAAAAAAGAAGCTCGCTGCTTGTCCATTGTGAATGATAGTCAGTTGTTTCGTCCCAGGGCTAGGGAATGACTCTACGCCAGAGCCCGGACGGAGTCTGATGACGGGACGTAAATAATTCGGCAATGGCGACATCAACTGTAGGGGTTCTGGAAGCCTGTATAGCAGATGAGAATGGAATGCGGTGTCATCGGGAAGACATGCATGATGCCTATGAGGAAGAAGCACGAGACCAAGAAAAGTGAAGCCACCACACAAAGAAAGGCACCGTGACACGCATCGGAGATTTCTCGCACGACTTCATGACACATACAAGGTTATTAGTGTGACTTTGATGAGTGGAAGCATTCGGCCACGACGAGTTGTTGATGGAGGCTCCCGGGTCTCGCAGCGGGGATCCGTCCTTGTGTTGTTGAAAGTGCGACACAAGTGCCAGCCTTCAAGTAACAGCATTGCTGCTCCTCTTGCCTAGGGGGCTTGAAGGACAACCTTCACCTCCCTTTGGTACCCAATATTCAGAGCATTCAATTCTCCAAAAGAGGGCCGTGACCTTGTATGCCACGCCCGGAAGTGAAAGCCGTTCTCGTGTCAATAGAGTATCTTGCCAACAAGAATCCATGTCACGAAGCAGCTTGTCCCCAACCTCGCGAACTCCCAGATGTCAGCATGAGCACGAGCGGCGATGTTAGAAGCTTGAGCAGCGATAACGGTGGGAATTGAGGTTGCAGTCCAAGTACCGTTCAGGTCGCTGCTGGATGAGGCAGTGCTGGACAGCTCCACAATAACTGTTGAGGTGCTGGTCATCAAGCCTAGAACAGCAGGTGTAGTAACAGAATCGAAATCTGTGCATTTGGTTGAGGTATTGGTTGGGTTGACTGACATGTCAGGGGAAATGGACGACGCGAAGCTTGAGAATATCTGCAGAATGTTAGTTCTTCAGATCATGAGTGAGGCTTGTGGTGTGGTCAAGTAACATGCCCGAGTCTGAGGAGTACCCGCGACTGTGGCCGAAAGATTGCCTCCAGGAGCTATTCCCAAGGTGACCGTCGCTGCACCGGGGCCCGCCATGTAATAGAAGCCACTGTTCACGGAAGCGTTGCAGAAGACGGTGTTTTTGAAGACCTCGACATCGTTGTTGAAAGGATTGGTGTTGCAGGGCACATTGGCTTGGAGGCAGAGGTTGAAATTCGTGGCGGGATCAGTACTTCGACAGAAGCAGTCAATGGGGACATCCGCGCAGGCTGCGAGAGAATTGTTGACCGCCGTAGTGAAGCAATATTGCTGTCGGGATGTCAGCCTGAGTGAACGAGCCACTGCTTCTCGGGGCGAACTTACGGCGCAGTAGGGAAGCTCGGTCCAGCTGTCGTAGATCGCGTTCACAAAGGGAGAGACGATCAAGGATAGAGAGCAGAGCAGGATCGACAGTTTAAACGCCATGATGAGAATGAACGATATCCATAATTGTAGACAGAATAACAATCTGATGGAGGAAAGGACATTTAAATCGGTTGCTAAACAGTCCTTGATATAGTCGTTACGGTCACAGTAATCATCACATGATCATCACTTCCGCCTTCACTTGGTCGAAGAGTGATGGATTGCAAATTCACATGTTGTCCCTGGTGAGACTGGGCCGGGCGTCAAACGGTGCTGGCAGTGATACCGCCCAACTGCCTCAACCGGCGGATGGGCGAATGAGGAAGTGAATGAGGAGGCAGATAGACGAAGAAATGGCCATGAAGAGCCCTCCAGGCTCAATGCTATCGAGCTGTTGAAGGAGCAGGAGGTAGTCAACCTTCTACTTCAGCAAAGTGTTTCCGACCTCATGTTGTTGGCGTCCAGTTCTTATCAGCGCTTTTGACGAGGCTGAAACTCCGGATGAGCAACAGAAATGCAACATGTCATGCCTTACCAGCTTCCACCATACTATCACATCAACTGCCTGTCCCCTTTTCAAGTAAACAATGATTTCTCCCACCATGCACACCTCTGATTCGAAGTATCATCTTTGACACGTGTGACCGTCGTGGAAATCGAGTTCATGCTGGCATTGGTGCCCTGCATTGGGAATGGTGGCAGTCCCTGTCCGTTGGGATTACCCGTCATGATGAAGTTAGTGAGGTAGGCTTGAAGTGTTTTGGCGACAGGCGCGACCATATCCTGTGTCAGGTTGGTGGGCTGACCATTGTAAAACGTGTATTGCACGTCATATCCATGGAAGCCTGGCGGAACAGCGAATTGATAGGCATAAGTTTTGTTGCCGTAAGCTTTATTGAGGTAATAGGCGTTGCAGGTGAAGGATGACTCGGTGACGAACAGGATTGTTCGCTCGATGGGAGATGTGTAAGGCTGGCTTCCGTTGTAGATGGCCGGATAAAGTGTTTTCACAATGGTGTTCACCGCCGGAGCAGGTGTCTCGGGATTGAGCGTGACTATCAAATCTTCCAGCTGATCATCTGTTCGTACATTTGGTGGCGTGAAAGCTGGTCCTTCGCTGAGCATATGAGACACCATGACGCTCACGTTCTTTGCGAATTGCCCTGCATTAAGAAGCGTACCAGGTAGCGCCGGCACAAATACCCCGTCAACGGCTGGTCCGTACGTGAAACCTCCATAGTTGGACGCTCCCACTTGAAGTGCATTGGCTTTGATGATAGCAGCGGAGGACACTTGTCTGGCTTCCTGGATTGTGCTGACATTGAGCAGCGACAGAAACGTCTGGGTGATGTTTTCCTGGACAAAATACGACGGCATAGGGAGATAGCCAGGTGACTGCGGAATAGCTTGCTGGAAGGGAACACCCTTCTGGCCCCCATAGGCGGTGATCTGGTGGACCACTGAACCTCCTCCCGCCGACTCACCCATGACGGTGACCCGATTTGGGTCGCCACCGAACAGATGGATGTACTTCTGGACCCATTCCAGAGCCAAACGCTGATCGTAAAGGCCGGCATTGGAAACCCCTCCAGCAGCCTGCAAGGTAGGCCCAGCAAGCCAACCCATCGCTCCCAGGCGGTAGTTCATAGCCACAAAGATGATGCCCTCCCCTCCATTGGCCTGACTGGCTTTGATAAGACCACTAGGGTTACCGGATCCTTCTTTGGAACCTAGGGTATACCCGCCGCCATAGATCCTTATTCTTGATGAGTGAAAGGTTTCAGCAGCATTGTTTGAACTCACCAGACTACCACCGCCGCACCTGAATTTTGACGTCTCCTGATGCGACTCTTCGAACCGTCAAAGACCTTTTTGGGAACGATCACATCCAAGAACAAGCAATCTTCGGTGGTTCTTGGATCTGGCGGGGCTGGTTTGGCGTTTTGTAGGGCAATTTGAAGTTGCTCTTCGGCTTGAGTGAGGTTGAAAGATGATGCGTTCCCTGCTATAAGATCTTGGACGAACTCGGCGGAAATTGGATACCATGCAGGGAGAGCTTGTGGACAGATTCTGTCGACACTGCCGTTCTGCACGACATTATTTCTGCCTGTAGGCGGAACAGGAGCGGCAAAACGGAGGTCCCCTATTGGAGGTTGGGCATAACGTATGTTTGAGAAGTTGTACGTTTGTCCGGTTTGCTTTGGGGGAATGTCAGTATGAGCGAGGCTCTGCTTTATACCACCTAAAGACATACGTTGAAGCCGATCGCCCGGTGGATTTCGTATCCGAGATCAACCTGGGGAAGGGTAGCCTGTGTGCGAACAAGAGGGCACAGAAGCGTAATCGCTGCAATTGAAGTAGTGGTGAACGACAGCATTCTGCGAAGTTTGAGGAGAAGCCTACCTCAGAGCAACGGACAGAATCCCCAGCATGGAATTCTCGAATGGGGGAACAGCCATTACATGAAATATCCCTTCACCGCCACTGCATTGGAGAAGCACTGGTCAAAGCAGGCAACTGAGGAGACGGTTGACCCGGCTGTTCAGAAATCCTTCAACTGATCGCACGCACAAAGGTCAAGTGCGTTTCGAGCTGCCAGGACAGGAAATAGCTCCATCCTGAACACGCCCGTCAACTCCACAATCGGGATACGAGGGTGGGAGACTTCAACCGCAGATGTGGATGATTCATTGCAAGGACGGCTGAGTTTGATCTGCCTCGGTAGCATATCTGGAGAAATGGGCCGACGACACGACTCGATCCACTGGCCTCTCTCCAATGTCGCCCATTTGCTAGAGAGGTCGTCCAGAACACGCACAACAGAATAAGTTGGCACTTCGACGTCAGTATGTCAAAGCTAGATCAAAGCGGAGTGCGAAATATGTCTCTCCCCGGACCGCCCCCAAGCCTGAAAGGGAGGTTGGCTGCGAGGTCGAATCCCTTGCTCTCTTCCTCAACTAGTCATGCAGCTAACTAGCTATTGCAATGTTTTGTTTGGTCCGAGTAGAACTCTGTGGAGAGGCTTCACCAGGATGCTGGAAATGCGGGGGCAGGAGCTTGCTGGTGACGCCGTCTTCGGCAATGTCAAGGCAATGCCGGTCGGCCCATTCTCCACTCACGGGAAGGTCGTGGAGCGTTGCTTGACTCGATGGGCCATGGGCGATGGTGGGTGGTACAGGAGCGTAGACACTGTAGGCACTCGTGACACTTCGGAGCAGCGACGTGTTGACAGCTCGATCGACAGCTGGACGAGGTCAAGTCAACTCTAAATCGAAAACCCGCTTTGTGGCCTGCCAAGACAATGAAGCGTAAAAGACCGTACGAGGTATACGAGTACGGGGTACCTGCTCGCTGGGTACCTAATGATGAGCTAATAATACAAGGGAGCAGCCAGATACCACCAGGGCATGGCGCCAAAGAGAGGTATCTCGTGTCTCGCGGCTCGCTGCCAGACACCCACAGCGACCATCTGCATTCCATCTTGCTTCTAGGTTCCTTCATACTCCTCCAAAGCAGCGAGAACTTCTAGGTTAGCATTGTATACAGCATGTGCGCACATCAACCAAGATCTGAACAACCACGTCGTGCTGAGGCTTGATCAGCAACAGCAGAGCAGTCATAGCGCTTCTTCCTTCGCCACACTTCATCCGGATTGGGCTTGCCTTTGCTTTCGGGCACAAACACGGCGACGAATATCGCCCAAAACACAGCAACGCCCACGAAAATCCACCACACGTTGCTTTGAAGCGCCTTGTTCAAGACTGGGAAGAACATCGCCACCAAGAATGTCGACAACCAGTTGGCTGCAAGAGCCCAGCTGGAGACAGCTCCAACGGCTTCAGGTCCGACCAGTTCACTCGCTAGGATGAAAGGGACGGGTCCAAGCCCGATCCCAAAACTGGCCACGAATAGCCCAATGGCCACGATCATGAGGGGTTGAATATGCGTTGCTAGTCCGGCGTACAGCATCCCCGACGCCGACCCCATCCCTATAATTGAAATAAGGAGACAGGGTTTTCGGCCAAATATGTCTGGTAAAGGTGCCGCCATCAATGTGACGAGCACATTTACTGCCGAGACGATGACGGTAACCAGGCCAGCGTGCTTGGGCATGACGCTGCCCAGAATGGCGACACTGTACATGACAACGCTGTTGATACCGCAGAGCTGTTGAGCCATCATGGTACCCGTCACCGCAAGCAATGGTCGTCGATACTGTGGCATTTTGATTACGTCGATGATGGATCGGCTTGGTTCTTTGCATGGGCGCGGGCCCGTTGGGGGTCCAAGGAGGCTTTCCTCTTCCGCTTCCCCCGACATCTCCCAGTCCTCAATCTCATCCTGAATATCGGTGGCTTTCCCTCTGAGGCGCTGTAGAATACCCCGTGCCATCCGCGGCCGATTGTTTGCCGCAAGCCACTTGGGGGTTTCCGGCGTGAGCATAAGGCCAACGTGCATGAGCCCGGCAATGAAGCCGCCGGTGGCCAGCACCCAGCGCCACTGATTGGACTTGGACAGGAAAAAGCCGAGCAGCTGTGCCACAACGATGCCAAAGTTGATCTGCACTTGGGTGAAAGCTCCGAAGAAGCCACGACGGTTTGGCGGCGCCACCTCGGAAACATACATTGGTGATACGACAGTGGCAGCACCGGCTCCCAGGCCAGAGAGAGCCCTGCCCATGGCCATCAGCCATATTCTACCCGCGAGGGCTTCAGCAATAGGTCCGCCGGCCAGGAAAAAAGTCGCCCATCTCAAAGCAAACAGCCGGCCGAATCTTGTAGCCACGGCGCCGCTCACGATGGCCCCGAAGAACCCTCCGACAGTAAACATGGACTGGACCATTCCCCATTGGAAAGAATTCATTGGAATGCACCGAGGAAGCCCGAGAGCGACATATCCGGGGAGCTGGTCGTTCTGGCAAGTGATGACCTTTTGAGGGGCATTGAGCTCTCCCTAGTAACTGTCAGTCCGGATCCCTTGATCAGTCTTGGTGTTCCAACACTTACCAAGTGGTATCCGAAGAGCAGAGGACCAAGCGTCACAATGTAGACGCTGAAGAGGAGCAAAAGGGTGAAACCTTTCGCCTTTGGAGGGTCCATCAGGCCCTTGGGGGGCAGAGGTGGAGAGGTTTCGGTCTGCTTGAGGGCCCTGTAGCCACTACTGGTCCTAGTCAGCACACCTCGATCCATGTTGGGAGAGGACAGTTGGTGATGGTGAACCAAGCCCAGAATGCTCCCAGGAAGACCACTCACCCTTATAATATGGTCCTAAAGACAATAACACCAAACTTGAACGCGATACTGGAGCCAATGCTGTAGATCGTTGCGTAATGATGCAGAAACTCTGCCCGCAGGCAGACGGATTGTTTGCATTCTCCATGGTTGATTGAGAAGGAAGCGGCGGCCTCCGATGGGAAGCATAGAAGGAGAGGACGAGCGAGGACGAGGGATTGGACGCTATTGGTGCAATTTACTAGTAAAATGGGAGTCGCGCTAGTTGCAGGCCCTCGAACGGGGGAAAGTGCAGCCGTGCCGTGGCCTCGCCGCGTATCATTGGTCAACGACAGAATGCCAAGTCGTACATGAAGTCGACGTGCCTCGTACCGCCCAACGCCCCATGGCGAGGCTTTCGTTCCCAAACCTCGCTTCCATCGCCCTTGATGTCGATCATTTCGCCTCCATGGGACTTTTATGCTTTCCAGTCTTAATGTGCATCTGACTATTCATCGTTTTCTTTCAGATTTCCATCAAGGGTCCTGCTCCTAGCAGGGCGACCCGTGTTCTGATCTACCGGAAAATTCGTTTGCCCCTCGGCTTTGGCCACACCATCAGCGGAATCGGGCGGACGCTGCCTGTCCAGCCTTGTGGGAAGCAGCCTTGCTGAAGATATCGTTTTGAAAGATGAATGCTGCTCGGTGATGTCGGTGATGACGTTGCGCCCGTGGTAGATTGGACTTTTGTTCAAAGCACAGAAGACCTAAGATCTTGTGGGGGAATTGAACAGCATGTCGATACCTGGCATGTCCCGCCCAGGCACAAGTCTGAGCATCGCCCAACAGCTTCGCAAGACTACTCAGTTGGCCTTAGAAGGTATACCCGACTTTCGTGGTTCTGTCCTTCCGGGCTCCTGTCCGCCCGTGGCTGAGCACCAGACACGGAAGCAAGCTGACATGAACGGCTAGATTCCGTCCGGAGTCTCGACAAGAAACAATCTGGCAACAATTATACGGCAAAGGTAAAAATCGGCCACAAGTACAACATTATCGGCTTCATTAGCAGTGGAACATATGGTCGAGTTTACAAGGCTGTGGAGAAGAACCCCAAAGGTGATCCCGCCAGTCCTGTAGGAACGTCTCCGCCCAAGGAACTATATGCCATCAAAAAGTAATGTCACAAGATCTTTGTAATCGAGATGTCATCTGACCTTTATCAACAGATTTAAACCCGAGAAAGAAGGTGACAATGTACAGTATACCGGCTTGTCTCAATCGGCCATCCGGGAAATGTCATTGTGCACCGAATTGTCTCATCCAAACTTGGTTCACCTGGCCGAGATCATCCTAGAGGACAAGTGTGTCTTCATGGTCTTCGAATACTGCGAGCATGACCTACTTCAAATCATCCACCACCACACCCAGCCGACCAGGCGGCCGATCCCTGCGACCATGATCAAGTCGATTCTGTTTCAACTTCTCAACGGCTTGTACTATCTCCACCAGAATTGGGTGATCCACCGCGATCTGAAGCCGGCCAATATCATGGTCACCAGCTCCGGACACGTGCGCATTGGAGACCTGGGACTTGCCCGACTATTCCATAAACCTCTGTCGTCGCTGTACTCTGGTGACAAGGTCGTGGTTACCATATGGTACCGTAGCCCCGACCTCCTCCTGGGTGCACGTCATTACACGCCATCTATCGATCTATGGGCTGTCGGCTGCATCTTTGCCGAACTGCTTAGCCTCAGACCGATCTTCAAGGGAGAAGAAACGAAGATGGATAGTAAGAAGACCGTACCGTTTCAGAGAAATCAGATGGGTAAGATTGTGGAAATCTTGGGTATGCCTCGACGCGAAAATTGGAAGGGCCTGGTGGACATGCCAGAATATCCACAGTTGCAGTCACTGATTGTTTCCCGTGGTGGTATGCCTGGAGGTCTATATCCGACCCCTCCTACATCTCTGAACCGTGGATCTGGTGGCAACAACGGGAGTGGTCTAGAGGCGTGGTATAACAACTGCATCCGACACGCCAGCTACCCTCCGGAAAAGTCTCCCGGTCAACGAGGCTTTCAACTCTTATCGGAATTGTTCGAATACGACCCGGATCTACGATTGACGGCCGAGCAAGCTCTCCACCACGAATACTTTAGAAACACCGACGACGGGCCGAACAAAGGCAAGATCTGGGTCAGCAACAATTGCTTCGAAGGCCTGAACGAGGTGTATCCGCACCGGAGGGTGAGCACAGAAACGAACGATATTGGGACAGGCAGTTTGCCGGGGACGAAAAGAGGAGGGTTGCCAGATGACACGCTTCTCCCGGCGTCAAAAAGGAGATAGCGACTCCATGAACTCACTGGGAGGCCTGTACAACCGTTGGCGATACAAGCCAATCCGAACTTTGGCGGCTACAAACCAACCTCGATCGCCGACTGGGAGAGAGCCTTCGCGAGACGTCCGACCGCACCACGCGCCTCACAGATTCGGCAGGCGCGCTCGCAAGCGTTTTCCCAGGCATTGGAGCGCTCATTAGCAGCATTGTCCGAAGAGGAACGACTTCGGAAGGAAACCCTGGCCCCGACGCCGCAAGCCGACGAGAAGACATTTTCGCCAATAATCTGTCTATGGGACAGTGCGCCTTCAATGACTTAACGCAACATTTGTGGTAAAGGAATGACCAGGCAATCGTGGTCTCGAAGCGAGTGGTCACTTTGGCTGGATATTGGCACTGGGATGGGGAGCAGGTGCATGAGAGGGTCGGCGTGGTCAGCCTCATTGCTAGCATTTAGTATTCGGTTCAAGTTCAGCATCATGGCCAGCCAAGGGTATTTTGTTGCACAAAATGCCTTTTTTTTCACATTGTCTCCTGGATTTGTGACCAGAGATCATTTAAAGCTTTTTCTTTTTCCCTAGGTCTGTTCTGTTCTTTGGGTTTGTCATTCCGCCATTTCGTAGCAGCTCCGAGAGCTCCGTTTACCAGAGTGGACATATTTCCCCATTGACACTGCCGTAGCCACTTTGCCATGCCATTGCAATCGCCATAGGAGAGGAGCCACGAAAACGCAGCCCATGCAATCTCCGCGGCTAGACTTTGTCTCGCAAGAGCACCACCTCTCGAATCTCTTCTCGTCTCGTCTTGGTAGTTTCCCTCAAGACGACATCTTTTTCCATCCTCCCACACCACTCCATGGAGGAAAACCACGCGACAACCTGAGTTGTGCCCGTTCTTCCCCATCACCCCCTTAATCATCCACACACACGCGCGCATCCAAATATGCAAAGGAAGAGAAGAACCCCTTACGCCTGCGCGGTCTTAGCGGCCTGCTGGGGGTTGACCTTCTTGCCGTCCTTGTTGTATCGGACTCGCGGGGGCGGGGCGCGGTTTCGGCGGCCCTCGCGCGACCGGACGCGCACGATCTTGCCGTGGATGGCGCACGACACGCAGTACTGCAGCTTCAAGTACATCTTGGGGACGGCGTAATCGGCGAAGACGGACGCATCGGAGATATCACCTGCTCATTCGGAATCCCCATCTTTGTCAGTTCACACTTTTCTCCAATTTCCCTTTTTTCCCCCCAGCGCGTGGTTCCCCTCGAATGTAATACGTACGGATTGCTGCCGACTCGACCATGTTGCGGATCGTGAATCTCTTGATGGCTTTATCTTTGGGGACACAGCGAGAGCAGTTGGAACACCGGACGGGCTTGACTCTGCCTCTGCCCTTCTTGTTCCGACCGCTGGTGATGTTGTCAGAAGATTCAATTTGAATTGCAACACGAGGAGAAATGGCCTACTTGGAAGCTCGTTTCTTGACCATTTTGAGTATCGGTGAGGGCGACGGGCTCTAGAAGGTTGGGTGAAATTGTTGTGAAAGTTGCAGAGAAGCTGGGCGTTTAGCAACTGCGAATAATCCCACAAAGTGCATTTTCGAAGGTGCGGTGGGTGGGCGCCAAGTATGACACCCGCGGCTAGTCCGAAAAAGGTTAGGTGTGGCGGTGTGGCTGGTGAGCGAGTTGAGCTCTTTGGGACTAGGGCGAACGGCCAGCCTCATTGCGATCCTCAACAACATACCAAGCACTTCAAATTGGCTGCCATTCTCATTCACCATCTAGTTGCCCGTGGTTCGGATACACTATCAGCTACATTGGGTCTTTGGGGCCCCAAAGCCACATTCGAAATGTGTTGTGAGACTGAACCACTGCCAACACTGTGTCGCCAAAGCCATGTTCCCATGATCAGACTATCCAAGCGAGCCGGAGTCATTCAACCTATCTCTCCTTTCAAGTGTTCTGGCTTCGTCCCGGTCTCGGACTACTAGTTCCCTAGCACGGGCCGACGTAAGAACAAATTGTTAAACTAGGGCAGCATCATCTTGCTTGCCTTCGAAGCAGTCTCGGAGCCCTATGCTCCAGTTCAAGTTGAAGAACTGAGCAAAGCGAGTAAATATTTGACTGAGAAATTAATATTACCTGGCCAGAAATAGGTTCACTAGCAGATTCTTACCACCAAGCCTTTGACCTCCAGGAAACCACGCCATAGAAAACCCGCAGCACGTTCGAACAAAGAAGACTCACCCGGCGACAAAAGCTGAACCGGGGCCTTTTTGATGATAATTGAAATCCCTCCGTAAGCCAGATAGACAAGGGTCAGAGAGTCAGGAGGTTGCAACTTGCACCGGATTAGGGGGCGATAGTAGTCCGGAATCAGCCAATCTCTACACCCTGGGATTTTCGTTGAAACATGATCCCTTACCTCCTCAAAACAACTCAGAATCGATGCAACGGACCTCAAGAACAATCTCTGGTAGGTCGGTAAGGACAATGTACAGATCAGTCGAAAAGAGGTTGGAAGAGAGCCGGTGCGTCTGCTGGCCCTGAGGCAACCAGATTCAACGTCTGCAAGTCCCATACTTCCTCGAGCCCGCCAAAGTTAGGATTTTCGAAGTCACTGTTCGTCGGAAAGGAAATAAATTCGTCAAAAATGGCATCGGCTGGATCGTTGTTGGGTTCGGCCACAATACTTTGCGCCGTGGGTTGTTTCTCGGCTGGTTCCAAGTCCGAGGCCGGCAGCGAACGGTCACTTTCCGCTTGAGAGCTAGAGCTCGCTCCTCTTGTGAGCGACGGTGCTTTCGGTCCCACTTCGCTGCGAGAGCTTTTAGATGGCGGTCTGCCTCCATCAATTGGCATGGGCAAGGAGTATGTCAAACGAGACAGGATGCCGTAGCAAACTGCTCCAGTCTTAGTTAAGCCGCGGAGTTGCTTCAGCATATTAAGCGCCGAGTAGATTGAGTCGAGCATCTCCGGACGCCGCGGAAGGGCCTCGTGTCTGTCATGGATGATCGCGGCGCACATAACAGCAGCGGTGTCGAAAATTGTACACGTGACAATATGGGCTTTAGCTGCTGCTGGGAACGTCAGGTCGAAGAGTCGAGTGCCAGTCTCCATCGTCTTTAAGCAGGTGTCAACCGCCGCCACTCGTAGGCAACTTGTCATCTCCGGCAACAAATTCCGCGGCTCTTGACCCGTTAGAATCGACTTCAGAATACTCAACTTAGAGCGATAGCACATTGTGTGAAGATGTTCGCGCTGGAGCTGTAGATGTGGATAATCCCTATCCCATGACGTGTCTGGTTCTGTGATGCTGAAAGGTTTGGGAAATGCCTTCTGCCAACAGTCCACTTCTTCCAGAGCGGCGAGCATGTTCTTCGAGTCCTGTGGATCTCGGTCTTCTTTGGAAGACATTGTCAAGCAGATTTCATACAGTAGTTTGGTTTGTACGAATGGAGAGGGTGGTCCAAGTGTGTCATCAGGTTCTTCGAGGCGAGCATGCGGCGTAGCAATGGCAGAGCTTTTGTGATCGATCAGGAATGGGCGTGACAACCACAAGGACATTTGCCTCAATAAAGGCTTAGTCGGCAACCCGGTACCTATTGGCAGGTATGCTTACCAATCCCACATGTAGAGGAGGCACCATGTTCGCCTCCTCATTTCCAGCTCAAAGCTAGACACGCCTTTTGCGAGGCTGTCTCTGTGTAAACCTGTGTGAATTCAGCTGGAGCTGTCACTAAGTCGATCGGAGACAGCTGCCTACCGATTTCTTGTGCTTCCCGAATAGCTGCTCCAAGGGAATGCCATGCTTCGACAAACTTGGCCTCTGACTTGTACCAGGTTGCAGTGAGAAACAATTGTTGTATCTGCGTCAAGCCGCCTTTGCCGGGACTGAAGCATCGACTCAAACGTTCGGCTTCTTTATTATATCGTTCAGCAAGTGCTTGACTCTGTATCGCCAATTCCGACTCGATCTCTCGTCGCAAAGAAGTCTCCAGGTACTGCATCGAGCATGAACAAATCCTCAGAACTAAACAAGTCAATAGGGGATTAACTGCCCGTCCTGCGGATCGCCGAGACCACCACTCTGCGTATTGCTCTAGGAACTGAGGCGGGTAGATGCTATAGTAGAAGAAGTTGACATGTCGGAAAAAGTTTTGTATCAGAGTATCTCCTAGGTGTCAGCAGCAAACGATAAAGACCCTAGGGAGGATTGTACCTGTCAGATGTCTGGGAGGGAGAACACTGAGAGCAGACGCAACCTCCTCCGCTAGATCATCTCCATGATGGGTTGGATTCTCGGTGCGCTCGGGAAGGTGAGTGGAACGCCTTCACAGAAACCCGACGAGCATACCTTTGAATTTGGCATACTGAGGTTGAAATGTGCAATTCCTGGCATGTAACCCAGGGCAGTCAAAGCAGGATCTTCTTCCAATTCGAGATCATCTTGGCCATCTTCGAAGGTCTTCACGGCATCTTCTCCGATGCGCCTCTTGAGCCCCGGTGCTTGACTACTCATGAGTGAGTTGGAAGAAGCTTCCATATCTTCAAATGTCAAGTACCTCGGTAGCTGTTGGGCTGAAGCAGGATTTGACAAGGTCGTCTTTCGTGTGAAATTACAAAGGTCGGGCACTTTTCGGGAGCGGCAATGATTGCAAGGCCACTCACGATTGCACTGTCACCAATCATTACCTGGCGCAGCTGGGGTTCTACAAGAGGCATTTTACCTTTTGCTTGCGGCGCTGACATTCTGTGCAAGCCACCGGCTGGAGATCCGAAGAATCAATCATGGCAAAGCGTATCAAAGATGCAAGAGTTTCTTGCAATAAATGGGCTGGAGATTGTGTCGCGATGCGAAATTCAATCTTGCACCCGCATGAATCATTAAATTGAGGTGTTCTCGGATCCCAGGTGAGGTTGGTTGGAACCAGGTCGCCAGATCAAGCTGTGTGCAGCGAGGCTGAGATACTAGTACTCCGGTCTCCCGAGGCTGAGCTAATCTGTGTTAGGAAAGGCGAATTAACTGCGCATCTTTCCCTGCAGCCATTGATTTTGGCCATGGACAGAGTATGTCGACCTTAACGTGGTGATTTCTTTAGCAGCTATTACCGCGCTGCTCTCACGGCAGAGACCGTGACCGCCCACCATGTCCCTGTCAATATGTACAGAATGCCTTTTGCGGCTAAAACTCTCCTCGAGCGCCCCCAGAGGTCTTGCTGTCACCGCATCGACCTGGACACAAACAACCTCTTTCCACAGCTCTGCAGCACAATATAAATCCCCTTTGCTTAAGAAGAAAGTCCCCCAAGCCAAGCCCACAGTTACTAGAGCTCGTCAATCCCAATCCGCGCGCCTGAAGAAGAAAAGCCGCGAGCGTCCCAAGCTACCTCCTGTCGGCGAACGTCGAGCCCAACGCCGTCGCATCATCCTCTCAAACACCAACGCCTTGCCCGTATCGGACGTGGAGACCTGGAGCAAGGAAAATATGGTTGACGAGAAGTCTGTGGGACACATGATGGCGCTTGATGGTGGACTGTTGGATCAATTGAGAGATTCAGGAGCCTTTAAGACGACGCAAAACTGGGGTCTATTCCGCAGGCCGGCGACTTTGATACGAGAGGAGACACTTCGAATCGCGAAAGACATGGAAAGTGTCAAGCAGGAGGGAGATAAGAAGAAGGTTGTCAAACATTTAGTCATTGGCGAGAAGGCCAGCGGGAAAAGTATTCTCATGCTGCAGGCCATGGGCATGGCGTACATGGATCATTGGATCGTCCTCAATGTCCCAGAAGGTAGGAGCATCTCCGTCTTTTTCTGTGCGCAGAGGCGGAATCGCTGACTTTTCATTCCTATAGCACAAGATTTCGTCAACAACACGTCTTCATACGCCCCTCTTCGACACGCCGAAGACGAGTCTGAACACATGTACATCCAACCACACCTGACCCAACTCCTGCTCACCCGCATTGCCGCCTCGAACGAATCCGTCCTGAAGTCCCTGCGACTGAACCACGCTCATCCCAAACCACTCTCTCTGAAGAACAACTCTACTTTACTGGATCTCGCTCAAAAAGGCGCAGGCGACCACCACCTCTCGTGGCAAGCATGGCAAGCCTTGTACAAAGAACTTACCGAACCAGGACAGCACCAACGTCCACCGGTCTTGGTTGCCGCCGATGGCGTAGACCATTGGATGGGCCCCACAGCATACCGCGACAGCGAGCATAAAATTCTTCACTCGCATCAATTCATGCTGGTGAAGCAATTCATCAATTTCCTATTCACGGCCAGAACATCGAATACATCGCCCTTCATCAACGGCGGCATGGTCCTCTACAGCACCTCGGGCTCGAACACTCCCGCCTACCCTACCTTCGACCTTGTTCTCTCGCAGATGCGCGCTGTCCAAGTCCACTCCATCTCTCCGGCACACCCAGATTTCCCCCTGCCGAAGCCCTACAGTAAACCCGACCCACGCGTGCTCGCTCTCTCTGCACCAGCCACTCGCGGAGATTTGAACCTGTTGGAACTGAAAGGGTTGAATAGACTAGAGTCGAGGGGATATTTGGAATATTTTGCAAAGAGTGGGCTGTTGCACAAACGCATCACGGATGGCCTGGTGAGTGAGATGAGGGGTCTGAGCGGCGGCGGAGTCGTGGGTGAGTTGGCGAGGTTGAGTAGACGTGTGATTGCTTGAAAGCAAGCACCTGGAGACTGCTTAGGTGGCAGACGGGTGGTATTCGAGGTATAGATCACCGACCACAGTGGGGAAGGGGGATCAGACGAGATTGGAGGTCTGGGGAGATCAACCAAGTGCTGGTGCTTTTTGTGCATCAGAGAACGGCTGGAAGAGGCATCAAACACGACCTCCCTTGGCTACCGTTATTGCTGGAAGTGGAAAGATTCGGCATGGATGGCTGGTTCAGACCAGGATAGCACGTAGACTGAGCTGCGTCCTGTGTGATATCAAGGAGAACTGTGTACGATACAGGTACTATTAAAGCACGCAACACCTACACATGCCTATAGGGACGAGATATCCAAAGGACTCAAAAGGTTCAGTCGTGATCATCAACAAAGGAGCTCAAAATATCGAGACGGCAGCAGGTGGACTCTGGGAACCGCATTGGCAGCAGTCTCAATACACAACGTACGGTAGCTGCGCCCTGTAGGTAGATACATACCTAGGCACACAGGCAGACGGCCGGCATCTGACGAACTCCGCCCTACCTAGTAGATGCCGTAGAACTCCTTCTCCTCTCCTCGTCCTCGTCCTCATCCTCAAGCCAGGGGATATCAGCCTTGCTTCCTTGTCTTTCCGGCCCCCACCTCTGGGCGATTCAGCCGTCCAGTTCCTTTCTCTTTCCTGCACTCTTCCCTCCCCCTTTGCCCTCCGTTGTGTGTCCCGCTTCTTTCCCTCATGTCCTTCCTCTTCATCCTCCTTTTTCAGCGGGCCACTCACTGCGGCCTAGAAGATCGCAAGAGCATTCGGCGGGCTTCCGACTGCGCCGGGCACGTTCAAAGGCACGCTCGTCAAGAGGAACTCGTACCGGCCGATCTTCTTGCAGTGTGCGCCGAGGGCCTTGAGGTCCCAGAGTTCGCCGATGTTGAGGCCGAAGAGGGAGAGGAAGTATTGATGGAGAACTGGACAAGCAGAGAGGTTAGAATGCGCAGAGCTCCTGGGAAAGCGCAAAGGCAGAGTTTGAAGAGAATGCCATGTATATACTCCTCCGCCTCGGCCACGGGGGAGAGAGGGCTTCAAAAACAACTTACCAAGTTCTGCAATCGTGCCTGGCCGGTCACCATCCTCCTCGATCGAGGGAGGGAGCACTTCAAACGCAATCGCGTCTCCCGCGACCGCAGCGAAATGGTGGTTCCATACCCACTTGGCCGTCTCTTTGCACCCTTTGACGCCCACTGCCTTGTGGGTGCCTAGCATGCGTTCCTGCTCTTCGGCTGGGGCTGCCCCAAGGTCCTCCGTAAACCCGGAGCGGACGATCAGGATGTCGCCGTGTTTAAACTTTGTGCCCTGGTGAGCCGCCACGGCTTCGAGATCCTGCACCGTGATGGCGTGCGCGTCAAAGCAGTCATACTTGATTCCCTTGGCTTCAGCGTAGGCGCGATAGTCGAGGAGGACGCCCCGTCCTACAAGCCCGCCACGGTCGTGCCAATGGTTTAACGTGGGGATGGTCTTGTCAAGGTCAGCGTTGCCAAAGGCCTGAATCAGCTGGTCCTTGGTCGGTTTGGCGCCATTGTAGCCGCAGCCACTGGGCTGATGGCAGTAGTGGATCAAACCGTCCCATTGCGAGGAGCACTGCGTGTTGAATTCGACTTCGTCGTCGAAACCGTGCAGGTCAAAAGGCCCTTCCTTGAAGGAGAAGACCTTGTGTTCCAAGCCCTTTCTTGCGAAGCCCGGCTTGTTGATGGCGCCAATGGGCCAGTTGAGGGATATGGAGACGCCGTCGCGAGCTTCCTTGAGGGCCTCTTGCACGACTTTCGGGGTCAAAAGGTTGACGCAGCCAAGGTGATCCTTCTTGCCATCCTTGTCGAAGACACCCCAGGCACAACCCTGGGGCATGCCCTCGACCTTGGGGAGCGAATCGAAGTCTGGGAGGTTAGAATAATCTGCCATTTTCTGAGAAGAAGAGAAACAATAGGACGGTTCAATGGGGAAGCAGTTGGAAGAGTAAGGACGAAGCAAAGAGAGTCAGACGGAAGGACTGCTTGATCCGGGGACTCTGCAAATCTTTATACCTAATAATGCTGCCCGGGGAGGAGCTTCCAGCGATCGGGAAGCTTGTTGTGCTGAGGATTCTTTCACTTACCTCAGACCCAGCTTCCTCCCACGCGACTGTCCATGTCAGTGTCGTCGAGCAAATCCCCAGAAAACGAGGGGTGGGTGGGCTATCGCTCCAAAAACCCGCGTTGGAGGTGCCTAATGGAATGGAGCCCCTCCAAAAGCCTCGGGTAAATCCTGCAGACCCAGGACAAATACGCTGCGTAGTGTGACAAGGATCTCTCTCGGGCATCGTTTCTGGAGCCTTCACGTCCAATGGTTAGAGAGGAGATGCATATTCGCCGAGACCATGCCTCCGCAGAGGAGGGGAGCTGGGGGATAACTGTGGTCGTGGTACGTTCCGGGGAGAGGGAGGGAGGAACAAAGGAAACTTGGGCAAGAAAGCTGGGACCCTACCTCAGACGCGGGGCTGGCTTTGATGAAGCTATACTGAAAGAGTACTGCGCAAGGTCGAACTTTGCGCGGATCCGGGGAGGGGCTTCTCTATAGGTACGAGAAGGATGACAGGAAACCCCTGTTTTAGCCACGGCTGGAGACTGATGGCCGAGGTCTCTTGTTCCTTTTGAGTGGGGGGGAAGACGGGGATACACACACCTCCAAAGAAGGCGCCATGTGCGGACTCCCAAGACATTACCTTGCATGAACAGGTCGATGATAGGAAGGGGAATACTCGGTACAGCGATGAGGGTGGTGATGCTTGGGTATAAATAGCAAGGCTGACGAGGCTCTCCTGACAAAGGGGGTCACAGCGGAGGGTCCAACTTACCTATCGAGTACTTACTGTACACCGCCATTGAATATGTGAACAACAGCCCCTCACTGAATGCAGGAAGACTTCTTTTTTCGGCTTCCCTGTCTTGGAGCACAGTACAGCTCAGCTACTCAAGCGCCGTGCATAAGTGAAAGACTAAAGAAAGAGGAAGAAAGCCGGACATATACCTCCGAGAAAACACTGTCAGCCTTGTCTCCAGTGCGAGGTGGTCAGTTGTCTGTAGAGCAGGGATCCAGTGAAGAAGAAACGTCGATGTTTGATTGCTGCTGCTGCTGCTGCTGCTGCTGCTGCTGTTTTCTTCATTGAAATCTCAACGCTGAGTTGCTCAACCCTGGATGTGCGACGCCAGATCCGCCCACAAGTATCCTGAAACCGAGGACTCAAAATCAATATCACGCCACAATGTACCCTCTCCGACCTCTCCGAGGTCCCGCAGCATGATCTGGTTCTTCGTGCAATGCAATACCATCCAATATCACAGAAAATCAGCAGTGGCCAACTCCAATCTGTTGTAACTCGAGTCGGACACAAATGCCTGACAACTTTCCTGGCAATACGCGTAGATGGAGAGCTGACCAGACTGGGCTGGCCGAAAAGCGAAGGGACGAAGGCCAATCTTTGCCCTACCCTATCCCAACCACACACCCCGGCCTCTCACTCAATCATCGTCAGCGTCACCCATATCCTCATCGTTGTCTTCGTCACTATCCCCGGCTTCGATCCAGACCAGCCGGGTTCCATTATTAGCAATTTGCCAGACCTAGAATCCATAAGTTAGTACAACGCTCACATGCGAGAACAAAGCAAACAAGGCATGAACACAGGAGGGGCAAGAATTCACTTACATCCAACAATTCGTACTCCTCGAGCGTCCGGACGAATTGATCACTCGTAAAGCCTTTGGCAGTGACCAGCTCCCTGACTCTCCCCAAGCTCAGCTCTCCCCTCGCTCCACGACCGACACTCGCGGCTCCCGATTCTCTGATGCCGCGAATCAGGTCGTATATCTTGGAGCTCACGGTCTGATCGCCGTGAGCGCGCTGATCGTGGTATAAACTGGCCTTGGATACCTCAATCAAACGCAGTGCTTCATCAACGTCTTCATTGACCACTTCGTTGCTAAATCTCAGTCGCGCCAGAGCTTGCGACAAGCGCAAGACGCCGAGCAAAGTACGTGGCGACGTGTGTGTGAACTGCTTCTTCGATCCCTCGTCCCGCTTTTGTTGCTGGCGCATCCGAACATACGCACCGACCATATAGTCACTCACGGACTTTGGCACATTGGGTCTAAATGTGCGCGCCTGAGCGATATACTGTCTGACTTCGTGAGGCGAGAAGACCACGCCCTCTCCTTCGCGTTCCGGATGCCGATTGTGCATGTGAACGTGGCAGACATGCTGGGCAAGTTCTTCGTCGGCTTCCCGCGAGGGCGTATCCAGAATCAAGAAAAGAATGTCGAATCGAGAAAGGAGGGCAGCGGGGAGGTTGATGTTGTCCACTGGGGATATCCGAGGGTTATACCGGCCATAGAGTGGATTGGCTGCTGCAAGAATCGAAGTTCGTGCATTTAGAGTGGTAGTGATGCCGGCTTTGCTGATTGAGATAGTCTGCTGCTCCATGACCTCGTGGATGGCCGTCCTGTCTCCATCGTCCATCTTGTCGAATTCATCGATACAGCAGATACCGTTGTCTGCGAGAACGAGTGCGCCGCCTTCAAGAACCATCTCGTCCGTGACAGGATCGCGCATCACCGCAGCCGTTAAGCCGACACCACTGGATCCACGGCCAGTCGTGTATACACCTCGAGGTGCGACCTTGGTGATATATTTGAGTAGTTGCGACTTGGCCACACCAGGATCCCCCATCAAGCAGACATTAATATCTCCACGGATGCGCATTCCATCACCCATCTCCTTGGTCACGCCGCCAATGAGCAGAAGAAGGAGGGCCTTCTTGACATCAAGGTGACCGTAGATCTCGGGCGCTATGGAACGAGCCAGGTATTCGTACATGTGTCCAGAAGCCTTGAAGGACTCAATCTTGCGGATTATACGCGGATCCGTTTTCAAGTCTTGGTAAGCCTTTTTGTGTTGTGTGATATGTTGTGCTTCCAGATACGTATCCGTCAGCAGACCAGCCCGGATAGCTCTAAATCCAGTGTACGGAGTGGGCAGGAAAATGCCATCAATGTCGACAACATCGCCAGGATTTAGCTGTCGTGCTAGACTGCCGTTGCAGTGGATCGTTAGTGTCCTTGGAATGTGACCAACAGGAACTTGGTCTGCCATCTCCTGAATTTTGACTTCCTGAAATGGTAAGAATTTTGAGGCGCGTGTTGACGGAAAGAGTTGACCCTTGGAGTCGTTCTGCTTGCATTCTTCCGATGGGCACATCTGCAAAGGTGTGAATTGCTTGGCAGATACTGGTTGAAAGATTTCCGAACCGCAGCGATCACAGGTGTAAGCTTGAATTCGTATGCTGGGCTTGACGTCCGATACTCTTGTGGTGATGCCGCGCACGGTGATCAAGTGGCCTAGATGTTCTCCTCGTACTTGTCGCACCGCAAGTGTCTTCTTGCTGACATCAGCACCTGTGGGCGTTACAGGTTTGAAGTTCAGCGTGTATCTTCTGGTCAATTCTGGCGGAAATGTCGACACCGGGATAGCAGCTTCTGCATCTGCTTCAGCGACTGAAGCCACAGTTTCGTTTCGTTTCGCTCGCTGCGCCATGATGATGTCGAGGACGTCATCCTTGAATCTGTCCACGTATTAGAGCCCAGCCTAGTAGAAGCGTTGCAACCATCCATACGATATTTCTTTGCTTGGTTTTGGCATTATCTTGTCCACCGCCTCAGAAAACAAATCGACGTAATGCTTGGTATTGTTTGTGACTGATTCAACGAGTCTCAAGTTCATCTCGTCTCCTAAAGTCTCTTCAAACTGTGCGACTGTCAGTTGCATGATATCACTGACTCAACCTGACGCGCACCTCTTTCAGATCATCCAGCTCTATTAAGATGTTTTGTCGCTCTCGGTCTGCGACCTCTTGAAGCATTTCCATGTATTTTCTTTTGGGTCCCCGCCTAGCTCTGCTGTGGTCTTCGTCTGCGAGATCGTCCATAAAGTCATACTCGTCGCTAGTGTGATCGCCATCGAGGTGCAGGTCGCTGATAGCTTCGGCAGCTGAATCTGAGGACGTCTTCGAGGTTTCGAACTTCTCGAGGAAGGCCTGGAAGGTGTCTAGTTGCTTCTCGTAGTCAGCGAGCGCCTTATGCTGCAGGAGCGCCATGGTTGCGAGCTATGCAAAAGTCTTTGAAAGAGGCAGTGCTGGAGCGAGTCGAGCAATTGAACATCTACAAGGGGGGGTTGGGCAAAGCCGCAATGCAGAGCGCGTCGCGTCGCGCGTTAAGTGCTACTGCGGAGCATAAGGTCGTGTTGGCCGATTTGGCCTCCGATTGCCCCACGGACCAATGAGAATAATTGCTACCGTCTGACACTTATCGCCCGGACACTCGCGTTGTATTCGCCCACAGAATCAAGAATATCTCAGTCAGACGATTCCCTCCCCTTTGCCGAGGCTCGATTAGTGGCAATGGCCTTCGGAAGGACATCTCTCAACAACCAACTTCGGCCATATTGGATATCACTATCAATATAATACGTTTCTCTAAGCAAATAGACTTCTTATTGTATATCTTGCTCTCTCCCCCGAAGCCGAAACTCGTCGTGCATGCTCTTAAGCGTCTGTCTCTACTGACTTGCGGAACGCATCCCTACCGCCTGGAGCTTACACCCTTTGCTTAGCCTTCAAGGCAATTCGAGAAAATGCCTCCTCCTGTACGCGCTGAGGTAGCGCTTGTATCCCTCCAGAATTGTCTGGTCAATCTACCTCCGGGATTGATTGCGCTGATTAGCAACACCAATATCGTAAGCTATCCTTCTGTGAAGCTTTCTTCCTCTGCTCACCTTATTCAAGCCAGCTCAAAATGTTGTCGTCGAACTACAATACCGGTCACAGACTTTGTCCTCTGGCGCTGTCTCCAGTGGTAATAGTACTGGCTTTCAGCGCTCTGCCTATGTTGGTTGGACTGGGATGCCTAGCCGGACAAGACCGGCGTCACTTCTGAATAATGACCGAGCCCGACCTGGAAGCAGGGAACAGGATGTCCAAACCGTCGAGATTGATGCGACATTTGCGAAACTGCTTGGGCTCTCAGAGGGCCAGAAGATTGGCATATTGGTCCATCTTGACCCCCCTGTCGCTCACAGCATCAATATTGAGCCACTGACACCTGCAGACTGGGAAGTTATTGAACTACATGCCACTTTCCTGGAATTAAACCTTTTGTCTCAGATCCGTGCACTTCCAAATCCTGCATACAGCAGCAAGACTACTGTTCAGGCAGAGCACACCCACCCCTTAACTCTACACTTATCACCGACGTCAACAGCGAACATTGTCGTCACTTCCTTGGTACCGCCTGTTCCAAATACCATCCCGTTCGCTAAAATAGCTCCCGACGCCGAAGTCATTGTTGCGCCCAAGACTCGGCCCAAATCTAGTAGGAGCGATAGGCGAGACGCAAGGAGCACGGCAAGCAGGCGAAGCGGCAAAAGCGGTGTCAGCAATGCCCGAAACAGGACGGGTCCTGCGAGGCCTGCATTGTTTATGCGCGCGATCGATCGAACAATGGCAGGCAGCTTCTTCGATGAAGACAAAAGCATATCCCAAAGTCATAAGCTGTGCATCTGGCTCGGCAGCGAAGCCATCGAGTCTGAAAATCTAAGAGCTGCCACATGGGCAAACGTCACTATTATCAAGCCGGCCGGTATGCGAGCTCAGCTGGACAGTAGCCAAGTCAACCGTCTGAAGGAAGAAGAGAACAGCGAAGTTGGAAGACCTGCTTCTAAAGTTGTTGCCCAGGTCCTTCCTTGGGCAACGCCAATCGACAGTAATCACGCCGTTCTATCGACGTCGCTTTGCAAAATGCTCGGCGCAGAAGGGATGGTTGGGATCATTGTCCGGATTCAAGCTACTGGGCCGCCTTTGCCTCGCTACTCTGTCAAAAGGTTCCACTTCTATCCCTTTCTGCCCGCGAATTCGAAAAAGAAAGACGGCCTCCAGTTTGGCGGAGATTCGAAAGCGGCGAAACAAGCACTGGCCGACAAAATCCGACTGACATTCGCTGGGGAGGACGGACTGCTGTCTGGGCCAATCACTGATGGGATGGTTCTTCCAGCCTCTGGAGACTCCTCTTCTGTCGCATCATTTGATGGCGGAATCCTGCGGTTCCGTCGCCCGGCTGAGGTCGAGGAAGACCATGACAATTCTTGTCTGTGGGTGCTAGGGCAAGAGCAGGACCATGAATTTGAGATCAAGGCAGAAGTAGCCCGGCCCGTGGAGCTGACGACCATATTCCCCACCTTCGCCCATGGAATACCTAGCAAGCTTCCCAATCTGATAGGCTTCGATGGGATCATGAAGCAATGCTTGTCCAGTCTGACTCTGTGCTCATCTGTGTTGTTGACCGGCGGCGTCGGGTCAGGCAAGACTTCGCTTGCTCATTGCATATCACAACGGCTGCGGGAGGATTATGTCTTCAACGTGACCTATTTTGATTGCCAGAAGCTGGTTACCGACGAAACCAGAGTCTCTACTGTGAAGGAGACTCTCACGAGGTTGTTCATGTCAGCTTCTTGGTGTGCGAGACTAGGTGGACAATCAGTTGTCGTCTTGGATGACCTGGACAAGATTTGTCCTGCTGAAACTGAGCTGGAAGTTGGCAACGACAACGGTCGCAGTCGCCAAATTACCGAAGTGCTTTGTGCCATTGTACGCCAATATTGCAGTATTCACTCTGGTGTTACTCTTCTGGCCACCGCACAGTCGAAGGACTCGCTCAACAGCATCATAATTGGGGGGCATATAGTAGGCGATATAATCTCCATCAAGGCTCCCACGAAGGAAATCCGCCGGGACATTCTTGCGTCTCTCACGAATGATGGACCGCAAGTTAGCAACCGTGGCCACCACCGAAATCAAAGCGACACCCAAAGCATGTCAGAGAGCTCCTGGATGGATCCAACAAACCCGTCCTCAAGACCAACGTCTTCCGCTTCATCACCAACGGTTGAAGGCTTTCGTGTCGCGCCTAGCCTCGATCTGCTCGACATCGCTGGGAAAACCGATGGCTACATGCCTGCCGACCTCGTACTTCTCCTTGCCCGCGCCCGAAACGAAACACTCACGCGCATAATATCGGAAAATGACGACTCAGATGCACCGCCCACTCTGACGAAGGCCGACTTCGACGCCGCACTGAAAAACTTCACCCCTTCTTCCCTCCGCAACGTAACATTGACTCACTCCACCACCACATTCTCCTCCATCGGGGGTCTACACGGCACCCGCAATACCCTCCTCGAAACACTCCTCTACCCAACAAAATATGCCCCCATCTTCGCTCGCTCTCCGCTCCGTCTCCGCTCGGGACTGTTGCTCTACGGATATCCCGGCTGCGGCAAGACACTCCTGGCCTCCGCCGTAGCGGGTGAGTGCAACCTCAACTTCATCTCCGTCAAGGGTCCCGAAATCTTAAACAAGTACATCGGTGCTTCCGAAAAGTCCGTCCGAGATTTATTCGAGCGCGCCCAAGCTGCAAAGCCGTGCGTCTTGTTCTTCGACGAATTCGACAGCATTGCGCCTAAGCGTGGACACGATTCCACGGGCGTGACTGATCGCGTGGTGAATCAGATGCTCACGCAGATGGATGGCGCCGAAGGACTTGAAGGAGTCTACGTGCTGGCGGCCACGAGTCGGCCGGACCTCATCGACCCGGCGCTTCTGAGGCCGGGACGACTGGATAAGAGCTTGCTGTGCGATATGCCAGATATGAATGATCGGCTGGATATCTTGAAGGCGGTCAGCACGAAACTGCGCTTGAAGCCCGAGGTTGAGAATCGGTTACTCAGCGTCGCGCAGCGCACCGAGGGCTTTAGTGGCGCAGACCTCCAAGCGCTCATGTACAACGCCCATCTAGAGGCGATTCACGACTTGCTGGGCGACAAGGTATCGTCCGATCAGCAAAAGGGTCGCGAGCTGGTCAACGGAACTAGTAACAGCAGTGGTGGTGGTGGCGGCGGCGGAGGCGGGAAACGCCGCAAACGCCACAGTAGCACCCAGGGCAAGCACGATTTCTTCCACTTTCTGTATTCGCCGGAAGAGGACGCTCTGGCGAGGAAGTCACTCGGCACGGGCGCCTCGGCGATGGAGTCCAAAGCCGCCATAGCCTCGAAGATTGACGAGCTGAAACTCGCGCGCAAGCGCGAAAAGGCGGCCCTGAAGAACACCTTTGCCGCACGGCGCACATCTTCCTCGACTTCCTACGACGGCATGGCGGCTGACGGAGGAGACGCAGACGATGCCGCCGCGGAGGCCACCGGCGGAGCCGGCAAGGACGAGGTGGTGATCGAGTGGCGACACATGGAGAAGTCGCTCGCGACGACGCGCAGCTCCATCAGCCCCGACGAGAGGCGCCGGTTGGCGGCCATCTATCAGGAGTTCGTGGTCGGCAGGAACGGCGAGATGCCCTCGGGCCAAGGCGGGAGCCAGGTCGGCGGCAGGACGAGTTTGATGTAGATATTTAAAAAAACCACCGCAGTAGAATTGGATTCGTGTCGATATTGGGTTCACGTATATATAATATAAAAGTGGCCTATCCTCTACTTTATGCCATACTGTCCCCCAGCCGTGCTTTACGTATTCTGACACGCAATATACAGATAGATGCATATGATCAGAAACCCACGGGCAGTCAAGTGGGTGATCAAGGAGCGGGACTGCCTCGCATCCGCGTGGAGATGTGTGTATAGTAACCTAGGTCCTCAACTAGAGAAACACGTAGAAAGTCACCATCAAGACGAGAAGAGAGAGAAAGAGGACAGCAGAGAAGGAAGTAGCCCAGACACATCCCGTCTTCATCCCATAATATATACAGAGAAATTTCGAGGAGTCGGAGATGAGGGTCTGGATTCTAGAGAGTCAAGATTCATACTGCGTACACTCCCCCTTTTCCCCTCTCCTTCACTCCCTTTACTTACACTTCTTCATCCTGTCGTCCCAACAGTGAGGCCTCTCTTTAGAAGAAAAGGGAAGAAAGAATAGAAAATGTAGTATAGGAACTAGATAAGGAGGAAAGTGAGTAATTATGTTCCGTTCATCAAAACTGCTAATGTTGCAGCACCACCAACAGAAAGAGAAAAGTGACTCTATCCCGTCAGAGTAAACGACCTCGAGCTTGGAGAGTCAAGGACCCGAACAGCCAAAAGAGCGGCACCATCACTGGCAGCATCCGAGTCACGGGGTATCATCCTTACTTCGCCGTCGCGCGACTAATAGCAAAAACGCCAACAATAACAACCGCAAGGGTGACAATGGCGCCGGGAAGAAGCAGGTCATTCGGTACGCCTGCGATAATCTGAGGCTGTTCTTCCTTCCGCTGTTGCATCGCAGGCGGCGCTCGTTTCGACCGTATCGTCTTTGCTATGGGGACAGCCTCTTCTTCTTCTTCCTCTTCTTCGTCGCCCTCCTCCGCGGCGTCTAGCGCAACCTCCTTGAGTGTGGACTCTGGAGGAGTTGGCGGTTTTGAAAGCTGAGGTCTTGGGTCGATAGTCGTGGAAATTGGGGGTTGAGCAGGGTCATGTACGAATAAGTCGACTTTGTCCCTTTTCCCTTGCCTCGCTAGTAGTATGGCGTCGAGGAGATCTTGATCCGTCGTGATAGAGACGGTATCGCCCTCATTGTCCATATAACTCAACGCGTAACCTGCTTTGCCCAATTTACCTTCCTCGACAGTGGCTTCGCCGCCTACTGATTCCACTTCACCGCCTAATTTGGCAGTGACTTGGTTGACCAGCTCGAGTAGACCGCTGCTCGGGAGGACTTGTATCCTGTGGACTCGTCCGCTGGGCGCTTTGAACTTGAATGGGAAAGGTGTCTCTTCGGGCGATTCAACAGATGGGAGGACTTCGGAGTGGGCGTCGTCCCCTCGGTGCGAGGCGGAGTCGTGCGGCATAACGCTGTCTCCCCTCTCAAAACCAGGACGTCCAGGCTCTGACTCCATCATTGACCGATGGCCAGGTGTCGTTGGGCGATGACTGCCTTCGCCGGACATGATTGATTCGGTGTCGTTGTCCATTGATAGCCAGAACTTATTCCACGCTGGCCCTTCTCCTTCTCCGGCATTCATGGTGTTGATCTGTTCGAGGGTAGCGTATGTTAATTTGAGGACATCGACCATGCCGACTATTTCACCCTCGCCGTTCATGACCGGGAGATTGAGATAATGTCCATCTGTGTCTGTGAGCTCTTTTGTTCGGTTCAGCGTAGCAATCACTTACCATGCATCTTGCGCAGAGCAGCCTGAATGCTCATATCTGTCGGAGCAAAATCCGGGTGAGGGGTCATCACCCTCACCACACTGCAGTTGGACGGATCAAGGCCAGGCGCGATGACACGTAATACGACGTCCTTGCTCGTGAAAATGCCAGTGATGGATCCTTGGTCTTGCACCAGCACAGCCGTGGTGTGATTTTCCTTCATGAGCTGAGCCGCCTCTTTGACCGACGTCCTGACCGAGACAGTGGTGGGAGGGAGTCCATTCAGCACGGACTCCAATGTAGGCCCCGACATCTTTTGTCTCAAGGCCTCGACATACTGGATAATCTGTTGGGGCTGGCTGGAGCCAAGCTCAGATTGTACACCTTCGAGGGCATCGTAGAGCTTGCGCGAAGAACTGTATGCACGTTCCAACTTTTCCATGGCCTCGTAAAAGCATTTTGTGATATCGAGAATACCGGAGATGTCTTGATTCTCGTCCATGACAGGAAGATGCCTGAATCCTTTTCGGACCATCAGGTCCAAGGCATCGGTGGCACTCGTGTCGGTTCTCGCACACAGCGGGTTCTTGGTCATGATCTGTTCAATGGTGACTTGGCTGGCCTTGATGCCGGCTCCCACGACACGGAAGGCCAGATCCTTTGCTGTGAAAATCCCAGCGATTCTATCGTCGTCATCTGTGACCAAGACGCAGTCTTCTCTCTTGGCAGCCATCAGCTGCGCAGCCTCGGCCACGGTGGTGGAAGGCTTGATCTGTAAAGCCTGACTGGGTTTGAGGGCCAGGACGGTCCCAGGGGGTGCCTTGCGGGTATGTCGCGCGCGGGCGGGGGCGTGCTTCTTTTTGCTAAGGTCTGCTTCCATCTTGCGTCGGATTGCCTAGACGCAGCAGCCATGAGTGTTAGGCACAGGGGAGGCTTGAACGGTATTGGGATGGGATCACGCACCTCGTCTCTCTTACTCTGCTTCTGTCGACTTGCAGACACGGTAGAGGTGCCCGACATCTCGGAGGGCGTGGGATTACTGGCGGACTCCAGCTTGGGACGAGGGATTGCGGAAGGAGAGTCTGCAAATGGGAGTTGACCACGCCGGTTGGGCGTGCCTCGATATGTGCCGCTGACCCCAGACATGTTTGATGACATGGAGGCAGTGACGTGGTTGACCGCAGATGGTCTGTGTGGGAAAAGGGTCGCGAGCACAGATCGTTTGGTTCGTGAGGGTGCAGTGACTGAGGCTTGATTGAGAAACTTGGTGAGCCGAAGATTTGGTGCAGGCCACTGACTTTACTGACCTACACGTGCTACACGGGGCAGTCCATGCACGAGGCCCGCTTGGTTCTTGGTTGCCGGAACAGACGCCTCGACGCCTACCTGGGTACGTAAACAAAGCGTCAGGTGACCTCGCGTGCTTGGCACACCCTCGACCCCCGAGGCCCTGCCACTGGCATACACACCGAGACATCCACGCGTTTAGACACATTGGGTACGAGGTATACTCCCATGAAGTGAAAGAAAGTTGAAACACATTTTACACTCCAGGGACCTTTCTACCAAGATCAAACCACATATAAAATTCAGCCGAAAATGAATTCATCCCTTAATGACATTGACCAGACCCCCTCGCTAAGGGACTATATAACCTTATTGCGCTGAAGAAAACATTGTTTGACGTTCGCTTTCTACCACAGATTGTACCAACTATGCAATCTGACCCGCACTCAATGCACTGAAATTCACCTATGTCACACGTGTTAGTGAGTCCTTCATGTCAAACTCCTCATGGGTACTTTACATTTCCGCCGTTCCGGGTGAAAACGCCGGCAAAAGCCCAGTTCAGGTATCCTCTGCCAAATAGACGTCAGCTGAAGGGGTATTTTCCTGTCATTTCCATTGAAAGCACTAACCCGTCTCCCTGCAACACAAACGGCCCTGAATCGAAGACATAACAAGAGTATGTCAATACCGAGCCGCTGTTGGGACATGTGCATTCCCGGATGGTCATTGTGCTGTTGACGAGGCCGGACGCGTCGTGCTTGGTGAAGACACACATGACGTTCTTTCCGGGGTTCTTGGACGACATGTCTCCAATCTGCACCTGTGTCCACGAGCTTCGAAAGTCCTTGTCTGCGCCCGAGTCGAAGATTGCGCCAATGATCGCGATTCCAGCTTGGACTGCGTCCGCGGCTATATCAGCAACAGCTGTAGCCATTTGTTTTTATTCCTTTTATCCGGTAATGCAAGGCAATATGAAGGTCAACCAATCCCCCGTCAGCGACAGAGAAAAGACTGATGTCAGATACGACTTGGAGATCCTGATAAAGATTGCAGAGACGTGGTATCTTCAGGGTCGTAAGGGGGGCAGGTCAAATAAATCTATTGAGATAGGGGTCTGCAAACTATCTCTAGTTACGAGTTCTATATGCCAGGACTCGGTGGAGCTTTCCCGCCTGGCAGAGATCTATCTTTATCTACTATATTGCCTAATACTCCGCAAATAGTTGATGAGACGATGGGACCTTTTGCTGGAAGGCCAGGGGCATTGAGGCACTATTCCTGACATCGAAGGTACCAACTTTGGGATGAAACCCCGGTCGCGCTATGCAATCTGCACAACAGAAAGAGTCTTGATGCATCTTGGAGGACAAAGAGCAGTCATAAGCTGACTGTGCCCCAAGAGCAACTGCTGATCGGAATTAATATGATGGTTCTCATTGGGGAATCTTAGTGATACAGACTTCACTGTGAATATGTAGTAAGTCCTCCCCACAGTCCACGAGATCAAAAACGTTCTTCCACCGCCGGCCCCAATGACGGTTAAGGCGGTCGCCATTGGTGTTCCTGCAAGGATGCAACCGGCCCCCAGTTAGATATTGCATAGTATATACCCTAAATAAGATTTGGCGGGTCAGCAACGTGGTGCCAGGCCGCGGCCTGTCTCCCTCTTAAGGCAGGCTTCTCGTACGACTAGCGCCATCATGCTCTCTAGATATAGGTGTTCAAGTATTCAGACAAGCCCCATTTCGTGCGGAATACCCCTCCAGAAGTCAGATTAAGGAGGGGGCGGGGTCACTATCATCCATATTAGGGCCCATAGCTGTCAGAAACTGATTACTTCTGCCCCTTGTTTGCACTCTGACATAATAGGTCGGGTTAGCCTCGGCGGGGTTTCTGCTATGCTGGCCCGACCCGTTCTATATCAGAGCGTACTGCGTAACTCGTATAGCCATTTTTAGGTTCGTAGAGGTATTCGGAGGACTGCTATAGCGTTGATACATATAAATGGACCACAATATCCTTATCAAATGGTCGCTACTCGACAGACCCTATCACTAGCACTTGATCACCCATCAACAGCGGCCCGTTGTCACTGTTCTGGAAAACACCAATTACAAAGACAGATTGCCTTTTTGTTGAAAAAGGACCGAATCAAGAAAACATGCACGGTCAAGACGATGGTTACGGACACGGTGGGGATGAAGGGCAGGACTACGACGACTACCAAGACCAGCAGGGTGATGAGGACGGTCAGGGCATGGGCGGGCATATGGGCCAAGGAGGAGAAGACGGCGACATCGCATCATTGACTGGGCTGATCGTCAAACTGCTCATGGATCCGCAGCCGGGCCCGTCGCACGTCCCCAAGCCGCAGCATGCACACTCGAGATTTGCCCAAGATCCCCATCATGCCGAATCAATGCAGCTTCTCGACAAGATTGCTTGTGAGTATACATTTCTTTTCCCCTTCCCGGCTGCAAAGGGCGTGTGCTAAGGAGAGAACTTGATAGCGGAACCTATCCATGAAGCCCACTTGGAAAGCATGGTCCATGTTGGGCTTTTGTTGCTCGCTCGCATGGCCAAGAAAGTCGGTATGACAGCGGGCCATGAGGCACCAAGCCAGGGCATGGGCCAGGACGGGGGTCACGATCAAGGCCAAGGTCTCGGCGGGCACCAGGGCCACGACGAGGACCAAGGCGACGAGGAAGACGAAGGCCATGACGAAGACCAGGGCCACGGCGGTGACGAAGACGAGGACGAACATGGAGGTTGCTAAACCAGGATGAACAAAGGCGTCTTGAAGCAGAGACAGAAACCAACAACGAAAAACCACACATTTCAGACCATATATGCAAATTCAGTAGGGCGGGTTTACAGTTTAGCGAGGGCTTTGTTTTGGAGATTGTCACTCAAGTAGTTACCAAGGGTGCTTATGAAGGGAAATTGGACAAGGTTGGTTGAAAATCATTCAAATGAAGTGTTTGAGTCATATGTGAGCAATCTCAGCCTCTGGCAGACCTGTCCTTCGTCTACTATTCCTGCCCTGAAAAATTCCGCCAAACATGTGGCCGCGATATGACGGCTTTCTGCCGAAGAACGTAGGGGAACTCGCGAGGCTCAATTTCTGACAGTACACAGTTGATCATGTTTTACAAACTCGACCACACTAGGTGTTTGACGTTTGGACCCCCTCTACGCTGGGTCTGAGAGACAGAATCGGTCTGTCAAGACCGGCCCAAAATATATCATCAAGACCAGCCAAGGCAAGGCGAAGGAAGAGGCTCAGCATGGCTGACAAAAGAGAGAGATAGGGGCCCCGCCGGGACGTGCATTTCCTTAAGGGATGCGGTGAGTCAGCCCAGGCTCGTCTCTGTGTATTGGAGGTGGGCACGGTGGATACGAGGAGAGACGCTAGTAATCATATACTGTTGGGTATATACTCCACACAAGTCAGGCCGGGATATAAGCAGCTCATGGCTAGTATAAATTTAGTTAGGGGCCAATCCAACTTTACTTGAACCCGCTCTCTTCCACCCTCCGTCCATTGCGGGTTCCTGGCTATATATCGATTTGCCAGCACCGATAACTCAGTGCGATGATGGCTGTGCACCTCTTCCTCTGTCGTGGTATGCCACTCAGAGAATGCAATCCCTGTCTGTTCGGCTCGTGTGCGAGCTAACACCGAGCTTCCTTCCAGCAATTAGAGATTTTGCTCGTGTCCGAAAATATTCGGGGTGGAGAACCAGGCCGACGGTCGAGATGTCCCCTCGACGACCAATGAGATACTTCTCGACACGTTCTTCTCTTCCAATGCGAAACTTTTTCATCGATCGGAGATATCGTCATTAGGTTCTCGCCCGGCGGGGAAAGTCTATATAAAGCGAGCAGAGATGTCGGGGTTTGTGGGGGAAGGGGCCATATTCTTCCACCACATCCTGGTCCAAAGGCCCTGCTCGATATCTATCTATCTATATATATACATATAGCAAAACGAGTCAATCACGAATCATGTCCGCCATCAGAATCCCCAAGGGCTCCATCAACCTCGCCGGCCTGCTCTTCAAGCCGGCCCCCCTGCCCGACAAAAGCAAAGCGCCTGGTCTGGTGGTGATCCACCCAGGCGGCGGTGTGAAGGAGCAGACGGCCAGCACGTACGCGAAACGACTGGCGGAACGGGGTTTCGTCGCCATCTGCTATGACGCCTCGCACCAGGGCGACTCGGAGGGCCTGCCTCACTTTCTCGAAGACCCGGCGGCCCGAGTCACGGATGCCTCTGCGGTGGTTGACTACCTGCAAAGACTCGACTACGTTGACGCGAACCGCATCGCGGTGGTCGGAATCTGCGCCGGCGGCGGCTACGCAGCGGCCGCGGCCAAGGGCGACCACCGCCTCAAAGCCGTCGCCATGGTCAGCGCGGTCAACATCGGCGACGGCGCCCGGTACGGGTGGTACGGGAAGGACCAACCCTCCAGCCACGTCGCCGACCTTGACCAAGTCGCTCAAGCCATCCAGGCCGAAGCCACCCAGGGCGCTGAAGCCGCCAGCGCGCCCTACGTGCCACCAAAGCCCCACGACGACAAGACGCCCGTCGACCTGGCGGACGCGTACGATTACTACTGCACGCCACGGGCGCAGCACAAGAACGCGCAGAACAAGATGCTGCTGCGCTCCGCGCCGCTGGTCCTCAACTTCGATGCGTGGCAGTTCGCCGACCTGTTCTTGACGCAGCCCGTCCTCATTGTCGTGGGCGAGAAGGCCGAGAGTCGGTGGCATTCCGAGAAGATCTACAAGATCCTCGACGGCAAGAATGACAACGTCAAGAAGGTTGTCGTCCCCAACGGGAGGCACATGGACTTCTACGACAAGGACGATTTCGTCAACCCGGCAATCGATAATATTGTCGACTTCTTCAAGCCCCTGAGGGTGTGAGAAGCGACAAGATGTAAGAATACCAGGGGGCCGAGGGACGTTGTGATGAAGTGCCAAGTACCAAGTACTTCCTGATACGACAGGAAGATGTCTGGATCGATTGCCCAGTGCACAAATTGTTCTGTGTTAGAATGCTTCGAACTTGTCTGTGATATAACTCTGAGAAATCAAAATCACAACGACAACAATAAATAACCACGACTGTACTGTGATTTGATCATTGCTTTGTCCTGTACATCTGGAGTGCGATTCTATCCGCCAGCCAGGCAGGTAGGCATTCAATTAGCCAGGAGACCGTATCCTCAAGAAATTCTATTGCGGATGTTTTGATCGTAGCTTGGTTCTGGAGAACACCAGAGCTATCCAGCATTGATTGCACCAAAGTTCCCAAGCTCGATGGACCATTCTGCATAGTGAATCTGTCATGGGCAGGAAAGGATCTCTCTGAATGCTTGTCATTCTATCTCTGAGCGACCCGCGCTCCGGCTATCTGGAGGCACAACGGTGCCAAGGCGCCATCCCTTGGCCAGGCAGTGGCCACGTCGTGGGCAGGTCGTGCCTGCCACAGAATCCCTTCAGAGTCATCGTACCTTTACCTCTGGAGCGTACTCCCGTGGTTGAAGTATTGTCAGTCGAGGTCGACACTACTCACAATAGCCGTCCTCCTCGTTAAGTGATGAGTCCGTTGTGATTGCCCGCGTTTCAAAACCGGCTCGCCGCGTACCCATGGCGGCCGCTCCAATGCCTTCAGTGCCATCTGTCTTATATATATTTAGCCACCAGCCACTCAATGGCTGCTCACCGCGCGCAGCCGCCACGGTCACCGATCGGAAAAGACGTTGTCTAGCTTGGGCAAAGGCAGTGTGGCGGGCTGTGGCAGAAGAGAAGTTTGTTGTGACCAGATACTGGAGCTCTTGGTAGAGTCTGTTCTTGGCAAGGCCCTGAGTCGCAGTCTCGTGTCCTCTTTCGATAAGGCAGATCAACGGAGGGCCTTAAAAAGAGAGCCATGAGCTCCGGGAAATAACGGGCGTCTTCCTGCGCGATCCAATGAACCTTCTGAAACCCTCCGATCTAGAGCCTCGTGAACCAACGACTAAAACAACACGTTTCCATTCAGAGATCTTAGATTGGCTGCCATCCTGCCACCGCGGCCATGGTTAGCTACGTTGACGAGGCCCAGCAGCCTGGCGGCGTGGGCGGCGTTGGCGTCGGGTCCGTTGTTGAAGGCAAGTGACCATTGCGTCGGTGAGCCCTCACGGACGCAATTGAAACGAACTCTTGCTGATAATAACTCGACCGACGCCGCTGTCAACCTCAGTCCGCGCGACGATTAGGGCGGACTCCGTCTACAAGACTGCATCGGTTCCTCTGCAGGGTAGTTACGCTTAGTGTTGGGGGTGGAGGCGTCGGCGGCGGCGCTGGTGCTCGAGGAGCGATAAAGCGGAGGAATGTACCTATATACAAAGCGGAGGAATGCACCTATATATAGGATACGTTTCATAGGTGGTCGGCCAGGCGTTTAACCCAGGGAGTGAGGAAGCCAGAGACGAGCGTAGCCAACAAGAGTCGAGTTACTCGAGGTGGTCGAGGCTACGAATTGTCATGCTCCATTCATCGCGGTCTCTCGCAAGAAACGTCGAGGTGTGCGGCATCCCTTGCGGCACCAGTCCGAGGGTGGCGAGCGTCATTGAAAGAGGAAGGCCTATTGCCAGGAGGTGTGAAAGCCACTTTGGCTGCACTCTGTCCATACTATTCCCGACGTCCTCTTCTCGGACTAGAATTCGTGCCAGTGGCTCTGCATTCACCATGTACTGCTCAAGTCGACTTGCGCTGAGTCTGACGCTGTTTACGGTGATCTGCCGGTGTTCGGGAATGGAGTTGAGCACTTATTCCCACAGCAAAGGCTCGGTTCATCTGTTGATCGTTCCCAGCCGCGCAAACGAGGTAATTAATTCAATCGACGCCCAGCCCATCCCTGTTTGGATCCAGGTTGATGCCACCCTCTAATATGGGGGGGAAACAGGGCTAAAACATCTGGCGCCTTGGCCTGGGCTGTGTGGAACCGATCTTGCTCATCATGGTGGAGACTGGTGGTAACGTGTATATACCAATATCAATGTCACTATATACTGAACGGGAAATCTTGACCTCTTCACAATCCACTTCCGTTGCTCAATGTGGATTGAATCTAAAACTGATGTGCTCATAAGTCATAACCCACGCTCACAGCGCTAGACCGAGTCAACCGCGGCCGACTGGCACTCTCATCGTTCATTTGTGAGTATTTGACCCCTTACGATCCTTCTTCCACTCCTCTTCTTCGCTTCCTCTCTGAAAGCCTGTGATCACGATAGAGTCAGTCTATGACCTTTACCCTAGAACAGCAGCTATGCTGTCCACATACGGGTGATGGCGACTTACCCATAGGCACACCTGGGACGATCCATTCACCACTCGAGATGCCACCGCCCTGTGCTTTGTAGTAGGCCTCGATTTCCTCCTTGTGCTCGGCCAGGTACTTTTTGAAGTCTTCCTCGCTCATAGTGTTTGCTTTCTCCATGAGCTCCCTGCCCTCGTCGATCATTTCCTGCGAGATCGACTTGACTCGTTCTCGGGGAACAAGCGTGTCGCCGGACATGGTCGAATTGGCATCATCTGTGGTGACTTGCTCGGGCTGCTTGGAACCCCGGCGGAAGATCTTGGACAAGAGGTTTGTCTCGGCTTTGGCGCCGTTGTCATGATGATGATGGCTGCCAGAAGACATTTTGATTGTTCTGATCAGAATTGACAAGGGATTGGTGTTTATTTTGAGCAGACTGGAATGGATGAGTTTGGATAGCTGTTTGTCGCTGGGTCTCGTTGTGTAATATTCAGAGCGATGGAATTGTCGTTGATGACCAAGATAGAGACTTCAACGGCCTTCAATTGTGAATCCTTATATACTTTTCTTGGGGAAGAGAAGATACGAGGGAATAAAGTCGCAAAGGTCTCTATCTTCAGGCGCGCTGCGCCATTTAGTGAGGGGTTCCTATTTAAAGATCATGATCGGCGGGGTAGTTCAGTCTACGTATTCGTATTCTCGAGTCAGGTCCAAGCGTCGTCACAATGAACTGGATGATTGGATCGACCGTGATCAGGTCAAGTTATGCTTTTACCGATAGTCCCTCATGCAAAACAAGTGACAGACTGTTCCAAGGTTGTCTCTATCATACCAGAGCATAGGTACCAAGGCCCTAACTGGGTAGCGTAATCGCCAAGTGCGCTGGGCTTCGGTTACCTCGCCTCAGGCTCCTCTTTTGTCGCCAAGAGCTGGATAATACCACGCAGTGCACGCACTAGTACTAGCTCAGCCTCGGCAAAATTTCTTGGGTGCGGAGAAGTCGGCATTTGTGGGCTTCAACCTCGTCCGCTGCCCAATTTCCATCGCAGTATTTTTTCTTTTAGTAGCAGTACTCCCAGCAGGGGAAAAAAGACGCAACAGACCCAAGCATGGACACCAGTATGGGGGAAGCCGAGACGCATGTGTCGATACCGGCGTCGAATATCGTGGATCATGCACGAACAAAAGCGGAAAAATTGTACGTCTTTTTGCCTTTTCGTCCTCCCGGTGCCTTTCACGATCACGCCGCTCCTATGGTTCGACCTGTACTGACACATTGTTCACACCAGACCGACGACAGTCGAGAAGCCTACTCCGTACACGTACGAGCTAGGCTACCTGACAGCGATCGACCCTAATCCTCTGCCTGCGACGTCGCAACTCCTCTCTCAGTCGCTGTCCGAGCGGAACGAGTCGCTACGACAGATCGCCCGCGACGGCGCCCAATCGCTCCTGAACACGCTACTCACAACCTGTCCGATCCAGTCGACACCGGAAGGGCTCATAATGACCCTGCCGGCGCCGCAGCACTACCTGCCTCGATGGAAGCCCCTCCCCAAGCCGAAACCGCCCACCAAGTGGGAACTGTTCGCGCGCAAAAAGGGCATCGGCAAGTACGGGGGCAGCCTGAAAGGCGGGGCCGCGCAGGAGGAGAGGCGCAAGAATTTGGTGTATGACGAAGAGAGCGGCGAGTGGGTCAAGAAATGGGGTTACAAGGGACGGAACAAGAAGGACGAATCAGACTGGCTTGTCGAGTTGGATGACGAGGCCGTGAAAAAGGAGAAAACTGGCGCTGACGGCGGCGACGGTAGGACTATCAGAGGCGAAGGGAGGAGGGAGAGGATGGAGAGGATCAAGAGGCAGGACAGGCGCCAGAGGAACAATGAGCGGAGAAGTCGAAAGGGCGGGAAGATGGGGTGATCCCACGGCCAGCTAACAAGACACATTCAACGATTGCCAACTGCTCTATTACTTGGTAAAAACATTCTCATCTTGGGCCAGAAGGCTGCGTCTACCAACCAGCAAGTCAGCTAGTTAACGGCTGCATCAAACGGCTTCTGAAATGGCAGGTGTCGGTGCTGCCATTCGTCCGTTCAGCAGCTCGAACGAATACTTGACACGGGAAGCTCGGGATGGTCGAGTGGCGATGTGGCAGAAGAGGACCGACTGACTGAGGCAAGACGATCATGAAAGATCTTCAGCTCGCTGGAGGAAATGTGTTTGCGAAAGGTCAGGTCGTCAACGGCGCGTACAGGAACATGTCACGAAGATAACGAAATGTGCTAGAAGTGATGGAATTTGACGAGATCTGACAGTAGACATCATCTCCAGCCACTCTCTGCATTCGACTCAAGTGCATTACAAATCTATAGCTTCAAATGTCACTTTGTCTCCTCCTATTCGACCTCGTCGGCGCTTTCCCACCATGTCCAGTCCCGAATCTTACATACACCTAGTCATACAAACAGAGCTGCACTCTGCATCATTCTCTTGCATTCTCTGCCTGGGTTATACCATTCCCCTCATGAATCTTCATCAATGTGTTTTGAGGCGAAAGCCAGAAGAGAACCACAGTGCAATGCAATCACCACAAAACAGCAATGCTAAGTAGAAATCAGGTCGATAAATAATACAAGATATGTCCTAGAGCCTTTCAGTGCCAAACAAACATCATAGGCAGGCGTATCCAAGCAGAGCATCAAAAGGAAAAGAGATATGCTTTAGTCCATAAGGTGTCACCAGGTGCGGTCCGAAAACTCACAAGGCCGACGATATGTATCCAAATGACATCACATTCTGATGGGAGAGAGCCCTGTCAGCTCGGGTAATTTTTGGTCAAGCGACAGTTTTGGAGGCTCCGGCGTCACCATCCGTGGTACAGCGGGTGCCGACTGGCTAGGCGCATGCGCACTGTTAGATCTGTCTCGAGCACTTCCACCTTGAGACAGGCTTCTCTGTTGTGTCCTGGGCGCCATTGACTTGCGCTGTGCCGCTGCGTCTGCCGTTCGAGGAGGGACGGGCTGCTGTGTAGAAGCCTGTGGAGCATTTGATGGTTGTTGCGGCGGTGGTGGCGGTTGTTGCTGTTGTTGACTGCTGCCACTGGAAGAGATGGCCCTCTCATCGATGGCCAGGTCCTCACTTTCATTGATCGAACCTTCCCGCTCGTACCGATATTCTTCTTCCAGGTACTCCTTTTCAGTCCAGCAGCCCTGCCAGCAATTCTTCCAGTCCATGACTAGAAATTGAAAACAAAAGGCATCGATCTTCAGGCAAGGCTGAAAGCAAATGCACAGGTTTCGATAGTCCATTTTGTTCCTCTCTGCATAGCTGTTGAGTAGACTGAGGTGGCACGTGATGGCGAATAACAGGTAGTAGTTGAAAGGCGGCAAACGCGACAGTTCGTCTTTCAGTAACTGAGGCGCCGAAGTAGCCCCAGCGCACTGGGTAGCAATTTTGTTTTGGACGGCTTTGGGAAGGATCTCGTCAGGCAATTCTCGCAACCAAGATTTGAACATTGACCCGATGGTGTTTATATCATACAGTTCGGGTTCGTCAAAGAGGTTAATATCGTATTCGGTGTCGAAGCGCCGCTGCCAGTGTTTCACATCTCTGTTACTGCCAGGTATCCGATACAGGCCTTCTTCTTCAGCACCATTCATATTGAGGTAGCTGCACAAATGTTTAGTACGAGGAACAGAAGACTGAGAGGGATCAACATACTCAATACAACGCCATGGCAAGGCCGGCATCCAGAATTCGGTCTTATCCTTGGATGACTCCAGACGTCGTGCTATCCTGGTCTTCCGGGTTTGCTTAACAAGTGGAAGGTTGATTGTCGTGCATACGTAATTGTCATCCGTGACCGTCAAAGGTTCGCGCTCGTTACTGCTCCCACTCCTGGTAATCTTGCCAAAAAAGCCCTTGCCGGCCTTGCCAATGCGGTCTCCCACACCTTTGCCAGTCTGCCCAAGGTTCGATAAAATTTGAAGGGTTGAGCCCTCTCGGAAGGAATGGGACGCGGGTATGTTTCCAGCCTGCCGATCTCTCTTCACTGATTGCGAGTCGTCACGGGTTTGTCGATCTACTGAGCGGTTTCGGACGGTTGCACCGCTCTCCAGGCCAAATGCCCTATCTCGGTGGTCGAATTTGATGGGTGCAGTCCTTGGAGATGTGTCGGCGTGGTCATTGCCGGCATTAGAGGTGTCCAGTTGCAGATGACTTGGCGGCGGATGCTTCTGCTTGGGTGTTGTTTCCTCCATTTTCACGGTCTTGGTCCTTGTGAGAATGCCACCAAACTTCGACTTTGTCTTTTTGGCCGCTGGTACAGGCTCCAGAGCGGGCTGAGAAGGGATCGGCTCCGACGAGACTGGAAGCTCGTTCTCATTGCTGGAGCCATTGCTTGGGCCATTGCTTGATACAGCCTTCGGCAATTCTGGAGTTGACCCTTGCTTCTTCACCGAGTGGAGAGACCTCTCTTTTGAACTAGCCCGACTCCTTGCGTTCGGCTTTTCTCCGTTCTCTGCAATGCTAGTTTCCGAAGCATGCAGTTTGTGGGATGATTTCGAAGCCATCAGGTTGGAGAAGAAGCCCTTGGACGGATCTCGGGCATGCTTTGGTGATTGAGGAACAGGTGAAGGAGGAAATTCGGGCATTGCTGTTATCCGGGGAGAGCTGGGTCCCGTGCGGGAGCCATCGTTTCGACTGTCTTGAGATACAGACACCTGATGCGACATGAAAGAGGGTGGAGGGCCGGCTTGCAGATATGGGGAGGTCGGCGCTGATCGTGGAGTGTGAGGAGAGCCCGTCGAGCGAGGGCTCAGCGTCGCGGGGGTCAGACCATTAAGATCCTCATTGTTGTCAGGAGCCAAGTTCAGATGGAGCAAAGCCGGGGCTTTTGGCATATCTGCAGCTCCCTAGAATGACATTCACAGGGCCGACTGCAGGTAGCCGGCCGTAGTTTTGCAGTAGGACAAAGCAGCAGCTGGCGCCAGATGACCGGGACCTGTTATGTTCTCCGTCGGATATATTGACTCTCTGTACCACCTCTTTTGCGACGACAGATAGACCTCTGACAGTTATGGAACAACCTTGACGTTAGGCACAAGAGCTATTGACGTGCAAGCGTAAATGAATTGGAAGCGCGTAGGGTTTGCTGGCTTTGTGAGGCGTTTCCAGTGTTGGATCCAAAGCCACGTATTCGAATTTCTGTGGGCTCGCAGCCAGTTGTCGGCAAGCAATTTGTGCCCCGTAAGCCCGTGGTGACAAGTATTCTGTTCGCTATCCAACAAATATTCCGTAACAGAAGCACCCGGCTTTTGATTTGTAGAATTCGAATGGGAATTGGTACAGGGGAATGGTGAGCTCAGGGTGCCTCTGCAGCCGCGTTCAAGGGTCCGATTCAACTGAGGGATACACTCCTCATCGGACAGCTCTTCATTGCCAGGCGTGCTCGTGTGACAGGCTGACTGCCAGTGTCGCTGAGTGGCTTGCAAGTAGGGCGGCTAACAAAGGAGGAGTCGAGGAGGATCGCAGCAGCGACGGCAATGGATTATCAAGACGAGCACAGGGAAAAACTAAAGGGCTAAAAGAGCACGAAGAACCAAGCCCCAAAGAACTTCGACCAACAGGCTATAAGCGTATAAGAGTGAAGGATTGGTGTGGTTTAAGGAGGGATGGTGCTCTCGCTGTGGTGTGGGATGGATGGTGGTGTGCAGACAAAACCGCAAGGGCCGACGAACGCAAGACACGACACGACTGGACTGTGCCACTCCTGGACTGGTGCCAGGTGGGTGGAGGAGACGGAACCAAGCGGTGAGAAGGAATGAGGGGACCAGCCTGTAGACGACTGGAGGGGCCAGGAACAGGAATCGGAGGACAAGGGGCGTTAGGGCCTGATTGTCTGGTTTCCTGGTGGTTGTTTTTTTTCTTCCTCCTTCGAGGTTGGAGTTGTCGCAGCAGGCGAGTACGAGTAATCACTTGAGGTGTGTTTGGTGCTGGTGCTGGTGCTGGTCAGCGTGATACTACTACGAAATACATAGGCTACGTTATTATTTGGTCGATGGACAGGCAAAGAAAAGAGGATAACACCAAAGCCAACACCAAGAAGATGCTGCGACTGCGACGCCCTGCAGCGCCGTTGCGAGAAGGATCCGTAAACCCTCTGAGTGCCCGTCTAGCGCGCCAGAGGATGATTTTCACGGTTTCCCTACTACTGCATGCTTTCCTTTTGGCGATTTGGTGTACCGAGTTGAATCGAGTTAAAAGAGCTAGCGTGTGCATAACGCAAGCACCCTGTGTGGGGGGATGAGTAGCTGATGCACAGCTGCATCCTGTCACACGGACTTTACGGGACTTGTTAGTGGGCTTATCCTTGACACGATGGTGGACGATGGGGACACACAGGGACAGATGGCGACTTCAAACACGGCATCAGGTGGTGGTGAAGCAGGCACTCGCTTCGGTGCCATGTTTGGGCGTCTCCCAGGGCGTCTCTGGCGCCGATAAACTGAGGTTCGGTGCCCACCATCTGGGTTTCACCGGCAAAGTTACTTGCAGGTGGACCTGCGAGGGGGGGCCACTAGTGAGGTTTTAAGGTCCTGATGGCCTGGCCCGTGAAAGTGGACGGCCCCCTTGAGCAGTGAGCACCCCTCCGAGGCACCCCAAGTGCCCGACAGTCGCCAGGGGCATAGAGACATGCAGGCGGCTGGAGCCGGGGTGCACCGCGAGTCAATGAGGTAAAGCCCGGAAGCTAGACGTGCAGGAACAGAGATGAAATCCGACAACAGGGCTTGCAATGTGTGAGATCTGGTCTAACTGCGAAGGACCAAGAAGAAAAGAGGTTGTCAATCAACCTCAGTACCTAGAAAGCGAGGAATTTCAAGTCTCCTGCTCGCTCGCTGGTGCCTACCTACCTAGGTATGTATGTAGGGCACAAATTTTGTTCTTCGGTCAGCGGTTATCATACAGGTACTATGTACCGAGTACAGCGAGTTCTTCCATACCTAGCTACCTACTAATGGTGCCTGATGTGCCTGAGATGAAAACTCTATGCCTGGCAACGCCAAGCAGATCAGCAGATCGAGTGCAGCTTACATGCGCCCTCTCCTATTAATCATCCCGGTGAACCCCTTGCGCTTCTTCATCTATTGCGATCATCATCAATTAAATCAACCAACGTGTTCAGGCTTTGTCCCATTCTCCACCTCCATTACAGCAATATCCAATTGGTCCGCAAAAACGAAGAAAAATGTCACTCGTTGCAGGACCTGGGATAGGAGGATCACACTCAACCTTGCCGACAGACCTCAGCCTGGTGGTGGAAAAGCATGTCAAATACATCCAACTGCTGGATACTGTGCGTCCATGTGAGTGCTTTACACTGCTCAGGGTATTGATATTTGTGCCAGCGAAAAGATGAACTCGACTACTGGTTGACCGAACACCTCAGATTGAATGGTGTGTATTGGGGTCTGACGGCACTTCATCTCCTGGGCCATCCAGATGCTCTACCTCGTGACAAAACCCTCCAGTTCGTCTTTGCTTGCCAGAATCCGGATGGAGGGTTTGGTGCTGCTCCTGGCCATGATTCCCATATGCTGTACACCGTCAGCGCCGTCCAGATTCTTGCCACAATCAATGCGCTGGACGACTTGGAGGGGTCGGAAAGAGGAGGAAAGGAGCGAATAGCAAAATGTAAGCGATCTCGCATCCTGCCCAGTTCAGACTGGAATTGCTGATGACCCCTGCGTAGACATCGCAAACCTTCAGGACGCCGACACAGGTACTTTTGCCGGAGATGAGTGGGGTGAGACGGACACGCGGTTCCTATATGGCGCCTTCAACGCCCTCTCCATTCTAGACATGATGCACCTCGTGAACGTGGACAAGGCCGTTTCCCACATTCAGGCGTGTGCAAATTTTGATGGAGGATTCGGCCGTTCGCCCGGGGCCGAGTCTCATTCCGGCCAAATCTTCACTTGCCTTGGGGCTTTAACCATCGCTCGCCGTCTGGACATTGTGGATCATGATCGGCTGGCTGCTTGGTTAAGTGAGAGACAACTTCCCAACGGTGGGCTTAATGGTCGCCCAGAAAAACTTGAAGATGTATGCTACAGCTGGTGGGTTCTCAGCAGTATCGCAATGTTGGGAAAACTGCACTGGATTGATGCTACAGAGTTGACCCATTTTATCCTGAGATGTCAAGACACCGACGAAGGCGGATTTGCCGACAGACCCGGCGATATGGTGGATGTATTCCACACTGTGTTTGGTCTGGCAGGTTTGAGCTTGTTGGGCTATGCGGGCCTCGTCGAGGTCGACCCCGTGTAGTAAGTTTTCAGAGCAAGAGCCTTCTCCTATACCGGACTAATTGACCCCTTTCAGTTGCATGCCCCGAGCAGTCACCCAAGCCTTGCCATACTGGCGAAAATGACGACCATAACGTCGCTCAGGAAATTCCTCTTGCAATCTAATAACCCACTTGAGTTGGCACTTGAAAGATGGGATACAAGGCAAGAGAAGAGCAGTGGTTCACCATGGCCTATATCCGCTTCATCACTCCACTATCCTTGCTTGAGAGGAAGTATAGACCTGGTGGCACAATTTCAGGACGTTTCATCGTCATGGAAGTTGTGCAGACGGAATATCTGTCTGCGTGTTGAACAATCGGCTAGGTCTGAAAGTCGCATCTCCCAAGTACCGCAGCCAGCTTCCCATGGTGATTAATAGACCCAAGATGCTTGCTACCGTAGCTGGGGACCTCTTGCCTTCCTGACCAGGCGACGAAATGGTGGGTGGGTGGGTGGTTGGTTGGAGTTTCCTCTTTCTGAAATGTGCTGCACGAACTTCTACCCTTTCTCTCTCCCTTCTTCCCTCCTCCCTCCTCCCTCCTCCATCCAATGCACCTCTTGCTTCCTCACGCCTCCACCACTCCCCTGCTGGGCCACTTCTCTCCATGCATTGTGCTCCCTTCTCTCTTGCTTGTTCATCCATTCATCTTGTTCAGAGTGCAGGAGGGCGATTCCTTTCCCCCGCATTTTGTCTGTTTCTTCAGGCTGTTGCAGTGTTGTTCTTGTGGCTCCGAATCTGCTTCACTATTTCCTTGCGTCCCTGCTCCCCCTTCTCCCAGCAGCCACATGCCCCATCATGGCTGTAGCCTTGCTGAACTGCAGCATCTGTCCAGGCCAACCTTCCTTCAGTGATACCTCTCACTTACTCACTCACATCAGTTCCAAGGGACACCTATCCGAGTTTCACAAACTCCAGGTACGGAGCTACCAGGACATTGCTGCGGGTGTGGAACTGGCCACGTACAGCCACTGGTATCAACAGCACAACATTGACAGACTGCTCTCGGAGCGAATGCAAATGAAAGAGAACAAACAGGCAAAAAAGAGAAGAGTTTCTGTCGCGGCACGGAACGCATGCGTACCACAGCCGGGAATATTCGACCATGCACAATTGAATCCACCTTTGCCTCCAAAACGACCAGGGAGACCAAAGACGCAGACCCAGACCCAGACCCAGACCCAGACACACTATCCAACCCAGAGGAGAAGCACTCGAGGCAAACAGGCAAGACGAGCTGTCGACGACACTGACTCGGACTTCAGTCCTGTCAAACCTTCTAGGTAGGCATCTCTCCTGTAGATAGATCTTGCGGAAACTGACCAAGTACACCAGACGCAGGACAAGTCGAGTTCAAGGCTACTCCCCCGTCAAGCGGTCTCCATCCTCTGACGATGCCTACCCCTCCCACGATGACTGTCTGGTTGGAGGCGAGCCGTCAGGTCCGATTCTTGCCACACCAGAACATATGAAGCTGAAGGGAACCGTCTGGCCAGGCATGGATCTCTTTGATGCTGCTACGCAGGAGATGCAGCAGAAACGGAATCAAAAGAAAGACGCTTCCGTTCTGAGGCATATGGAGAGACTCGCCGCCTTGGTCGAACCCACCGAGGTCGTGTATTCACCTCGCGGCAACAGCATCCTGAAAGCGAGACACATTGATGACCTTGAAGATGAAAGCAGTTTGGTGGAAGGAGAAAGTCCTGTTCCGAAAGCCAAGCAGCCCCCTCGCCCTCGCAAGAGAAGGCCACTTGCAGAGAGAGACGTCAATGCTCCTCGGCTGGTGAAACGCAAGGTCAAAGCTGGAGCGCCAAAGAAATATGCTGATCTTCCGTTCGCTCAGGGTTTACCTCCCCTTCCACACCTGCCCAGCTCATCCACTGGTGACTCCTATGGGTTGGGTTCTCGCTATTTCCCGACAGAAGATGACGATGAGGACGTCAAACCGTCCATTCAAGCTGTCGAGCCTCGCAAACGGCCTCCTCCGTTCGAGGTCTTCGCCGACGGAAGCCCCACCTATCACGGAAGCATGTCGAGGAGCGCACATCGGAATCCTCTTCAGCCTGGAACTCGAGGCTATGGAAACGCGACTTTCCAGCAACTGCCCAAGGTTTCCGCGTCCTGGCTTCAACCACAGTATCAGTCGGCGCTACAATTTACTGACCCTTATGCATCCTACCGACCTGTAGTCCAAGAGTATCAAGCATTCTACGAAACACACATTGATGATGAGAATATGCTACCATTGGCTGGACCGCCCGCCGCCTTCCGTGGAGGAGGCACCAACCCTTTGGCTTGGAAGTCTCCTGTTCGACCACCGACCGAGCCTGGACTTCCTCCATCTGACTCTCCCTTTGGCAATTTCTTTGCCCTGTTCCAGGGTGGATCACCGGGCGATGACCCGTTCGTGACGACCAAGAATCCTCTGGCAGCAGCGTTGCCACACTTGGAAAGCGAGCAACATCATATTCTGGTCAAGGAGAAGGCAACGCAACTAGCAAATGGCGGAACTTCAAATGACACCGAAGTCTAGCGAAGAAGCAGATATGACCCCTTTTCTAAGGGCCACGTAACAGCCTGCCACCGGTTCTGCAGAAAATGATCTTGGTCTTCTTTTGGTGCCAACAACTCAATCAGCGAAACAGAATATTTGCGGCATAGGTAGCACGAAATGGCCCACACTCTTTTGGAAGCTCTACCGAATCTCGCGTATCAATTGCGTTGGAACACAGACTATGTCAAAGGGAGTTCGAAAATGGTGGCCCGGGAGATAGATGAGTTATGAGATATTGGAGGTAAAACTCTTGATGGTGCATGAGTTTGATATGTGCAGCGGCGGCATAGATATTCTATAAGTTTGCAGCCGCTGGGGGCCGCCCTTTTTTCTTTTTAGAAACGCAACGTCAATCTTACATTGCATTAATAAAGAAAGACTCGATTGATAGTGCCGCACCACTATTGACCCGACACGTCCCTAGAGATTTGGAAGTGGCTTTTGAGTCCTGGGAAGCGCCAATATCCAAGGCATGTTGCTTCAATTGTCGCGTTTGTCCTACTGGTTCGTCGCCGGCTCCCTCTCCTGTAGCCTCTTTCTTATCTCGGTACTGCTGATTTTAGTTTCAAACCCCTTCTTTTGTTCTTCCTTCCCTCCCCCGCCCTCGTCATCGTCTAGTCCCACGCCTGCATCCAAGACATCGACCTCGAAAACTTGCAGTGCTCTCCAGCCCTTTTCTGTCCGTTTGTCGTTGACGGCCTTTCCGCCACTGCGCGTCTCGGCAGAAATTACCAGCGCGGTGATATCCCGGTCCGTGATGGTGGGCCCGAACGGGTCGGAGATCTGGGTGTAATTTATCGTGATGTCTGCCGTGTTATTGTCGCTTGCGATGGTTGTAGTTGGGCAGCTAGAGCTGGGGAAGTGGTATTTGACACGGACGACTTTGCCATTTGGGCCGGGCTCGTCGATATACTCGGTAGTAGTTGAGGGACTGTCGTTGGTGGCTGTAGTAGTTGGGTTTGTGCTTGACGATTTGCGGGGGTAGAATGCCAGAATGGAGTCGATGAACTGCGCAGTACGTTGTTGTCGGACATCCCAGTGTTCGACATGGGAGCCATACTTTTTGTTAACGAGCAGTTCGTCCCCGGTGATACCGACCGTGATCAAGCGAGAGTCTTTCTCGGTGGGTCTGGAGGATTGAGCTGGCTCGGCGGTCAGAATCGTGGCGGTTAGGAGAAGTTTGTGTCCAATGTGCAAGTGGTCAAATGTACCCCCTACAGCGACGGAACGGTGGATTATAAGCGGTCCGTCTTCAACAGTCGCTTCTGAGGGTTCAGGATGCACAATGGTTGGACCACTCTGGAGGCGGTGGATGGGTGGTAGTGGCGGAGGGTTGGACTTGGAGTTCCAGATTCTGATCAATTGCTGGAGGGAAGCTTCTTGAGCCTCGCCCTCGACGGAATATAGAGCCGTGTAAGATCGGTCGGAGAGGGCAAATGTCTTGAGGTCGATTATCGGGCCAGACAGGCATTGCTTGCCGACGATATTCTCGGGGAGTTCATCCAGCCGAGCTTCCAAGATGAATATCCTCGCGTCGATACCGCCGGGAAAATCGAGGTCGATCTCCTTCTGAGCGGCGACGGAGCAAATGAGGCTGTACGTTTTCTTTAAGAGGGTTTGAACGAGGGGGAAGACGGTGGCGCGTGAAGTGTTAGTGCTCAAGGGGTAAGAAGGGGACGACAAGACCAGACCAATGTCTACACGAGAGGTGGACTCTTTGTCGGCGGGGACAAGCTTGGGGAGTAGGGACTCAAATGTGATTTTATAGGCCGATCTGAATGAAGATGACGGAGAGGAGGGAGCCAGAGCAGGCAGGAGAAGGAGGGAGATGCCCTGCGCCATTGTTCATAGACCTAGAGATTGAGAGAGGAGGACGCAATGTATGACAAGGGAATGTTCTGTGTAATAAGCTGTCGTCTTCTTATAGCATCGTCACCTAGGTATTAATTAAGGAGTATGGGTGTGTTGTTAGAATACCGAGGTGAGTCGATAGCCTGAGGTTGGGTCCCGCCCAATGGCTATTCAGACTGCCAGACCGTCCCTCGTCCCCCTCCTGCGTCTTTGCCGCCGAGGCCGCCCCTCCATTGCTTGCATTGCCCAACTTGAAACTCGCGCTTAAGCGGCTGACAAGGGGAAGCCCGAAGCCCGGAGCCCGAATGTGGCCCGGGCCCTGGACCAACACACGCTGCCGCCCTAGGCCCTTACGCCCTTGACGCCCTTTCTGGGTGACAGCCTGACAGGTAGTGAGTGACTGGACTGATTCTCACTGCGCACCAGAAACACACAAAGTTTGGTCCGCATGTGCTGAGAGTCTTCTCCTCAACTACTAGTAGCATGCCATTCCACATCCCGCACCACCAGCACCACCTCTCCGACCCTCAGTTCACTCACGACAACTACTACGGCGCCGTCAATGCCATTTACTCTGCTGGCCAGACTGTGACCTCTGTCGGTGCCCCAAACCCTCACCCTCACCCTCACCCTCATCCTCAGTACTTGGACAACAACCACCCCCCCAATCCGCCCACCACGGCGCCCGAATCCAGATCCTACCTCCCTCAGTCCCTCCCTCAGTCCCAGCCAAACACCAATGGCAACGGTACCGTGATCCCGTACCGTCCTGGCCCTCCTCCCTCCGCCTATACGAGTGTGCAAGAGGCCCAGCCTGGCCAATATCAGCCAGGTCTGAGGCGGTCTCTGACCATCGGTCGCCAACAGGCCGACGAGTTGCATTTGAACCAGCAGGGAACGGCCATGAGCGACGTCCACCACTATGGTGCACCGCCAGCATACACAGGGGAAGGACTGTCCATCAAGATCGAGCCCTCTACACCTCAGCATCCTAGCACCGTCGCCAGTCAGCCTGTCCCAGGCACACTGCAACCGGGCCTTGCGAGCAGACCTGCGACTCTAGCGGCCAGCAACACCGCTCCAACTCTACCTACTTTACCTCAGATATCCACTCAGATCCAACAGCAGCAGCAACAACAGCAGCAGCCTCCTCTTTCCGCGAGACCAACAACGCTGAATCACACTCACTCCTACTCTCGGTCCAGCCCCGGCGCCATGGACCAACCCAAATACAAACCCTTTACAGATACTCCTGATCAGAGCAAATATCCATCCGCCCCAAACTCATACGTCCCGCAGACTCCTCAAGGACCACCCTCATATTCTCCTCTCGGTCTGGCAGACATCAGACCGAGGACAGACCCGACTTTCACGGATATACCCTTCAGTCCGGGGGTGGCGCAGGAGAACGAGATTGTACAGTATCCCCAAAATAGCAATTATATCGCGCCTTGGCCTATCTACGCGGTCGATTGGTGTAAGTGGCCTCCGCGGTCCAGCAACGGTTCGGCGGGCAAAGTGGCCCTTGGCAGCTATCTGGAAGACAATCACAATTATGTGAGTATTGGCCATTTTCTAGAAAGATGTCTGGGACACGAGGCTGATATTCTGTGGGCAGATTCAAATATTGGACACTCAAAGATCGCAAATAGATCCCGACAACCCCCACGGCGAGCGAGGGTTGGAGTTCATCAAAACCGCAGAAGCTACCCATGCATATCCCGTGACCAGGATATTATGGGAACCACCTTCATCGAATAAGCAGACAACAGATCTATTAGCAACGTCCGGCGACCACCTTCGATTGTGGTCTCTGCCGAACGACCAACATTCGTATGCATCGAACTCGGTCACACGGTCAGCAACCAACAAAACTCCTCCGTTACAAAAGCTGTCACCACTTGCCTTGCTATCTAATTCGAAATCGCCCGAGCACACTGCCCCCATCACGTCGCTAGATTGGAATGTGGTCCAGCCATCGTTGATTATCACATCGTCGATCGACACTACCTGTACCATCTGGGACATCCCTACGCTTACAGCCAAGACGCAGCTCATCGCGCACGACAAGGAAGTCTACGATGTGCGGTTTTGTGCCAACAGCGTGGACGTGTTTGTCTCGTGTGGCGCGGATGGAAGTGTCAGGATGTTCGATCTCAGAAGTCTCGAACACAGCACGATCATATATGAGCCGTCAGAGAAGCAGCAGCAAGAGAAGAACTGTAAGTCCTAAGCGTGTGTCACCCGTGCCTCGATCATGCTAATATCCGCAAAGCACAACTGACCGATCTCTCCACCTCACCAACACGAGCCTCTGGTTCGGGCGGCTTATCAACACTCTCTTTCCCACCTCCCTTACTCCGCATCGCGGCTTCTCCCCACGATGCTCACTTGCTCGCCACATTTAGCCAAGACTCGAATATCATTCGTGTTTTGGACGTTCGACAGCCCGGCCAGGCCTTACTTGAATTGAAAGGGCACGCCGCCGCCGTCAACTGCATCGATTGGAGCAATTCGCAACGCGGCGTACTGGCCTCTGGTGCAGATGATTGTTGTGTGTTGCTTTGGGATTTGATGGGCTCGAGTGCGTCAACCGGACAGAATAATGCACCAGGTGGCGTGACGAACAACAGTGGCGGAGGACAGGGACAGGGACAAGAAAGAGGCCCATCGGCGGTGTGGGAGTCCAAGTTTGAAGTGGGCAATTTGAGCTGGGCTCCCACGGCGGGAACTCTAGGGGTGTGTGGTGGACGAGGATTTTGGGGTGTGCAGTTATGATGGATGAATTCCCTTGTTCATGAGGCTGGCTATATCTGAAAATCGGGGGTTCTTGGAAGCACATACATGGGCGTTTCTCCCAATGGAACGAGCCGAGGATATTATGAGCCTGAGATGGGGAGGAGACGAGACATGACGGCCAGGATGCTTCAGCTTTAGGGGGTAGATGAGACCATGCCCGCCTGTTCTGTTTGAGTGGAAATGCTGATGAGAAAAGTCATGTGTGGGATAGATCGATGTGTTGAAGCCTAACTACCTACCTAGGTAGGTACCTAGTAAGATGAGAAATGTCTGAACAGAGTTTTGAAGAGAGAAAAATTCGATAAAAACCACTTAGCCAGAGAGGCCATGGAGCCATACAAGGAGCGCAAGGGAGGGAGGGAGGGAGGCGTCTTTTTTTTCTCTCCACACAGACAGCTCGCCTCCTTTTGAATTCTGACCTGACTCGCTTGAGCTGGAGCCCTTTGGGAGTTGGGAGGAGAACAGAGCCGGGACCCGGGACTGGAGGGGACACAAGTCGAATGAATGGCAATTGCCATATGAAGGCCATAAAAAGAAAAGCATACATACCTAGGTATGCTTCGCGGACCATGGTTTTGCCAAACAACGTGGTTTTTTTCTTTTCTTTTTTTTTTGCGGTTTGGCCAGTTTCTAGCTCTATAAGGTGTCTAGGTAGATCAACTGTCTAAGGTACCTACCTAGTGTATGGATTTGTTTTTGTTATGGCAGAATACCCAAAGCACCAAGACCACCCTTTCGCCGACCCTGGACGGTTGACGCGCACTCATGCCATTCATCCCAATGCATATCCATGCAATGCAAGAGAGACAAGCAGGACTGGGGCACAAATAAAGCCTGACATGACAAGAAGTTTCGCCGTTGATATGCCCTTTCTTTTCGTTTCTTTTCCTTGTTTTCGTGATTGATTGGCCACAACCATCCCCAAGTCAATGTAGGTATGATAGGAGCTAATGTCACATGAAGCCTCAGGACGAACTTTGGCTAGCTCCTCTCTCTCTGTGTTTGTATGTGTGTGGGTGTCCCTTCCGCGCTCTCAGTTTGCCTTCATCTTGCCATTTGCCACGACCCCATTGCCTTGCCCTTTCAACCCACTGCTTCCACCCGAGATACTAGCCCGTCTCCGCCGTTCGGATTTGGAATTGACATAGACGGCCCTCTCGATCGCCTTGAGGACCTCGTCAATCAAAATTACAGGCGCCGAGATCCACAGCACGGCCATCCACTCGTCCCACCCCAAAGCTTCAATGGAGAAGACCCCCTGCAATATCGGGATATATAGAATGGCAAAGTGGAGAATCATCGAGAGACAAATCGCGTAGATGAGCTTCATGTTTTTCCAGAGCGGGAGTTGCACAAGGCTTTCCGAAGAGCTGAGGGCGTTCATTGCATTGAACATCTCAATCACAACCAGAATGGAGAGGGAGACTGTCGAGGCAGTGCGTGTCGGGATCGACGATGGGGAAAAGATGGCGCAGTCGACGTTGTCGAAGATGGCGTTTGTTGACGAGCACTTGTGGAAGCTCCGAAGCTGAGTGAAGCTGATTTGCGGGCCGGAGGGATAGAGCATGAACCACCACACGTAGCCAAAGACAGTGGCGGCGCCCACGTACGTGCCAATAACCATATATCGGAAGAACAGCCACCCCGAGACGAGCGGCTCATCGCGCTTTCGCGGGGTCCGGCGCATCACGTCGTGGTCAGCCGGATTGAATGAGAGGGCTGTCGCCGGAAGACCGTCCGTGACCAGATTCACCCAGAGAAGTTGGACTGGGATCAATGCTTCCGGTAAGCCCAGAGCTGCGGTCAGGAATATCGAGACGACTTCGCCAATGTTGGACGAGATGAGATACCGGATGAACTGCTGGGTGTTGCTGTAAATGGTGCGGCCTTCCTCAATGGCGAGTTCGATTGTGGCAAAGTTGTCGTCCGCAAGCACCATGTCAGCGGCCAATTTGGCGACGTCCGTGCCAGAGCCCATGGCCACTCCAATGTCAGACTTCTTCAGTGCAGGGGCGTCATTCACGCCGTCACCTGTCATGGCCACTACTTCGCCAGCTTCCTGCAAGAGATCGACAAGCTTTGACTTGTGACTGGGCTCGACGCGGGAGAATAGAGACGCTGTCTTGGCGGCTTCGAGCTTTTCGCTTTCCGTGAGGGAGTCAAACTGTCGGCCGGTGAAGCTCTTGCCGACGAGATCTTCGTCTTGTTGGAATACGCCGATATGTTTGCAGATGGTCTCAGCGGTGTTCTGATTGTCACCGGTTATGACAATCACCCGAATCCCGGCTTCTCTGCACTTCATAATCGACTGAGCCACTTCTGGTCGAGGCGGGTCGAGCATGCCGACAAGTCCGATCAAGGTCATGTTCTGCTCCAACTCAGCATACGCTTTGTTGCTCTTCGCTGTTTGCAGAAGCTTGTTTCCGCCGATGTTTTCCACGCTGGCCAGTGCTAGCACGCGAAGGCCACGCCGTCCATATGCAACGAGCTCTTGAGCGAGGAGGGCCTGATGCCGCTTGTTGATAGGGGCTTTCTTGCCGTTTGACCCCAAAATGACATGAGAGCAGCGTTCGATGATCGATTCGGGGGCACCCTTAACAAGAAGCTTTTGGGCCAGGCCAGTTCCAGCTAGGACAGACATGCTTTTTCGATCTCTCGAGAACTCATACATTGCCTGGAGAGGAAGCTTTTCCTCATAGTACTTGCTGGCGAAGTATACTCGCTCAGCACCGGACAAATTGGCTCGAGTTTTGTTGATCGCCGCATCATCAGTGCCAATCTTCTCAACCAGGACGCGGAGGGCTCCTTCGGTAGGTTCTCCAATGCTGGCATAGGTGTCGTTCTTCGCGTCATATGACAGATGTGCCTCGTTGCAGAGCGCCAGGACTTCTGACATCTGCTTTATGGTGTCTGAGCTGATTGCGGGATTGTCAAGCTTCTTGCCATTGCGGATGAGATCCCCAGTCGGGGCAAAGGTGGTGCCTGTGACTTCGATTTCCTCCAAGTCATCACCAGATTCGTTTAGATAGACAATCTTCTCGACACTCATCTGGTTGGTCGTGAGAGTACCGGTTTTGTCGGAGCATATCACACTGCAGCTACCCAAGGTCTCGACGGAGGGTAAACTCCTAACGATGGCATTCTTGGCCGCCATTTTCCTCGTCCCCAGGGCGAGACATGTTGTGATGACCACGGCGAGACCTTCTGGAATTGCAGCAACCCCCAATGATACCGCGATTTTCAGATAGTAAATGGCACCCTTGGCCCAACTTCCACCGTGCGAAGGGTCATTGAAATGTTGGATGTTGATCAACCACACCAGAATACAGATTACTGTAATGACCTTGGCCAGAGTGTCGCCAAAATCGTTCAGTTTCTCCTTGAGTGGCGTGGGCTCCGAAATCTGCGAAGTAATGCTCTCGTGGATGTCGCCAATCGCTGTAGAACTACCAGTAAGGACGACGATAGCCGTAGCATGTCCCGTCACCACTGTTGTACCAGAGAAGAGCATGTTGACCTGATCTTGTTTGACGGCCTGCACATCGTCTATGGCTTTGCAATCCTTGCTCACACTCTCGCTTTCGCCGGTCAAGATAGCCTGATCAACTGCGAAACTGTTGCTTTGAATTGACAACAGTCGACAATCGGCCGGAATCCGATCTCCAATGGCGACAGTAACAATGTCTCCCGGTACAAGTTCGTCTGCCTTAATCTTTTGGACGCTCCCATCCCGAATCACCTTCGCTTCGTTTGCGGAATACTCCTGCAAGGCTGCAATCGCCTTTTCAGCGCTGCTTTCTTGCGTTACCCCAACGATCGCATTCAGAACGAGGATTGTCAAGATCTAGACGCAGGTTAGTCTCGGCCCGCTCGTAATGTGTCCAGGTCCAACGTACCACCACAGGGTCAACAAATGCAGTCCAGTCATCCGACTCTTCAAATAAGGCCAGGACAAAAGATATAGCAGCCGATCCTAACAGTATGAGGACTAATTGGTCTTTGAATTGTTCGAGAACGAGTTGCCATAAGGGCGTCGGAGGGTCCTCTGGGAGAGCTGTTGCACTCGTTAGCATTCAACGCTTGATCTTTGCGGCGGGTTGGCAATTGCGCTCACAGTTGCTTCCATATCGTTTTCTGGACTCCGCGACTTGCGCAGACGACAGACCGGCTGCTTCAGTAACATGGAAGTGACTCAGCACCTCTGATGCTGAGCGCACATATGCTTGTTCCATCTCGCAACGGGCGGAAAGTGAACGACTATGAGAGGGGAAAGGAAACGAGGTTGCTGTGAAATGGCCTGGGAAGATCCATGTACCGCCGACCGTCTATGCGAAACTCACTGAATACCGCAGATAAGAACGAGGGGTTGGAATCTATTTAACAAGTCTATGGGCAAAATGAGCGACTTTGGCAGTGACTTTGATAGAAAATTGATGCCCCACGTGGTGAACTGGACACGGTGGACACAGTACAACCATCGAAAATTCCAGACGCGGACAAGAACGCAGCCTAATTACTGCGGAGGGCGAAAACACGAGCCCCTTTGGAGGCGTTTGGGGTACAAGCTCAAGAAAGCAGTAGCATCTAGGTATACAGCTCGTTCAGCGTGGTTGTTCTACAATTCAATTTGCCCTACATCATAACGGTAAGGGACTACTTGAAATAGGCGAAGTTGCTGTGCCGACGACTTGCAAGGTTCGGAGGGACTACGGAGGGCAGACAACGGACAACAAGCATGTTCATGCCAGTGTGGAGGATGTGAACAGGAGGGCAGCGAGGCACGTGAACGATAGAGAAGTCGGATTCTGCCTACCTCGATACCAGAGGTACCTCTCTCGCCCTGTCCATCTGGGGGGCTCTTTGCTGCGATTAGTAGTAGAGTGCTCCCGGCTCCCTACAAAGGCAGAAGAGGCGCAGAGGTGGTGAATCCTGAAACTTGTCACCAAGGGTTTCAGGCGCTGGCGTCAAACAAAATCAGTTGTTCGTCACCCCCAGTAATAGGCCTCACTAGCCCTTGTGGCAGTTGGTGGCAGGCAGGCACCTAGAGCGGTTAGCGCCAACAGTGCCTGGGTGACTTACTAGTAGTGATGCTCTAGCCCTTTAAGCATCAAACTGCCTTATGAGCCATCACTCACAAACCATCAATCTGCAACCCAGGCCCCGTTTCCCATCACCAGATATTCAACTCGTCCTTCGATTTTCATCCCCCATCTCGCAATCCCTTTTCTTGTCCACATCTGCATAACCCATCAACAGCTTTCTCCTCTTGTCATCCATCCTCCCGATTCTTCACAATGGCTACCGACGTAAGTGTTGCTTTCCCCCGCCTCCTCCAAGTTCAGTCTCAGCTGGTCGTGACTGTCCAACCTAAGCCCCCCCGGATCTTGTCGTTGATAAGACACTGTGCTGACTTGAATGCGATTTGTAGCGCGAAAGGTATCACTGCGTCATTCCTCCTTGAAATCATCGATTCACTGATATTTCTCCAGTAAAACATTCCTGGCGAGGCTCTGTGAGCAGGCTGAGCGCTACGATGAGATGGTCAACTACATGAAAGAGGTGGCCAACGTACGTCTTTATACCCTTGACAGATCATCGTGGACCGACCAGGCTGACCCATGTTAGATGGGCGGCGAGTTGTCTGTCGACGAGAGAAATCTCCTCTCCGTGGCTTACAAGAATGTCGTCGGAACCAGACGTGCCTCCTGGCGCATCATCTCCTCCATCGAACAAAAGGAGGAATCCAAAGGATCTGACAAACACGTTGGCACCATTCGCGAGTACCGCCAGAAGATCGAGAGCGAACTTGAGAAGGTCTGCCAAGATGTCCTCGACGTCCTCGATAAAGCCCTCATCCCAAAGGCCGAATCTGGAGAGTCCAAGGTGTTCTATCACAAGATGTACGTCATCTCTTGGCTAAGAAATGCTCGAGATGGAACTAACATGGTGAACAGGAAGGGAGACTACCACCGATACCTGGCTGAATTCGCTTCTGGTGAGAAGCGTAAGGTTGCGGCCACTGCCGCTCACGAGGCCTACAAGGTATGACAGTAGTCCTTTCAGAAAACACACAAAACATCTCACTGACCCCCCGGTTGCAGAATGCTACCGATGTAGCACAGACCGAACTCACCCCTACCCACCCCATCCGTCTCGGTCTTGCCCTCAACTTCAGCGTCTTCTACTACGAAATCCTCAATTCTCCCGACCGTGCCTGCCACCTAGCCAAGCAAGCTTTTGACGATGCCATTGCCGAGCTCGACTCGCTGTCCGAGGAGTCGTACCGCGACAGCACGCTTATCATGCAGTTGCTCCGAGACAACCTAACGCTGTGGACATCGTCTGATGGTGGTGAAGGTGACGCTGGCCCAGCCGGCGATGCGCCCAAGGAAGACAAGCCCGCCGAGACCGGTGCTCCTGCCGAGCCTGCAGAAAAGACAGAGGCTGCTCCAACTTCCTAGAGAGATTGCCGACAGGCAGCTGTGCATTCCTTCCCGCCTTTTGGCGACTCTGGCTTACAACACCTTTCTACGATTTTCGGGCAGGGTTATTGCGCAAAATGGCAGCACTCGTACCAGCCTGTCTATGATGAGCTCGGATTCTAGGTATTGCACTGGAAGGCGTGTGCAGTGATTTGTTCAAATGGGCCCAGATAAAGGCAGTGAGAGAGAGAGAGAACTACCATGACTCCCAGATCTGGGAAGACTACCTACCCAAACTATTCCCCCAACCATGTCGAATGCGATCCCCCAGGCAATACTGATTTCTTCGTTTTATTGTCTCCTACGATACCACATAGCTTTTAGCTCAGGTGGATTGATGAATGGAGTTAGCAAGCGCGTCGCGGAAAGGTCCACAATCACACTTTGACATCTGCAACCGTTGTTTCTGGTCAGTGTTTCTTCGTCTTATCTCTCTGTTTTGTCGGTTTTCGATTGCGGTCATCTCTGCCTACAAACAGCATCTCGGTCTCACGCTCAGGCAGACATGTGACCCTGACCACACTTGACCTCATATTACTTGGCGGCGTGACAAAGTTCAGCGAAACCTTCGCCCCTTTGATTATTTGACGGGGAAAAGTCATGACTTCATATCCGCATCCTGCCTTTCAATCTCAACGTTTATAGTCACCCAATAGTCGTGACCCTAGTGTGATGACGGTGAACCCCAGGAACTACTCCCCTGATGCTTACTCTCAGATCTCGACCCTTGCGTGTTGCCCGTGCCTGACCCAAACCACTCTGTTACGTCATGTAACAGTGGGCTGTTTTTGCCGCAGTGAACTTCCGGCTGCATCTTTTGAGATATACAATCGTAAAGGCTCCTTGTCCAAGTGAGAGGTCTTTAACCTATTTGAAAACTGGGTGACAGCACCTTTCGAAGGTCTTCTGCTCTTGACACTTTTACTTGTGGAACTATTTGCCTCACAAAAGCACACCTTCTCTACCTGTCCTGAGACATTCAAGCATCCACTCAGCGTAACCAGGCAGCATTGACCAAACCCTCACCCACCTTCCCACCGAACTTCCAGTGAACAAACAGCATGTCTCTTGGCCGTCGTATAGCCCTCGGTGGCGTGGTCGTCGGCGCAGCGCTGTATTTTTGGCCGCAGGCCTCACCAGGAGTTCCCGGTGCGCCCGTCACTACCTTCAAAACCACCAGCGTGCAAAACGTGGAGAAAGCCTATGCGAATGGCGGTGCCACTTCCACACATACAAAGGCATATGGGGGCACGGTTCAGGGCCAGAAACAAGATGGGCCGATGAGGGAGGGTTCGGCCACAAATAACCCCAAGGGGTACCAGCAAGAAGGAATTGGACACGACCAGCGGCCGACCGATCTCACGAAGCCTGAGAAGTGGTGGAACAAGACGATGTTAGGAAGTGAGAAAGGCAAATGAGAGGGTCAAAATACCGCTCTTCCTGACAGAGCATGTTTTTACGGAGTCAACATCACTCAAAGGCAAGGGATAAAAGCAGAGCATTGCAAATCCAATAGGACTACATTCATCCATTGGCGGCGTTGGGTCGACACTGCATACTGTTGGACACATCATTTCTCATCCCATTGCTTTTCAGAAATCAGGAGTACTAGGTGGGTGCTAGGGACAGAATGTACATAGATCACTTCTTTACCAGATCCGACCTTGACACATCTAACCGGATGGCTTCAAATTCAAGTCCAAACCGGTAGTGAAGCTGGTGAGTGCACAAAGCCTTGCTCGAGTTGACAGTGTACTTCAATACACATATATATCTCGTACCTAGATACCTAGGTATGTACTCGGTACGAGTAGGTACTTCCACCTGGGCAAGGACGGCTAGTGGACATTGTCCAATCGGATAGAGTCAATTGATAGTCTTGTCGAAGGCCCAGAAGCGAGGCGGGGAGCTGTCGCTTGCATTCCTCTTTGTGGCTTGCGCCGCGCAATCTTCGCTGCAGTCTACCTATCTTCAGAGACATGTTTCCTTCGGCCGTCAACGCCTCTGGCGACCAACCGACGGGTTCGAAGCACTCGCGGCATGAGATATATTTACAATAATTGACCATGAGCCCTGCGTCAACATAAAGTCGGCGAGTTCCGCTCCCCACCATTTCAGCTCCTCCGCCAACGTCAGCGCCCCTAGCTCAGCAATGGCTCTGGGGATTCTTGAGCCAAATGTCGAGCACGTTCCGGGGACGGTGTATGTGTATGAATCGGAGCAACGACATGCTGAGCTTCTGGAGACTGCTCAACACCTGAAGAAGGACAAGACGGGTCGAGTCATTCTAGTCCCTCAGCCCTCGAATGACCCAAACGATCCCTTGGTTGGTCTTTCTCTCGCAAAGCACTTCATGAACACCGAAACTAACCGCCGTCCCAGAATTGGCCTATTTGGCAACGCGATCTGATTCTAGGAATTCTTTGCTTTGTCTCCTGCCTTGCCACGACAGCCTCTCCTCTCCTTGCCGCGGATTCAACGACTCTCGCAATCGTCTTCAAGCGAACCTTTCAAGATGCTGCCCTTCTCACAGCCTACCATCTCTGCGGCGTTTGTGTGGCGGGGTGGCTGTTCGTCGCGTCCGCAAGAGTCTGGGGCAAGAGGCACCTGTTTCTCCTAGGAGCCTTGCTCATGGTCGCAAGTTCGGCCTGGGGCGGCTCTACACATATCGGTCACGATTATGCCAGTCTACTGTGGAGCCGTGTCTTCCAAGGTGTCGCTTTGGCACCTTTCGAGGCCCTGGTCAATGCTTGCGTCGGCGATCTATACTATGTCCATGAGCGTGGAATTCGAATGGCCATCACAAACACATGTCTTTTTGGAGGAGCTTTTCTGACGCCAGTCTTCGTGGGTATGATCACTGCTCACATGGGCTGGCAATGGAGCGTAAGTTTACTTCGATCTCGTCTTTGCATTGTGATAGATGTGGTTGCTGGACTTGCCATTTAATCAGCAGGTCCACCTGCCTTACGTCCTTGGCCAAATCACAATCATTGGGACGTTGTATTGCTTGCATGAAAGATGTGCTGACCTAGACTTACATAGTTTTTCTTCCTTTCCATCTTCATGGCCGTGGGATTCTTCCTCCTATTCTTCTTCGTGCCTGAGACGGCTTATCGACGAGCACATTCTCTCGACCTTGATCTTCTTGCCGAAGAAGACTCGTCGAAAGAGACGGTCGGGAGGCCTGAGATGTCGACTGCAAAGGATGCGGAGGAAAAGCCTCTCCACTCTCCAGCCGTTGTCGAAACATCATCCCCAAGGTATTCCTACTGGCAACGATTAATACCATTCAATGGTCGAAAAACCGATGAGTCCTTCTTCAAGCTACTTCTTCGGCCATTTCCGCTGTTCCTGCATCCTGCGGTTCTGTGGGCTTGCTTGATTCAAGGTGTGATCATAGGCTGGACTGTCATGGTCGGAGTTATTCTCTCTCTGATCTTCCTAGGCCCGCCTCTCTTCTTTAATGAAGAGAGAGCCGGCAAGATGTATACCAGTGCGTTCATCGGCAGCATCATCGGCCTGCTCGGTGCTGGTCTCTACAGCGAGTTCACCACCCGATTCATGATCAGACTCAACAGGGGCAAGTACGAACCGGAGTTCCGTATACTGCTCGTCATACCTACGCTTATGTTCTCTTGTATCGGTCTCTACGGCTTCGGTATAACAGCGAACGACGTGGCCCGCTATCACTGGATCGTCCCCGAGGTATTCCTCGCTTTCATTATAATCAGCATGGTTATGGGCTCCATCGCCTCGGCCCAGTACCTCCTCGACGCGCACCGCGATATTGCAGTTGAGGCCTTCACAAACCTCATCATCTTCAAGAACATCTTCTCTTTCATCCTGGCATACCATGCCTTCAATTGGGTATTTGCGATTCGCATCAACCATTTATTTATTATATTCGGTAGCATCGAGATCGCTATCTGTATGCTGAGTGTTCCCATGTATATCTTTGGGAAGAAGAACCGAGAGTTTTTCCACCGGCACGATCTATTGAAAATGACGAAGCTCCGATGACATGATTGTTTCAAGGTCATATAGAACACATAGTTAACCTTCTATTTCCCGGCTTGGTGTCCAGTCCGCCAGATTTTTTTCCTTATGTCAGGGTCCAGGCAAAAGGATGAGGGTCCCCACCTCCACTTTTCGCTAACATGGGCCTTGTAAATCGAAATCAGGGGGAGTTCCGTCCTGAGATTTGGCTCTTCCGAAAATGTCAAAGAAGATATCCCCATGCAGCGGCAAAATGGACATGGATGACGAGTCGAGCGCAGGCTCTCCGCGTGCCTTTGCCACGGTCATTCGAGAATCGGACTCTTACTGGGTGATGATATCATGCAATTCGCACAGGCGCGAATCACTTTGAGGCGTGTCGCTATCATTTGAAACGAGCTTGGTTCGCGTGGCGCTGAGTTCCGCCCGCATTCGGAAATTAAGAGGTTGGTGCTCGGGTCCAGCGGCGCGGCAGCGACGATCTCAGGAGAAACACGACTTCACCACAATTCTCTTTGACGGACCGCCGAATTTTGAACAAGACTGCCGACTAGTCATCCAGAGAATCGACTCGTGCGACCAAGAATATGGACAGCATTTGCCATTGTTGAGAAATCTCAAAACCGACACGTCAACATCGAGATGCCGTGGGGTAGAAGCGGGAAAAGACACCACAATAATCGAACAACAACGACTCAATCATGTCAGATTTAACGCCCAGCGCGCTTTGCACCGCGTGCCAGTCCATTTTTGGGCCAGATACGCAGAAATCAGAGGAAACAGGCGAGATTCCGCATCATGGCTTGGAAGAACTCGCATCCCGGGCTAGCAACTGCCACCTATGTTTGACAGTTTTCATGTCCATCGACCCAGACGCCTATAGAAATTTTCGGAATAGAGGGCTAGCAGTCGACTCGGCTGGGTTCGCCTGGATATCACCCATTGCCAGGGACCAAGCGAGGCTGAAGTTTCGATACGTGAAGCCTGTGAAGCCGGAGTCGGATAAGGAGAACCGGGGACCTACTCCGAGCAGTAGCGGCTCGAAGGCGAGTCTGTCATTGAATTGGGAAGAAACGGCGTCGTTGGTTGTGGAGTTGATTTTGATGCATCCGAGATGTAGGTGCCCGTTTGGTCTTTGTCGGGCTCTGATTCGTGATTCATCATGGGAACCCTCGAATAGGCTGCTAACTTAATGGTGTCTCAGTTGCCGTTGAACCTGGAGTCCGCACCATCGACTCCAGATCTGTGAGTACAGCGTCGATAGAAAGTCTTGATCTCGCCAAACAGTGGATTCAAGACTGTACTTTCAACCACATGAAATGTTCCGTGACGTCCGCCGCCGACGCAACGTGGAAACCTACACATCTGCTGGATGTTTCGATCCGGGGTCCCAAGGGCGCTCACGGGGTGAAACTTGTGGATGGCATGTTCGTGGATCCCTTGAGCGAGTATGTCACGCTCAGTCACTGTTGGGGCAAATCGAAGACCATTCGTCTGCATAAAGGGACGCTCGCCGCGTTAAGGCAGGGTGTCAGCGTGGCGAACCTACCCAAAACATTTGCAGAAGCCGCTCTTGTGACGGACCGCCTAGGTTTCCGATACCTTTGGATCGATGCGCTGTGTATCCGGCATGATAGCGAAACAGACGTGTTGGCCGAGGTGGGACAGATGCACCGGGTCTATTCTGAAGCGGCACTCAACATAGCCGCTACATCCTCGAGGGACGATGCGAGCGGCTTGATCTACAGTCGAAATGTTTCGGCATTACAGCCCTGCATTGTGTCCGTCCCCTTCGGCTTGGGCATCGATGAAGGCATGTACAAGATACTTCGCTCGACATTATGGCACGATCTGGTTGACTCGTCGCCTCTCGACAAGCGAGCCTGGGCTTTCCAAGAACGCTGCCTTGCGAAACGTACATTGCACTTTACTCGCAACGAACTCTTCTGGGAGTGTCAACAGATGTGTTGTTCAGAGGTGTTTCCGAAGGGCCTTCCCGCCACGATGGGCCCGCCTTCATCTCGGGAGAGTGTGGAATTCTTCAGCAAGAGGATCCATCACCAGAGGCATGGGAACTGGCATCAGCTGGTGAAGATGTATTCCCCCAAGAAATTGACGTACTCGAGTGACAAACTCTTGGCCATCCAGGGGCTTGCGAAGCAGTACATGGCGAAGAACAGGTTACATGCCGACGATTACCTGGTTGGCCTATGGAAGCCACAACTACCGCACGCGCTACTCTGGCGAGTAGAGGGCGGAAGGCGGCCGACAAAATACAGAGCCCCAACATGGACCTGGGCGTCTATCGACGGCGAAGTCAAATACCCCGAACCGGCATCCTCAGCCCGAGAGACCTGCATTGAGATCATTGAGCTTGACATGGGATACAACCCATCGGGGGACAATTTCGGCTTCGTGACAGGCGGCAGAATGAAAGTCAGAGGGTTCATGGCAAGGGGTTTGTTGAAACGAACGCGCGACTACTGGGGTTCTACGCCCTGCGTGATCCAATGTACCAAAGCCCAGGTTGAACTTGAGAAGGCAGCGTTCGACGACCGCTTGCCGAAACTCTCCGACGCTGGCAGCGGGATGCTCTGTGAGATGCTCGAGATCTATCTCTTACCAGTCATCGACGTTGTGGATAGGGTCGAGGGTTTGCTCCTCTGCGCCACGTTGAAGAAGGGCGAATTCCGGAGGATTGGAGCCTTTGACGTCAGTCGATATGACCAGGCGAATTGGGACCGGTTCCGCAGTGTCATGAAAGGCGAGGCGGAGATGAACAACTACGTCGAGAGGCTCGATCACATGAACGGGTATTGGTTTGCAAGTGACTATACTTATACGATTAATATCATCTGAAAGATCTCAGAAGGTGCGTGGTTCGCGGCCAGTGGGATTTGACACTATGATGGGGAAAAGTTCACAGCAATGTCTCGAGGAGCGATGTGTATATATGTCTTGATGCGATGGGTTTCCTTGGGAGCGGTCACGATAGGGGATAAGAATGGGGCTGGGTATATTGGATGAATGACGCAGGATCGAGGAGGTTGGACCTAGGGATTTCTTTGTGTCGTGTTGCACATACAGTGTGGCACGGAGAAAGGCTGTACAGAGAGCAGATCGAGCTGTGTAGTAGGGGAGGGGAGTGTGTCAACACGGTGTGTGTACTCGATAATGTTTGATAACTAAACCAGTAATGAAATGAAGACTTGATAATATTCATCACCTGTCCCTGTCTATCAAGTGATGTTCCATCTATATCCAGCCTCGTGTTGATTTCCAGCCTTGCTCGATCGATGTGCTCCCCTTGCGACTCGGTACAAGCTCGTGTTTCACCGGCCCTGCTACGATTTGGGATCTCATTTTCCACATGTATTTGCTTGGCTTGTATCCAGTTGCCCTGAGGAACCAATCCTGGGCGCCAGTGGCGCAGACCTCAGCCAGCCCTTGATCCGCCCGTTTGACTCGGATTGCCGTTTTGGGCATTCTCTTCCTTTTGCCATTAAAAATTATTCGAGATGTGGCCCCGTTGGCAGGTGGGTTTCGTGACAAGAATAGCTGGATTGAAGCCAGCATGACGGGGACCGGATTCGAGCGCACTGTTATCGTTTCACGGTCTAGCATAGCTTCCAGGGTCGAAGCGGAATGAGATCGATGCGCAACCAAGGGAGGGGTGACACATGTAGGTAGTACCTAGGTAGGTACAACACCAATAGTCCATCAAGGAGAGATAGAGTTTGAACCAGGTTTTGGAGACGGTGCCGCTTTGCGCATGTTTGCCAGAACACTTTCCCCAAACGATGCTGTAGCTTTGGCGGGCCCTTGGAGAGACAGCGTCCAGAACCGGTCACCGGAGCTAGAGAAGCAGGGCAATGGCATGGGCCGCATGGCTAGATGAAAGAAGCCGTTGCCGTGCGTCAGAAGGAGATGCATTGAGAAACCGTCCGAGCTGGCTGGCTATTTATCCGTCTATCGACACTGGTCTCTCTCCCTTTCTTTTCGTCTCTTCGTCTTTTCCATTCTTCCATCTCTCGACAGTATATTACCTGCCATCTTGCTGCCAATTGCCATCTCATCCAACAGCTCCTTTGCCAGTGTCGATACCTACTTACGTATCCCACATTAATTGGACCACTGTGCAAATCGCGGGGAAAGCTTACCTTAGGGCAAACAAACCATGCTTCGTCAGCTCAGCAGCATCCTTGCCGCCTCCACCCTCCTGGTGGGTATCGTTTCTGCGCAGCAGGCCCCGACTCTTCCCAGCTGTACGTCCCCCTCTGAGTTTGTATCTCTCCTCTCCCTGCCTAGAAACACAATGATGTGAACCATGGCGGATACAAGAGCGCATGGGTGTTTGCTTACTTACTTCACCAATAATGGACTGACCTTCCTCAAAACACAGGTGCCACAAGCTGCGTGAGCAGTCTCCTCCCCGCCAGCTGCAACGGCAATCCAACATGTTAGTGCTACTAGTCCTCCCTCCGTGCTGGTTCACACCGCACACTTGCAAGTGAGAAAGGGAAAAGAGAAAGGGGAAGACTCGGTGGTTCGGTGGGCTCACAAGAATCTCTATCAATAGGCATCTGCCAATCCAGCTCCTTCCTCGATGGCATCGCCTGCTGCGTCTACAAGGCGTGTGATCCTACAGACCAGGCGGCCGCCTTGGCCTACGCGCACAGCATTTGTGACCCCGTTGGAGCTTCTTCGCTTTTGGTACGTTTGGCTTCCTCTACTTGGCCCTTACACATGCGCGGTGGCTATTGTGCTCCGTGAGGTGGAACTTGTTTTGGCCCACAACCAGTGATTCAATGCTCTGTTGTGTCCTCCTCAATCCATGCATTTTGAATCATCTCACTGAACCTCCCCGTTCTCTACTCTACAGCCCGCATCGGCAACCTGCACCTCGACCTCAAGCGGCAGCGCAACCTCCTCAGCTTCTGGGTCTGGCTCCAGCACCGCCGCCGGCGCCGCAACTGGCTCGACCACCAAAGCCGCAAGCAGCAGCGCTTCCAGCGCGTCCTCCTCCGCCTCCGCCGCCGCTTCTAGCGCCAGCGCCAGCGCTTCCTCCTCGCTCAGCAGCGCCTCTGCGTCCCTCAGCTCCGCCGCGTCCAGCGCAAGTGCGTCCTTGTCGTCTGCCCAAAGCAGTGCCAGTCAATCTGCCTCTGCCTCTTCGGCGTCGCCGACTCCCACAGGTGCTGGCAATCAGTTGGCGATCGGGCTGGGTGCCGTCGGAGCTGGGATGTTGGGGCTGGCGGCTATGTTGTAGGCCCGGTGTGGATTCCGAGAGGAAGTAGTTCATGCGGAAGAATCCTGCTGGGAGGAGAAAAGGGGCAGAATCGAAAGGTCGGAAATATATTTTCGAGACGTAATGCGGCCAGAGACGTTATGTCTGCTTTGATCTACCACATTTAACCTGGGGAGCAATATGCACACGCATTTCATTAGCACGGCCACCAAACAGTGGAGAGAGAGAAACTTGTACTGTGTTACTCAGGGCTGTACAGCTCAAGCTACATTTTGCTTGCCCTCATTATATTCTCTCGACGGTTGTTTTTGGTTTATTCATCATCTTCAGCCTCCCTGCGCCGTCTGGCCAACGCGTTGGCAACTTCCCGCCCCTCCTCCTTCAACACCGTCCACAAATAGCCCCAAAACAGCATATCAGCCAGTCCCACCGTGAAGACCACTCGATTCGCGAGCAGATCCAGCCCTGGCAGGAGCGACGACGGCCAGGATTCGGCATCGGCGGCGGCACTTGTTGTCGAAGAGGCGGAATGGGAGTGGAACATGTATATCCAAAACACCAACGTTGACGACGCCAGTACGTGGATGGCCGAGAGCGTGAGCCAGCGCGACTGCGCGGTCAGCAGGGTGTGCAGCTCTTCGGCGTAGCGCGAGGGAGACTTTGCCGCGGGGTCGTCGTGTCGGGCGGTGGTGCCGCTGTGCCTCGAGGAGGAGGACGATGTAGTCGTAGTGGTGGTCGTAGTAGTGGTGCCCTGAAGCATGGACAAATCCCCCGCAAAGAGAAACTGCGTGACCGCGTACACCAGCACCACCAGCCCCAGGAGCGCGAACAGTTCCCTCTCGGACTGCGGCGTGACACTCTGGCCTTGTCCCGACAGCAGCGCTCCTTTCAAGTTGTGCATGTTGGTGCTCGTCCGCGCGGACGGGGCGTCACGGCCCACGGTTTCCGGAGGAGCATACCCGGCGGGCCGCACGCTCATGCTCTCCCCCAGGAGCCAGATCGGGGTGGACGACAGGAGCTGCGTCGGCGAGCTCAGGAGGTAGTAGGCGCTCGTCAGGAGGGTGAGGGAGTGGGTGCGCACGAGGAGCGTGGAGGATAGGAGGGGCATTGTTGTTTGATTTTTTCTTCGGTTTCAAGGCACGAAGGTAGGTGTGCCCAGGTGGGAGGGGTTCAAGGTACGTGATTACAGACAAGGGTTGGGTCAATTGTGTATTATTTGGTGATTTGCTTGTGGGAGTTTCAGTGCATGGGGAGAAAAGTTGACGAGGCTGTATGTGCGCACGTCAGTTGGAGACTCGGGTGCGGAGATGCCATCATCCGTTTGTTGCTACACCACCACCCATCTGCGTGTTCTTACCTACCGCCTCCCTAGATCGGGACCTTAAGTTCTGCCCACACAATGATAATGCGTGGTACAACTGTTTCCCAGAGGCCTGCTTCGCCAAGTCAAACCGACATGGATCGGCTTTATCGTGTCAGCACATCCCGTCCCAAAGCAGGTAGCTCTATACGCGGCAAGCCAAGCAGCCCTCGTTGGCGCACAACTCCTGCAAGAACTCAGCAGAGCGCAGTGCAATACGCCAACCAGAGCTCGGGCCGCTTTTCGGGCCTTGTTTGATTCCATTGCGATTGCCGGAGCATTTGCCAGACAGAGTTATAGCCCTGCACGTCGGGTAGGCCAATCCCTCTCCAATGGGCTTTACGGTGCCTAGGTATTCTTCTTAATTCGGATTTCAGCCTGGGCTATGACTAAAGCCCCCAGTAATAAGCTGGCACCCAATTCGAGCACCGCACCTAATTGACCCACTGGCCAGTGAACATGTGGTGTTTCCCCGCCACGGGGACCGGATCTGATACGACGTACGCAGTCCAAAGCAAGTCTGGACGGTCGAGTCGACTTCCCAGGCAAAGCTTGTTGCTTCATTGATGGACATATACCGAGGCTAATATACGTCCCTTGGGTAAGCTGACGACAGTCTTCTGCTGTAGGGAGATATATAGATCTTTTGAGGGACGAGTTGGTACACACCAAATCCTCCCATTGATCCAGGTGCTTCTGCTTGTGAGTAGCTTCGACGGTACCCCCGCGTTTCCAGACACTGAAAGGGTCAGAGATACTTATCACTTTTTTTAGCGATACGGTCAGCTCTGTCGTCATGGAGCCATATACGAATACCGGAGCCGTGAATTGTGACTCGGATATTGACACGAGCAATGTCAAGGGCAAGACTGCTATCGTTACCGGCGGTATGCTTGACGTGACAGAAGCACCATAGTTGGACCTTTTCTGATATGCTGCCCAGGAGCCAATGGCATCGGTGAAGCATACGTTCGTGCTTTGACAGGCGCCGGGTATGATCAAGCCCTTTAGCATATCAAAGCATATCAAAGGGCGTGACATTGATGAAGATGCAGGGCTTTTGTTGTCATTGCAGATCTTGACGAAGAAGAAGGCGCGAGACTGGAAAAGGAATTAGGAAGGTAAGCACCCACAGGCGTTCCTTTCAGTCTGTCCTCAATCCTATTGACGCCCCGTCGACAGCGCGGTCAAATTCGTCAAGTGCAATGTCACCATCTGGGCGGATCAACTGGCCGTCTTCAAAACGGCCATTGCATCATCGTCCTCCGGCAGAGTGGACATCGTCATTGCAAATGCCGGCATCAGCGGAGCTGATTCGGTCTTCTTCAACGACGGTAAGTAAAAGGGGGTTCAAGAGCCAGAGAGAATCTGATCATATGTCCAGTCGAAAAGGAGGAACCTGAAGAGCCCAAGCTCAACATCCTCAATGTGAATCTGAATGGCGTCATGTACACCACCAAGTTGGCACTGCATTACTTCCGCCGACAGAATGCATTGAATAAAGGGGAGCCCCTGGATCAACTCCTCATATTGCAAGGCAGTCTGGCGGGATATCTCGACTTACAGGGAGCTATTCAATATATTGCATCCAAATTTGGCCTTCGCGGGATGATGAGGTCTCTTCGCAGAACGGAACACCAACACAACATTCGAGTGAATTATATTGGGCCTTGGTATGGGAACTGATGACGTTTCTTGTCGTGTTGCATCCAGGCTGACTGGGCCACTCAGGTTTATTGCAACCAAGATTCTGAGCAAGGCAGCCATCGAACATCTGAGCAAGTCAGGCACCGAGTTTGCGACGGTCGAAGACGCTGGCCAGTGCGCATTGAGAATCGCGTCTGATCCCAAAATCAATGGTAAGCGAGCAGAATAGTTCTTGCGAATGAGGTCCTGATACAGTGGTCGTAGGTCGAGCATTTGCTATCCTTCCCCGAAGTTGGGCGCCTCGTGGATATGTGGATATGGATTACGACGACTATCCCGAGGGCACCTTGTTGGAAAAGCTAGAGAGTTCTGTTGGGAGTCGAGGCGACCACCGCGTTGCTGTAAGTCGTCTGCCGTTTCAAACCTCTGGAGGAGAGAGTCTAACGTCATTGTGTTTCCAGGTCGATCCCGAAAAGCAGAGAACCAAAACTCAATGGTCAGCGTCGGCGACAAATTGAGCAACCATGCGAGCTGAGCGAACTGAAGGATCGTCCGATCATATATACCCTCTACACACCGAGGTGTGCCATAGCTCCAATCAAACGGCGAAAGTGAGCCCCTCGTGTTCATTGTAAAAAGTATATTCTCTGAGGGTTCTCGTCCAGTGTGGTCTCCTCCACCCTCTCTCGTCGTGTATAACCCGTAACCAGATAGTTCAGCTGGTGACGTGCAGCTCCGATGGTGTCATTCGACGCCAACGGGTGTACGGGCCGGAAGCAGTCTTCCGCGTTGGACAGTGTAACGGTCTTGGTTCGTCCAAAGGCTTTGGTCTGGATGAGTCGGAGGGGATGCTCGTAGGTGACCAGCTTGTAAGGCTGGGTCCTCGGCGATGGTGGAGGCAGAGAATGAACACCTTTGGTTGGTTTGAATATAAATAGCCCCCTACCAATAGAAGCGCCGTGCCAGCATCTCTAGGGACTTGTAGAGAGCAATATCATCCCCATTTGTCTCCACCGGGTGCCACTCATCTCCACTGCTTGTCACTAACCTCCACATCTCGCCGGCCTTGCTGGGCGCTTAGATGCTGTCGACGTGCTCTACGCAGCGATTTGCCAACCAACCCCCCTGCAGCGCGATCTGTCTCATCTTTTCCCGGCATCCAATCCTCTTTCGCTTCGAAACGCTCGACCCCAATGGCGACCACCTATTCTGACGTCCCTGTTCGGTCCACGAGTAGGCAACGAGTTGACTGATGGTCCCTTGCATTTTTCCAAGCCCGTATCTGTCTTCGCCTCGCCTAAGCTGGCATGGACGTCGGATGGACTAACAACACGAAGCCATCAGGCGACAAAGGGACAAGTCTAGGGACAAGTCTAGAGCCTCCTATTGTTATACCACAGGCTGCAGCTCCTTTCGGGACAAGCACCATCACACCCAATATGCAAAAATAAACACCGTGAGTTGATACGCGAGTACCTTGTCTTTTGCCCTGGCCTTATTTCTACCGCCCTGTGTCCCTCTCGTTACACTTCTCCTCTTCACCTCAGTATCATAATCTCAACAATAATCAATCCCATCGGGACTGGTTTCATTTCCCTTTTGTTTGGGTTTCATATTTTGGGGGAATAGGCGCCTGGTGTGGCCTTTCCACTACAAGTGTCAGAGAAGACGGTTCAAGGAAATTACACCCAGTGCTTTCCGCTCAGAGCTTTCCTTTTGATACAAGGCATCTGCCCCATACATCGCCCCAACGTCAAGTCAACCCTCCATCCTACTGAACATCGTTTTCCCATCTCCCTCTCACACTTGCTACTGCTCATCAGCCATGGCTGGCGTGCTCGACGGATTGATCTCATCCCGGCGGATTCGACCGTCCAGGTCGCGATCAGAGTCGGCTAAGCAACTCCACGCTCGATGGGGCGATGTTGCAATCACGGCTCCCAACGGCGGATGGACCCAGCATTATCTCGACGACGACCTTAACACTGTCACCTATCAAGCCCACGGTAGCCCGGACTCGCAGAAAACCCTCGTCAACAATTCCCCGGACCTGAGTTTCAAGGACGAGATCGAAAAGGTGGTCGCCATAGAAGCCATCAGAGGCCAGACCCCGCCAATCATCCAGAAGGATAAAAGTGCAATCACCATCACCATCCCTTTACCATGGAGCCGGAAGTCACACCGCAGATCATCCTCGGCGAGCAGTCAACAACAGCAACAACTCCAACTCCAACAACTCCAAGCCCAGGCGGCCCAAGTGGTAGACAAGGTGGTAACAGCCGAATCACGACCAGTTCGCCCCAGTGTTATCAGCAACATTGACGAAATCATTGTCGCCGAGTCCAGGCCAGCCACCGCCGACCCATTCCGAGCAGACTCGCCCATCATCCACACTCAGTCACCGGTCTATGACGATGTCAGCACCTTCTTCACGAGGGCTGTCTTCCCGGAAAAACATCCAGGCCCTACTCGGCTGCCTCAGATCCAGACCTCTGTGCCGCCCAACAAGAGCCAACCCGCTTCGGCCCTCTCGATTCTGAGTCCCGTGGCAGAGAAGTACAACGGGCTCTCGGAGAGCAACAATGCCACTCCCATGGACAACACCCCGATCGCCCAACATATCGTTTCTGCCATTCCTGTTGGTCGTGATGGGCAGGTTGACATGGCCAGCTTGGCCGGCCGGTTGGAGACCCACGCCCGCCGCACAACACCTCCAACTCTACCATCAGACAATGCTCTTGACACCGCGTTCGAGAGACCAGATTCCCGCAGTACTGCCAGGATCCCTTCCCGACCGTCCTCTCGAGGGCCAGGCATTGGTGAGGTGGCCTACATGCGAGCGTCGTCCCGAGGAGCCCCCGAGAACACTGGTGGGCGTCGGTCTGCTTCGCGAGAACCTGTTGCTAGACGGGCTGGTTCGGTGGAACCGCACCGACAGAGGGCTCCGTCGAGAGAAGCCCTAAGAAGACGCGCAGACTCCCCCGTGCGAAGCACGACTAGCCACTCTTTCTCCCGTCGAAATGCGTCTTGTGAACCAGTTGGGCAACGCTCTGACTCTCCTCCATTGGTAAGCCGTCGAGCTCTGTCCCGCGAACCGGCTGTCCGGCGCGCGGAGTCTCCAGAACCCAAAACCCGCCGAGCTCTGTCTCGTGGACTGGGTGTTTATGGGTCTGCCGTCGCCGCCGCCTCACCAGATGAGAGCACTGCTCGTATCTTCTCCGATGATAGACCGGTGCGTCCTCGCGCAGAGTCTCCCGGCCCCAGCACTCGACGAGCACACTCCCGGGACGCCTCTTCCCGCCGCAACCGAGAGGTCTCTCCACCAGGCTACAGCCGTCGAGCGCTGTCTCGCGAGCCATACACCCGTCGTCGAATCTCGGCGGAATTTTCTCAGCGGGCCGTCTCCGTCGACCCCATCGTGCGCCGCACCAGCCCTAGAGCCGACTTTGTCGTCCCATCACGCCACGCCAGTCCTCGAAACGACGATGGCAGCATCTTCACCCGCCATGCCAGCCCCAGAGAAGACATGATTCCGTCGCGCCGCGGCACGCCGGTCGTCGGATTGGCGGATAGAGATAGAGACCGGGACAGCACTCCGGACTCGTCGATCTTCCAGGACTTGCTGACGCCAGACGAAGCGACCGACATTGAGACCGAGACGGAGGAGATGTACTTTGAATCACGCAAGGGGTGGAACGGCGCCGCCGTGGCGCCGGGCATCTCCAGCCGCGGGTTCTACGGCGACGTGGTCCAGGACTACAAGCTGATTGCTCGGGACGTCGAGGCCGAGATGGCGGGGTCCGAGGTCAACCTGATCAAGAAGGATAACCAAAAGGAATCCTACAAGCCCAAGGGCGAGCTTGTCAGGGAAGATGTGTACCAAGGGCCGGTGCTGGTGCCGCCGCAGGAGGAACTATGGGGATGATGGAACACGATCTGTCACCACCGCTCCTCGTGATGATATTGTGCTGTGGGACCAATCCTAATCTAAAGGATGTGAAAGAACAAAACCAGTCAAGAAACCTGTCCAACTCCGCGAATTGCCTTGCGGGCTACTTTCATTCATACACATCAAGCTACGAGGCCAGTAGGACTGTGGACTTACTCTACGGCGGCGGCTCAAAGCAAAACCGCAAAGGCTTTGCTTTACCGTGGGCTGTAGAAGTTCGAAATAACTTCCAAGACTGCAAGACTTTGAAGGACGGCGGGAAGGGAAGGGAAGGGAAGGGCGAGGAGAAATTGAAAGGCCAGAATGGATGCTCGAACGCCTTCCTTGCTCCATTACTTTCTGCGGTTTCCAACGACGTAAAGATGGATGGATGAGGGGTGGATAGCGGGCGGATGGGCTCAAAAAGGACTGACGAGCATACTACCCTCACTCACTCTCTCACTATCGTTACCAACAGACATCAACCAACAAACATACCACTCGAGATCGCACTCACACTCACAACTACAATAACGAGAACAAATCACAAATCAATCCCAGATTGACTCCCTTTTTTCATCCAACTTTCTATCAATCCTTGTTACCTAGCCGGTTTCCATCCTATAAACTCCACGACGTGAAATGAATCTTCTTGTATCTATCTGGGTATCTACTTCTTGTTTCTGGGTGCATATATAGGAAGGGAATCTATGCGTGTCTCTCTCCGTCTCTCACTCTCACTCTTCCCCCGCCCGTTTCCTCTTCCCCCCCGAACGATCCATCTGGGTAGAAGAACTTCCTTGTCCACCGGCATCCCTGGGTTTCACTTCCCATCTCGACCTCGGTCCACCCGTCTCGTTTACGAATCCTGGTCCGCCACCGGCACTGAAGCCGAAGCCGTAGCTGTAGCTGTAGGTGTAGTTGTGATTGTGATTGTTGTCGTCGTGATCGCAATTTCTCGATTCTTCGTCACCGTCTTGTCCTTCATCTTCCTCTTCCTCCTCTACATCTCCATCCTCATCATTTTGATCCTCCCCCTCCTCCTCCTCTTCTTCCTCCCGGCATCTCCAAAGCCCCATGCCCAAATACCCCCTCTCAACCGCGCCCATGACCCGTCCCTCCCTCCTCCGAATCACCCTTTTTCTCTTCCGAACCCTGTCCTCAAACTCGCGTCTCTCCACACTCTCCCTCCCAAAGCAATACACTCTGGCCCGTCGCACCACCCTCCCGCCGACACGCTTGATGGCCCGCCACCAAGCCCTCCGAACAGAGCGAGCGGATACCGCCGCCGCCGCCGCCGCCGCAGCAGAAGGAGTAGGCGTCGTCGTCCAGAGATCCGGCTCCGGCTCCAGCGGCGGTCGAGGTCGAGGTCGAGAGCCCTGGTCCTGCGGGATCGCGAAATACGCCTCAGGTGTGATAAATTCGCACTCGTCCCGCCAGCGCGAGTACGTGCGTGGGTACCAGTAGTGGCAGCAGTGAGGGTTCGTGTAGTGCGCGCAGCAGTGGTACAGGTATGTCTCGCACCGCCAGTCCGAATCGGCTGGGTCGGTGAGGGACCGATAGTGGCAGGGGATGTTGTCGCGGTTGATGCGGGACCAGAGTTGTGAGAGCATTCTGGAAATGGATTTGGGTTGTAGAGCTGATGGGGAGATATAAATAGGTACTTTGCTAGGGTGTGTGTGTCTGTGAAAAGGTAAAGGGTAAGATTTGTTGATAATAAAATATAGCGTTTGAGGGTGACAGGTGAGATGGTTGAATGGTCTTGTAAGAAAGAGCGCTTTTCTTGTGTTGTGTTGGGATGGGAAGTATCTCTTGATATTCATGGGGCTTGCCGGGCAATATATAGATATCTAGATAGACCTGCTATAAGCACCTGCAGGACGGCACAAGTGAGACTGACTGGAAGAGTGTTTTGCATTTCCCATTGAGACTCCTGAGCCATGCCAGGGGATTCCGAGGTCCTTCTTTGACAATCCCAGACATACAGCCATTATTTCAGAGACAGAGACATCAATGTGTAAACCTCTGTTAGCCAACAAAGACTTTCCTTGCCTTGTCCAGTTTTGACTGTTGAGACACGGCGCGGCCAGAACATAGCTTCTAGGCGGGAAGTTCTGTTCAAAGTTTCGAACCGCCCGTGATACAAGTCCATCCCGTCCGTGTTTAAACAATGGAAACAATTGCCTCTGGAAAGAACAGGGCGGTGTGGGCAATGCTGTCGGTATTCGATACAAATGCTCACGCAAGCAACCACTTATGCCCGCTCCAAAGCCCCTATTGTACAATGTGCTCGCCGCTTCTCTGTTAGACACCTAGACACCAAGCCTTGATATCAAGCATGAGAAAGGAGAAACTCCGGCCCAGGCTCGTCATCCTCGCTTTCCGAAGTCATCGTCCGGTCTGGAGGCTTTGGTCGAACAACGTTCGTCATCGGCATCGGTGTTGAGTTCGGGACAACATGATCAATCCCTCCACCAAGAGCATCGTCCATAGCAGAAGAGGACGGAGGAGCACGAGGCTGTGACCTAGATTTCCCGGAAGCGCCTAGACGATCAAGTTCAAGGCTTCGGTGATTAGGATCATCCTCTCCCTTTTGCTTCCCTTTGTCGAGCGCATTGCCGAATTGGCGTAATGTGTCTTCTAGACTCTGATTGCTGCTTTCGCCTGGGCTCCGTGATCTGCTGGTCTGAAGAAGCAAGTTACCCCTGAGCAGATCGGGGGGATAATCTTGACTTTGTGGATCTTTGTCGTGTGCAGACGGACTTCCATTGACGTAGTCACCATTGGTTGTCGTGGATGATGTGTTGGCGGTCCGCTGGAGCAGATCCCGCGCCTGCTGGAAAGCCGCGAGCTCGGCACCAATCGCGCATGTGAGGAGATTCCAGCTCTTGGATTCGGCCACGTCGAGATCCCCCTCGAGAGATGAAATCAACGCGGACAGTTTTGTCACCATCAAGTGGATGGACGTATCATGAGCAGTTGCTGCTGCAACACCGTCGCCATCTGTTCCGTTCGCGGAGGGTGATTGGAGGTGCGACTGAGATAGCTCTCGCGTCTGCGCCTTCAAGTCCCTCTCAAACTCACCAATCCGCCTTACAACATCGCGCCAAAGTCGTGCACCCTCTTCCAGTGCGTTCCTCTCACTCTCCGCGCTCGCCTTTCTCTGCGCCAGCATCTCCACTTCGCTCGTCCACTGCTCCTGTGCCATCTGCAGCGTCCGCCTCTCCGGCTTCAAGGCGTACATGCTGCCCGGATCTTGTTCCGAAGTCAGACTCTGCTGGATCGGTGGTCTGCGCAGAAAAGATTTGACCTGGTTCTCGCTCAGAGCCAGCGATTCCCTGTACGAGCTCAACTCGGAATCTCTCGAGCTCTCGGTCTCGCGGAGCTGGGTGACCAGGATTCTGTGCTTGGATCTGAGTTCCAGCAACGCTGTCTCCAAGTGTTGGATCTCCAGCTCCACCGCTTGGATTTCAGAGCGCAAGCCGACCGGGCCTGCTTCCGTTTTAATCCTTTGTATTTCATCCTCGAGGAGTTTTCTTCGATTTCCCAGATCAGAAGCCTGTTTCAGGCCGTTATCTCTGGCCACAACTTCTCGGTCGATGAGGGACAATTCCCACTCCCTGAGAGCGGCAAATTCCTTCATGGACTTTTCTAGGCCGCGCCGCGCGCCTTTGAGTGTAATCTTTTTGGGCTTGGGTTGGCGGATGGGTATTGTTCGTGGACCTGTTCCTGCCCCTGTCTTTGTAGACGTCGAGAGAATAGATGGAGTGGGCGTGGGGCTTCCTACGGACGACGAGTCCTCCGCCTCCGCCTCCGCCTCCGCGCTCGCAATGCTGCTAGCACTGAGCCCTTCTGACTGCGCATCGAGGAGGTTTTGGAATGTCCGCTCGAGGGATTTGGCGGCTCTCTCGACTGGGAGGAAGGGATCATTGTGGCGCACCAAGGACGAGCTTAGTTTCTGAGATCCTTGGGAGGTCGGAGAGATCGGTTCATTCTGTCTCCGATCAGGCGATGACGATGGAGTTACTGCATCCTGCAGGCGAATGCGAGGGCGAGGCACGTCAGATCGAGACGACGAGACCGAGAGGTCATCTTCGTACTGAGGAAGCGAGCTTGGACTTCGTGGTGGGTGCGGGAAGATGCGTTCAATGAAGGACTTCCTCATGGTTTGACAAGGGAGGGATCCGCAGTCGCTGTAGACGTTGTGAGCTGGGGGGAGAATGTTGGTGTCGCTTCACAAACGTCGCACATAACGGAGGGAAAGAAGCTTTCGACATTCAGGCAGACAGACAGAATGGTCTTGTGTTTGCACCACGGCAGCGTGACACGATCATGTGTGCAAGAAGGACACCGCAAATGCCAGAACGAAGTCATCCGTCGCGACAAATTTGCCGAAGTTGACCCATGCGGCAGTGTGAATGTTGTCAATATGATTCATGGCAGCGACAACGAGGGCTGCTGCCTATCTACGGCCAGTTCCTTGTAAGGCAGCCAGGGACAGTTCGTGTTCCAAAGTTGAACCCCGCCTATTCAGCTGCGTAGCCAACGTTCATCAAGATGTAAATTTAATAAAGCGAGCCTGGACATGTGCTCGACGAGGATCCTACAAAACCTCGTTTATAGGGGTCCTGGATCCAGCCTTGCCATCTCCATCAGCCACTCCTTTCTCGCTCTAGCATACCACGAGGACTTGCTCGTATCCAGTTTTCCAAGGTTGAGTACGTCGGGGAGATCGTGGGCCGGCTGATACTCACATGCTCAGCGTGTCTCATACAATGCTCAGTGTGTTGCAAGACCAATGCTTTCTATCCTGCCCATTTCGTCTGCAAGCATGGTTCTTGAGAGATCCTGGACGGCGATTGCCTCTATTCCACCATTTCGGTCGTCTGCCTTTTGTGGGGTGGAAACGGTCACAGGGTCGCTCATGATACGTAGTTCTGTCAGACCTGATATCGATATCCTCCGGCTGTACTGCTGAACGGGAGCCGGCTTGATGAGTGGATCATTGAAGTGAGCTCGAATAAGGCGACTCATGGAGCAGACCAGATCCAAGGCCGTGTCACTTCGAAGCATAGAGGAGTAATTCTCTGAAGCAGCACTCGACAATTTGAACGCCTCAAATGCAGTTTCGGATAGGAGAATCTCAAGGCTTTGCAGGGATTTCTGGAAGAGCTCGTGTCGACATTCCGCGTATGTAGGACGCAACGGGCGTGTTTCCTAGGTCTTGTCCGGTGAACGGGAAATTTTTCCGCTCTGAAGGCCGTATAGCACAAAAGTGTTGTGAAATTTACATCAGCAGACGCCAGGCACCCAAAATGAGTGCTGCTGTACCCGTGCAAACGCCCCTGTCATGCTGGTCAGGATCACTTTCCGACACTCTTGGAGCGGAGTCTGATACTTACATGAGCCATTGGAGGGTTGAGAACTTGACCGCTTCGACTCGTTCGCGGAGACTAGCCACCTCTTGTTCAATCCGGGCTTCCGTCTCCTTGATGCGCATTTCCTGTCCGTTCGCTTCTTCTCGTATCCTGCCCTTTTCGAGGTTCAGGTCGAGGCGAACACTGGCCTGCGTCCGACTGATCTCATCCCGTAATCTCGAGTTCAACTTAGCCAGATCACTGGTCAGACGATCGTGGCTGGATCGTGTTAGTTGTGCTTCGGTGCTGTCCGCATTGGACAATTCGCTCCGCAATTTGGCAAAATCGACTTTTTGCGTATATGTGCTTCTCTCTGCGTCTTCCTTTAAGACCATAGTTCGGGTCAGGTTCTGGATCGACTCTTCTATTACATCGTTTAGGACGCGCATCATAGCCACAGCCTGCTCTTCTGTGAACCCTTCATCTTTCAGTCTTTGCACGAATCTCAGCGTGTCAAAGTGGTGAGCTTTGTGTTGCACAGGGGTTGTTGAGAACGCTCGACGGGCCGGTTTGAATGCGGCAGCGTAGACTCCATTGTGCCGGATGGGAGCTGCGTCTGGGGGAAGTGGTTGAACGTAGGTCCGGGGTCTCTTCCGTGAAGGGGAAGAAGGATTTCTCACGGTCAAGCTCTTAGCAGCACTGTGATGTATTGCCCTAGGCCTCGACACAGACTTGAAGGAAGGGGCCTTCAGGGTTTGAGTTACGCAAGGTCGCTTTGGGACGGACTGGGGCGCTGCCTGGATGAGGGCGGCGGAGGTCCAGGTCAGGCGCAAGAATCGAGGTAGTTCGGTCACAGGCTTGGAGCCTGCCATGGACGGCATGGGGATTTGCAGTATCCAGACTATGAGACGCCGGGGTCAGGATAGCAAGCTAGACTAGTAAGAAAAGTCGCCCTTTGGTAAAGAATAGGAAGATGTTGTTGACATACGCCATGTGCAAGACGGAAACAAGGCATCGCAACTGACAGGATTTTGTATGGCAACTGAGGGAGGGAGCCTGGCGCTGGCAATGTTGAATGTTCAGCCAATCACATGGTGCCTGATTCGGGGGAATTCGCTTGACGGCAACCACACACGACATGAGTACTTCAGCAGTATTTGGGACGCAACCCTACCTTTTCTGACGGCTACTTAGGTACGGAACAATGTAACATCCTCTTTAGAAGCATATCAACCATCGACCTATACTAAACCCCGTTGAACGCTGATGAGGCTCCCCTTGCGAACGGAGCTTGGCCTGGTAACCCAGAATCGAGTAAACGAGCAACTACAATTGTTCACAACTCCGCAAGCCGAGAAATTCATGAATGCACTTGACATCGAGATGCTATATCTCCCCGTAAAGACCCAATTGGATCTTCAGCACACCATGAAGGACCTCCGTTTTCTCCCACTATCCGTCAATTGCGGACCACTAGCCGGACTAATCTGCTGGTCTGGAACTAGTCAACTTCAGTGGTGTCGACATATACGATGGTCGGGTCGGGAAATGAAACGCCGCTCGCGGATGAAATTTCTGAAATCGTAGCCGCAAGATCAACGACGTGTCTTTGTTGCCTTGTGCTGTGAGGAGGGATGGCTGAAGACCATAATTTGGTGCCATGTTGCCAACTGATCTGTGACCAGTCCACGTCTCCCCCGTCAGTGTTGATATACCTGGTAGTATGACATGGGAACCTGGACTCCTCAGTGACTCGATCCGGACCGCTGGGTGCATTCTCAGATACAGTCGCCCAACAAATCCAGACCACAAGTGAGCCAAAATTCCGTAGGGAGCATGATCTAGCAAGTTCAATCCGTTGCCTTCCGTCTGCCTTCCCCGCGGCGAACAATAGACCAAGCCTGTTTTCTCCACGTACACAATCTCTCACATTCCGGCTGGTTCAGGGTCGTACTCCAAGCTGAAAGTCGTCAAATGTCGATGAGAAAGGCATTCCCGGTCAACAACAAAAAAGCGCCATCGAAAATAGAGCAAACCGTGATCATCACAGCTCCCTCTGGCTCGCCTTTACCACATCTGGATCGGCAACTTTCTCACCCAAATCAACAATCTTGCCATTCGCTGTTGACGATTTCGAGCTCTTCCACCCTAGTGCCGCCAGCCTCTCCGCCAGAATGGGATGACTGTAATGATAGCTCGCATACATCCAGTCGGCATCCATAGTACTCAAATTCTGCACTTGCAGCTTGATCAGACTCCTTGCAAGCTCCTTCTCATACCCAAGCCTAGTTGCGAATGCGTCTGCTTCGAATTCGAATTTTCGGGAGAGCACGTTCATCAGGAGCTTCACCACGGCGTCCATTGGAGCAAGGGCATCCGAGAACAGGATGAAGCCGATAATGATGGGATGCGTATCGTGAAAACCAAAAGATGAGTAAAGCGAGTGGTTGTCGATGAAGATGCTGAATAGTGCGAAGATATAGAACATGTGGAACTAGACACTAGTCAGCTTAGAGAGCTTGGTAAAGAATTGACAACCATACCTGGGCGATTGCGAACAGTTTTGTGGTATGCGCCAGACTCCAATGGCCGAGCTCATGACCCAATACCGCCACCACTTCTTGAGGTTCACTCTTTTCGATCAAAGTATCGTAGATGACTATGTGTTTCTTCCACGGGAGCCCGAAGAAGTACGCATTGCTATGGGCACTCCGTTTGCTTCCATCGATGACGTATAGCGACTTCAGTGGGAACTTGAGCCTTTGTGCCAATGCCTCCACTCCAGATTTCAGTTCTCCAGGTTCAAGAGGAGAGAGCTTGTTGAACAGAGGGAGGATGAAGATCGGATAAATGGTGATGGCGAAGAGTTGTACGACAATCCCAAAGAGCCAGAGATAGTAGAAGAATCTTGTGCCCGTCACCTGGATGATCTTGAGAAAGGCACTAAGTAACGGCGTGCCCAATGCCACCATCAACGCCTGGCCCTTGAGCATATCCGTGATCCACAGCTTAAGAGTTTGTTTGTTAAATCCAAATTTCTCTTCCAAAACGAAGGTGCTGTAGTACGAGGTTGGAAGTGCCAAGATCTGGGAGATGAGACTGAAGGTGAAGAAGAAGAGCACCGAGTGGGAAATCTCGCCGGAGAATCGACTTGGGAAGTAACGGGCTAGCCAGAGCCCTGTCAACGACCAGAGCTTAGGTAAGACATCGTATTGAATGAAGAGGACGTTTTGGATCTGGGAGTAGAGGCCGGAGACGAAGCCGAACTTGGCCTTTGCACGACCGTATGCCTAGCGACAACAGTCAGCGAGCCGTGCGTGGAGGGGAGATGATCAAAGGGGAATGCGCATGTACTTGACTCTGGTCGAAAACATCCTGGGAGATTTCGTCTTCCAGTGTCTTCGGCGGCTTCTTCTTCTGCAGCACCTTATACTGCCTTAACGAGAGGAGACCTTCGAGCACATATTGACCCAAGGAAAATCCCAGGATCAATTTCTTCCACGGGAAGCCTGGACGGTCAAGGAACACCGCAAGGCGCTGTAGATAACACAACGGTTAGTGAGGGGAACAGAAGAGGTGGTGGAGGGAAAGGGGTATTGGGAGAACGAACACGAGGGAAGTCGCCCAGGGTTTGGAGGAGAGAAGCCATGATCCTCCCACGGTCTAGTCACGCGTAATGAGACACGAATGCATGAAATGCGATTCGAGTATATGAATGCGAGTTGGCATGCAGGCCGCAGGAACATGTGTCTTCACAGAGCCCTTCGTTGGCTGCCGCTAAATCGGGAAAGTGCGGCGAGCCTTCGACGCAAATCACGGCCTTCGATGAGGCTGCGGCCAGCTGCGGCCAGCTGTGTGCAGAAACTACAGAGTTGCTCTTTGTCTGAACCAACTCAATCTCAACGGCCAAAACCTCCTCCGCGCTGTACTTGCAACCCCTTGTCCTGCCCATTATGTGCCGAATCTGTGGCCGCGTGGTCAAATGCATCTTTGACAGTATGCCCTCGAGGGTGAAGATTCACCGTGTGCCGAGTCGAAGGTAAGCTCAACATGACTCTACTAGTATTATCTTCTCTGGCCAAGCACTGACTGTGACCCATCTAGAGCATTTACTACGATCAGACGGCTACCGGCACGGCCAACTTCAAGTTTCTCCAGAACCACACACACTCCAGACTCAACATCCTTGATCACCCGTGCATTCAGCAATCTTTCACTTCGCACACCCAGTGTTTCGACTCCGAGATCAACTACATCGTCCTTATTAGCACCGTCGTCGTTTTCGTCACCGCTACAGTCGCAGATGTCGAGAGTTTTATACCGATCTTTCTCCACGACACCCACCCTCCTCGGCTATCGAAGGAGAATGGACACGTATAATCCCTCAAGACGTGTTCAAAAACGTCGGCACGGCTATCTCGCGCGGTTGAAATCCAAGGGTGGGCAGGAGGTTCTTAAGCGGCGGAAGCTGAAGAGGAGGAGCGATCTGAGTTGGTGAGATTCTCATTATGTGACTCTAGAATTCGAAAAAGGAAGAAGCAAGCGAAATCTGGGGGATTGTTGAAAAGAGACGAGAGGGGATGGAAGCGGGATGAGAGACATGCTCCAATTATGATTGTTCATGGGCATTGCCAGCTTGCATCGGATGGTGTTCCGCTCATGAGTCGGCCGATCAACATGTAAATAAGGCAGGGATGAAAGACCGTGCAAGGAGAGCTCCACGAAGATCCTACAAATTATCAACTATGCATTTGGGTCATTGGGGGGCAAGCTCTTTAGGCTATGGCCATCTATCCACAGTCTATTTTATATCAACTCTCGATATTCAGGCTTCAGCCCCCTTCTCGGGCGCCTTACTTCCACCCTTCATATGCATGAAACTGCTCGCCTCAAACTTGGGCTCGTCTTCAACCTCGACCAATTTGCTCGCCTCAGTCTGCATTGGCGACAATCCCCACCGCTCAAACATGTCCTTGTCCTGATCCCACCCGTTACAGTCCGTCGTCAACATCTTCTCGCCGGTGAAAATCGCGTTCGCACCTGCCATGAAACACAGCATCTGCTCACTCTCGGGCATACTGACCCTTCCTGCTGCAATACGGATGATGGTTCGCGGCATGACCAGACGGGCGGTGGCGATACACCGGACCATGTCTTCCAACTTGACTGGTTCTTGGCCGAACATGGGCGTGCCTTTGATGGGGACGAGTTTGTTCACAGGGAAAGATTCCGGGTGTTCTGGCAGAGTGGCAAGGGTGTAGATCAATCCAACGTGGTCGGTTGCAGGTGTCTCTCCGAGACCGAGGATGCCACCACTGCAGACGTGGATGCCGGCTTCCCGCACGTTCTCTAGTGTTTGTAACCGTTCGTCGTAGGATCGTGTGGTGATGACGTTAGGGTAGTGTTCTCGCGAGGTGTCCAGGTTATGGTTGTATGCTGTTAAGCCAGCCTCCTTCAATTCTCGAGCTTGTTGCTTGTCAAGCATGCCCAGGGTTACGCAGGCTTCCATACCCAATGCTCGGACACCTTTGACCATTTCCACGATATTCTTCAGTCCCCGCGTTCGACCACGCATATCACGCCAGGCAGCACCCATACAGAACCTGTTCGAGCCATTCGCTTTGGCAACTTTTGCGGCCTCAATGACGGAATCCACCGTGGAAAGTTTGGTAGCTTGGAGGTTTGTCTTGTAGCGGGATGACTGAGCGCAGTATGAGCAGTCTTCTGTGCACCCGCCGGTCTTTATGTTCATGAGGGTACATAATTGGACGGCCGAGGGTTTGTGAAATCGACGGTGTACAGTGCCCTACCAATGTTCTTAGCAGGGGAATTCTGGTCAGCGGTTGAGACTAGTGTACGTACTGCGGCAAAAGCCAATTCCATCAGAGGAGTCTGGTGGATCTGAGAGATCTCTTCCTTGGTCCAATTATTGCGCGGACCTGTGGCATTGACAGCTTGCTCGAATACCGACTGCCCTTGAGGTTGTGGTGGGGGAGGAGTTTGATTGAGACTGGCAGCGACTCGAGGGACATCATGCACAATGCTGTAGAAGCGGACCGAGGCTACGTTCCTCGTAGCTTTGCGAGCCACGCATCGACTCATTGTTGCCAGCTCCATGCTGGCGGTAGATGAAGTCGTAAAATGTGTTGTAGGGTTTCTGTCGGGGTGTTGAGGAGGGTCAATAGCACTCGCCGAAGTTGGAGCGATTGAGAAAGGATTGATTGGTGGGGGAGGGGGCCTCGTCGGTGCAATTCGAGGTGAGTTCGGCTCGGCGTTCAACAAACCCCCTGAGCGACCCACTTCAGCCTCGCCCAATCCCGTACTCCGTGATGAGTATGGGAGTATGGAGTATGGATGATGGATCACAAAACCAAGTGCTGCAGAAGCCCAGGAGAAGCCCAAGACTTGAGTCCCTTATTTACAAGATGGCTGACAAGACAGATGTCTCGAAACTCATTCAGTGGCATTCGCCTTCTGGCCTCCAAAACCACCACTGACGAAAACCACGAGCACAGCTGCGTATGCGGCGCAGGCTCCGAATATCTCCGACCTTCTAGCGTTAGTGACGAGACTGACGCACAATGCAAAGGCAGTTGTGTAGCCGGCGATGAGTCCCAACTTGATCTTTTCCTGTTCAACATAGTACAGGTTGTAGATTGCCCCAAACAGGAAAGTGGCAGCAAGTAACACGTTGATAAGGCCCACCACAAGAGCAATGCGCTTGGTAGAGACGTAGACAAGCCGGGAATTGCCGTCAGGATATCGTTCCAGGAACAGAAGTAGGCAGAACTTCCGCAGGAAACTTGTCAGTCGATCTTCCTCCAGTGGACGTGCCAGTGCACTGATGGCGTGCCGGTCATCATAAAGTGACGAGCTGCTGCCCCCCAGCGTAGGGAATCCTTCATTATCCCTGTTCATCCAGAAATGGTCAACAGCTCTAAAGGCCTGCTTGGATGGAATGCGGAGTGCCAGCATGTTGGCGTCTAGCAAGGCAGCCTCCTCTATTCAGGTTAGTCTAGGCTCGAGTTGGGCAATGTCCAGTCCGGTTCCTACTTACTGTACTCTTTAATTTTGCTTCTGATCTTCAAGACCAATACCATCCTTTCGGCAGCTTTGCTCTCTTGAACGCTTGCTGCTCTTTCAAATGCTTCCCAGTTACGAGCAATGTTTCGGGTGTCGGTTCCAGCGTCGAAGAAGTCTTCGCGGTCAAAGTCATCCAGCTGACGTTGAAGTGCGGCAAGCTCGCTTTGTAAGTAGAGAAGATTCCTGGTCGACATGCGGTCGAAACGATTGCACAATATCATGCTGTGATCTTGACAGCTTGTCATGGCTGCAGCAAATGATGCGAAGCCCACAGCATGGGTTCTGCTGCCACCGTTTTCGCAGTCTTGAGCCATCTCGTCGTGTTATTATCTGCAAAGTACTTAGCAAATGGGAGTAAGGCTGCATTTTGGGCATCGACATATGTTGCCAAAGGCAATCCCTTTGATTCGTCCAGACTTAGTCTCCAGTTGAGTCGGTGAAGAGTTGCCTTACACAGCCTCTTTCGCCGCCTCTCACTTCATATCTACATAGGCTGCATTTTGGTCTCCTGCCTTCTCTTGTAAGTTCTATTGCAAGCCTTTCGATGGAGTCAAACACTGCAGGAGCGGACAACGAGGGGCGGAAACGTAGCAATGTGGTGCGGCTGTACGAGCCCCCCTCCCCTGAAATTGCAGGTCATGACTGAAAGCATCTAGTTTAAGATACGATACACGAACGCTCTTGACCGGACGATGGATCTGGCCCTCCAAGGTCAATAGAGGGGACCGAAGCAAAGCATGCCCAAGACCAAATGAAGACGGCCTCATCACTCGGGCATTCATGCCTCTGCGTGTCTTTGCGGCAGCCCTCATCGCCTTGATGTTGGAGGCGCAGATGATAGTCCAATCATTGCTTTCCCCCAGAGCCTTCCCAGAAGCCGACACCATTCCATTGTTTGTCAAAGAACAACTGCTCCGCGCCTTAAAGGACACAGGCTCAGATATGAGCTCTATAGATCATGCAATGGCACTCGTGCTTGGTCTGGAGCTTTCCTACGAAAGAGATATGCAAGCGAACTTCCGTCTCCCCAATGGAAAAGTCATATCTTCAGTTGCCGTGACGTGGGCGAAATGTTCTGGTCACGACAACTACTCCCGTTTCAGCTTTGCGCACCGCTTTTTTGTCTTCGAGACACTCCCTTTTCCTATGATCTTGGGAAATGATCTACTCGACGATGCCGGTGAAATCCGGACAGATATGTTTAAGATCGTTTCACCAGAAGGGAAAGCCTTTTCCTTACCAGCCATCGTGGACACAGGTGCTACTGTCAACGTCATTTCCATGGAGGCGTTACAGTCGCTGGGTTTCGAGGCGGACCCCAAGTACGCGATGGTACTCACTATGGTAAATGGCCGGCGCATCTGGTCGAAGGGCAGAGTGAGACTGGACTTCCACCCTCCTCACTCGAAAGCCCGTCTGAGTGAGCAATTCGAAGTGATCGAGAATCTTGAAGTACCTGTCATTATTGGTCGACCCGTTGCTATGGAGATATCCATGTCTGGCAGACTCTCGCCTCAGCAGGTCGAAGATTCTAAGCCCTTTGTTATGTCTGTGGCCAAAGAAGGCGAAGGCGTTGCGCGCCCGTTCATGTGCATTGTCAACGGGGAGATGGTCAAGGCTGTTGCGGACACAGGCTCAAACAGGAACTTGATATCCATTTCAGCAGCCTCCAGACTCTGCGAAGCGAATTCGATGAGGAAATGTAACCTGGACATAACATTAGCTGACACATCGAAAGCCGCCATTAACGCCTACTTCAAAGTCGAAATTTCTCCATATTCTGCGCCGGAAGAGACGGTCATAAAGAGATTCTATGTTTTGGAAGGATTGATCGCTGATATCTTCCTTTCAAGGCAAACGCTGGAGGAGATCGGCGCCTTTACAAGGAATCGACAATCCTTCCTTGAACTACCAGGTGAATCTTTGCTTTACAACCTGAACGTGGCTGCATACCTGTCCAAACCAACCGCCAATCTCTTGCGCTTCCTCAAGACCGGTCTTCGTTCAAAGACCGAGACTGAGGCTGGATATCAAAAACCCACCTTACACACCCTTCCACCACCGTCGGCCACTGACAAAGGGTTTTATTTAGCACTTAAGATAGTCGCTGCGTACGAGACTCACCTCAGAGACAAAAGGGAGGCAGAAATCGCTCGCTTGAGTGGCGTACAGAGAACCATCGCCGAAGACGCCGAGAAGCGGAGGATCGAGCGGTACGAAGCCGATTTGAGAAGGAGATTAGACGAACGGAAGCAAGATACTAATACTCGTTGTTAGTGGACGAGAAGACAGTCCTGACATTAAGCCCCAATATAATATTGCAGCTTCCAGACACTGACGAATTCGTCCCGGAGTTCCTGGGACGATGTTCAATGTGCTTGGAATGTTCCCAATTCAGCTCTTTCACCCAAACGAGGTTGTCATGGATAGCTCAATTGCCTGCATAGGAGGGGTGCTTGCTGTGGTGAGGTGTGGAGATACTTTAGCTCACTCCGCGACTGTCAGAAGGCGCTGATAGAAGCTTTTCCGAGGTTATGGTGATATTCCACAATACCACTGTGCCATTGTGTCATCGTGGCTCAGAGGAGACATGAACTGTAGTCCATCTCATCAACTGCTGGCAGCAAACCTCTGAGCGTAGTTCGGTTTTCATTTGTCGACAGCTATGAAGCATGTGGACGCCTGAAAGTGTGTTTGAATAATAACCCTGCATCGTGGTTGCTCGAGCTGGTGACGCTTTGATCATGCTTATAGGCCCCTTCGAAGCGTTCTTTCTTCAACCAAATCAAAGGCAGCCGGACAAGGATCTCTTCTTCGGATGCGGCCCCCATGTTCCGCGCAAAGAGAGGAAGCGCTGGTTCGTGGAGGCTGATGAATCTGGATTCGCAGGCTTGACATTGAATCTCTCTTTCAAACTTCTCAAGAGTACATCACCTTTGCCTGCCATTGGCGGGATCCGTGTTTACATGTCTCGTTCTCCTGGCGGTGCCTTCCATGTCTCAAGGACAAGGGATCTGGAGTCGAATGAAATTCAGGACTCGAGGATGAGACTGCTTGAGTGCCTTCGACTTCCTGCGGCGGCTCGAATTATTGCCATGCACGTTCTGAGATCCTCAGAAGGAAGAAAGTAAGAACGGCCCTGCCTCCGAGGTCAACAGGCTCAGCCTCGTCACACATAAGCGCCAGCAGGCCTCAACCTGCCGAGAAGTCACAACGCAATGTCCAATCACGGAGGTCAAGGGTATCGACCTGCGAGATGTCGTACTGACGTCAGCGAACCCGTGCAGTGTGTTATCTTGCTACATAGGCAGCAGCTTGACAACAACAGCAGCGCTTGCGGAGATGCAAAAACTGAAAGAGATAGTGCCGCCCAGGGAGGTACCAATTTCCAAGTAATGTCGCGGCGGCATCTCCAGAACGCATCGAACCTTGTTTTGGGCCGCCAGCTCCATGCCAATGAACAAAGTAGACAGACCCAAACGTAAGAACATCCACGTGTAATGTCGAGTGGGCGGCTAAGAGTCCTGTAGTCGTACTCCTTGAGCAGAACGACCATTCAATTTGAGTCAAGGCACACCAAGAAGATGAGTCGAATGGAGTAGTCAGGGATTATAGAAGGATTTGCTCGGCATCCATGAGCATATTGGGGGGAAAGGAAAGGTCTAGACCATCAAGAACCAGGAGCCGAATTGGGCACTTGCCTGATGAGGGAAGGAAACGAAGAAGCCACAAGTCCTCAAGGATTTGATCGTGCGAGGGTGTCGTGTCCGGCACAGAGTTTCCGGCGTCAGACGTAGGAGCAATGGACGGACTTTTGCACAGTTCGAGCCTTAAGGTTCGCTGACGTAAAGGCATCGGGGTAGTTCGTTATATTCTTCACAACGTGGCTCAAAGAAGTATACCAATGACATACCTCGATAGGACTTCAGAGTCTCTTGATGATATCCACTTGTTGGTTTCTGCAAGTCATGGGCTCAGCTCTCCACACCTAAGGCGCTGCGCTCCACGCGAGCGTTTTCGAGGTAGGAGGCATATTGGCATTGCGATTGGTTCACTTCCAACGCCGCTCCTTCCGAGACCAGGGTAACGAACTCATGGTTCATCGATGCAGCCGAATGGGTGTTCGTGACAAGTGCTGAGGAAGCCCACCCTGCGTCGTACCATGGTGGAGGGGACACGAGTATGACATCTTCCTTCAGCCGGAACACGCAAATCAAGATGCTCATATGTTCGGTTCTTGGATTCCATCACAGATCTGCAGCGGCTCTTCCGCGAGACTGGAATCATTCTTCAGCCAGGCGACAAGCTGATAGGACGACATCGATATGACTATCTGAGACAATTGCGACTTGCTCCAATGCGCAATGATCAGATTGGAGCCATTGGGTTCCGAGAGAGTTGCGCGCGCTCAAGTATGAAGCCGACGTAGGAGAAGAGGATTGACAATTTGATCTGTCCAGTCAGTGAGTGGACATGCCATAGCGCCCAATCGAGGTCAATGACATGATCATCCTTGGAGGATGCCGCGCGCTCAAGGCTACAAAAGCTGACCAGTCAGCCCTCTGGCGTGCATTGAAGCTGGAACGAATCATAAACAAGACCGAAAGTGTAGAGCAGCCAGCGAGCCCAGCAACAGTCCCGAGCAACTGGGACGGCCAGGTGGTCAGCGGCTTGCCAGGGTGATAGATAAAATCGATGCTCCGTGCAAGAGCGTTGGAGAGGCCACTGAACAGCTCTTCTTCCATATTCACTTTCCTCGGTCGTCGAAGTCTCCATTGCCAGCCTGCGGGCGGCATCTCCAACCTCGCTCGGCAAGGCATCCTGCAGAAGCACCATCGTAAACACACTTCTTCACCGGAACACGGCAAGCCCCCAGGCCATCTGGACTTTCAGCTTGGCCCTATCAAGGCGCAGCTCAGCGAGCTGACCGCAACGCCGACCACTAGAGTCACAGGCACGAAAGCGCACACGGAGGAAACGAGATTCAGCATTCAGCTGGTCGGCTGCAGTCTTGCTTGCGAGTCACAGCTACAGGGACTCTTCTCAGGGAGAGTCGGCCAGGTTGATTGGGCGACTCGCTCCGCCTCCTTGTCATCTCCACCGGGCTCGGATCCACTTTTTGCCGCCCGGCGGCAACAGGGCCCAACAGGGTCCCTTCCCTCGCTGTTTTAACGCCCGCCCATATCCAACTTCCCATCCACTGACGGGCTGTCCATCTCTTTCCTCTCGCTCTGCCTCAACTTGTCTCTATCCAACCATTTTATCTCTTGCGACGGCCCACCTGGAGTCGGGTCAATCGTAACTTTTGTCATCGACTCATCGGGCGCCTCAGTCATCCACTCTCCTTGCGAACCATCAACCCTTCCACCCCCCGCGCCAGTCCCTCGCACCGGATACCCTTCTGTTACGCGCCAACGAGACCTTCAGTCGTAGCTCCCCTGCTACCATCCAGCCGACAACAGAACTACTGCACCTGGCACACGCTCCGGTGACAGAGCTGGTCTCATCCTGGTCAAGATTTGTGTACCAGTGCAAGAGAAGTTGGCGCTGCTGTGCACGCTGCCACTCTCCCAGAAATAGATTGCACTTTTCTCCCCGTCGCCTGCCCTGCTTGTCCCCTCCACCTCTCTCCCTCCCTTCTCTTCTTCACGGCACGATCCTCTCCTCCCTTCGCTGGTGTCCGTCAGGCCCTCGACCATCACTTGCCTTCTCATTGCACGTCAGCATCAACCAGCAAGGCCTTCCCAGCTCGACTCTCTCGTTGTCGACGTCAAGATGCCCGCGGTGACCAGACCAGTCCTCCCACCTCTCCAAACCCCCAAGACGGCCTCTTTCCCCTCCGAGATCGTCGCAACCCCGATATCATGCGTTTCCGCCGTCGTCAAGCAAGAGAATGCGAATCTGAGCACTCCCATTACACCTCCGGTTGCCTACACCGAGTTCCTCAAGGCTCTGACTCCTGTCCTAGCCAGTCCCCCCGTAAGCAGCGGGCTTCAGAGGTCAATGTCGGATGAGTCGACGTGTACCAGGCACTCTTTGATATCCAACGGGTCCACGTCTTCTAGTCTATCCTCCAGCAAAAGCGAAAGCCACAGGTCACCAGCCAGTTCCGTCCCGCCAACTCCGTACTCTCGCAAGACTCCGACTCACCTGCGGCGGCTGCGGATACCACATTCTCCAGCGTTTTCTCCATCCACCTCCGGACCCTCTCCGCGGACTGCTCTGAGTGGCATGAGCACTGGCGGCATCTACTCTCCATTCTCGCCGGCGGACTGGAACTGCGAGAGTGCAACTCGGCGGTACTTCGAGGCGCCAAGGAGTGCGTGCTCGAAGTCGGTCAATGTTCGATCTGTTGTGACGAGGACGGTGACATATAAACGGTCGCCGCCCCTCGATCCTGCGCCCAAGGGCAAGAAACGCAAGACCAACACTACAGACATGCCGCCGCCACCCAGCGGCAAAGACTTGGGCGCCATCAAGGCGCTTGATTTCCCTTCGACACTGATCGAGTCACAAACGACTGTCATCAGTTCGCCTTCTGCATCAGCCAGCTCCTCGCCAACAGTGGTCACTACTCCCCCGACTGCCGTCGTATGAGGAGATCATCCCCATGGCCTTGCTATGGGGCCTCTTTTAATGGGATTTCCGCAGTGGCTTCACAGATGATGCCCAATCTCTGTGATCGGCTGTGGAACGGAATATCACGGGTTTTACGACATACTTTGCTATCAATTTTATTATACGTGATACCACACTACATGTTTCTGCGAAGGTGCTCGGCGTTAAGAAACAACAAACCAACAACCCGAACCGAAGGAGTTGAACTGAAAGTTGAAAGTATGCATTTGGCATCTTCAAACATTGCATGATTGGGATATGGGCTGGCTTATTCTGGGATATTTTACGAGATGTCTTCAATCGGGAAGGATGGCTACGGGGCGGATATCTTGAAAAGCACTGCAGACTTTTGGTGGTACACCCATTTTTGACTCCGCAGCCGGATCCTGCAGTCACAGCAGAGCAAAGGGTTCAGAGATGCGCAGATTCTGAGAGGAATCCGAGCAAGCCATGTTCTCACCCGCACACTTGGGAAGCAAGACGCAATACCAACCAATAAATGAACTATGTTGAAAAAGTTTACATTAGGGAGTCGAGGGTTGTCAACCAGTGCGCGTCCTGCATCACGACCCTTTGGGGCTGTGGCCGCAAAATAGGCTTCAAGAAAAACGTGGCAGCAGGATCTCCAGCCGCCAGTCATGACCAGGTGCGCGCAATATGAGTGGGCCACGACTGCTGCTCGATCACCGATCCACTTGGGCGGTATGGCCTTGGGAGCACTTCGATTCGTGGAGGATTGTTGTGGATGGTTGCAGGATTACGCAGGAAGAGCTCGGAGAGCTGTGGAGGAGCCGTCGAGCTCTGTACGAATATACTATGTATAACATCCGTGAAATCCCCACGGTCAGCCAGAAAGGCCTTTTCCATATCCCCATTGGCAGGATAGCCGCGAGCCTCAATCCATGGTCCGCCAGTCGGGGCGATAAGAAAGAGGGCTTTGACTTCTGTACTTTTGCGGGCAAAGAACTCCCCCACAAACAATCTAGACTTCGAAGGTAACAAGATAATTTGTGCCGTGGCATGCCGAAGGGCTCGAGGGTGGAAGGATTCTCACTGACATTTCTCAGGGGGGAAAGTCAACTGCAGAGGAGAGCGATGGCTCGAGGTTTATGCCACCTTGGGGCCTTGGTCCAATGCAGGGGGCTGTTGATGACGGTACCGTGCCCGCAGATATCACAGCGGAAGGTACAGTAGTCGCACCGACGGCGTGCCAGAATGACGGGTGAAAGGTGAGTCTTCCATTCTCCTGAAATCTGCAGAAAGGGAGGACTCAGGCAAGAGAAAAAGGGAGGGGCGCAAAAGCAGCGACAAGTCCAATTGCGGCGCTGACATCACCCCGTCTTCCCTTCTGTGGCAGCTTCTCGCCTGAATTCCAAAATTGCCAACGCACTGGTACGGGATCATCAAGCCTAACGACCAATTTCCAGACACCAAGCCTTCTAGCGTGCTTCGAGCTGGCATCGATTGGATGGTGAGACACGGGAGGAGCGCGGACGCCCCGCTGTACCGCAACGCTGGAACTGGGCTGGGGACAGGAGATTTCTTGATTGGCTTTTTGCGGGGACATGGAGCTGAGCTTGTCAGGTGGGTCCGGCGCCTACTCGGACACGCATAGCCAGTCGTTGGGAAATGGGCGCTGGAGCCTGTTTTACACCGGTCGGTGATGGGCGCCTCATCATTGGTTGAACCGAGAGAAGGAGCTGTCGTTATTTTTAGTTTTAGTACCTAGACTTCAGCCAATCGATTCTCCTACATCTACGGAGCCTCAACGGGCTTGTTCTGAAGGGAGGGGGCGGGCGCTTAATTTCCCCTCCTGTATGTTCTCTGTGCCGAGTATTACATACGATGCAGGTGAGGGTATGGATTGTGTGTAAGTAGGGCAGCCACATTGCAACGCCGAAATTGTCGTTGTGCTGGAAGAGGGCAAAGGAATATGACTCTCCCCTCTTGGGTCTAAGTGCAGGTGCGGGTGCATACGAGTACCGAGTATGGGTGTGCCACACTCGGGAACCAATGACCTTGACTACCTAGGTACCTACCTACCTGTATTACTCGAGAACGAACTTCCTAATTGCCATATACGGTTCGATTCGAGAGGGTGAGCGAAGGCCGCTTTAGCCTGAGCTTTGGCTGAGCATCACTGAGCGCTCCCTGAACACTCCCTGAGTAATGCCTAAGTAGGCAGACACACTAGAAGCCTAATTATGCCTGAGGGGCTCCTTACGATCGGCTCTACTTACCTCTCAGTTGGGTATCTGCCTCAGACCGGGCGTCAGGAACCTGCTGGGATCGAGTTAAGTATGGGATTTTTTCCCACTTCAATGCTTCAATGCTTCAGCTGCACAATCCCCGCCGATTGCACGGATGCGTTCGTCAAGAAAACGGCATCTATGGAATAGGGTATGCTAGGATTCGCAGAGCCCTTGCACGAGTACAATCTGTGAGAAGCACGGGGAGAGTCTGATCTGGGCGCTGAAGTCGGCTCTCGAGCCAGGATTTATAGGGGCGGTGTCTCCCTACAGTAGGTATTTGACACCCCTATCTCTTCTACTGGTTGTGCCTAAAGTCACTGCATGGAAATCCGCCTTCGGGTATGGCGACCTTACCGTTTGTGGCGTGGTCGCAGGCGGGGCGCGCCGAAGCTTTTGAGCCTCTTCGCCTCTCGATATTTCTCTTGCTTGCCTTGCTTTCTTTCCTACATCCATCGCCCTGATGCACTCGTCGTGCTTCACACGCTTCCGCCTCTATCCTCTCCTACCATAACAAGAGCCCTACTCTCTCTGGATTCTCCAGCAGCTCCTTCATCGCGCCCCGATCACCCTCCCCATTCTCGATCCTCACGAGCTTTGCGTCCATCGACACAACCCGTTTCTCGCCAGTACGCAGTCGGAAAGAAGGTTGCCTGAAAGCCAAAGCTGCGATCCCCAACCAGTTTCTCTATCTGTCGGATGCTAATTCAGAACTCATCTCTCTCACCTACCCAACTAAAGATGGACTAAGAAAAGAGCGATCTACTTCTGTGGTATCGCCCTCAATTAGTGACTGGCAACAATACCGTCCCTAGCGCCACGGCGAAACAGTTCCGGCTTTGCCGCACATTCCTCCCACCACAGCAATGTCTACCGTGTCCGACTATTACCATAGACTGGAGTCTCGAATCGGCTACAGGTTTATTCTAGGAGGAACAAGGCACTTTGGATACTACAAAGAAGGAACACTATGGCCCTTCCCTATCGGGGCTGCCTTGCGGCGGATGGAAGAGCGCCTCTACCTCACACTTGGCTTGAAAGACAACTCGCTGGTGCTAGATGCCGGAACAGGGAACGGAGACGTTGCGATATTCATGGCAAAAAAGGGTCTGAGAGTAAAAGCCATTGATCTCCTTGATATGCATGTGCAGTGGGCCCGGGAAAATGTCAAGCGCAATCATTTAGGAGACCAGATTGAGGTATTCAGCGGCAACTACGAGAAGTTGGATTTTGACAACGATACATTCGATGGTGTCTACACTATGGAGACCTTGGTCCATGCCGGCGAACCTGACCAGGCTATGAGAGAGTTCTACCGCGTTCTGAAACCCGGTGGAGTTGTCACACATGTCGAATACGAACACGACATGGACAACAATCCAATCGGACGAAATGCTTTGCGTCGAATTAACACCTACGCACATATGCCCGCTTTTGAGCAGTTTCCCTTGAACACTATTCGGAAAAAACTTATCAATGTTGGCTTCCAAGATATTGAAGTCCAGGATCTTTCCAAAAACGTTGCTCCAATGATGCGCTTCTTCTTCCTCTTAGCGTACATACCTTATCTCATCATCCAGCTGCTTGGCATGGAAGCATACTTCGTCAACGCGATGGCCGGCGTTGAGTTATGGCGTCACAGCGACGATGTTCGGCTCCTGATGGTCAAAGCCAGAAAGCCTCTGGTTGAGCTTTCGAATTCGAACGGACAGAGAAGAAGATCAAAAGAATCAGGAATGGATTGAGATGAAGATAAGCCCACAGCGTAGCCCAAGCCTCCTTGAGAGTGGTCCAATCGTGGACGGGGTGGTCAGAAGGCTTAGCCAATAGTCCCGGAAGGGGACTTACGAACATCCTACGATTTGAATGAACGATGTTCCCCGCGGCTCTGTGCCCTGATTTGCTGGTGGAAAGATTGAATATGAAGATAGAGACTGGATAAACAAGACCATTCACTAAAAATGGACTATGAAATTAGACCAGTCAACACTGTCGTAAGCATCGACAGGCAGCATCCGCAGGCTGATAAAGCCTTCAATGACTAAGTACATCCGCACAACAGCATAGGAACCGTAGATAGGTATTAGACCACCAAGCTGAAACCACTTTGGAAATATTGAAGCAACTTCGATAAAGGTGCTTGCCTCCTTGTGAAAATATTTCCTTGCAATCCACCCGCTCAGGAGAGTTACCACGGCAAAGACAACCAGGTAAGTAGAATAGAGAGCGAGAAAAAAGATGATCGCAGCGCGCCAGAGCTTCCGCTCAATGGTAGTAGGAAGGATGAGGTTCCACCCCGCAAAATGAAGAGCGAAGTATCCTGCCGATATCAGAATCCTGAAGAGGCAGGACCAGAAGGAATAGCCCCGAGGTGGTATTGCTCTTGAGTTGGAAAATGTTGAAACGGGGCGTTGTTTCTCGTTCATCTGAAAAAGTTTGCCGTCGAAGCAAAGAGCCAGGCCCCACCACCAAGTAGCGACAAAATTTGCACGAGTTGGCTGGGCGGCGATGAAATCCAGAGGCGTCAATTTGTATGGTTCGCGGGCTCGATCTCCAGCTTTGACAAGTATCTCGGCAATGGTGGTGTCTGTTCGCAAGATGATAGGAGTTTGTACATCCAAGGGTTTGTGGTTCCAGAAATAGAAAGTAAATAAAGTGCAGAAGATCATATTGATCGTCAGAAGTTCCAACGTCGTCAACGCCAAGTGTTGTATGCTGCGGCCGATGCACTGGATGCTGAACCAGGTGATTTGTATCAGTGTGATTGCCCGAGCGAATCCGTCGGCCTTGTTTTTGTCCCAAATGGTCTCAGCGTCCACATTCGGATATGGTATATAATCGTTTTCAATAAGATAGAGGAGCTGTTGGCCGTCCACTGCAAAGGCAGGAAAGTCTGGGGTCTTAAGCTGGAACCCACCCATGTCTGCGAAGAAAGCATGCCGCATAGTCCATTTTTCATAGCCTTTTTTATTCCTTTTTGAAAAGTCCTCCACGCATTGGGAAGCGGACTCCCATTGCTCATATGCAACTCCCAGTGTTATCTCTGGCCAAAAGAGAGTAAAGAGCATCCAGCGTAGTTTGTCCTTCATAAAAGGTACACCACCTTTTGCTGAAAATATGTTCAGAACGAGCGACGACCAGCTGCAGAGGATCATCGTGACAACGCATGCTTGTAGTATATCCCATGTTCCGCGACCGTTTGGCTGGTTGACCCAGCCTTTTGCGAATTGTATACTTGACAGTGATGAGTTCCCATTCACCGATGTTATGGTTGGCACAAAGTCCGCTGTTTCGCATTGATTGACTGGCAACATGCTTGTGGCACTTTTCTCGGTGGCACAGATCTCGCCTTTCAAACAAGAATGCAGAGTGTGACCCTCTTGTTCGCAGACTGTTGTATTAGGCCACCCAGTTCAAGCAAAAGGATGCTTCGGACGAAGTGTCTATTGAAAGAGGATGTAGGAAAGGACTGATGGCTGCATCTTCTAATGAAATGGCCTTGTTGGGAGCCACCACGTAGGCGCAAAGCTCATGCTCAACAGGGTCATGATTCGTATCTCCACTGTGCCAGCAAAGGTACCTAGTGCCTTACATACTGTCGTATGTGTCTACACAAACGGCGGCTGGTCGCATTAGGGTGCGAGCTCCTTGTCTCAGCCACCAGGATGATTGCAATTTAAGCCGAATGCTGACATAGCCCCAAGACACTGTCTTTAGCAAAAGTCCCTCGGCCAGGGATTTGCTAAAGTTCAACCGGGAAATACAAACGCGTCTTCCTGTGTACGTGAACTCATCAGTACTCAATGACAAAATCACACCTTTCAATCTACCGTGAACAGCGGGGGGAAGGCTCAGAAGATTGGTACCGTCTGGCTACAGCCACTACACATAATTCTGAGACCCTTTCGAGCCATATTATTAGGATGTAACCATCATAGTTTCATAACATTAGTGGCTGCCGTGACCTGGTTTTGGTGCTGTCGCAAAACACACCAATTAGATACGTGAGGATTGTAATGTACTCGGTCCATCTCTTTTGTTGGCCGTAAGAAACGGCTTCCAAGCGCTGAAAGTAATCACACAATACCATGCAGGAGCCGCAGACGTGGGCTGGTGGGATCCATGATTATTACCATACACTCTGTTTCGCAAGCAGTGGAAAAAGGGTTTGGGGACTTGTCGGCATCCCTTCAGGGAGACTTTGGCGCCCTTGGCACCACAGAATGCTCGCTCAGATAATAATAATAGAACTCCGTAAGGAAGCGCACAGGGATGGCTTAGGAAGCAGAAGGTGAGCCGAGGGCGAGCGAAGCGACGAGCGGCTAATCAGAGAGAGACCAGGGACGATAGGTTTTTTGCATGATACTACCTACCTATACCTAGGTAGGTACATAGAGCATGAAACCCAAAAATGCGAAGGAGCAGCTTTCCTCGATCAGCCGGATCAATGATGCGAGTCAGCCTCGAGGCCTCTTTTTGCTTGTGACGCATGACGACGGCTTTGCCAAGCTCAATCAGCTCGGCACTCTCTTCCATGCTGAGAGTGTCTTTTTTAGACGACACCGCAGACCTAGACCATAAACCGCGATACTCGAGAAGATATGCATCACTTTTAGAAATTGCTGGGTCACGAACCACGAATACATGCCTCTCTGGCTTTCTGCTTTCCATAATGAGATATTGACCGACCGTTAGAGGCTCCCCCTTGTTGTGTGGTCCAATGCCGGTATAGAGAATGAGCTCCGACTTCTTGCATAGTATCTTCGGGTCCCCTGAACCATCAGGGTTTCGGCACGTTTTCCCAGTGCGATGGTCTTCAAGCCATCGCCACGTAGCAAGGCCAAAGATGGCACAATTCTTAGAGTCTTGGAGAATTGGGATCCAGGACCCACTGGTATACCACGACTCATCCAGCGTGACGCCCCGATCAATGAACCTATCTGGTTCGGGCCACCAAAGAAACAGGTTCTTTTCGGTTTTGTCTAGACCGGTCCATTGCAGAGCATTGACAAGGTGTTTGACTGCCAATTGCAAGGCTTTGTATTTGCCTTCCGCCCGCGCGACGTTGTTATAGATCTCGGTCGCAGCGTTGTCGGACTTAGCGGTTCGAATAAGTTTGATGATGCTGGTATCAAGCTCCACATCTGGCATTTTGGACTCAAGGTAGGAGACAACTGTCTCATCCAAGAGTGCTCGGAGCGGCACTCTCCTCGCAACACCTGTGCACAGACTGAATTCCAGGCCCCATGGTTCATTGAGCATGCGTGGTCAATGGAGGATTCGGGTTTTCATTCCATTTTTGTACTGCCTTACCCTTTTTGAAGATTGGCGGACACCACATCTGTGTGATGCTATGATTAAAAGTCAAGACTGCAGGTGCAATTGAACCACCACTAACACCTCCGGTGACGCCCGTGGTCCTTGTGTGAGGGTTCCAGTGGCCAGGTTCACGGTGCAGGTCAACCAAGTTGCCAGCTAGTTCTTGTTCGCAGTCGCGACGTAATAATGAGCAGTTCTCGTTCACGGTTATGGCACCCACGGTAACCCTGATGTCCTTGTCAAGGTAAGACATTGGCAAGCCTATGCGATCGTCCTGAGAAGACCAGTGAAGCATGGGGCTGCGCCACGTGGGTGAGAAGAACAAGTGCTTGGATTTCTTCAGAAAGCCACTACCCGCACGCAGCTTGACATGCTCTGGCGACAGGTTCTCGTCGATGATAATCGTCGTGTCCCAAATATCAAGGAACTGAGATATTTGGGCTTCGACGTCATACTTGACAGGGGACATCCTCATATAACTGACCATGTCTAACCACCAAGACATCTTTCCCCGGGGTTTGATGAAATTTGAAAGCCCAGACCGGTTTTTGTAACATTTCTCCCAGACAGGAGAGCTCCACTCTTTCGACGAGAATGCCTGGCCCGAGTTGCCCAATGCCTATGAGGCGGAATCTCCCAATCGTGCGCGAGATGTGAGGGGTATAGAAATCAGAGCAGTGACCACCACTGAATGTCACAAGGCCGACAGAGAACATTTGTGCAATAAGAGCAGTCATATGCAGCACATAGCTGGCAATCCCATTCGTACTTATGCATTCGTGAAGAAATTGGACGGCGTATTTCCCATTTCCGAATAGCTCCTCAAACATGTCGATAATCTTCGTGGGGTACATATAGATCAGTAGCAAGACCTATTGAGTGTACCTGACGGTGAATCCCTCAAGTCCTTCATTTCCAATCGAAGGAGCTATCCGCTCTTGTCGCTTCGAAACACTGCTGATTCGGCAGCAGATATGGCACAGTGCCGAGAATCCGTGAAGATGGAACCCAGGCTAGAAGGTAGTCTGAGATCTTCACACTTCGAGGCTGAAGATACGTAATAATACGCTATGCACGTCGTTTCTCTTGCCCTTTGCAGGTAGGGCAGGCGGCCTTACTGTCCCCAATTCGTTCTCCACTTCCAATGCCATACACGTTTTCTCCTACTCGCCACCTCTCCCATCGACGGAGTGACGAAGTCGTCTTCTTTGCCATTGGTCAGTTCGTCTAACACACGCAGCCAGCCATTAGCCTCATGGCGGTCACCAGCTCGTAGGTTACACGGGCCCTGCTAAATACCTCAAGGAAAGCCATCAGGCCGGCCACTTTTCAACTGCTAGCAGGTTTAGGATCGTCCTTGGGTTTCTCTTCCTTCTTTGCAGCCCGAGACGAAGCAAGCCACACCAGACTCAAATGGAGGTTAGGAGTACGATACCAATTTCCCCTACTTAAGGGTTGAACGCACCAGAAGGAGTCCTCGGTCTGTTGCTCCTCCATACCATTCCGTAGCGGCCATCTTTCGCGGCCATGAGCCTTGTGGATCAAGAAACGAGTAATCTCGAAAAGAAAGAGATCTGAGAACGCCCGTCCTTGTCGTTCCTCTGAGAAACAGATACATCCCGTTTCCAGGTCACTGGTGAGCAGAGATCTCAGATTGCTCCTCCAGGAAGAGGGATAACACTCTTACCACCACGACAGCATCAACACGTCCGACCGGTTCGTGATGAAGGCGACGCTTCTGCGCCTGGCGGCGATCGCCATGGTTGGGTCGACCGCCGCCCTTATCCAGCCGCAAGTTATCCACGAATTCCCTTTGGGAACCTGGTTGGAAAACCTGGCACCACGAACTTCGTACCCGTCCGGAGTCTTGGTCAACATGCTCTCCTCGCCTGACATGTATCTTATTCCAACCAACCCTCCCGCGACTCCCATCCACATCGCGCATATCCCAAATCATCTTGGCCTGATGGGCATTGCAGAAATGGGTCACGATGTCTTCTATGCCATCGCAGGCAATTTCTCCGTCGACACGTTCCACGTTGAGCTGGGCTCGTTTTCAATTTGGGAGATTGATTTACGAGGATTACCTGGCATCCCCGGCAATTTAACAGCAAAGACGACGGAGATCGCCAGTGTGCCGACGGGCCTGTTGAACGGGCTGACGGTGCTGAATCCTGTGGAAGGGATCCTGCTCGCCGCCGACAGTGGGAACGGGGTCGTGTGGTCAATCAACGTTCGCACGGGACATGTCGCGGTAGCTGTTAACGATACGTCAATGGCGCCTATCCTATCGTCTACTGCGCCATTGGGAATCAATGGTCTACACGTGGTCGATCAGAACCTGTACTACACAAATACCAACAAGGCCTCGTTGTTTCGCGTCCCGCTCAACATGACCACCGGCGAGGCGATTGGTGTCGTAGAAACGTTGGTTCAGAGCGCACAGATCGCCCCGGATGATTTTACGGTCGACTTCAGTGGGAACGTGTGGTTGGCTAGCGACCCGTACAACCAGTTGGTCTTGTTGCCAAATGTGACAGCCAACGCCGTTTCAGGATCCTCCACCATCCAAATCATTGCGGGGAGCCCTCAGGCAAAGAAATACATGGGACCTTCGGCAACGGCATTCGGAACTGGCGCGTTGGACTTGCAGCGTGGCAGCCTGTACGTGACAACAAATGGTGGCATGGCAGAGTACCAATACAAGAATTGGACCATGGGAGGCAGTCTGCTAAGATATGATGTTGCTTCGTTCTTGACATAGCCAGCCAAAGGTATGATCGGGAGAGGACGAAGCTCGGGAGGTATTCAAGCGTCAGGAGATAAGGGCATCAGATGGCAGAACGGACCTGTAGATATCACGCAGACTCTAGCGCTTTCCCACTGTGTGGCTTCGAAGTCGAGCGGTTGTACAGTCCACCCGATCTCCGTCCTGTTGCAAGTTCTACCGTGTCGAGCGTGTATCTCCCCTTCCGTCCGGCGTTTGGCGCCTTTCTTCTTGGCATTGGTCTTGGCATTGGCTCGGTATGCCTAGAAGGTAGAGTTGGGTAAGAGCTTTAAGTAAATTTAGTTAGAGGTTTTAGTTAAAGGGAAAACTCCCAAACCGGAAAGGGGAGATAATTCGGCTTGGCAGCCTTATCGTTATCGCCAGCCACGGCTTGTCGAGAAAGCAAATGCAACATCGTCCTGCAGCAGATTCGGTCGTCGAGCAATTTCCTGTGCCACCTTGGTGCGCTCGCTTTCTAATCCCGCCGCGGCTCTCCGTTTTGACTATCTCTGCATAAATTTGAGCGCCGGTTCGCACTGTGAAAAGGCGCGCCTGTTCATATTTCTTTCCATTAAGAGAGTCGCGACATTCAGCTACGAACATACCCTCCAGATACACGTTCCGCGACAGGGTGTCTTCAATAGTGGTAGCTGGGCTGTTCCAATTGCGAACTTGTACCCAACCTCGTCTCCTCGTTCCTCATCATCTATCGTGCGTGTGACTCGAGTTTGCGACCACCAGTTCGACCAAGATGCCTTCGGTCTCGTTCGCGACTTTCCTCATCATCTGCCGTAAGAATGTCCCAATCTCCCTGAGCAGATCTGTTTGAGAAGTGCTGACATGTGTCGTGATGCAGCTGTCTCTTTCTTCCTGGGCATCCTCTTCTCTCTCTTTCCCTACGACTACCCGCTTCTATGGTCCTCACTGCCCACACCACCCTCCCACTTTGACGCCGTCGAAGCACACCTGAAACTTCTCCACAATGCGCCAAATCTGATCGTGCGAATCCTCCATATAATGCTCGGAGTTGGCATCTTGGGTCTGATTATCAAGCTCTACAAGCCCAGCGAATCGAACCTGCTCTTCGACGGTGGCAGTCTGGTGTTGTACATGGTTGCGGTGGTTGTGTATATCGCGAATATCGTCAAGGGATTGAGAATTGTGAATGAGGGCGTCTATGGATTAGGCATGGAGAAATTGACGCAGGATGAGCTTGACGAAGTCAACTCAGGTGGATTTGATGTCAACACCGGGGACAGCGTGCTTGGCCGTGAGGACAACCTGAAGGTCTTGGCTGCCAGCAATACCATCCTGGCGCTGGTGCTTGTCGGCGTGTTGGTGTTGCAGGTTGGTCAATGGTATGCAGACAGGGCGGATGAAAATGCCCTGCGAGAGTTTGAGGCAAAGGAGAAGGCGGAGCGCGAGAAGAAAGAACACGAAGCTTCCAGCCCCACGGTAAAAAGGCAAAGTAGTGGGAAGGAGGGAAAGAAGACCAGATGAAAAGGGATATATGTTGAATGAGCTGCTTGGAGTGTGTGGGGACCATGTCCTGCCTTTGCATGAGCGCTGTGGCATTCTTGTAAAACTTTTGCTGCAAATAACTGGATATTTCTGAGAGTCAATCAAGTACTTTCAGAAATATGAGTTCAAAAGCTATGGCGACAGTGTTGATGAATGTCATTCTCGTCTTTGCTTCGTATAGCCCGTTTCCTCGTTCTATCGATTCTTATTCCTCTCTTCCCTCTCTCGTTGTCTCTCCTTCTTCTCATCCTTCTGCCGCATCTTCTTCATTTTCTTCCTCTCCTCTTTACTCATCTCCTTGTTGCCGTTCGACGTCATTCCTTTGGCCATGACAGTGTCCGTGGCTTTCTTCTTCTTCGCCTTCTGTGCTCCGCCCTCTCTATCTGCATCGTCGTCACCGCCTTGTTGCTTCCGTTTCTTTAGAGGAGTATGACTCTGATTCTCGGCTGCATTAGAATTGTCAAGTTCTGTAGTGGCTTCTTGTTCTTCCAATTTTCGTTCATTGTCGTCTTGGTCTTCCCCCTCGAATTCCAGCTGGCCTTCGGCTGCGGCAGCGTTGTCGTAATGTAACCCAGTCTGGGCCAGAGCGTAGGTCTCAGCGTCTTGCCAGTCGTCGTCCACTCGATCCTGACCTGGCGTCCCAGCTTCGATGTCAGCGCCCACTTGCGGGTCCTCGACGCCTTCTGAGTTAACAGAGTAGATGATTTTACGTTTCTGTTTTTTGAGCACTGGAGTTTGTTGGTCTTCATTCTCTGCCTCATCTTCATCCAGGGCGCGCTTTTGGCTCCCCCTCTCCCGCGGCGTCTGTGTCTCGTCTGACTCTCCCAACCCTTCAAGCTCCTCATCCGCAGTATTTTCTTCGCCCTTTGCTTCCGCTCTTTTTTCTAGCTCAAGACTCCCACCGATGCGCTTGCCCTCCATGCCACTCAAGATCCTTTTCAAGTGACTGAGCGTCAAGTTCGGCGTCGATCCGCTGGACAGGGCCTGGGGCCCACGCTCCGTGAGTGTGCTGTCCGGTCTGTATGCGGCGTCATTTTCTGCACGGTCGAGGAATGCGGAGAGAAAAGTGTGCGCTTGGGAGTGAGTGAGCCGGGTGGTGGAGTGGTGCACCGAGGTAGGGAGAGGTGCGAGGCCTGCTGAAGAGGCCATCGTTGGGATTGAGAGGTATCAAATGCGATGAGAAGCGACTGCTATTGTGTCCCGGGTAAGCGAGTAGCGTTGCAGTGCTGAGATTGAGAGCTGAACATAGAATTCCAGACAGCTATTCAATTCATAAACGACAGCAAGGGGACCGGAGCTCTGAATAATTAGTATTGTACAATCAGAAATCCGCAGGTTGTAATCAGTCGCTCAACGAGTTCAGGTTCGAGAAAATGAAAAAAGATTCCCCGATAAGATTAGATCCCGCAGTCTCCACTTGTATACTTCGTCTACGTCGCTTCTCCAAGGCTCTGGCCGTTGGGCCGAGGCTCATTTCTTCATTGAACATACAAACTTTCCATGATCGAGTAATCGTGCTTCTCAAGGGTAAGTTTTCCAACATGGACTGTGTTTCATAAAAGTGCTCTTCTCTTTCTTTTCTTTCCCCCCTCGTCAACTAACCCCCTCTGTGAACGTCTACTCTCCTCCTCGACCTGCCGGAATCAGGTCTATCCCCCAAAGGAAACGACAAATAACGGCAACTGTCCGTCTGGTTGCGAAGATGCCTCTCGCGACAATCCACCTGATTTCCCTCTCTCCTTCAACCACCCTCCCCGACTTCCTCGCGGCACTCAAATCCTCCCCCGTCAAACCGCTTGTAATCTCCAAAGTGATCCGCTGGGTGATCACGCCCACAAAGATCGATGCTGAGCCGCTCCTCCACCCAAAGAAGCCATGGGATCTTCTCCTCATCGTGCTGGGAACCGATCCCCTTCCCGAGACCCTGAAGAACAAGATAGTGTGTCATTGGCACTGCTCGACGGGGATCCCCAGCCGCTTGACCAACGACTTCCCCGCGAGAAATGACAGACTGCTTCATCCGCCGACTTCAGAAGTCCCAGCCCTGACCGGGTCATTGGACAATCCACGCCTGGGAAGTTCGTCCCAGACGCTCGAACTCAGCAACGACCTACAGTCGTGGATTTCGCAGTTCTCGCGCACCACCGCGGGAAAATCCCCCCTGTCCATGCTCAACCTCTTGGCCTTCAAGTCCGGCATGAAACCGTCCTATCTGAAATACGGCGCCGCGTTCGCCGAGTCCATCGGCTCCCGCCGCGGCGGCAACGCAAAGCTGGTCGGCAACATCACTTCCCAAACCCCACAAGAACAGTCCGGTGGCAAGTGGGACGAGTTCGCCCTCGCGAGTTACCCTTCCATCATGCATTTCGCCGACATGCTGGCCTCGCAGGACTACCAGGCCGTCAACTTGAAATATCGAGTCCCGGCGCTGGAGGATACGTTCATTCTGTGTACAAGCGAGATTGAGATTGAGGATCTCGTCCGGGGACAGGGGAATTTGGGGATTGGAAGGAGAGCCATGGGTGGGAAGTTGTGAAATCACCGAGTATAAGCTCGGAAGAACCACGGTGAGATGGTATGAAGATTGGAGTCCAGACGCAAAATGGTTAGTAGTGGAGCAACAGACTGGAACTTGAGTGGGATTCTGTGAATTCAAAATGGTGTGTCTAAGGAGAGATATATCATCTCGGTTTGAGTGATATTGAAGACACATGTCGAGAATGTGACCGGGGAGGACTCTATGCATATAGCCTGAGTATTATAATTTCGACATCATCTTCCCCGATACACATCCGCTCCCCCTCGTGCCACCGTCCCCTTTCCCCGAGTTCATGGATGTGACATGTGCTCGAATCTGTCCAAATACCTCATGCACCGCCTCAAATGTCAGTAGTCGTATGTAGCATCCAAGGGGCATCAAATTTTCCGCCGGCCCTATCCTTCTGGAAATATCTGGCGCACCCATATCTCCAGCCTTCACGACGTATAACCCTAAGACTTCCGTATTCACCGTCACAGATTGATCAGCTTGTCGTCTGAAGGCCTCTTCAGGTCGCAACTTCTCGGTTGTTTTCCGCCGCACGCATCTCTTGTTGGATGAAGCTTTAGCAAGTTCAGAAGCTGCTTCTGCGTTGCTCATTTAAAACAACCTGTTTGCTGGACTGCACCCTGTGTCGGCAGTAATGGGGTTCGGTACCACGCAAAAGAAAGGCTGCGGGAGAAGGTGATATGCCCGTTCGACCCAGGTGTAGGATTCCTCGCCTGACATCCGCACCCTCGATCAATGAAATTTCAGACCACAATTCTCTTGAGGGGCACCCACTGCCTCAGCCGGCCGTAGTTGAGGTTTGTTCTTGGCGAAGTGACTATGCAGCCCCTCTGATCGAATCCAACCTTCATTGAAGCTCAGGTCTCGCGACGGCTCTGCGTGGAGTGGAGCTGTGAGCACCACGGTACACCGGTTGTGGCTCTTCCGTTGCCTTTCCTTCCGTTGCATGCGAGGGCTCCGTGGTCGACGAGTATTCAAATGTTGGCCACAACACCCTTAGCCACAAGCTGATCAAGCACTCCCGGTTTCAGTCTCATCTGTCTCTCCACCTCTTGAGGAGACTTGCCCAATTCATCTCTCAGTGTCAAAGCCTCTTTAATGTCTTTGACGCTCAAGAGCGTTCTTCCCCCAAAGCCAGGCCGGCCTTGGTTTTCCAGGTCCGATTCCCATTGAGCAGCAATCTTTCTTCTGGCCTGGACGAGCATCATGGCCGGATTTTTCGTGTCAGAGGGGAAGATGTTCTGGCCGGAGTGCATGGGCTGGCTCGAGGTCGGGAAGGTTTCTTCATCGGGTCTTCTCTCTGTGATGGGTCTGGCTTGTCCGACTCGGCGCAGCGCAGAGCCAAATTGTGGATCTCGTGCATCAAGCTCGACATGTTCTGTCTTTTCGCCTGCGGGAGGGGCAGCGGCCGGACTGGGTCGGACTTCAGCTGCGGGTGCGGGTGCGGGTTTTGTTGCTGCGGCGGCAGGTGAAGGTGAAGGTGAAGGTGCGGAGTTGACAATGGAGGATGTCGAAGGATATTGACGGCGAGCTGCGGCTCCGCCAGCTCTGCCGGCGACCTTGGAAGCTGAGGAGCCCATTAGGACAGACAAGGAATTCAGTGTAAGCTGTTGGGAACTGTTAAGAACTGTCAATGAGTGACTCTCGTATCTGTCAAGGTCAATGACTTTAGTTTCTGGAAATGGACGCAAGTCTCCACTTTAGTCGCAAGGCTGAATGCGTCATAGGCTCATAGCCGGACCAACCAATCGAAAGTCACATCAAGGGCATCTTTTCATCTCGCGGTCAATGCGTGGTAGAAGATCCAAGGATCAAGTCACAAGTCTGGATGCGTTTCCCCCTTTGGACACTTTTCCTCTCACCGGTCCCCTCAGCCATAGACGGTGACATAACAATCCTTCGTTCGTAACCCCCTAAGACTCTTTCGCTATCCCACCATCCTCTTTCATTAAAGACTTAAAAAGGACTGCCCCTCCCCCCACCGCCTCTTTCAGCCATGGAACGCAAACACAAGCCCACCTCCATCCCCGTCTCCCCCCAAATGGCCCAACCCATCGTTGACCTCTCGGACAATGTGCTCACGGCTCGGCTACCCAGCGGTGACTCTGTGACCGTCTACCTGTACGGGGCGACCGTCACGTCATGGAAGACCTCCAATGGCGCAGAACAGCTCTTCCTCTCCTCGGCCGCGGCGCTGGACGGTTCAAAACCCATCCGCGGCGGCATCCCACTCGTCTTCCCCGTCTTCGGCCCTCCCCCGAAATCCCACGCGACGGGACAGCTGCCTCAACACGGGTTTGCGAGGAACAACTACTGGGAATTCCTGGGCAAGAGCAGCAGTGAGTCTCTGGGACGCAAGGCGGACGACAGTGTCAAATTGGACTTTGGGTTGAGTTCGGCCATGCTGGACGAAAGTGTGCGAAAGAAGTGGCCCTACGACTTCGGCCTGGTGTACAGCGTGACCCTGGGCAAGGGCAAACTGGAGTGCCAGATGCATGTGCAGAACAAGGGAGACCAGTCGTTTGAGTTCCAGTGTTTGTTCCACACATACCTGGCCGTCAAGGTAAGCCTCTCAAATTCGAAGTCATAGTCACCTCAAACCCGGAGCATTTTAACTGACTGCGTGTTTTCGAAAGGACATCCACAAAACCGCCGTCCGAGGCCTGCAATCCTCACCGTACGTCGACAAAGTCCGCTCCGCGCAGACCTTCACCGAAGAATCCTCCTCGGTCACCTTCACCGGCGAGACCGACCGGGTCTACACTCCCCCCACGGATGCCAAAGACAACACCAAGCTTGTTCCCCTGACCGTGACCGAGAACGGCAAGGACACCTTCGTGGTCACGCGGGACGCCTTGCCGGATGTGACGGTGTGGAACGGGTGGGCGGACAAGATCAAAGGAATGGGCGACTTTGAGCCCAAGGACGGGTGGGAGAGATATCTCTGCATCGAGCCCGGCGTTGTGAGCTCGTGGACGAAGCTTGAGGCCGGTGATGCGTGGGAAGGGGCATGCTCGTTTGAGAGCAAACTCTAGAGCACTCTTGCCAGGAAGTTGTGGGATAGAGAGAGAGAGGAAGGAAGGAAGGGAGAGGCAAAGCTACGTTTTCCATGCCGCCGCTAGCCAACAATTCTTTCAGCGGTGTGAAGACAGAGTGCTCAAGAGAGAAAGCGGACCTGGGACGGGTGGTTTCAACCCATCAAATGCACGACATGAGATGAAAAGTACGCAACCACAAAGCACAGCCCACAGGGAGGGAGCATGAGCGTGCACTGGGCTTGGACCGGACTTGGGCAGAGTCAGCCTCCCTCCTCAGCATCGTCGGAAACCATCCAAACCATTCAAAGCGGTGTGGTATGGTAGCGTGGCGCGGAATAGAAATTTCCCCAATTTGAAAGAAAAACGAGCTATGAGTTCATAGGCTTTTTAGCCGTGAGACAATTGAGACACTTGAGCAATGAATGAGCCATACGTGATAACGATGAGCAGAGAGGAATTTCATCAATGTCAATCCCCTGTTCCTGATTTCATACCCTATTGTGAATCACTCCCAATCCGCTCAAGAGGGACATGACCGCACATCTTTGACATCGCTTTCTTCCACATATACTCTGACATTCGTTTCATTCTCGGAACTCCAAAGGCCATGCAAAGGAAATGTGAGATACATCGTCGAAGTCGTAGAACGTTGAGGACCAACCCCCCCTTCCTTTTATTTTGTCTGCCTCGTCTATTTTTGCCTTTCTGTTTTTGTCCTTCATGGACGTAGGATATCCAGACGGGTGGGTATGGAGACCAGTTCGGACAGGATGCCGGTTTTCATCCCCGGATTCGACGTCGTTGTTAACGTCGAGATTGAAGGCCGTCGGCGGGAAAGGGCATGTTAAGTCCATCCAGCCCTTGGGACGCTTGTCTCGCGTCGGTTCATTCACGTCGTGACAGATAAGTCGTTGATCAATGGAGGGGCAAAGGATGCCTTTATGTCAACCTCCCCTTCGCTTCCGCGTCCCATGGTGTCTCGTCCGTCCAGTGCTCGTGAAGGCATTCCTTATTCACGATCATGTTGTTCTGGCACAAACCCCGACACGGGCGTTGAGGCCGAATCATCTGTTCCTGGCCCCTTGGCTCGGGCATCCCGGACTTTCTGCAAGTACGCCTGGTGTTCGCGGTCTATCCAACAAAGTGGTGGGATTCACGTTAGCAATGTACCTCACAACCCGTGCAGAGCCATACTGTAGGGGATAGGAACAAACACAGGATCCTACAGAGCCCTGCACCTTCAAAAGTAAAGAAAAGAAAAGGCTCAGCGAAAGGATGAAAACTTACACCTCTCCCACAAAAAGTAACTACTAACAATGGCAAAAGGCAGCGCCACCACAAACGTGGTATACCGCGTCGACGCCTTCCTGTACCTGGGGTCCCTTTTCAGCTGCTCAAGCGGCAACTCGGTCAGTTTTGGCGCGTGCGGTACCTCGGGAGGGATGGTCGTTGGTCGTGGTGGCATTGAGGGCTTTGATCCAGCGGGGCCACTGTGCTGACGGGCGGCCAATGCGATTGTAGTGGACATGGGCAGGGCTTTCGTTGAGGAGTACGCGCGGACTGTTTGGTGCTGGGTTTGAGCGGTGCCAAGCGGAGGAGAGGACAGGAAGGAGGGAGGCGGTGGATGTGGATGATATGCTTGTTGTTGTGGGCTGAGAGGTGGAATTGCCATCTGTGTTGAGACTGGATGGACCGTATCACTTGTCAAGGCTGATGCTGCCCCTCCTGCCGCTGTCGATGCCCTGCCTATTGAAGGAGGGATGGAGGTAGTTTCGTCAGCTGGCACAGGAATTGCGTCTGCCTCAAAAGAGGTTTGTGACGCTGATGTCGGTGTCTCCTGCGTGTCAGGTCCGGCGTGCGGCGACGATGGATGCCGAGTCGTAGTATACGCAGCTTCTTTCTGGCTGATGAGCTGTAGGAAATCAAGTTGTAACCGGTCGGAACCTCTCGAGAAGGCCTTGGCGTGCTCAAGGATCTTCTTGGAGATGGATAGTTGGCCTGGATATACTAGGCCAGCCGCCGCCGTCGTCGGTGTCGTTGTTGGCTGCTGCTGTCGCTGCTGGCCGCTGTTCTGTATCGAGTGAGTCTCGCTTTCTACCCGTAGTAATGTAGACGGAGCGGCGGCAGTAGTCGAAGGCCTTGAGGCTTCTGCGTTCTTGGCTACAGGTTTTGCCTTTGCTTTTCCTTCTGCCACAGTGGCAGATGCGTCGTGTTGTTGGCTGGCGAGGGATTTTGCTGAAGTCTTGCGATCCTTGGACGTAGAGGGAGTCGTTGCCGCATCTGGAGTCTTGACGACCGCGGGAGCTTTCTTCTTGGCCGATGCCGATGCTTTGGGCTTCTCCCCCGTAGCCACACCAACCACCTCCCCAACAGTTTGTTTTGCTCTTCCTGTCCTCGCCGTCGGAGTCACAGACACCCTTGTAGACGATGAAGCCGGTCTGCCTCGTGCTTTCGGGGCGGGAACAATATCACCATTGCCGTCGTCATCGCCACCGTCTGTTTTGTCGTGTTGCAAAAGCACCGCGTCGGCATCCGCAGGACGTTGTTTCTTGGGCGGGCGACCCCGTTTCTTGGTCGTCACCTCGGCCATGATCACTGCTATGTCTACCGAGTATGTAATATACCTGGGTATTAAAAGCCACAGGAATATTCCAGAAGAGAAGCCCATACACAGTACTCGCTGTTACTGCCCAGAATACACGGTCAGGACGCGCTCCCCAAGACGCGCTATGGAGATTGCTCTCTCCGAGTGGGGGCCAGCCACGAAGTTCCTTCAGGGGCTGACACGGAGTAACGCATCAAGGAAGATCAAACGTTTGGCGTGGCAGAAGAGAAAATCGTTGCCGGCCCAATACTTCCTGGAGGCTGTTCTAAAAAGCAGCAAATTCTGGCTATCAGTCCTGTCTCCGGACAAGAAACCCGGTTACACGGTCTCTGATGGACCAAAAGTCGAAGGGATAACATAGTCTAATAGCTCAACCGCTTTTCCAATACCTGGGAACTCCACACTAGGTGAATATCTGCCTATGAATGCTTCCACGTCCGTGCCGAACAAAGAACCCGAAAAAGATATTGTTTGTATACATAAAGTGTTCGAAATGAACCCCCAGGCCTTCCAGTCTGATGCCTTCCGTCGCTATGCTCCATTGTAGTGATACCTAGCAACCCGCTCTATGCACCTTTCCAGCACAGGTCCGACGAGTGTCGAGTCCAATAATACTGCATGTGTTCATGGCTGCCCGTGTCCACGCCCGTTCAATCTTCGACTCTCTCGCTGTTCGCTCTGCCGCCATCGCTCCTGTACCTCTTCTTCCTGGCGCTTCTGGTATTCTTCAAACTCTCTCATCGCGATTCCAATTTGTTCAAGTCCTTCTGCTTCCCTCCTCATTTCGTCATTCAGACGTTTGTCGTTCATGTTGATGATCGTTCCTGGTCCGGGAGATTCTCCTCGCAAACCCCTCGGATCCACTCTAAACCGTGAGCTCTTGGGTCGACTTGATGATGAAGGTCGACGTCTAGAAGACCTCGGTGGGGTGCTGTCTTCGACAAAGCTAACATTGCTGGGCGTAGCATTCGACACGTGGCGTTCTTGAGCTGTCTCGGCCGCTCCGTTGACTGAGGAGGGAGGCGCAAAACTGGCCTTGCGCCTCTTCTGCCCACTTCCAGCTCTCCGTGCCTGGTGTGTCACTCGAGGAGGCAAGAGCACCCCAAATCCGCTGGGCGAAGGGTGTGATCCGGGGTATCCGTATGCACGATCAATTACATTCTGTGGCGGACTCATTACCTGCTGGCGATACTGTGCTTGTTGGTGGAGTTGTTGTTCTCGGTCTTCCGCTTCCATGATCAAGCCGTGAATATCGTCGAACGTCATGTTAAAAGTCCACGCTATTCCGCGGGCAGCTGCCCTCTTGCGGATGTCGGTCAGGGCGTTGTGGTCGTCTATGAGGCGCTGCTCATATGTCCGTCTCGATGCTGCGGAGTGCGGTGCCGAGTACACCCCGTTGGGACTCGGGGCTTCATATACCGGTGTATAGAACTCAGAAGGTCGATAGGAGGCACCGGCCACAAATCCATCCCGGGTCCTCATGTCATTCGGTGCGAGAGTAGTACCATTTGGTGTCTGGTCAGCACTGTAGCTTGGAGGTTCAGTGTACAGCTGTGAGAGTCTTTCAGCATCAGTTGCACGGAGGATAGTGTTGACAGGCGTAGACAACAATTCAACTTCGGGAGTTTTGTTCGAAGTCAGATCGATTGGATCGTAGCTTGTGCCTTGAACAGGGTTCGGCATCAATGCTCGTGCAAGCTCGACTGAATCAGTGCGGTCAGACTTAGTCTGCTCGTCTTTGTCACACCGGCACCAGACCTGCGTGTACATACGCCAATCATACACGCTTCCGGGGACGGTTTCTTCATTTTCGTCCTCCTCATCTGGCATTTGATAGGCAATTTCTGCAAATGCAAGGAGCCGCGACGACGGAGAAAGGCAAAACAGATTGCATGAGCCGGGTATTTCAACAGGCCTGGGATCAGGCTTTGCAATGGCGCTCTCAGCACTGACAGGGATGCGTTGGACTCTCCGTTTCGATTTTCTTTTATTTCTGGATGGGTAAGAGCTGCTACCCGGCTTTGGCTTTGGCGGAGGGCCAAACACTTCGGCTAGTCGCTTGGACTTCAAGACCACAATCTTGGATTTCTGTGGTGACGGAATTTCAGGCGGGGGAGCCTTTTCAACCTCAGCAACATCATCTATTTCACTATTCTCGGCGGAGATAGAGTATCGGAGCTTTGATGGGACTCTGGCAGCCGAGGAGGAGAGTCTTGCAGATTTGCGGGGAGGAGCGTCCGGAGCATCGTCGGTGGCGGGACGCTTCTGAGATGTCGAAGATTCTGATAATAACTTTGCGGTGGGTTTTCGTTCCCGCTGCGAGGTTCGGCGAGAAGGCGTCTCGGCAACAGCGACTGGTGCCTCTTGTCCAGCCACCTGGGTGGGAGACGGCGTTTTGGTTATGTCGGAATTTGCTGTTGGCGTAGGTTGCGCCACCTTGGGGTCCGGGTGAGCTTCCTCAGATGTGTCTTTGGGCAGGGGAGCAGTTGTCGATGGCTCCTTGCTGAAAGAGGGCCCAGGCTTGGGTGACGACCTTTCGATTACAATCGTATCCAAAAGCGGCGGCGAGGGCTTTCTGATGCCACTCAGGCCTTGGGCTTTGGCGGTCGGTTTGCGCACGCGGCTGGAAGCTCGTCGGTCATGAAAACTGCCGGCCTTGTCTGAATTGCGGCGAATGGTAGAAGTGGAGGGGTTGGTGGTGGTGGTGGTGCGTTTGGACCTCATGGTTGCTGATGACACGGGGTTGGTGGCCAGAGTGTCAGCGTAATCATCGGGGTCGCTCACCGACGTGGTACCCCCGGCAGAAGTGCTGGTGTCTTGGGTTGACTGGGTCGGACTGGGCGTCGCCGAGTCGGTCACAGAAGCAGAAGCAAGCTCCTTGGAGCGGGTTTGGGCGTGAACGGTGTTGAGTCGCATGGAAGGAAGAGCCGGAAGCTGAGCGAGTTTGCTGAGAACCATGGCCGTTTGACCAGTAAAGGCCACGGCGCGGGCGGAGAGAGGAAGCAGGCGTGTCAAGAGCGTGGCCGACGCGCTCTCCTGTCCACAAGAGCAAGATGGATGATTGTTGATGAGCCCCGAGCAGGGCAATGTCGAAGCAGAGGTGAATGTCCTTGTCGCAAGGGCCACAAGGGACAGCGACGGGGATGAGAAGGTGGCTCAAATCTTGCGTGGGTTCCTTCCGAAAAAGGCTTAGTCTCTGCCACCAGCTGCTTGGGCTGCTTGGGCTGCTTCGGGCTGCGTGTGGAACGACAGGCAATTCCTAGAGCTAGAGATTGCCACCGGATCATGCAGAGCGAGAGAGGGTTGGAGAAGAAAGAGAAGATCGAGTCAATCAAGAAGGACAAACGGCCGGTCTTGTTGCATCAACAATCATGGCCATCAGCATTACAGACACCATATCAATTACCCAAACACCCTATTTTCAAGCACCGATAACCATGTATTCAGCCATTGATGCAGAAAATCAATGCTCAGCAAGTCAACACAATATACTGTCTTATTGAATACGGAGATCCTCCATTCACTACCTCTCGTGTATCGCCGTGCTATTGTGCATTTCCCAATTGGCAATAGTGAATAGCCCGGCCTCAGACAATAGAGTCTGCCGCACCCTGACCACAGATCACAGATTTCTCTACACAGCTAGCTAACCCCAAGAACAGAAGATGCATTCTCTCTAAATTCATATATTCATAAACTCAAGACAACAGGACCCTTCTGTCCCTTTAGTTCCCGTCTGACATCCTCCAGCCTCCTCCTCTGCTTCCCGTCCTCGTCAAAATTACTCTCGTCCAGCCAGTCCTCAAACCCTTGTTTCACCCCGCCGTCAAACCAATCGTCGTCCAGCATGGAGAACCAACACGTGTCCCTAGATCTTCCCTTGTAGATCATGTGCTTTCTGAAGATGCCTTCAAACGTAAACCCAAACCTGATCGCCGCTCTCTTGGAGGGCCCGTTGAGGTTATCGCATTTCCACTCGTACCGTCGATAGTGCAGAGTTTCAAAGACGTATCTCGCGAGCAGGTACATCACCTCGGTGGCGGCCTTTGTCCGCTGCAACAGTGGGGAGAAGAGGATGTTGCCGGGTTCCACGACACGGTGTTTGGGGTCGATGCGCATAAGGCTTATCCAGCCGACGGCTTTTGCGCTTTTCTTCTCGATGACGGCGAAGAGCAGGGGATCCTCGGACTTGGATTTTGCAGCGACAGCTTCTTGGAAGACCGCGAGTGACTCGTAAGGGCTGTCAAACAGGTAGGTCCAGAGCCGGTGGTTGTCCTTGCCTTTCACCGAGTCGTAAAGATCATTGGCGTGGGAGGGCGACAAAGGTTCAAGTATCACCGCTGTCCCCGTCAAAGTGACACGCGAAGGCCTTAGAGCGGGACCATCAGAGACCGGCGGGCCGATTTGCTGGTGCATTTCTTCTATTTCGTGCGAATCGCCGTGAGTGCTTGCACAGCGAGATCACACAATGAGATGTACCTTCTAGCTTGCTCGCACTTGAAACCGCAGAATCCATTTTCCTTGACCTGAGGACTGCCACCTGAGCGGCGAAGGAAGTGTCTTGGCTGATTTTCTTTCCCACGATTTCGAGGTACTCGGTTCCAGTCGAAACAGTAAAAGGGTTGCTCTACGGGACTTGAAAGCCTGTGCACGGTGTTGCGGGAAAGACTTCTGAAATCAACACACCCTAGGATCTAACAGGAAATACCATCAGACGTTTTCAATTCCAATGAAAAAGGTGGCACATGCGTACTCTTGAAGGTCTCAACAGAGTGGAAATTATGGGTTGCCCTCCCTAGTTAGCCGTGGACGGTGCGGGAGGGAGGAAACAGAGCCTTGGGTGGAACTTAGATTAGGCGATTATGGGCCTACGAGGGCCGATCCGCCGTAACGGAGTCAGCCGAAGAGAAGGATTACATTGTAGAACTCGTCGTTTGATTTGGTCAAGTATAGAATTGGAACTGAAGTGATTGCTCAAACCCCATGCGACAGACTATATACTTCAACTGGAGATGTATCCAAAGCCGTGCATGACAACAACCCAATGAGCTCTTCCACTACGAATGACTACTTGAATATGTTCACTTCAGATTTGGAGATCTGTGGAACTGGCGCAGCGGGCCTGAGGCACGAATGACCGTCTGTATAGTGAGACAAGTGGTCAAGAAGCATCAATCATTACCTTGAGTATTTCGTGGATTCGGCTGGTGCATTGAGAAGGCCGTAGAACTTTAGAGCGCTCTTCGACATCTGCCAAAATCAGTAGGATACAACTGCACACTTGCCATGTTCGAGAACGTCATCAACTGGCACTCTATTGAAATCTGTGCTGTTGATAACGGTGCGTAGCTCACCGGTGTATATATCAAGCATTTGATTGAGCATCACCATGTAGGTAGATGCGTTGCTGTTGTTGACGGTGCGTAGCTCACCGCAGGCCCAGCCGACCCTGACGAGGACGGCTGGGACTGACTAACGTGGACTATCTGACAAAATTTGCTGGTTTTGTGACGGTGGAGAAGCTCACCGTATGTTTCAACGTACCAATATGCAGGCACGCTCGTCGTTTGCTGAACAGAACAGAGTCCTAGTTGACAGGGTTACCGCTAATGGTGGTGCTGAGTTGCCACCAATTGATATACCGAGTCTTATCGATTCCAACAAAGGAGGGAGTGCTGTTGTTGACGGGGCTGAAGCATCCCCGGTTAGGTGACATATGTTGTAACGTTGATGTAAGAATAGTCGATGATGGCATCCCTGACTCTGGCTCAGTATCTTGCTGTTGAAGCATCTTGTCGCTCCCTCTTGTCTTTGTAGATGTAACTTCCCGGTTGAACAGGTCGCGCGACGAGCCCGCGCATGTCAGATTTATTGTTCAGGACGACAGACACTGAAGGATCAGGGAGCAGGTCTGTACCTTAAGGCTTAGGTTCCTCTTTCTTGAGACCAGTAATTGTTTCCCGGTGTTCTTTTGAGAGCTTCGTCTTCACGACAAAGACGCTTGCAAGAACAGCGAGAGCACCCAGAGCCGTGTACATGATGAACATGTTTCTTATGCTCCAAGCGAAGGCTTCCTTGACTGCAAGTTCTTGGGCGGGCGGAAGGGCTTTTCCCACCATGACGTTGGCGCCTGCGTTTCTGCCCGACAGTTCTTCCACGACGGACGGTGGCAAACCCATTTGTTGCAATGTTGGGCGTCGAAGATCCATACTTTGCTGAAACACAATGCCGCCTATGATGACGCCTAACGAGAGTGCTAGGGCTCTAATGAAGGATTGTGTCGACGTCGCAGTGCCGACGTCGTCCTGGTGAACGCCTTGTTGAATTGCGATAAGAGGAGGCTCAAAAAGCAGTCCTGAACCAATGCCTTCGATGATCTCAAACCCAATAATGGTGCCCGTTGAGGTGTGTGCACCCATTGAGATGAAGAGGCCAGTTCCGAGGGTCATCAGAATAGTTCCAATCCACATGGAGGGCCTGTACTGGCCTGTGCGATGTATAATCAAGCCATTGATGACTCCAGTGCCTGCCGTGGCGACGATAAGTGGCACCAAGAGAACCCCTGATCGGAGAGGTGAAGCTTCCTTGACACTTTGAAAATACAGCGGCAAGTAATATTCAGCAGCAATGAAGACCTGTTTCGGGATGTCAGCAAAGGATTGAGACAAGTATCAGCGTGGAAGACCGACCATTCCATGAAAGAACGTCACCAGCATAGTTGCAGTATTCCTTGTTCCAAAAAGTGACAGCGGAATCACGGGGTACTTCGCCAATCTTTTTTCGCTGTAGATAAAGACAAGCACCATCAGTGCGCCAAACACGATGAGGCAAATGACTTTGGCTGAACCCCATGGGTACACAGATCCACCCAGGTCAAGCCCCAGGAGCAGCATCACCGTTACACCGAGAATTGAGATGCAACCAAACCAGTCGATAGCTTTGACACCATCCAGGACTGGCGTTCGAGGATTGTGAACGTTGAGGAAGGGCGCCAGAAGCGCAAAAGCTGTGCCAGCGATGGGCAAATTGCAGTAGAAGCACCATCGCCAGCTGGCTTTTTGGGCAAAGGCACCACCCAAGAGAGGACCCACAGCGCCGCTGAGAGCCCAGATTCCTTCACATAGACCAAGCCACAGGCTCCTCTCGCGCACACTGAAGAGATCGGAGATACCGACATTGACCATGCAGATAAGACCACCTCCAGCAGCGCCCTGGATGCTGCGGCCAACAATCAGCATCTGCATGTCGACGGCTGCTGCACAAACGACAGAGCTGGCGAAGAACACCACCACAGCAATGAGGAAGATCGGCTTGCGGCCCCAAATATCAGAGAATTTGACCCAGATCGGAGCAGCTGCAGCATTGGCTATGAGATAAGCACCACCTATCCAGATGTACCCGGCTGCTGAGTGAAGTTCAGCGGTGATTTTGGGCACGGCAGTAGCGACAATGGTGGCGTCGAGGGCAGCCACGAACAGCGACAGGTAGAGGGCAATCAGAATCATAGTGAGACGAAATTTGTTGCGAGGCGGTGGCTGCTGATCCTGATCTGGCTCGGCCAACTCAGAGAGAGGTTCAACAGGGACATTATCGGTTGACAGATTTTGCATTCTCTGCGCAGGACCGATGAAATCGACCTCTTGAAACCCCTTTGAGACCATTGGGGATATTTGATCCCAGGCGGGATGGTGTGTTTCCTTGCTTGCCAGAAATATACCAGGACAGGAGAAAAATACAATGTCAGAGTGGGAGGAAGTTGTGAGAGTTATAGCCAGAAGGCGAAAGGTAAGGAAGAGAAAAGTAGGGGGATGTTGCGGGTGCTTCTGGGCTCGAGCATAGAGGGGTTTCGGCTTCTATAAGTACGCTGGCTGCCTGGACAAGCCTCCTAGAGTCGATCCAGTTAAGTCGATCAAAGGGCGGTCGGCGTCCCAGTCCAGGAATTACGGAATATAAGGTCGAGGTCTGGATGGAGCGGATCCTACGAGTTGAGCTGAGTCCGCCGCAATCATTGTACGAGTACGAGTTAACTTCTCGTAATCCGAAAACTCTGGTGGTGCTTGTATGCGCTTGTAGACAAATAACAGTCGATCGACGGGTGTGGAGCCGGAGGGTTGCCGCTGCGCCGCTCATCCTCCAAGATGCGGTAACGAGATCCCATTACGGATGATAGATAGCGATATGTACTGGGTGAAACGAATCGCCATATCCATCTACATCAGGATCAGGCGTCAGAGAGCCCAGCTTCCATCACTCGATCTGGGAGCTCCGTCGTTTGAGAATAGGTAGATTGATCCTACAAATTCTGCGTTGTATGGATAGACATTCTCGAAGGCTCCGGAAAATGAAATACGAACAAAAAAGATTGAACACAGCTTAGGGAACGGGTGGGTGGAAATGGAGACCACTCTCAAAGACTTGAGGTATGAACCTCTCTGTCGAACGTGGCAAGAGTTGTGATTGAGCAGAGCACTCTGGAAAGGCGCCCTCATCGCTTGATTGATGCAGCCTTGAACCTGCTGACTCTCCGCCCGTTCTCGTCTTCCAGAGGGGTTATCTCACCGTCTTCACTGTTGCCCAGAAACCCACCATCTTGGGAGAGTATACGTTTCATCCTGTGTTGTTGATATTCCATCGCGATCTCCCGCCGGTGGTCATCCTCCGAAAAGTCATCCGGATCAGGAGCTTTTGGTGCTTGGGGAGACGGCCGCTCCACCAGTTGCGCAGAAACGATTGTGGACGGAGGCTGAGGGAAAGGCTCTGCGTCCTTGACTTTATCCGTTGGGAATGTCATTGGAGGAGCGAACTTGGGCGTCTGGGGTAGAGATGCGCGCGCGGCTTTGAACCTTGACTGTTTGGCGGCCTTTGGGGCTGGAGCTGTTGGTGCAGGAGGCTCTTGTTCATCTTCGTCAGCCGCTCGCTCGATAACCGAATCTTTAATGGGTCGCAATTTTGGTTTCTGACTATCGTTGAGCAACGGTCTGTCAGGCATGGAACTTGTGCTTGCAGGAGGCTTGTCAGGAGCAATATCCAGGTCTGTGGAAAACGCTACTTTCTTCTTGCTGGGCTTCTCTTTGCCTGATTTGTCGATGTCCTCAGACTTACTCAAAGCAGTCTTCAAACTGCCCTTTTTAGATTTATCGTGTCTGGCGATAGCTGCCTTCCGGGCTGCTTCGGCTGCCGGTGGCCGTTCGGGACGCTTGATGTGCTCGACAGAGGTTTCAATTTCTGATTGAGGTCCAATATTCTTCAACCCCAGCTTCTCCTGTAACTCCTCCATTTTCTTCTGATAACCACGGGGCAAAGACAGGGGATGTTTGCTCTTGCCAGATTCATCTTCCGAATCGTCTTCCTCAAGATCTTCGTCCAGATCCATCTCGGTATCGAAATCCGGGTCATCTTCATCTTCGTCGTAAGAGAGATCAGAAGCGTCTTCTTCCAGCTCAAGCTCAGCCACTATAGCCCCGACTTCATCCAAGCCTCGCGAGTATTCAAGCATTTCTCGGCGTAATTCAGCCTCAGCTTCCGTGTCATTCGGGTTTGTCGGGAAGATGTCTGCTGGAGACGTCGCCCCTTGATCTGTAGCAGTCATTGGTGCCTTGTTGGGATGACTCTTCTCATCAGCCTCATCCTCCTCTGCGCCCAACGCAGGCACCTTCATCTGCTCTGCTGAAGGCTCAGCTTTTGTGATTGTGCCGTTCGTCTCCTCCAGGTCATGCACGCCAGCCTGCTTTAACACGTCTATCAGCTGAGGAGCGCCAGCGCCTGGCGTCTCTACTTTGCTGGATATGACCTGTCCGGATTCATCGAGCTCCTCAGTAATTTCGGCCAGAGGTAAGCCAGCATCATCTCGATGCTCAGGTTCCTCAGCAAGCAGCAGAGCATTTCGTTTCTTTTCTGCGTCGGAGACTTGCTTCCTTATTGTCTCAATATTCCGGATGACATAGTCGACACGCTTCGACAGCAAATCCACAAGCTGACGAGGTTGGCGAGGCTTGGAATTTTTATCCCTCAGCAGATCCTGCAACCCATTTTCGTCGATGGTCTCTGGCTTGAAATCTCTTGCTGCTAGGAGACAGTCATCAGCGGAAGCATCTTCGGGAATGCCCAGAAATTCTTCTTTGAGTCCTTCGTAGTCAATCTCAAGTGTCTGCCAGTGTCGCAGCGATCTGCGGAGTTTCGCAATGTTGTTCTCGAGCTCGACCCGCTGCAATTCCACGCGGGCGACGGCAGAGTCATCCATGGGTTATACAGGCCAACGCACGCTGTGGAGGAATTTTGGGAGGAGCACGTAGGGCCAAAGCGGTGGTGGTGAGTGTTTTGGTGGTGAAAAATGTTTGGCGAGGCGCCTTGCTGCCTGGCACTTTGGAAACGCCACCCAAGGGGATGGATTTGTCATTACAAACTGATGGCCTGTGGCCTTGATCATTTCACTTCCAGGTCCTCCCTCCCACTTCACCTACGGTCCTCAGTCTGCCAAACCCTCCAGAGTCGTTCCTCTCAAGCTTCCAGCTTTCGCCCTTCGAGATGAAGGGAAAGCATCATGGACGACGATGAATTAACCCGTAAGAAACCGCAGCTTGAAAGACAGGACAGATATGCTAAATAAAGCAACCAGCTTCGAACAAGTGCCCAGTCTGTGGCAGCGATCCTCGGACACATCCAGGACTTCGCTTCAAGATCAACACTAAGTGCTATCACCGGATCTGTGAAGGCTGTGTGGATCGAAATTTCTCAAGCGGCAAAGCCGAATGTCCGGTAGGAGGATGCCATGTCAGTCTCTGGAAACGAGAATGGCGGACTCAGACATTTGAAGACCTCAAGATCGAACGCGAGGTGGAGATTCGGAAAAGGGTGACTAGAATGTAGGTTATTCCCTATATCTTCTCACATACTTTGCCCTGACCTTGCCAGCCTTGATCGGCAGGAGGGAGAATTTGAGTCGAAACGATATTATGATGACTTTTTGGAGCTCCGAGAAGAAATGATCATGAATCTGGTCTTTCGCACGGACGTAGCAGCGACGAACCGCAAGCTGAAGGAGTACGCAATCGCAAACGGTCTCAAAGTGGATTCGAACGAAACGACCGAGGCGGGCTCCAAACTCTTGAAGAAGAAGGATGTTGACCCAACAGTTGCAGATCCCAGTGGACTGATCAAGGGTCTGAAGAAGAAGATCATCCCCGTTGCTGTGGCGCCATACGATCCCTTTATGGGAATGCCACGCAACAGAGAATATTACGAAGTCAAAGAGAGCTACATTGCTCGTGCAAGGGGAAAGCCCGCCGAGGCCATGGTTGCTGCAGGTTATGACTTTGGACAATACATGGATGAGTGTCTCCTGCGGGCATTTGCGGGACTGGGGGTTTTCATTCAGGATGAGATGGCGGGGAAGGACAACGCAACTGTTCCTGTGCCGGGCACCGCAGAGGTCAAGGGCGCAGACGACGTGTTTTGAACAATCAGGAACATGAGGGCTAGACAGACACAGCATTTTCAGGGAGACAAGGAGGGATCTCAGGCATCATTGGCAGCATTCTTGGGGGTATTGGACATTTCGCTTGAATGAACATGAACATGACTGTCTCTTCCAATTCTGCTATCCTCTGAGTGATGGTTACTGATGGAGTGGAGAATGAGTCCGTCCCTCGACCTCGCCCTCTGTCTCTACATGTCGAATCTGAATCGCGGCGGCGTCTGGGGGGCTCTGCCAAGACGCTAGTCCCAAAGAATTCATTTCACGAAAAGTGCGGCGGTCAGTGGGAAAGTGGAAAGTGGAAAGTCGCCCTCCACTGCATCTGGCATCGACTGAAATCTTGGCGTTGGCGGATTGTGCAGCAAAAGCCACCATCTGCCACTCAGCAGTCGCAGGATCTGTAGACCTGGTTGACTTGGGACAACCTGTTTCAGCGATCCTAACTTCTTCGCCCGTTCTACTTCTTCCTCACCTTTGCGTTTCCTTCAAACTAGACCCTCCGTCCAACACCGCCACCAATGCCCGCGCCCACAAACACCCTTCTGATCGAAGGGACGTTCAGTGAACTTGCAGAAGAACTCGCTCAGTACATCGATTCTCTCGCCAAATCGGAAGAAGGCGCCGGAGTCCAGGCAGAGATTGAACAGCTGCTCAGCGCTATCAGAGAGTCCGAGCAGTCGCAAGAGCCGGTCGACGAGGCCGCAGTTCAGACCCAGAAAAATGAAGTGTTGAAAAAGATCGTGACCAAAGCCTCAGTCCTCAACAGCGCCCCCGAGAGAGGTATGAAAACCACAGAGAGGGTGTGAATTTTTGGAGGTCAAATAAATGCTGACAACAGTGTTCGCAGAATTCTCAGCAGCGTACAATCTCCTCATCAGCCTCTCCTCTCAATCCTCCATCTCCGACGGACTGTTTTCGAGAATATGCACGTATTTGTCCGAGCAACCCGTTACTTCCTCCCCCACGTACGGCAGCAGCCTCGCCCTGCAAACCCTGACTACGATATTCAACGTCCTGCCACCTACGAGCGAATCCCGCTACCATGTCTTCCTTGCCATCCTCAAAGTCATGCGCCAGATGACGTCCCCGCAGGCCTTTGAAGCCCTCGTCCCTCAACTCGAGACGAACATCCCTAATTGGCTGTCCGCGTGGGAACTCGACGACGACGATGCCCGCAATCTCTACGTCACGATTGCCGACGTGGCTTCCGCGACAGGAAACGAAGACCTCCACTACACATACCTCCTGTCTGCCCTGCAGACCATTCCTCCCGAATCGGCGTCTGAGGCGGAGAGCGCAGAACTCGCACGACGTGCTCTGCGGGTGGCACTGACAAACCCCACCATCACGGACTTTACGCCCTTGACCACGAGCGACGCCGTCGTCGCATTGCGGCGGTCAGATGGCAACCTCTTTGACCTCTTGGAGATCTTCTCCTCGGACGACTACTCGTCCTACGCCGACTTCCTCGAAACGAACAACCTTGCAGACTTGGGTATCCCCGATTCCGCAGCCGAGACCCTGAGCCACAAGATCCGCCTCCTTACACTGGCCACCATCGCTGCATCCTCAACGACCCGCTCCGTCCCTTACAGCACCATCGCATCTGCCCTGCAGATCCCCTCTGAAGACGTCGAGATGTGGGTCATCGACACCATCCGCGCCGGTCTCGTCGAGGGCAAGCTCTCGCAACTGAAGCAAGAGTTCCTGGTCCAGAGAGCCACCTACCGCGTGTTCGGGGAGAAGCAGTGGGCCGAGATCCAAGGGCGGCTGATGGTCTGGCGACGCAGTCTGGAGAGTGTGTTGACCGTCGTCCGGGGCGAGAGAGAGAAGTTCTTGAGAGAAGGCCCCATGACTAATGGAGACAACGCGGGCGGTGTCAATGGTTACGGCGGAGGCGATGGAGAGGGCCGAGAAGGCCAAAGAACTGGAGGAGGGGAACGCCACCAGCAGCAGAGAAGACAGGGTGGCGGCGGTCGGGATGGTGGTGGCCGTGGACCGCGTCGTGAGAGGGGAGATCAGCAGCAGCAACAACAACAACAAGGACCTCGAGAGATTGAAGTGGGCGGCGGAGATTAGGAGTCTTCTTCTCATTACCGCTCAGGGCGCCCGTCCTGGAGAGTCGATACGTTCTTGGACCATCTGTTGCAGCGCCTGCCGCGAGGAGCAGAGAATCATGTGATTGAGTGAGTAAGTGAGGCTCGAGAATGGACTTTCACGGACTATGCACGCACGAAACACTGCCTCCGGGTGGCATTACACATGGGGCGTTTACCCAAGAAACTTCGATGACACTTGATATGCGCAACGCATAAAATAGTTTAGCTTGAACTAGAACATTGCTTGCTCGGACACTGTTTTCGAGCAATTCTTTAAATCTGCTATCATCATTTGCTATTCCCCAGATATCCCCTTTGGTGCGGGCAGGATCAGCGTTGGGTATTCGTTCTCAGGTGTGCGCAATCACCACCTCCAAGACTCTTCAGACCGAACGGACCTTGTCGCAGGGGCGTACCTCCATTTTCCCCAGGCATAATGTATCACATCGTATCAAGCAGAACATAAAGCTGAGCACCATAAACCCTTCCAGGAGTGACACGCGGCTTCTTCGATGATCATCATCCCTGATATTGAGTCCACTACCAAATGTCAAGTTACCAAATAGATAGAAGACGAATCTCTTTATACAAAATGTGCGCGGTGACAGGGAGAGAGCTCCATGTGTTGTTCATGTCTGCATGCTCTGTGGAGCCTGTCGTGGGCTGCTCTGTTGCCCAGGTCCATTGCCATTAACATTGCTCTGGCTGGAGCTCCGCTGGTCCCTCGGGGTGGCGCTGCGACTCATTTGCCCCTGGTTCCCATGTTGGCTCACTGGCCGGGCCATATTCATTACCGGGGAATTTGCCATTCCATTGGGCATGCCGGCCATTTGCTGCATCTGCATCGCTTGCAGGTTTCGAGCGGCGTGTTGCTGAGCTTGTTGCATCCTGATCCGCTGGTTGTATTGTTGCAGTTGCTCATTGGTCATCATGTTTGGATGTCCTAGTTGTGCGGCAGCTGCAGCAGCCGCGGCAGCGGCGGAGGCATTATTCCCAGCATTCACAGCACCAAGCGCTGCATTCAACGCCGCCTGATTGTGAGGCTGGGGGCGTTTGTGATTTTGTCCCGCAGCGGCTGCTGTTGCTTGGTGTTGATATGTTTGGAGCTGTTGCGACGCAAGCCGTTGTACCTCTTCCTCTGACAAGTTGGGATGATGCTCTCGGATCTTGTTAGCGATCTGGGTCAAAACAGGAACGTGCCCACTGGATAAAGCCTGGCCGGAATTAGCGGTATTGGGGCGGGGTGAGCTTCCATTCATATGGCCCGAAGGAGACGCATTGCCGTTCGCGGCAGCAGCAGCCATTGCAGCCCTGTAAGCAGCATTATTCATGCCTTGACCATTTGCGAGGGCGGCGTGAGGGTGGTTCGGAGAAGAATGAGGACCATTTTGGGCCTGAGCTTGTCGCAAAAGCTGTTCTTGCTGCGCTCTGGTCGCTTCCTGGAGCATTCGCATCTGCTGGGGCGAAGTTACTCCACCTCGGGCGGCGAGTTGTGCCTGCATTTGTGCCTGCATCTGTGGCGTTATTTTGGGTGCCATCATACCCGGTGGTAGCTGCATATTCCCTTGCATTGCGGCGGCCATCATAGCCGGATGACGAGGATGACCATTAGGTATCTGGATATTACCATTTGGCAATCCGGGCACGCCGCCTGAGGATGGAGCACGCATTCCGGGTCCAACAGCAGGCATGCCGTTTGGTAGTCCATTGGGTTGACCATTTTGACCACGTTGTTGCTGTGCAGTGGCACGTTGGTGTGCGATAAGTTGCTGCCGATATATCTCTTGACGCTCGGCGAGTTTCTGCTCCCGCTCTTGCTTGAGCTGGGAGAACTCTGCTGGAGTCTTATAAGACGGCTTGGGCACGTTTGCATCATTGACTTTGCGCATGGCGGCGAGATCGGCTTGATGTTGTTGTTTCTGGAGAGCCGTCTCTCGCTTTTTGGCCAGCTTCCGCATAGCATCAAGCATAGCAAGATGTCGTTGGGTCCTCTTTCGTTCGACTCTAACGGGCTGTGTTGTCCTCTTGCGCGTCGAGATCTGGACATTGGCACCGGCTCTTCTTTGAGCCTCTTCAATCTGAGCAGCCACATGTCTTCCGGCTGCCTCAATTCTACCGGAATACGTCTTGAAGTAGGCCGTCTTTGACATATCGGCAGGTAGGCCCTCCAATCCGATCCATCTTTCAAAGCATTCCCACGGTGTCCGTCTGTCGGCACCCGACGTATACAAGCTTGGGGGAGTAAGACAACTGGAAATGAGAGACCAATTGTAGGAATAATCTTTGACAAGCTTCTTCAGTTCATCGTCTTCCGCAGGTGTCCATTGCGACGACGCCCGCGTCTCGAAGAAGGCTTGTGTAGGCATTGGATGCTCTGACGGGGGCCGGAAAGAATGTCCAGGATGGATTCTGTCTCGAATGGCTTTGTTCTCGGGCATGAACAGCGCAACGTTGGTCTCTTCTGGTGGAAGTGGCTCTGATTTCTTCTTTGGCGAAGGGTCAGGCTCGTAGTCGTACCGGCTTCGTTTCATTGGAGGCTTGTATTCCTTGACCAGTAGTTTCTCAGTAGCCCACCTTGAAACAGGCACAATATCTGTCTTCCATTTCGAATCGAGCCGTTCTCCCAAGTTGGATGTGGAACTATCTGCCTCGACAATGGAAGGCTCGTAGAGGGGTAGCTCGTTCAAAAGCTTGTCCAGAGCAGGGGTTTTGTCAACGGCAAAACTGAAGTCAGAGGCCCCCAGCGAGAATATCGCAGCGGGAGCACTGGACATTTGCACCTCTCGAGGGTCTGCGAACTCATCACTTGCGGAATCGTCCTCATTGGAAGGCACCAGATCGGGAGTGGGGTGTGAAGAAAGTGTTGGTCCAGGACCGTCGTCCATAGCCACGTCTTGAGAGTCGGCTGGCTCGGGTAGAAGTCTTGGTGGCCGAACGTGCACCTGTAGACGTTTTCTGTCTTCAGCAGAGCTTGCGACCCACTCCGCACAGCTTTCTGCGAGTCCTCTCGCAGCTGCTAGCTTCCACTTTCGCTCTTCCCTGAAGTCGGTACGCATCCACTTCATATGATCAAGCAAGAAATCCCAATGAGAGGTTGGTCTCGATGCTTCATCAGCACGCTTGTACTGCCTCAGAGACCAGCGTTGCTTCTCCTGCAGTTGGTAGAGTCGTTTCAGTATCCGACACTCCGCCGATAGCTCGTACTCAATGAGGTGATCCGAGGTGGACAGTGTCTTGTGGGCATTTTGAATGAGGTAAGACATCGTGCTTTGCCGTGACATGGAATGTGCCTTGTTCTCAAACAAAGTGTAGAGGTAATCTCTCTCACCAGGCCCTAGTCGCTGGGCTTCACCATCGCCAATACGTGTCAACTCGAGATTCTCCTCGTCAACCGTAGACTTCTGCGGTTTGGCAAACACCACGGTTGACAACCTACTGCGTTCCTTATCGCGGCGGTCACGGTCAGCCGCTCGGCCCTGGGGAGTCGTGCCACCAGAGGCATCGCGGTTGACGGCTGACGATGGCGACTCAGCTGGTGGCGTAGAGGTCTTTGGCGTCTCACCGAGGATTTCCGATACGGATTTCTTCTGCAGCACCCCAGAGGAGATCCTAGTTGCGCGTTTCGCAGGCTCCTGAGATGATGGCGTTGTGGGCACATTCTTCTTCGGAGTCGTACCCGTTATCGGCGCGGGACTTTCGACAAATCCTCCTCCAGGTCGTGCTTTGAAATATGAGTCTGTCTCTGCCTCTGTGTCTATCCGCATCGTGGGTCGCTGCATTTGTGATACATTCAATGGCTCTGCAGCGAGCTTGTTATGACCGTCAGAAGTCGAAGCCGTGGATCCCACGTTGAGCATTCCGGACATCTCAACATCATCGGAGGGAGCATGATCTCTACTCGCGCTGCGCTGGTTCGTCGCTGTTGGTGAGAGCGGTGACTGCTCCAAAGCAGCATGGCCAGGATCTGGAGGTTTTCCCTCCGGGGCGATATCGGATGTAATGAGCGGTACATCAACACCGGGGCTCGTTCCTGGCGACCCAGCAGTTGGCGCAGGGGTGTTGGCCGAGTCTGGTCCATTCGTGGAGGCTGGTGAGGACTGTGGTTCGGCAGCTGCTGGAACTGGAACGAGAAGAGGGGGAGTTGGGCTTGGTTGACGACCGACGGTGACGGAGGGACGTGACTCATCTTCTGCCAGAACAGGAACGACTTTCAACGGGCCAGGAGGCTCGGACTCGGCACCAGTTGTTTGTCCAAGAGATGGTCCATCAGCAGGCTGAGATATTGGAGACCTCAATTCATCGTCTGGTTTGGAAAGACTTGGGAGCGTGCTGGCCTCGTCGTTGTGCGCGTCAACCGCTGGTGTAGTTGTCCTCTGGCGGTCCTCCTCGCTTCTCTTGTCGATGACGACTGCAATCCCTTCATTACCCTTGTTTTCGTCAAGAGATTTCTGCGCAGGCGCGATCTGTCCTGGAGGTATCGGTTTTGGCGCGGGTCTGAATCCTGGCGATGACGGCAAAGAGACATCTGGTACGTCTAGCGCTTGCTGCACCGCGACAGGGGGGGACAGGGGTACCGTACGAGGTTGAGGGTGTTCATGTTTTCGAGGTGGAAGAGTTATGTGGACTCTGGGTGGGAGTGTGGTTTCGTCGAAGCGACGCCCTCTGCGGAAGAATGAGCACAACTAAACCAAACAAGCCTCATAATTCATGAAATTTGCAACGGTGGTAGATAGAAGGCAGCGACAGGAGATCCGTACTTTTCTAGGTCATTCGCATCATGAAAGGCCTGGAGTTTCTGCTTATAGGTTGGGTCTTCGACCGAGACAACGATAGAGAAGAGTTCGCTTAATTTGCGCTTTCTTGACAGCACCAGGCTCCTATAATTCGTGATATTTGGTCAGTATGTTGCGGGAGGGATTATAAGAGTCGTTGAGGGTTGCAAAGAATAATACTCACTGTGCTTGAGACTTCTTCGAGCGCAAGTGCTCGACGGGCATCTCATCGGCATCGGCGTGGTCGACGAGAAGGACGACAAACCATCCGAATCAATTGCTGAAAATTCGACAGAAGGCAAAACCAGATGTGTAGAGATGACCAAAGAGCCCAGAACGAATTGTTTGGGCGCGTTGTGATGATTTGAGCCTCTCGAAGTTGGTCGACTGGTAGAGGATGTGGCCTCTGGATCTTGGTGTTCGGTGCAGAGTTGGAGGCACAGGGCGTAGCAGATACAGAATGCACGGCAATTTGTTAGGTAGGGTGGTAGGCTTGCTCAGGCGGGGGGCGTGCACGGAGGGAGGGAAAGCAGCCTATTCCACCTCCTGGCACCCACTGGGATTCTTTTTCAGGCAGGGGGGGTCACCGAGAGGGGGAGACCACCACGACCACCGGTCTAGCACCCAACGCCATCACTATTACCCTTTTCCACCACCACCAATTTTCTCAAGAGATTTTTGGGGGCGCAGCGGTTTGCTAACACCACGCTAGTAAAATTTCCCCTTCACCTTTCACTTTGTCGGTCTTTATTCCACAGCAGATTCGGACTCAAACAGGTCCAATACTATATTGGAGTCTAAATCGTATCATCTTCCCGTGGATATCTTTTTGTCATTCCCAGTCCTAAGATACCAAGACTAGTATTGCGTTCTCCTGCAGTGTTGCTCAAGCCACTGCCGTCTTCTACAGCCTCAACTTCTCCAAATTTACAAAATTGCGCATCATTTCACACCAAGTCTCTCCAATGGTCAAAAGAAAACGAGAAAACGGCAACGGTACCGCCAGCACTTTGAATGGAACAATCAATTCTACAGGTGACCAGGACACTGCAGCCAAGGTCACCAAAACCAACGGCCATGTGGATGTCAAGACCACTTCACCTGTCATTCAAATCGTTGTAGGTTCATATGAGCGAGTTCTGCATGGCATTACCGCATCCATCTCGAACCTGTCGTCACCAGTAACTCCTCCGTCCGTACAATTTGCGGACACTTTCCTATTCAATGCACATGCATCCGCGATCAAATGTCTAGCACTATCACCCTTGCCGGAACCCGGTTCCTCTGAAACCCAGGGCGTGTATCTGGCCACCGGCGGCTCAGATGAAAAGGTCAACGTCTTCAGCCTTGCTGCCTCGCCAGTCGCCGACAATGAGAGACTTCCGCCTATGCCCTCTCTGGGCAAGAACACCATCTCAGAAAACCCCAAGAACAGAGAGCTCGGCACTCTCCTGCACCATTCCTCGCACATCACGGCCTTGCATTTCCCCACGCGGTCAAAATTGCTCTCCGGGTCAGAAGACAACACCATCGCCGTTACCCGTCTAAAAGACTTGACAGTGGTATCCACAATAAAGGCACCACGACCCAAGGCCCAAGGTCAACCCAGCGGAGACACTGCACCGCCAGGCGCCACGCCGGCGGGGATCAATGACTTCTCCGTGCACCCTAGCATGAAGCTCATGTTGAGCGTCGGCCGAGGCGAGAGATGCATGAGGCTGTGGAACCTTGTGACTGGAAAGAAAGCCGGGGTTCTCAATTTCGGCCGCGAGATTCTGCAAAGTGTGCGTGAGGGCAAGTACAGCAGTGGCGAGGGCAGGCGGATACGGTGGAATCCTAACGGCAGTGAATTTGCTGTTGCATTCGAACGTGGAGGGGTGGTCTTTGGGGAAGACTCGAAACCCAAATGCAGGGCTGTGCCAGAGCCTCTCACCAAGCTACATCAGATTTGCTATCAAGGAATACCGTCGCAATCAGGCGGAGCGGCGCACACTACACTTCTCGCTCTTTCGACCGAAGATGGCCGGATACTCTTTTATGATACAGAAGCAATCTCACCGCGTCCGTTGTCGAATGGAACAAACAACAATGACCAGACTGCCCCGGCATCCATTCCGGACGCCGCTCTTGTCGCAACAGTCGGCGGGAAAACTGCAGGACTCACGACGCGCATCAAGGATTTTGAGCTCCTCTTCCTTCCCCCTAATGCCCATGGCCAAAAAGACATGGCCATTGTGACAGCGAGCAGTGACGGGACCATCCGTGTTATACTCCTGTCGCTGTCTGAGGTATTCGCCGCTCTGAAGAACAAGAAACCGGTCCAGGCTGGGAGAATAATCGGGGCGTATGAGACCAGCAACAGGATCACCTGCCTGACTGCCTTCGTCATGTTGCCTCCAGAGCACATCGACGATGAGGATGAATTTGGAGAGGAAGATGGGGAATTCCGGGGATTCGATGGGCAAGGAGAGAGCGAGCAGAGTGAGAGTAGTAGTGATGAAGATTGATAAGTGAATTGGTCTGAAAAATCAAGCCAATTGTTGCAAGGTAAACTTAGGTCCAAGTCAGGGTATTCTCGATCACACCGTGAGGACGACCTATGTCGATCAGCTCAATGCAGGCTGAAAAGTGAGGAGTTGATTCATTTCGAAGGATGGATTCCCATCTGTCCTAGACCTTTCACCACCCTGTCGTAGACATCCGTGACCTTCCCAACTGAGGAAACTTTAACGACTCTGCCCTCTTTTTCGAACATGTCCACTACCGGCAGACTCGTCTCGAGAAAGGTCCGGAATCTCTTGACTATGCTTTCCTCATTGTCGTCCGCCCGGCCGCTCGTCTTTCCTCTGTTCAATAATCGTTCTCTCATGACCTCTTCGGGGCAGTCGAGAAACAACGTGCACTTCGAGGGACAGACCGACTCTTCGAAGAAAATGGCTTGGTCCATCTTTCTGGGGAACCCATCAATCAAGAATTTCCCAGTCCCATCGCTCCCAAGTTTTGAGCGCATGGCATTTTCCAGTAGCTTGACCGTGACCTCCATTGGGACGATGAGGCCCTCTTTGATATAGTCTTTGATCAATTGGCCATATTCACTACCCTCGTTGTTCTGCTCTTCTCTCAACAAGTCGCCCGCGGAGAGATGTATAAAACCGTAATCTCGGACTAGATTGGCGGACTGTGTACCTTTGCCGGCTCCAGGACCTCCCAGTACATACACGACAGTGACCTTTTGTGGATCGAATGCTGGGGAGAGGTTCGCTGAGGCGAGTGGCGCTTCTGGCTGGGTAAGAGCAGAAGTCCCGGAGGTAGGATCTATAGCAGGCGTCGCCATTAGGAAGCTACTTTTCTGTCACTACCGCTCGGTGTGGGCTTTTCGGCGAGACTCGCTGGGGACGTGCGTCTGAGATTCTGTTCGCTTTTTGACCAACAGAGCGTAGGAACCGCTGCTAGCGAGGAATAAAATGAGAAAGGGGAAGAATCGTAGTTTGTCGCCCTGTCCTCCTGGTCGATGTTTGCTGACAGGACTTGGTGTTGAGATGGGTTTGTCTGCGGATGTTGGTGGTGGTGGTGCTGCGGAATAGCAGCGTATGAAGGGTATTGAATATCGAAAACCAAGCAGCGACAATGGATGCCTGGTCAAGGAAGTACCCAGTTTACGCGCGATCATTCCTTGGAACGAGCGTGGTAGATAAAAGGACGATCTGGAGCAGAAATTGACGCAGTAATGAACAGAAGGTCAGAGCTCAAGGAAAATCATTCATCGGAGAATACCTGGCTTGCAGGCGAGCAGGGTATCAATGACGAAGGTGGTTTAGATGGGCATGTGTGGCAGGTGGGCATGCGCCATGTGCAGCAAGCTGCCAGTTGGTTCCTAGGTACCTTAGGTAGGTAGTAACAAGCTCAGCGACAATAGGCGTTGCCACGTGACAAGGGCGCCCCAAAGGTTGCAAGCCAGTTGCATGCCCGGCAGGCACCCTCCCGTTGGGCGAATCAACTGGTGGCTTGGACATTCCTGCTTCTGGCTTGCGACTCCAGAAGATCCGCTCACTTTCTCAAAAGGTGTCTCTACTTTCCAGGAGCTCATCAACAATTGAATCAATTGCCTTTCAATTCCCTTCTTATACTCCCCACGCCACATTTCTCGCGGTCTTGTTCCTGTTGCCGCACTCTCTCCTTCTTTCTACACTCCTTTGAGTCCGTGGATTTTGCAGTCATCTCGTCCACCCTCCAGTGAGCGATCAATTACTTTTTCCCAAAGTGCATGAGGCCGCAAGGAGGCCGGTCGCAGTCATGGCGCTTCCCATTCGGTTCACTGAACTGGTTCAGGTCCGTTGATGGCACTCTCAGCTTGTGCTAATTCCTGGCTGACTTCTCATAGTTGACGAATCTCGACATCGCGGTAAGGGCACGCTCCCTGGATCGCAGGCGCAGTTCGACCTGAGTGCCGGCATATGCGCGACCTGATCAATTATCCTACCTTACATGCAGAATATCTACTGACACATTCTCTCACTTCCAGCCAGCCTCAATATCCTTCAATACTTGTGTGAGTAATTGTCCGGCTCTTTCCATGCAAGCCGGCGCTGACACGTCTTGCCAGACACTAGAATCCGATCACTTTGTCTGCGTACGGCAAAAACTTAATGAGCAGGACAAACCTCAAGTCATAATTGTAAACCTCAAGAACAACAATGAAGTCATCAAACGCGCTATCAGCGCTGACAGCGCCATCATGCACTTCAACCGCGAGATCCTGGCCCTCAAGGCGCAGGGAAGAACGATTCAAGTCTTCGACCTCGCGGCCAAGTCCAAGCTGAAATCTACAATCATGAATGAGGACGTTGTTTTCTGGAAGTGGTACAGCGAAAGAAGTCTGGGATTGGTTACTGACACCTCCGTCTACCATTGGGACGTGTTCGACCCTACCCAGTCTGCTCCAGTGAAGATGTTCGAGCGAAACGCCAACCTGAGTGGATGCCAGATCATCAACTATCGCGTCAACGATGATGAGCAATGGATGGTGATAGTTGGCATTTCTCAAAAGGAGGGACGAGTGGCCGGGACAATGCAGCTGTATTCGCGTAATCGTGGGATCTCGCAACCCATCGAGGGTCATGCTGCTGCCTTCGGCACCTTCCATGCGGAGGGCAATCCTGCTCCATACAAACTTTTCACGTTCGCGGTCCGAAATGCCGCTGGCCAAGGCAAGCTCCATGTTGTGGAGATCGATCACAACGAGAACAACGCGCGGTGGGTCAAGAAGGCAGTCGACGTCTACTTCCCCGACGAGGCTGTCAACGACTTCCCTGTCGCGATGCAAATCTCCAAGAAGTACAGCATCATATACATGATCACCAAGTACGGCTTCATCCACCTTTACGATCTCGAAACAGCCACGTGCATCTTCATGAATCGTATTTCCAGCGAGACAATCTTCATCACGACGCCCGACTCTGAATCCGCCGGCATCGTTGGGATCAATCGAAAAGGTCAGGTTCTCTCGGTCAGCGTTGATGAGAACACCATCATCCCATATCTGCTCCAAAACCCCGCCAATGCAACCCTTGCCGTGAAGTTAGCTGCGAGGGCGGGCTTGCCGGGTGCCGACAACCTCTACCAACAGCAGTTCGAAACTCTCTTTGCCCAGGGCAACTACTCAGAAGCTGCCGAAGTTGCGGCGAACTCTCCACGCGGGTTCTTGAGGACGCCAGAGACGATCAATCGATTCAAAAGTGCACCTCAACAAGCTGGGCAGCTTTCTGTCATCCTCCAGTACTTTGGCAAACTACTCGACAAAGGCAAGCTCAACAAATACGAGAGCGTAGAACTGATAAAGCCGGTTCTTGCACAGAATCGTAAGAACCTGCTCGACAAGTGGATGAGTGAGGGCAAATTAGAGTCCTCGGAAGAGCTTGGTGATATTGTCCGACTGCACGACCTTGAGCTTGCTCTCAGGATCTATCGGGAATCGAATGTTCCCCCAAAGGTTGTTGCAGCGTTGGCTGAAACCGGCCGATTTGAGGAGATTCTTCCTTACGCGCGTGAGGTCGGATATCAACCTGATTTCACCAGCTTGCTGCAACACATAGTTCGCGCAAACCCTGAGAAAGGTGCAGAGTTCGCTACCCAGCTCGCCAATAACGAGGGTGGTCCACTCGTTGATATTGACAGAGTTGTTGATATTTTCATGTCTCAGAATATGGTTCAGCAAGCAACTGCGTTCCTGCTCGACGCTCTAAAGGAGAATCGTCCCGAACAAGGTCACCTGCAGACTCGCCTCCTGGAAATGAACCTTCTCAACGCACCGCAAGTCGCAGATGCTATTCTTGGGAACGAAATGTTCTCTTACTATGACAAACCTAGAATTGCCCGACTTTGCGAACAGGCTGGTCTGTTGCAACGTGCCCTCGAGAACACAGATGATCCAGCCTCTATCAAGCGAATCATCGTCCAGACTGATAAGCTCAATCCTGAATGGCTTCAACAGTACTTTGGCCGCATGTCTGTCGAACAGTCGCTGGACTGCATGGATGAGATGCTCAAGGTCAACATTCGACAAAACTTGGCGGCCGTGATCCAAATTGCTACCAAGTTCTCTGACCTTCTGGGATCGAGCCGCTTGATTGCACTTTTCGAGAAGCACCGTACCGCTGAAGGTCTCTACTATTACCTCGGCAGCATTGTCAATCTCAGTGATGACGGAGAAGTGGTTTACAAGTACCTCGAGGCCGCAGTTACTATGAACCAATTCCAGGAAGTCGAGAGAATCTGCCGTGAGAACAATCATTATAACCCCGAACGTGTCAAGAACTTCCTCATCGAAGCTCGGTTGGCTGAGCAGCTTCCATTGATCATTGTCTGCGATCGTTTCAACTTCGTCAAGGATCTGGTCAACTACCTTTACCGGAATCAGCAATACAAGTCCATCGAAGTGTATGTTCAACGAGTCAATCCGGCACGGACCCCGGCAGTTGTTGGAGCGTTGCTTGCTCTTGATTGTGAAGAATCAGTCATCAAGAACTTGTTGGCTTCGGTCGACCCTTCAGCTGTCCCCATCGACGAGTTAGTGAGCGAAGTCGAGACTCAGAATCGTCTGAAAATTTTGCTACCGTTCCTTGAATCCACATTGGCAGCAGGGATTCAGCAACCGGCGCTCTACAACGCCCTGGCCAAAATTTACATTGACAGCAACAACAATCCCGAGAAATTCCTCAAGGAAAATGACCTGTACGACACTCTCACAGTAGGTAAATACTGTGAGAAGCGGGATCCCAACTTGGCGTATATCGCGTATCGCAAGGGCCAGAATGATATTGAGCTCATCAACATCACCAATGAGAACTCGATGTTCCGAGCTCAAGCGCGATATCTTCTAGAGCGCGCTGACCCCGAGATATGGGCTTTTGTTCTAGGTCAAAACAACACTCACCGGAGATCTCTCATTGACCAGGTAATCGCGACCGCGGTTCCCGAGAGCTCAGAACCCGACAAGGTATCTGTTGCAGTCAAAGCCTTCTTGGACGCCGATCTGCCGGGCGAACTCATTGAATTGCTCGAAAAGATCATCCTCGAGCCATCTCCTTTCAGCGAGAACAGCAGTCTCCAGAACTTGCTTATGCTCACAGCTGCAAAGGCGGACAAGGGTCGCCTTATGGACTACATTCAGCGCCTGAATGAATTCAACACTGAAGAAATTGCGAATATGTGTATCCAACAGGGTCTCTACGAAGAAGCTCTAGAGATCTACGTCAAGACCAACGACCACATCTCTGCTGCCAATGTCCTTGTCGATCACATCGTTAGCATCGATCGTGCCCAAGAATATGCTGAGAAGGTGGATCTGCCTGAGGTCTGGAGCAAGGTTGCCAAGGCCGAACTGGACGGCTTGCGGGTTAGCGATGCCATCGAGTCGTATATCAAAGCTCAAGATCCTAGCAACTACAACGAGGTCATTGAGACCGCTACTCATGCCGGCAAGGACGAGGATCTTGTCAAGTTCCTGAAAATGGCCAGGAAGACTATGCGTGAACCAGCCATTGATACCGCCCTCGCCTTTTGCTATGCTCGACTTGATCAACTGCCGGAACTCGAAGACTTTTTGCGCTCTGCCAATGTGGCTGATGTGGAAGCATCTGGAGACAAGGCTTATGAGGAGGGCTACCACCAAGCTGCCAAGATCTTCTTCACCAGTGTCTCCAACTGGGCAAAACTCGCCACCACTCTTGTACACTTGGGCGAATACCAAAACGCCGTTGACTGTGCTCGACGCGCAAACAGTGTTAAGGTGTGGAAGCAAGTGAACGAGGCATGCGTCGCGAAGAAGGAATTCCG